GCAGTCAGTCAGTTTTTCAGTTATTCAGTCAGTCATTCAGTCAGTCAGTGGGTCATCCAGTCAGTCAGTCAGTTTTTAAGTCATTCAGTCAGTCGGTTAGTCAGCCAGTTCATCAGTTAGTCAGTCATTCAGACAGTCAATCAGTCAGTCAGTAAGTCAGTCAGTCATTCAGACAGTCAGTCAGTTCACAGGTTAGTCAATTAGTTAAAGTTTGCCAGTCAAACCATACATGGTTGCCACACATAAAAGTTTTAAAATTTCTGTAACAAATTCCCTGCTAAAAATAAAGATATCCAGACCAAATTACACAGAATATCAGAGACTGCACATGAGTAGCAGCCTCCAGCTTCTCCTGACAGCCAGTCCTTCCACTCCCTCATACATTTTCCACCAATTGCAATCAATCCTGACCTCATTCCACAAAAGAGTATGACAAGAAAATGGAGGCATAATGATGTTATTAAGTTATCCTGAGTTTTCTTCAAAATTTCAAGTTCTTCCTAACTCCAAGTTAAGCTTCTGTAACCCCCCAAGCCTTAAAGAATTTTTCTGGATCATTTGTTGAGCTGTGGCAACCATGTATCAATTTATTTAGATAAACAGTTGTATGTCAGTCATGTTGAGGTGCATAATCACTCATTTATAATAAACTACTGATTCTTTCATCAAAGAATATTTCTTTGAGTGCATTCTGGAAGGCAATTTAATGTTGCCACTTTTTATTTATTTTGTGACCGTTGACTGATTGAAGTATGAATGGGTGAAACTCTTATTTCATGCTGTACCATTCATGCCTTATTTGCGTGGCTCAGACTCCACAATAGTTCTTTATGTCTTTCCTCAGTACACAATTCACAATCAGTGAAGCCAGTGACTCTGCACTAGGGTGATTTTGTATACCCATATGGCTGCCTGCCAGCTAGATGACTGTCCATCAGTCAGTCAGTCAGTACTTTGTCAGCCACACAGTCAATTAATTGGTCAGCCAGTCACTCAGTCAATTTGTTGGTTAGTCAGTTGGCAATCAATGTCAGTCAGTTCTCAGTCAGTCACTTAATCATCCACACAGTCAATAAATCAGTCAGACAGTCAGTCAGTTGCTTTATTGGCCAGTTAGTCAGTCAGTCAATTTGTCAGTTAGTCAGTCAGTCAGTAGTCAATGCAAGTCATTGGACAAGCCATCAGTAAGTCAGCGAACCAGTCTCTTAACTACAAGAAGGTACTGTTAGTAGTCAACCATCCATTAATCAAATGCTTGCCTGTCAGCGAGCCAATCAGTTGGTAGGTTGATCAGATGGTCAAGCAATCAGTAAATCAGCCAGTCTGACAGTTTATCAATAAGCCAAATAGACAGGAGGAGGGTCGTTCAGTCTGTTAGTCAGCCAGTCAGTCTGTTAGTTAATCAGTCAGTCTGTTAGTTAATCAGTCAGTCTGTTAGTTAATCAGTCAGTCTGTTAGTAATTCAGTCTGTCTGTTGGTTAATCAGTCAGTCTGTTAGTCATTCAGTCAGTCTGTTGGTTAATCAGTCAGTCTGTTAGTCAATCAGTCAGTGACTCATTCAGTTATTCAGTCAATCAGATGGTCAAGCAATCAGTTGGTCAGTTAGCCAGTTTAACAGTCAGCAAAATACACAGTAAGTCTTTTAGTTACATGAAGGTACTGTAGTTGACCATCCAATAGTCAGTCAATCACAATTAGTCAGACAGACAGTCAACCAGACAGGTGCAAGTCAACCATTTTGCCTGTGACCCCAATATCTTGCAGATTCTATGCTTTGAAGGCACTTCAGTTGCAGCCAGTTCCTCATGCTAGAATAATTGTTGCTTGGCATCTGCTTCCAAGCTCACCAAATGGTGATAGGAACAACTTGGAATTTCTAGAATTAGAAATTCCCAACATAGCTTCTTGTTTTCTTGTAAAAAAATTCTATCCCAGATACATGGGTTCATTTTTTGGAATTGTGAATCAGACAGTCAACTCTGACATCAAACAATGAAAAAAGACAGAAAAATCAACCTTAACTCACTGCATGTTGATACACTGCATGTCTGAGATGAATTTCAAGATTATGTCCCACATGCACTGATGCTGCTCTAAATCAAATCAGCAGCATCATGCATTTACCACCTTGCATCAAAACAAAGCTTAGCTTATTAAAAGAGTTTGTTTATCTGGTTCACCTTACAGCTGGATTGCAAAGTATGATAAGCATCTTGGAATAGATCAGCTTGAAGCTTGGTCCACTTGTTCACCCACCAGGCATCTGATCTAAAAAAAGCAAAAGAAAATGTCACACATTAATAAGTGTATTGCCAAAAGAACACAGTTTTGTTGATTGTATTACCAATGACTAAATTTTATTTTCAACATAAATTTCTCAAAAGTAATAAACAATAAACATGTTACTTCTTATGGTTTTAAGGGAAAATTGTAATATACTAGAGTGGGTTGTATCCTTGCCAATCTCTAAAAAGAGGATTCCTTATATACTTTTTACATCAAGCATGATTGGGCAATTTTTCTTCTTGTGAATCATGATTTGATTTTTTTTTTTTAAAGAATTGTGATTTGATTTTTTTTAAATTCATGAATTGTAATTTAAGATGTTAGGACCTTTTCATGTCCATGTAAACAAAATTTTTTTAAAAATTTGAATGTGACCTGTGAATTAAGAGCTGAATTAAGTGTGATTCATGAAGCATTTTGCTCTGCCTGAAGAATTTCCAGCTATTGTTTTGAAAGTGTATGTATTGTTCTCAAACAGCTGTGGTTACTGGTAGGTTTTGATTTGATCAATAAAAGTCACAAAACAGACCACTAATGGTTCAACCAAGTTCCAAAAGTAATGAATTGATTGGAGCAAAAGAAGTCAGGCTTTGATAAGACTTTCATGCCTGCCTCCCAAATATTAGTCAGTTTTACTCGCCTGTTAGAGGCATAATAACAGTACTTTCCTACAGTATATCTACCTTTCAGTCAGTATAAACAGCCAAGAGATTTGTCATTATTCATTACCTGGAGGGGAGGGGGGTGGAAGATTTTGAAGGGAATATATTGTTATTTTAAGGGGGATTGGAGAGGTGATCAGTCATTACCAACAAAGTATAAAGAGGTAAATAGAGGGGGGGAGGAGGTGGAGGATTTTGGAGGGATCACATGGTTTTCAGGGGGGAGTGGAAGGGTGATCAGTCATTGCCAACAAAGTGTAAAGGGGTAATAAAGAGGGGGGGAGGGAAGTCAAGGATTTTGGAAAGATCATGTGGTTTTCAGGGGAGAATGGAGGGATCATCAATAATTGCCAACAAAGTATAAAGCAGGAACATAGAGAGTTGACTGCGAATTGATCGCCAATGTTTGGGGGGAGGGGGGAGCAGAGAGGGAATCTTAAAAATACTACAGAACCTTATGGGGGGATCAGGTAAATTTTATCGTGACTAAAATCTTCCAACTTCCCAGGAGATATATAATGGCCAGTACCTAACCAATCAATCTGATCAACTGTTATTTGTCAGTCAGCATATCAGATTATTATATTCTCAGACATTCAGACAATCAAGCATTAGTAAGTATGTCCATTAAAAGCCAATCTGTCAATCTTCAAGTTGATAGGCCATACAATTATTTGGCAAATAAGCATGGTTTCTAACTAACATTTCAATACGTTTCCCTAAACAAAAAAAAAACACCAATTTACCTACCAGAAGGCACTTGAAGAGTGGATTCGTTTACCAATGAGTATCAAACATGAACAAGATCTTTGGGTTCATGCTGACTCTTCCAGCCACTGAAAACGTGAAATAAATTCACCCCGCCGGAAATACAATATCTATTCGTCAAAAACTTCCAAAAAGTAGAGAAAAATACAAACTAACCATTTAAGCCACATTTTAAAACGGTCCGCCATGTTCCACGTGAAGAATTGATTACTGCAAGGAATGGTGGGAGAAAAAAACTCTCCTCTCCATGGGTAGGGTCAGTAGCACTGAGAAGAACTCAGCGATAGAAGGTACAGATCGTGAAAGTTTTATTTTCATGCGATCATTGCAAGAGCAAGAGCCTATTAATGGGCTTATGAGAAGACCTTGGATTTTTATCATGGTTAAGAAGGGGGGGCGGGAGGGGTGAGGGTGGGGAGTCTTCCTCTTTAGTTTCGTACCTTGGCCTTCCCCAGTGTACACGGATACGAAAAGGCTACGAGGCCAGACCTCTGACCTCTGCAATTGGGGGATGGTAGTTTACTATTATCAACTTAATTTTCCTTGTTCTTATCATTATCATCATCTTCATTGTCAACATGATTATCATCATCATTACAACTTTCAACATCATTATCATTCTTACTGTCATTGTCATCATTATTTTTATTATTCTTATAAAATAATCTATAATTGCCATTGTCATTGTTTGTAGTTATCACTGTCTTTGTAGTCGTTATCCTAAGGTTGTATTGTGTATTGCTCAGTATAATGATTGCGATTTCATTTTTTATCATTGGCATTATTTCTCCCTCTTGCCTATCCTTTCCTCTCCAATAATCATTGTTGCCGTAACTACGCTCACAAGGTTTGATTATTACCTGGTAATTTACTATTATCACCTGAGTTGATAATCTAAATTGGCCACTGTAAAGAGTTTAAAAGCTGACGATTCAAGCATTAGCCCTTCATCATTCCTCTGATGAAGGGCTAATGCTTGAAATGTCAGTTTTTAAACTCTTTGTGAAGGCCAATTTATGCTATCAACTCAGTTGATAGTACTAAATTACCCTGTTATACTCTCCCACCAACACAAAACCACAGTTTCTTTGGAAACTTTACCCCCTTTCTGGCTTATACACGAGTGCCACCTATACACAAGTTTTTACAGTAAATATGAATTCCCCAAAAGATAAAGAGAACAGAAATTTGCCAGAAATAAGAAAAGAAGCAATAAGGGATGGAAGAAATGAAACTAATATGAGTTGAAAAAATGTGCACACCAAAACCAGAAAGAGGTGATATTCCTTTCAGACAGTTTATTGTTCTTTAACATTCATCAACAGCATTAACCTTGTACAAGGCTTTTGAATTTCATCCATTGCATGAAATCAATTAATATAAAATTCTCTATTTAAATTCTAATTCCTAATTAGTAAGTTCTATGCTATGAAAATTTTATCTGAAGTTATGCACCCTGAAAGTGACTCAACTGTCAACCATTTCTTAAAAATGCCTTTTCTATTTTCCATCATTTAAAAAAAATCAAATGATAGACAAGTCTGATTGTTATTGAATTAATGCATACAAAAAATATTAAGAGTAATACAACAACTGTTATTGTTGTCCATTAAAATTATCCTGCTCTATTGTAAGAATTTTTGAATCAGTTCCAGTTCTTGTTCTCGTGCTTGTGTCACTGTAGGAGGGTCCAGTGGATTGGATGCTCTGTATGACATAATTAAATCAATAATTGATAAAACTGAAATAGCAACAATGATAAGAAAACCGCTCTAAAAAAGGTTTTGTTCTTTTTTTTAATCTTTACCAGCAATCTTTCAGGTAACAAAAAGATTAAAGTGAAAAATAAAAAAAATCAAGGGAATGCAGGAAATCCCCAAATAGGGCTTTGGCAGCTAGTATGCTCTGCACCTAGCATGCTTCAAGATCTCAGAGAAAATTCTCCCCACATATCACCACACATTTCATGATTGGTTAAAGCAGAGAAGTTGGTTTTCTGTCTGGAGCTCACAATTTTCTTTACTGTCAGCAACTGCCTCTTTAACTTTCTAAAACAATAAGATGAGAACTTACATATTGATCAATCTAGTCAGCGAAAAGGTTAAAACATACCTCAGATCAAGATGGTGAGCTCCACCTTTGACCAGAAGTGCCACCAGTGTTGGTGAGACATCTTCTAACACCTAAAATATAATCAATACATTTTAAATCCAACAGCAGTTGGAAGCAACCACAGCCCTTCAAATAGTGTAATAGTGTAAACTTACCCCTCCAGTTCTCCATGGATCCAGGTCACCATTGGAGAAAATAATATTAGAAGATGAAGATATATCTGGAAAATCAATTAAAGAAATAGAATTTTTCTTTTTCTAGTGTTGAGCTCTTTCGGGGAAAGGGGGGGGAATGGAAACTGGCAAAATGCTGAGGGTTTAACTGAACAAATTTAGCATCTTGGGGGGGGATGGTGGAAATTCAGCAGTAGGGGAAGTGGAACCTAGCAGACTACTAGGCAGTTAATTGAAAAGATTAAGCATCCCATCCACGGGACATGATATATTGTTCATTCATTTACAAAGTAAAACATCAGTGGTTAAGCAGCTGCCTCAACAAAACCTCATTTTTCTTATTTCACATAATCCCTGAGTTCATACAATCCCATAGATGGCTTGTTCCAGTCATAGATACTTTTCCTGCTTTGTGAGGAGCTCGAAGTATGCTCACAGGAGCTCTAACTATGCCTTAACTATGCTAACTATGTATTTCAAGATCAACCTTTTCCCCAGAACTGTATGGGTGCCCAGTTAGGTTGAGGTACCACACCCCATTTTTTCTTGCAGTATGTTGCAATCATTTCTGGAGTCCATGGCAGAGGTGGAAACATGTCTGTCTTGTTGTTAGAACCAGCTGGAAGAGTGAGCTCAGTACAAGCCTGAAAAGATGAAATATAAATCTCATTTTTATGTTTAATGACAGAAAGAAACACAACCAGAAAATGTTACATGTCTTGCTCAACACAGTCCAGTCAGTCAGAGTTTGACCTGGGACCTTTAGATCTGAAGTCCAGCATGTATAAAGCCCCCACATTTCCCAAATCTTGAATTTTTCTAAGCCAGAGTAAGTGGTAGTTACTGTCATCTTTAACTAGTTCCTACATCCCATGCAGACTATGGTTAAACATAGCAATTATATTAGTTACTTGACTAGGCAAGTAATATATCCAACCCACTACCTGATAGTCTTGGGCAAGACTGTCTAAACCCAGGCCACACCCAGTGGGGTCTGCACATTTGATGTACTCTGTATCTGGATCAAGGCAAGTCAGCGTACCATTAGTGCCATTGTAGACTAAAGCTGTGACCTCAGCCAGACCTTCAACCTTGGATGATGCACTTGCCATCAATTTACATGCCAAGTTCACAGGATGCCCAGGAAGTGGAGCCAGTAAGTCTGTTGGGTAAGGATAATCACACATGGCTAGGGTTGTGAAAGAATTGCGAATCCAATGTAACATGTGAGGGATCTAAAATGAAAACAAAAAAACAAAAACCAAATTATTGGGCCAATTGAAACAATGGATGAAATGGAGGATCTACAAAGGACAAAGGAAAGAAAACATAAAACAAAAGTTGTGAAAAGAATTAAGTAACACTAATAACAGTTATAAAAATAAGAATAACAATAAAGGAATTAAGCAGTGACAAATCCAGAACACAGCCCTGCATCCTCTGTTTCTTGGTCAAATGAGGATTGATTCAATGAGAATCAATAAATAACTCACCTGCAAGTGACCCAAGGTTATGGATTCTGACCAAGGCCACAGCAATGGGATTGGAAGGCAAGTGATCTCCCTCCTGTATCATTGATCTTTGCTCCCCAAAGTTTTAGAAGAGAGAATGAGGGAGGGAGGGTGGAAGGGAGGGAGGGTGGAAGGGAGGGAGGGTGGGAGGTGGGTGAAAGGGAGGGAGGGTGGGAGGGGGGTGAAAGGGAGGGAGGAAGTGTGGGAGGGAGGGTGAAAGGGAGGGAGGATGGGTAGGAGGGAGGTAGGGTGGAAGGGCAGGTGGGTTGGAGGGAGGTAGGGTGGAAGAGAGGGTGGGTGGGAGAAAAAGGGAACAGGAAATGACGGAGAGGAAGGAAGATAGGAAGTAATCTGGCAAATAAACTAACAAATAATTACCATGGGGTCATTAAATGCTGCTCCACATAATTTTTAACTGTGTTCACTTCACTGTCATGGTTGTGTTTGTGTGATGGTAATTAGATAATTCTTACCTGATCTGTTGACTTGAGTGGTTTGCAGAGTTTAAATATCCTTGAGATTTCAGCAAGTCCTACATGAAATAATGTGATTGAAATAAATGCATATCAAAATAAAACTCCAGATCAGTTTCACACATAGTGACTTGGTTAAAAGATCCACGCATGCAATTGCCTTTAAATAAGAGTTATCTATCTCCTTGTTATAGTTAACTTTGTTGATAATCCATAATTAGGAATACTTTGGTTTTGATTTTGACATTTTACTTGAAAAGTTTTCTTAAAAGAGACTGATTTACTGACTTAATGAATATATTTAATGTACCTTTTGATCCTTGATTTTTCAGCATCTCAATCATTTCAAAAGCCATAATAACATAACCTGGACAATTAGCATCAGCATTTAAAAAGTCCTTGAAATTAAAACACAAAAATTACAAAAAAACTTAATTAAATTAACTGAATAAATTGAAACATGAAAACAAAATAGTTTGGCAGTTACTGTTGATGGTTTTATCTTTCATGAACATCATCAGAAATTAACATAATTGTTAAATATCACCAAATAAGTTTAAATACTTTTTGTCTACAATTAACTCAAATAACAAATGATATATCATTCTCCTAATTTAACCAGTATAATTCTCAAGAAGGAGAAAAATTAATAGACTCTCAACTCTTTTACCAAATGAACAACTATTAACTAAATTAGTAATTTCCTTGATGTTATGGGGAGAATCACTGATCAGTAAGCTGGACAAGAGAAGAAACTAAAACAGTTGATACAGTAGGCATGATCAGCAAGGAAATGTTGTAGCACAACTAAATAACAATGAAAACTTGAATATTCAATCATTGATTGTTCTTATGCAAGTTATAAAAACTGTAGCCATCACCTCTGTCACTGCAGCAAAGAATGAGTCTCTTTCACTACCCTGGAAAGTGGTCATGTAAATTGGAGCACTGGCTGCTAAGGCAACATCAACTACATTTGGATATTTGAACCTCATGTAAGCACTCAGTATTCCACCATAACTGAAAACCAATCAAGGACAGATTAATGCTACAGAATATGTCATCAGAGCACTTTACGTTCTGAGACCTTGCTGAGTCACATGGAAAATGAATCATGCTGTAGTTTCTATGTAGGTGACCACAACAACTGTAATTTTTTTTTTAAAAGTTATATTACAATGTACCTGCCACCAAAAGCAACAACCTTACTCTCTGTGGCCTTATACTGAATCTTAAGATCAGTCACTAGGACAGCATAGTCTGCAAGGGCTTGCTCCACTGAAAGGTAACCAACTTTATCATGATCAAATGAGGACGAACCAAATGGAAGGGAATCTCCAAAGTATCTCTAAAAAAGGATGAAGACAGAGCACAACAAATTAAAGGTAAAATGCACTTTTGCTTGCTAGAAATCAGAGCATCAGATATTCAACATTCAGTAAAATTTCCGCACAGCCCCATACCACATTATGCATTCAGTTCTTGGATAGAGAAAACAATGACAAAAACGATACATTGCCATTGGGAAAACAGATTTGTTTTATTACCCAACATTCACACAAAGCATCCTTGTGTACTCACATGTTCACCAAAAATAACCAAAGCATTGAACTTCTGAGCTGCTTCGAAAACAAAGCCTGAGTTTTCCCAAAAACTAGTTATTGGTCCTTCATTGCCAGTGTAAAAGAAAATTGGTCCTTTTTCATCCCAGTACTGATCTGTGACACAAAATTTAGCAATGGGCTTAACAAATTATTCCACTCAGAACACCTCCATGTTTTTGCAAGTATCACTAGCCATTCTCAGGAAACAGGCCCCAAAACTGGTGTCTCAAGGCCTCAGAAAGACAAATTCTAAATACTGGCATGGGGTTTCAATAACTTATTCCATATGTGGCTGCTGATGGTGTAAGAGACAGCTGTGTAACAGGCGTAAGAGGTCTTATGGGCAGCGATAGACGTCCAGTAACCAACCTTTAAAGATACTGCTGCAAATGCTGTTTGTTGGGGGGGGGGGGGGGAGGGGTGCATTCAGCACCTGGTTCTTGACTTACTTCGATTCCAGGCTTCAATTCAAAGCTATTTTTTACTTCACAAGTCTATAGTACATAGGCAATCAGTTGCAGATTGAAATTGTTTCCTATGGGTGTCCCCTCTTCCCCTCTAAGATAGGCATGCAGCCATATAGGATTTTCTGTGATCCTTTCCAAGGCTTTCCTCCCCCACCCAGTCCACCCCCTTCCAAAAAAAGGAGGAAAATCAGAACACTGAGCCACAAATGTATTCAAAATATTTAATCTGTGTCGCTTTTAATCCTCATAGCCTCTCTTTTTCCCAACATAGTGATTGCTCTAAGCTCATCTACTGTTCAACATGTCTTACTCAAGTTTTCTTCACTTCAGCACAATTACTAAATTGTTTAAGAGAAATTCAGTTAAAATACGGGTGATTCCATTATCAGAGGTATTGCATACTTTTAAAATTCAGTTCGATGACATGCTGGCTAAGAGTGGGATAGCTGTTTTGTTTGCTTGAGACGATCATTCGTTCCAACAAATTATGTAATCTCACAGAAGGTGAACTTTATAAATAAACTAAAGTAGAACCTGATTTCTCACAGTGTCGATTACATCAGCTTTGGGAAAGAGAGACATAAGATTTAACCGGGCTCTCTAACAAACTAAACAGCTTCACCTCCAAAGCTCCATTCGAGTCAGAAATTACGGTAAGCGCCTTAGTAGATACCTGTATAGAGATATCGCTGTTTAAACGTGACCTTACTGGCTTGGACGAAGTTGAAATGATCGAGATCTTGCCCAAAATAAGCTGTCTTGTAAGGAATAGTAGCCCCCACGACGACAAAATAAGAAGAAACCACGACAAGAAACTCCGCGCAGGGAGTCATCTTCGTACAAAGTTGCACGTAAGGGTTTTGTAACAAGCTAACCTTTAGATTTCGTGACTTTGGGTGACGAATCATTCGACCTGTCACGTCACCGAGACCACTGAAACATCATTATAATCGGGCTGATTATTGGATTAAAACAAACAAAAACGCGTACACAAAAACGAGAAAATGTAGATGTTATTATCAAAAAGTTTATTGTTCTTAAAAAGACACTCATCAACAGCATTAAACCAACACAAGGCTTTTGAATCTCATCCAAGTCTCATGTCTAGTCTCTGGCATGAAATCATTAAAATTCAAATTCCTTCATAAGGTCTAATTCGCAATTAGCATGTTTCGATGCTTCATGTAAATTTTATTTGAAGTTGTGAACCATAAATTGACTTTTCTTTGAAATGCGATTTCTTTTATACATCACAAAATAAGACAGATCTGGTTATTACAATTGAATTGATGCATAAGAAAACTGTAGTCATTGTCCATTGAGATTTATAATGTTGCTCTAATGTAAGAATTTTTGGATTAGTTCCAGTTCTTGTTTTCGTGCTTGTGTCACTGATGGAGGGTCCAGTGGATTGGAAGCTCTGGATATCAAAATTATATACATCAGTAATTAATAAAACTGAACTAATAATAATTATCAGAAAACATTGTGAAAACCAGCTTGAAGCAAATGCTTTTCTTTTAAACCTACATAGCAATCTACCAAAGGAGATCAGGAATCACTGATAAAAGTTTATCCTTCAGGTAAAAACCTAATAATAAACTAATAATAAATTCCAAAAACAAACAAATTTAAAAATGAAGGTTGCACACCAGGAAGAATGAAGGAAATCTCCAAATAGGAATTTACCACCCAATATGCTCCAAGATCTCAGATAAAATTTTCTCAAACATCATCATATGTTTAGATATTGGCTAGAGTAGAGACATTGACCTTCTATCAGGAGGTAACTCATAGCTGACAATTTTCTTTATTCTCATTACCTGCCTGACTTAACCTCTATAAGAAAAATGCAAGGAGAATTTTCATATTGATCAATTTGGTCACTGAAAAGGTTAAACATACCTCAGATCAAGATGGTGAGCTCCACCTTTGACCAGAAGTGCCACCAGTGTTGGTGAGACATCTTCTAATACCTAAAATATAATAAATACATTTTAAATCCAACAATTATCTATGATTCCATTAATGATGGAAGCAACAAGAGCCTTCAAATACCATTAACTTACCCCACCAGGTCTCCATGGATCCAGGTCACCATTGGAAAAAATAATATTAGAAGATGAAGATATATCTGAAAAACCATTTAATACAATAAAATGTCTTTTATTCTTGCACTACAATTAGGATTTCTCTGACCATAAAACTAGAATGAGGAAGGTTTCACAGTGACTTAAACACTAACTGAGAAACTCAGAAAACTGTGGTCACTGAAATAAGTGTGAAATACTATTGTATCAAGGAAAATAAATCCATCAAGCATGAGAAATTTTCAATACAGACAGGAATCCTAGTTTTAAGATTTGTTTTCAAGTCTCATCTGATTAGTCATTGCATATTCTGGACTTTTTCCAGGTGTTTTAATTTTGACAAAAATTCTGGATCACTTTTAAAATCAAATACTGATATTGCTGCCATTCAGAAAGGAAAAGGAGTGGATCTATGAGAATGGGATTTGAAACAATTGTGTAACCTGATGCTTAGCATGATAGAGTCAAGATCACAAGGTCAGGTTCAATCAAGCCCTGCTCAGCATCACAATCACATTCTGTGCACAACAATTGATTCACACTCTTTCCTACCAGGAGTGCTTTTGGGTGGCAGTTGAGCTTACAAAGGAAATCATGTCAGGGAGAGTCAACAGCAATCATTTAACATCCCATCCAGATGAAGTGGCAAAGGGAATGGTCAAGTCTTACCCTGTTTTTAGTGCCTGCCTTAATAAAATTCTTCCTTTTCAATCTAACAAGATCTCTTACTATGTATTTCAATGTCTTAAGGAAACCAACCTTTCCCCCAGAACTGTATGGGTGCCCAGTTAGGTTGAGGTATCACACCCCATTTTTTCTGGCAGTATGTGGATATCATTTCTGGAGTCCATGGCAGAGGTGGAAACATGTCTGTCTTGTTGTTAGAACCAGCTGGAAGAGTGAGCTCAGCACAAGCCTGAAAAGATGAAATATAAATCTTATTTTGACAAATTGAAACAAACAAAATTCTTGAATAGTTCAGTGGACAGGCAAAGCTTGGATTATATGTGCCATTTGTTTCCTGAACATGAGCAGGCAAGAAAGGTTCATTCTTTATAGAAAGTGATTCGAGAAGGAAACTTCACATGGAATAATCACTTAAAAAATCTGGTAAGGTCATGTCAGCTCATAAGCCAGCCATTCTTTACATGCATATCCAATTATGATTTCATCTGGTTTCTCAGAAAGTATCCTTGCATCCCTGAACAGAAAGAGATCCTGAATAGATGAAGCATCTTACACAACACAGTGATTCCATCAGAGTTTAAACTGGCAGCTTTAGAGATGGAGCATAGCACACATAATACTTAGCCGATGATCCTAACTAGTTCCTATATCCCATGGAAACCATGGTTCACCCTTTACACCCTAACATCATTATGCATATTCTCCATACTGTTCTCCATACATTTCCTAGGTTCTAACAAGGAGAATTTGTAAAACCATCATGCGCTTCATTAGTTGCTGATCATTTCCTTTATTCTCCTAGCTCAAACATTTGATTAAAGGGATTGATTGTAAAGAGAAATTAGAACTGTGGACAGGCAGGATATGCAACCCAATACCTGATAGTCCCATGCAAGGCTGTCTGGACCCAGGCCACACCCAGTGGGGTCTGCACATTCAATGTACTCTGTATCTGGATCCAGACAAGTCAGTGTACCATTAGTGCCATTGTAGACTAATGCTGTGACCTCAGCAAGGCCTTCAACCTTGGATGATGCACTTGCCATCATTTTACATGCCAAGTTCACAGGATGCCCAGGAAGTGGAGCCAGGAAGTCTGTAGGGTAAGGATAATCACCCATGGCTAGGGTTGTGAAAGAATTGCGAATCCAGCCTAACATGTGAGGAATCTAAAATGAAAACAAAAAATAAATAATTGGTGAAACAATATATGGAAGAGGGTCAGAAGGGAAGACATACAGTAAGAGTTAGGGAGACAGTTGAGCACCAATAATGATAATAATGACATTAATTAAAATCAGATGATAATACTACTACTACTACTACTAATAATAATAATAATTATGAAAATAGTACTACTACTAACTACTATTACTACTAATGATAATAAACAGCAACAATAACAACAATACTCGAATTCAGCAAAGGCACATCTACAAGGAAGCCCTAAATTCTACGATTTCCAGGTAAATTTTTTCACAAAAATCAAGCACAAACTCAAGCCACACGCTCAAACTCACAAAATCAAGCCATGTGTGACACCAGACTGAGAGATAGCAGGAGGACATGGAAGAGTGAGACTGGGTGAGAGAGGGAGGGAAACATAACCAAAGTGTCAGGAGTAAAGTAGCACTAGTCTAGGAGCATGACCAACATATCCGACCAGCCTGTGCCCAGACCTCTGCTGTTTCAGAGCACGCCAACAACACTGGACAACAACTGTTTTGGAGTGAGGTTAAGTTGATTGATTGTAATCCTCACTGGTACACTCCAAGGGTCGGAGAGACCTAAGACTTTACCCTAACAACATCAGCAGGAACAGAAGAATACAAAATCCTGAAGTGTGGATACCCATTATAAAAAAAACAAACAAACAAACAAACAAAAAAACACTACAACTGGAGAGCCATATGACGGCAGACTACCAAGGGAACAACTCACTAACATCAAGGATTGAAATGCGCCAATCACAGCAGTGGAAAAAAACAACCAATTACAGCGGTGCAGCCTGCTTTATAAAAAGACCCTAATCCAGTCAACCTTATCACCTGATGAAGACTAGCAGTATGCAGTCAAAACATCCTGATTTACATCATAAGTGATCACATTGAGAGACAAACAATAATACTTTATTATATTATAGCAATGATGTAGTAAATAGGCTAACAGATAGTTACAATGTAATAATAAAATCCTGCTTCCTATGACAAGTGTTATCATAGTTTTTGAGTGATGACCAAATAATCCTTACCTGTTCTGTTGACTTAAGTGGTTTGCAGAGTTTAAATATTTTTGAGAGTTCAGCAAGTCCTATAAAATGAAGAAAGAATTTCAAATAAATTCAAACTGAAATAGAACTCCACACCAGTTTCACTCCAAGTATAGAACATCATGAACTGTCATTTGTACATGCCATAATGTAGGATGTAACCAGCCCCTTGTCATATTTACCCATATAAATGACAGTCACTCACTCAGACAGCTTGTTCAAAAGGAGTCTGATTCACTTACTTAATGTACTCCTTAATACTAACCCTTTACACCCTAACATCAGTAAGAATATTCTCCATACTGTTCTCTATACATTTCCTGAAGCACTGACAAGCAGAATTTGTTGAAAAATCAAGAGCTTTATATGTAGATGGTCATTTCCTTGATTCCTGTGACCTTAATGTTTGATTCAGGGGTGATATAATTGTCAGGAGAAATTAGAAGCTGATCACTCTTAGGGGTTAAAGGGTTAAGGAAAAGAGGATGACACAGTAATGAGGCAATTTCCTCCTGCAATAGTGCGGCACACTCATCCCTCACAATGGGAGTATTACTTGTTCCCCAGTCCCTTACCTAATACCAACATTCCATGTTTTCAACTTAAATGCAGCAAAAGATGTAAACCCCATAATTTTCAAGATTTCTCCCTTGGAGTTCCTACTCATTTTCTTTTAAATTGTTAAGAGAGTTTAATATTAGGATAACACATTTGATATAACCTATTTTCAGGTTTTTACATTGTACATTAGATTTTGAGGGTTAAGCAACTCCATGGATTTCCTACAGATAACTCTGATTCATTTTACCTTCTGCACCTTGATTTTTCAGCATCTCAATCATTTCAAAAGCTGTAATAACATAACCTGGACAATTGGCATCAGCATGTAAAAAGTCCTTGGAAATAAATGACATAATTATATTACTAAAATCAACAATATAGACATAGAAACAAAAGTCTGGCCATGTTGCGATAATTTTGCAGTTATTGTTGAGAGTTTTTCTTTTGTTGATATCATTAAAAACAAACAGATATTTTAGATATCATCCAATAGGAGCAATAATGTCTAGAATTAAATCTAATAAAAACCTGGTTTTTTCATAATGTCCTCCATTACATTTCTCAGAAAGGAGAAAAATTACTGTGACTCTCAAGTCTTTTACTATTGACAAATGCTGACCTTTAACTCCCAGATCTCATTATTAATTCTCCTTACTATATGCTATACAATTCTTATGATGTTACTTTGAAGAATTTCATGTTGGACCAACTGATAGTCTCCTCTTTGATATTTTTCTTCAGTCTTATCACTTGTCTACTTGATATTGTATTAATATTGTAAGGAGACATTTTGTTTTGGTCACTCATGGAAGTTAAATGTTTAGTGAATTAATTGTTTCCCTGATGTTATGGAGAGGACGACTAATTATCAACCTGAACAAGAGATAAACCTGAAAAAATAGAAATGTCAAAAATAAAAAAATTACCATTACCTCTGTCACTGCAGTGAAGAAAAAGTCTCTTTCACTTCCACGGAAAGTGGTCATGTAAATTGGAGCACTGGCTGCCAAGGCAACATCTATCACATTAGGATATTTAAACCTCATGTAAGCACTCAGCATTCCACCATAACTGAAAACCAATCAAGGAAAAATTAATGATACAGAATATTTCTTAAACTAAATGTAACAAGTCTCAGTTCAATCCCTCTTCTTGGTCTCCAATCAGGACCTATATTTCCTTTGTGTGCACATTAAAAAATATCACATTTATGGTGCTGATCGTTTGTCAGCATATAATTTATTTGATTTACTCATCCTCTGACACAATTCAAAATAATTTGGAATTTGTACTCATCCCGGAAGCGTTCAAATATTCACATTTTGTATGGAAACAGACTGGAATCTTGTTATTGGAAAAGAGTTTAGACTCCTTGCTAAGATGTCTTTTGAAAGTCAAAAAAAAAGGAAAGAAAGTCAATAATTGGTCAAAGCTCTTTACAATCTTAGACATTGACGAGTTACTTGGAAACCAAATTATAACAATTATATTAATGTTGTAGTTTCTGTGAAGGTGATCTTAATTGCTGTAACTAATGTTAAGTTATTGCAATGTACCTGCCACCAAAAGCAACAACCTTACTCTCTGTGGCTTTAAACTGAATCTTAAGATCAGTCACTAGGACAGCATAGTCTGCAAGGGCTTGCTCTATTGAAAGGTAACCAACTTTATCATGATCAAATGAGGACGAACCAAATGGAAGGGAATCTCCATAGTATCTCTAAATAGGATGAAGACAGAGTACAACAAATTACAGCTGGAAATCAGAGCATCAAACATTTAACATTCACACAAAGTATCCTTGTGTACTCACATGTTCACCAAAAATAACCAAAGCATTGAACTTCTGAGCTGCTTCAAAAACAAAGCCTGAGTTTTCCCAGAAACCAGTTATTGGTCCTTCATTGCCAGTGTAAAAGAAAATTGGTCCTTTTTCATCCCAGTATTGATCTGTGAAAAAACATTCAGCACTAAGTTTAATAAATGACTAACACTGAAAGCTTTTCATGCTGTCACAAGTTGTATAAATCCTCATGTGAACTTGAAGATAAGTTTCAAGGCTGGTACTTCCAGGCATATGAAAGATAAAGTGAGAACTATGGAGGGTGGGTACAGCTGCTCATTTCTTTTCTTTACTTCAACGATTGCTTGTTTTTTCTCTTTCTTTACAAGCCAATAAGCACAACCATACGAATATAGGCTGAAGGCTAGTGAAATCAGGTGCAGATTGAAATGGTATTTCATGGATGCCCCCTTCTTAAAAAAAAAAACCAACAGCAGTAAAAAAAACTAAAATGTGACTAATGGTTACAACGTCCATTTAACAACGAATCCTTTGGCCCTGGGGAGGGGAGGGGGTCGTTAAAGCTTTAATGCTTCTGATTGAACTTCCATCACTTCTGTACCGCTTTAAATTAAATGACTCTGCTTCAAGAACTCAGCTTAGATATTCTCAGAAGCATTGCATATTTCTAAAATTCAACTGGGCCAAGCACTTTAAATCCATAGGGGAGAGTGGTGATTTATCGTTCCAAAAACTTACGTAATCTCACAGAAAGTGAACTTCAGAAATATACTTAAGAAAGCTTTAAAAAGGAGAGATAAAATTTAACCAGGCTCTGCGACAAAATGAACAACATCGTGCAGCTTCACCTCCAAAGCTCCATCCGTGTCAGAAATTATGGTGAGCGCCTTACCTGTATAGAGATATCGCTGTTTAAACGTGACCCTATTGGCTTGAACGAAGTTGAAATGATCGAGATCTTGCTCTAAATAAGCTGTCTTGTAAGGAATTGTAGCCCCCACAAGGACAAAAAGAGAGCAAACCACAAGAAGAAACTCCGAGCAGCCAGCCATCTTTGAGTTATTAAAGATAAACCTACACGTGAGGGTCTTGTGACAAGCTAACTGGCCTTGAAGAATGTCCGAGTCCGCGTGACCATTCAACCTGTCACGTTACGAAGACCGATAAAACATCACAGTAACACGGCGGATCATTTATTACATCGGAGAAGTATCCTAGTTGTCGAAGGAGAATATTCTCTATTCCAGCGCTTTTTCTACTGGTTAAAACTTGAAAGAAATACTGTAACAATTGCTTACTCCACTTTTTTTAGGAGCAAGGGGGAGTGGCAGGATGGGGAAGGGGGGGGAGGGGGGGGGGGCGTTACGGGACTAATGAGGCTGCCAAAGAAATTTTATCCAGAATTTCTGATTGTCTGTGGGTCAGATATCCAACCCTACCTCAGCACTCCTTCCCCATCCCTTCCACCCCAGCTTGCTTTATTGATCACATGAACTCATTCACGTGTGAAACAAACCCAAGGTGAAAACAGGTAGTATTAACCCTATACAAGGCAGTCCCGTGCTTCAGTCCCTATAATCACTCCGCTAAACAATTGAAAACTTTGAATCTTCTATGTGGTCATCGCTGTTAAATCAAGCAACCAGGATCAGTTTCCTTCCCACCTTCCCATAGGTCCCCCACAACCATTTTCGATATTTGACAATTGATAAGATGTTACCTAATCCAAAAAAAAAAAAGGAAAGAAATGAAAAAAACGCAGTCTTGGAGTTAGAAGAGAAAACCAAACAAAAATGAAATAATTGCACATTCTGTACCACTTTTTGTCAAAATGTCTTCACATCAGGAGAAAAAAAAGTTGAAAAAAAGGAATGAATTTTTCTGAACATGTATTTTACCATCAAATGGCCATTTTTGAGGGTTGGTTTCACTGAAGCAAAAGAGATTCCTGACAACTTATTGAGGTATGTTCACCATTTAACATTTAAAACTCTGAACTGATATCCCTCCTAAAAAGGGAGGAACTTATGAAATCACATGGCTTAGAAAGACCAACCCTTCTCTTCCCTTCCAATTTCAAAATTCTTTATCACTAATATTTTAAGAATATCATAAAAACCCAGCCCCTCTCAACTTATGGGCAGAACATGTTTCCAGATATGGTTAACAATAAAGTTTGAAGCTAGAGATCCACGAACTACAACCACAGTTGTTAAAAAAGTACTTTATTTCTAAAAAGAACTTTAATGGTATGAAATGTAATGAATATAGGGAAATTGAATCCTCCTTTGTACTCTCAAAGTGTGTGAGCATTGGAGCTGCAAGCCATAGAGCCATAGATAAAAGTTGCAAAACTGTAACTTTTCTTCTTCAAGACAAAATGAAATTATTTACAAAATCTAGAGTTCTACTGATTTGAAACTCAAATGTCAAAACATAGGGTCAGAATTTTAAGTGGCCAAATTATCTATATTTTGCAACAAGTCATATTGTGATAATGTGGAAAAGGAGCCAGACTGCAATGAGTTAAGAATGCCCCACAAAAATCTACCAAAGGATGTCTTACCTATTATCATATGTAACAAGAAAACAAGGTCCTATCTTAACCCTTCAAGTCCGAGAAGAGACCAAAATGCAATTTCTCTTTACAATATCAATACAATATTGATCTTGAGAGTAAAAAGGTAAAAAATATGTTTGCATTGTTCCATTGAAAAGATGGAAACAAAGAATTCACTTAACTATGTAGCCTTGGTCAATCTAACTTAAAACTTTGCAGTTTCAACATACAGCTGTAAAATGCTTGAGAAATTTCTTTTCTTACTGTTTTTCTTGACTACATATGTTGATTAAAATTCATCTGCACTAAACATTAACTGAAATAGAAAATGTATTTCATAGAAAGGGTCTTCAGTTAAAATTCTCTTTTAACCATCATAAATGAAACATGATCTTTAGTTTGTGACCTAACTTGAGTATAGAGATCATATCATGAATATCAGTGCAAGAACAATCAAACACCATTAATACAAGTGTATCTTCAACCTGAGTTTCAACCAAGCACATGACACTCACTGGACACCTGAGTGCATGTAACAAGACATTTAATAAATAGCAGTAACTATTACACCTTTCTTTCTAAAAGATGAGTCAATTAAGACAGGAAGGTCTTTCTCAAAGTCTCTCCTCTAACTGAATTGTACAGCCACTTGGCCATGAAAGGTCTGGGTACTAGACTAGGCATTTCCTATTTTATCAAATCAGCAAAATGAGGTGAAGTATGCTTAGCACACAAAGCCTGGGTGTTTTTCTCTGATACTGATTACCACTGAGCTATGAAATAAATGAAGTATCAGTTGAATTTTTCTTACTTTTCAATCCTAGAAAATTGACTAAAGTTAATGAAAAAAAAGTATAGGCAGTCCACACTCCTTTTTCTTCCTTTTTCCAGGCTTTGTAGTTAAGCATTTTGATTTTGACATATATATACTATCCGATAAGAATGGTTGAACCCATACTTGGGAGAGCTCAACAGTATTTGTCACAGAGAAAGGGCTTGCGCAAAGTTCCTTCTTTCAAGAAATGTGATGTAATTACAACTTACATGGCAAGGTTGAAACAGAACATATCAACAAGATTCTCTTCCCTGCCACTTGTTCAAGCCATTTCAATCTTTCATTGCCATGTCTCCCTGCAAAGTAAGCCACTGATTTCAAGAGCTACGGGGTGAACCACATAGCCACACTTGCAGACCACATTGGTGCCACAGATTAGGTAGAGGTTGAAGCCCTTAAGTCTAAGTAAGAACACCTCAAGTTTTTTGCACAGGATTCCCATAGCCAGGGAATACTCCGACTGAGTGGTTCCTTTCATTACTCAAAGTAATGTTTCCAAACCTGGTGAAGTTGTCTGCTGTAGCCCAGAGCCTGTCTGTGACTAATGCTTGGCCAGAAAGAGGCCCAAGCGATTTGAAGTGGATAAAGACAAGACTTCAAAATTCATTGAAAGATGACATGCTTGACTCCTTGTTACAAATTTCCATCAATGGGCCCCTGTATCAAAAGCAAAAGATGTAATAGAACAAGCTGTTAGACTCGGTTGCCAATTATGCACATGAAACAATCAATTTTATAATTATACTATAAAGGTATCAGTTATGGTATCCAGTCAAGTCGCTGATGGTTCAACTCACCAACGCCAACTCACCGATGTATAAAATCGAGTAAAGACATCAGCGAGTTGGTCTTCAATCCAATACAACTTATTAGAAGTTAAACATATAGAAAAGTAAAAGATCTTTCGCATAAAACTTTTATTAAACAAAGTTTTTAGGGATCTTATGGTGAATAAAGCAAGGCACACATCGTCAATGAATACGAAAGCTTCAGACGCGAACAAGTTATTGTATGACAACACAACAACCCTGTTAAGACTCATCATATCAATCGGTCAGATTTTTTGGAAAAAACTTGGCTTTCTTTCTTAAAAACAATTCTATTTATTTCCAACAAAGGTTATAAGGATCTCAAGGCGAATAAAACAAGGTAAACATTGCCAATGACCAAAAAAGCTTTAGACACGAACCCATTATTGTGTGACAACACTGTAAAGATATAACATGTCAATCAGTCAGATTTTTTTTAAAAAGCTTGGCTTTCCTGACAAGATCTTTGGTATTATCTTTTATTATGACAGTGCAGACAATAGCTCGTTTGCGTCTGAAGCTTTCGTAGTCATTGGCAATGTTTTCCTTGCTTTATTCACCATGAGATCCATATAAACTTTGTTGGAAAAAAATTGTTTTTTTACTAAAGATCTTTTACTTTTCTATATGTTTAACTTCTAATAAGTTGTATTGGATTGAAGACCAACTCTTTAATGTAATTCTCAGTTATAAGAGGAATGTATCAATTCACACATGCCAATGCAGAATTCCACAAAAATGACAACTTGTTAACTTTGAGACAAGGCAAAACCACTCGACACTTAACACCATGTTCTTCATCACTTTCATAATAATGTCTAATAATTGTTTTTGCCCTATTTTATTTTCATCACTTTTTGATTGAGAGAGTTAAAAAAATGTGCCTCAGAGTGCAGGAAAATGCATTTCCGAGGGTCTAATTTTTAAAAATTTTCTGGCGGAGCATGCCCCCAGACCCCCCTAGGGGCTCAGGCCCTACGGGCCTTCGTTCACACCCTTTGGCCATGTATTCACATCTTACTTAGACCTTGGGTTTTACACCTGCTCCTTACACCTGAATAAACTCTCTCCACAAATTTATCAAAGTGGAATCAACTACTTACACTGATCTTCCAAATGTCTTTGTGCTAAAATACTTTCACAGTTTTCATTTCCTCCACCAAAGATATTTACTTCAAGGCTAATTGCAGTTGATGACATGTTTGTTACCAAAGCATCAACCAGTCCATGTATCCAGTCTTCATACAAGTTATTCCAGTTACTGAGTGTAAGGTTCAGGGTAACAACCGATGTGTTCTTTGCCAGACCATCAGCCAGAACACCTGTCAAATCTCCTCTCGTTTCACTGTAATTGTTAACTGTAAGGCTCAGCGTAGTCAATGACATGTTTTTCCCCAAACCATCACCCAGACCACGTGTCCACTCTCCTTCCATTTCACTGTAATTGTTGACTGTAACGCTCAGCTTAGTCAATGATGTGTTTTTCCCCAAACCATCACCCAGACCACGTGTCAAATCTCCTTCCATGTGACTGTAATTGTTGACTGTAAGGCTCAGCGTAGTCAATGACGTGTTTTCCCCCAAACCATAACCCAGACCACAAGTCAAATCTCCTTCCATGTGACTGTAATTGTTGACTGTAAGGCTCAGCATAGTCAATGACGTGTTTTTCCTCAAACCATCACCCAGACCACGTGTCAACTCTCCTTCCATTTCACTGTAATTGTTGACTGTAACGCTCAGCGTAGTCAATGATGTGTTTTCCCCCAAACCATAAGCCAGACCACATGTCAAATCTCCTTGCATGTAATTGTAATTGTTGACTGTAAGGCTCAGCGTAGTCAATGATGTGTTTTCCCCCAAACCATCACCCAGAGCATCTCTCTTTTTAAGAAAGTAAATGTTATTGAATACAAGGTTCAATGTGGTTACACACTCATTTTTTGCCAAACCCTCAAAGAGGTTGCATTTCCAGTCTTCACTGATGCTGCCAGGGTTGTTTATGCTCACATTAAGCTTTGTTACACAACCATCCTTAACTTTGGCAAATACCGGTGTAATTGGTGAAGAATCATCTGTAGATAAACAAACCTCTCTGCAAATCTTGTTGTCTGAATTAAAGGAATGAACATTAAACGCAAAAAAGTATATCTGGTTGCTTGATAGCCTTTGAAGAGTGTTCTTTCCGTCTCCCATCACCTCCCCCCAAATGTCAATACTCAGGTAAGACAAGGTGTCGAGTTTGTTAAAATGCCTAAAAAGACAGTCAGCAACGCTATCAGTTATTCTTCCGTTCATATTCAAATTGACACATGAAGCCGATGAAGCTATGAGGAGTGTACATAGATCAGTTGCTCCACTGCAATCTAACTCTCCCCAAATGTTGACAGTTACTGAATGTAGTTTTGAAGCTGAAATGTTTCCTTTCAGGACTGGGCAAAGGAAAGCTAACTGTGAATTTCCAACCATGCCAGTAACATTTGGATACACTGTAAAGGTTGTGGTTGACTTTATTGCAGACTGTAGAGTCCCACAAATATTCGCCCAATTTGTAGGAAGCTCACCAAACACTTTTAATTGCAGAGACTCCAAAGATGTGTTTCCTAAAAAGCCTTCTTTTAACAAACTCAAACCACTGTAGCTGAGTTTTCCACAAAAAATTAGTGCAAGGGACTTCACAGAAGAATTTGCCACAAGTCCTTCACTAACAGAAGTTGCTAATGAATCACGCATTTTTCCACCAACAGCAAGGCTTTGAGATGTAAGTGATCTGTTCAATAAAATCTTTCTTAAAAGTTCTGCTTCAGTTTCTGTCCATGGACCAAAAGTCTTGAGTACAATGGAAGTCAATGGCGTATCTGCAGATAGTCCTTTGTCAAGTATGGCAACGTAATCCTCTAAAATCTTACAAGGCAGTTGGAAACTTACGGTCGTCAAGGTCTTATTTGCAGCCAAGCTGTCACTGATAGCATCAACTTCTACTGAGGAAATATTGGAACAAGTAACCTCAAGAGTAAAGGAATATGCAGTTGAGTCCACTCTGAGTACTCTACACAAAAGAGTTGCAATCTCCTCTGTCATATACATAACAGAAAAGGAAAGTGTTTGTAGCCTTGTGTTGAATGCCATGAAATCAACTAGTAGGTCACTATTTACATTGGCCCAAATGTTATAATCCAAATTTCTTATTGCTAGATGAACAGGAAGCTGTAACTGCGAAAAACTTGTGCAGGCATTCAAAATAATGAACCACTCTGTTGTTAAAGCCTCATCTGATAAGTCAATAGTTACAGTCTGTGGAAACGGAATAAAGGAACAAAGAGCCATTGCCACTTCTTCATAATTTCTACTCTCACTGAAACATTCATGAAAGAAAGTGGCCCCTTCCTCAGAGCACTTGCACCAGTCCCAGTTTTCATACTTTAGCTTCTTGCCAATCTGTTCAAAAAGAAGACCAGCTTCCCCGCCCAGAATACCTGACATAAAAACAAACACTTGTCTGTACCTCTTTACCAAATCCTCGTAAAAGTCCAACTCAGAAAAATCAACCATTTGTTTCAAAAGCATATGTGCTAGATAAAATGCAGCCAGATACTCTTGAAATGTCTTGTGAAAGAAGAAATACTCATGCTGTGGGTTTATCTTCCTTAGGCTGGCTTCCTTGAACACAAGACCAAGTTTGCGAGCTGCAAGACTCTCATGTCTAGATTCAAATTCTACCAACTCTTCCTCACGAAATGAAAATCGATCTTCTTTCAAGCATCTCCAAGCTAACTCTCCAAGAACCAGCAAACTGTCTTCAAAGTGCCTTGTTAGAGCTTCGTCATCAGCAGGAGCCTCCAGGTTGTGCTTGGCACAATATCTTCGTAAAAGGCAACAAAGAATTATCTGGTAAAGTTCAGTGTGATAAGATGGCAGTTCTCCCTTGTGGTCCTCAAACACAATGCAAAGGAGTAACAAATTCAGTGGATTGTTCCATAGTGCATCAAGGAAAGAGTTTGTTTGCATTTCTGTGATGAGCCTCTCTCCATTTGACACATTCTCAGGACCTGTATTCTTAAAATGCTTCCTTATATAACTAAAAGCATCTTCTTGTGTAAAGCCTTCAATTTGTAAAAGCATATCAAAGTTCACCTTTTTTCGCACGACAATTCCTTTTTCCTGGCCTGAAGTGGCTAAGACATAGCAAAATGGAAAAATCTTTTTTTGAAGCAATTTATCCACACAACTTTCTGACATCTCAGGTAACTCATCAAGACCATCCAGAATTATTAAAACTTTTTCTTGGTTATGGAAATCTTCAATATAATCAATAAGCTCTTTCTTGATAGCTTCTGCATTCTTCTTACTTTCAGTTAATAGTTGTGTATCAATAGCATCTACTATGTCTCCATGAATATCATGGCATTTGAGCAATAAAACTACTTCAAATTGAGGAAAGGAATCCACCTTTGAAGTTGCCTTATTAGCCCAATCATGGGCAATTTTAAGACAAAAAGTTGTCTTGCCTACTCCAGGGCTCCCTTCTACTAGCACAAGATTGTTATCTCCACTTTTAAAAATTTCAGACATGTTCACTTCATTGTTTTCTAGCAAGAAATCTTGTTTTCTTCTGCACAAAATTTTCAATCTTGTGTAAACGTCTTCCAAAGGCAACTGAATGGTATTATCCCAGAGGAGTGGTTTCAACTGAGATCGCCTGTTGTACTCATTTTTCAGAAGTTGGCGAATGATGGCAAGGCAGTTACCTAAAACCAAAGAAGAATTTTTTTTAAAACAACTCTTACTAAAGCATGTTAAGTCCTTGTATGTTTGAAAATTTAAAATAACATTTAAATCTTCAAAGAATCAAGAGTAAGGCTTTGCCATGCATGAGAATGACATTCTCCATAATGTGGTTTTTTAAAAGCCATTTAAAAATTCAAGATTGAAGAATACTTCCCAAGACACTCTGAGAAGGACTATATAACAGAGCACTCCAGTGAAGAGAAAGGCAAACAATTTGAACCCAGGAGTAACAGTTGACCACATAAAATGATTGTCTATGTAATTATTAACTGTTTTGAGGAATATTACCCACAGGTGGAAATTCATGTCTGTGCTAAATCAGTTTGAATTTGTTTATTAATCATAACTGTGAATTGTAAAAAATAAGAGTGTGCAGAGCATCTCATAATTTTCTTGTGACAGTCAAAGAGATTGACAAACAAACATAAATTTAGATCTGGTGGGAAAACCTGCAGGCCCTATTTGAGCTAATGATTTACACTAGCAACACCTGGTACAGCAAGCTCACTATAATTGCCAGAAATCAATGATTATTGAGAATTAATCCTAATCTTGTATTTAGGTAATGCAATTTAGTAATCAAGCCATCTGTCTACTGTTGTGTAACTGTCCACAAGAGTTTTTCAACAAATATAATCTGGTGGTCAAAACTGGATGTGCCAATAGGTAAACTTGATGTCTTATTTAACTGAACAGGAAGATAAATCTACACAGAGGGAAAAACAAGGAGATCGTCTCCAAAAATGCCTGTAAAATATCAACCTATTAACACTTTTGTTTTCATGGAGGTTGCTGCAAAACATGTCTTATAGATTACTACTCTTATTATTATTATTATTATTTTGTCAATTAGGTAAGAAGGAATGGAGTTGAATTGAAGTGCATTTGAAAGGTTTTTAAAATCTTGTTTCACACCAGAGGTTGTTTTTCTTTTTATCTTGAAAATTCTATCTACCAATGTATAAATGAGACCTTTTTTATACTTGAAACGGATAAAACTATAAAAGAAATTTATCAGAAGCCAGTGTATGCATTCTTGTGGTGGCAAACATATGTTCTTTTCCAAGTTGTAAGCAAAAATGTTCCACTGAGTGCTTTCAGATACTAGACTCAGCCAAAACAATTTATTATCAAAAATTTAAACATTTTACATTTGCTTGCAACCAGACTTAATATTCAGTTGCAACATAATTGTACTTTTTTGTTTGTTTAGCTTTCTTTCCAGGTACTACATTTGTGTGCAGTAGCTATTGCCTAATTCAACTATTGTAACAGTACTAATTTCAAATATTGTATTTGTTTGAAACTTGTTACATATTTGCATGCAACCTGTCACAACAAAGTCAACCGTTTAACAATTAAACTAATGATGGCTTGAGTCATGCTGAAATGTTTTTAAAACGTTTCCTCATGAATCTGAGTTTTACTACATTATTCAAATTGTTATTATGAAGGTTAATGTTAACTCTAATTTTGCATTTAGGTAATGCAACTTAGAAATCAAGCAATTTGTTTACCATTGTACAACTGTCTACAATAATTTTTCAACAAAAATAGTCTGGTGGTCAAAACTGGTTATGTCAATTGATTGGTAAACTTGATGTCCCATTTAACTGAACAGAAAGATGCATCTACACAGAGGGGGTAACAAGGCGTTTGTCTCCAAAAATGCCTGATAAGCACCAACCTGTATTGATGCTTTTGTTTTCATGAGCTAGAGATGAAAGAAGGATTTTGGATTGCATTTTTCACCTCATGCCCTCACAATTTACCTTCACAGTAGTCATGAATAGCCAACTCTTTCCTGTGTCGCTTGCGAGACTGATCCGCACTGACAGATGCTGGTCTCTTATCCGTCCCTGGTATAGTTACCTTATTTTCTAAACAAACTAGATGTAATAGTAATTACGAAGATATTGTGCCATAGTAATCATTAGCAACAACTGCCAACAGTATGCATTGGCAAGTAGATCATGATTGTAGTAGCAGCAGTGAAGGAATCACATATATCATTGGAATATACTGAACTTCTTAATATGTAAAAGAAGTTCCCATAGATTTGATAAATTTGAAATTTTTTATTGGTAAAATCAAGTAAGATCCTCATGTAATAACTTTTCAAATCAGATTCTATAGTTTCCTTCTCTTACTTGAAATAACTCTTTGTTTGAAGAAAAAAGTTGTTACAAATCATAAATGCAACTACTGCAAAAAAGTAATTCATACTCATAAAACGGGACCAGAAAATAGAAAGAAAAAGTTCTCTGGGGTGAATATCACAAGACCTGAAATGGGTAAACAAAACATACAGTACATGTATAAGGACAGAGGTCTATCCACATCACAGATAAAGCAAAACAGTCAGCTCTGCGAGCTTTTATAAAATGGCAATTCCTATGTACATGTAAATGTACAGCCTGTAGCTGTATAGGACTAAAATACAGTTGTAGAATGCACTCGGTTATAGTATTTGAAATATCTTGTTTGCAAAATTTATGGATAGGCCAATTTTTAAATGTGTTATGTTCTGAGCCTTACCTTGCAAGGGCTGAAGGCTAACATAGTGTACTTCATGGACATGTCCCAGTACAAGATGCCTGCTTTGGTCAAATGGACAATCTGGCTTGATAATTACCTCACTATGGCCTGGAAAACTAGTAATCACATGAATGGCTATTTGATAACAGTTTGCTGCAGCCCAGAGAATCACATGATCACCCCAAGTGCCATCTTGTTCCATGTCTGCTAAGTAACCAACCCATGTTGTATGTCTATCAACAAAATGAAACAAATCTGTTCCATCCACCTTTAGAAGAGAGTCCAACAAGATAACATGAAATATTAGTAGTAATAGAGCATTTGGTCTAGTAATGACTCAATATGGTAATAATTTTATATAATTATAAATATCACCTTCAAAAGTATTCAAAGATAGTTTCAACTCTATAGTTGCAATAAGCTTAACAGTCTTTAATAGTACTCGCTGTGTGTTATATTGAGTAATTTTTTACAACATCATGATATCTTATCTCAAAAATTATACTAGCCAAAAAGATTAATTTAAATGAATAATTATAAACAAGTTCATCAGCATTATACTTCCCATGGCTGTTCTAAAGTAACATAGCAATAAGTTACAACAAGAAAGAAAGATATTGTAACGATGCAAAGACAAGTTGTCTTTTTTAATCATGTCAACTTCAACTTCATGTATCACACACACTGATTTTTTTCCTGATCAAAGTCTTCAGAATGTTTTAATAACAATTCATTTGTAGTATCTGTTCTACACATTACATATACCAAATACTCACCTGTTTTGGGTGCTCTCTTAGATACTGAACTAAGGAATGCCTTAAGTCAAAATGATGGATCTTTACTCCTTTGACAATCTCCAGTTGCTCTGACAAGGCATAGAACATACAATTTCCTGACCCTTGATTGTCAGAAATTCTATAGCCTTTTCCTGAAGCAATCTTCTTTAAGTCTGAGAGTGGGTCTGTGTTGCTGCTGATCTTATATCTACCGGCATCCTGTTGCCACTGTTGAAGATTATGGATGACTTGTTCATTCCCACCTAAAAGAAAAACAATTTAATGATCATTACTTTATTCTTAAACATGTAAATGACCGGTTGCTGACAATATCATGGCATATGGCTTAAGATGAAATCAGAAACAAATATGTGGGTTGGGGATTGAGTATTTGGGAGCAGAGGGAACAACAGTTCTCAAAGCTTAGGATATTTTTCAAGAATTTGTTGCGAAATTATACTGAGTATACCTAAACTTTATTTAAAAGTTCTGGCAAAGGGCCAAAGCTCAAAATGTCAGCTTTAAAACTCTTTATGGTGGCCATTCTTACATTATCAACTCAGTTGATCCTGCTAAATTACCCTAAATTAGGATTTGCTTGTTTTAAGCATCATTCACACTAAAAACTTGGCATGGAACTCTGACACTGTTATTCGCATCCTTTGTTTTTGTTTTGTTTTTTTTAAATCTTAGTCAATCTAAAATCTAAAAAAGACACCAAATGGGTTGACCATGCTTGTTCAACTTGCAACAGTACCTGCTTTATGTCTGGAGTAAAATAACTACACATTGAAGTATTTCCCATGCAAATGCACTTTACCAAGTACACATTTCAAAACTCTGCAACACTGTTCCTAATCTTATGGGTAAGATTGTTACATAACAATTAAGTTCAACTCTCCCTGAATATTTAAAATTTTTGACTATTTGTTTGATTTACGTCTATAAAAAATTTATGGTTATCATAGGTCCAAGTTGACCTAAGGCTGATTCAACTTTTTACCAGTATTTTACCTGGTTTATCAGTTATTAGATAAGTTAAGGCTAAAACATTTAAATTTAAGTTAATTTACCAAAGACAAGACTCTTCATCTTTATCACAAGACTCTTACAAGGCTCCTCCCAGCTATACTTCTTCATGTACTTTTTACGTAGAGATCTTGACTCTGAAAGTCGCACTTCTCTATCTTTCTGACGGACACGCTTGATTTCTCTAGCCCAGTCTTTAGGATCTTCAGAGTCTACCACACTCTGTGGGCCAAAAGGAACTTCCTTCAGAGCTTCTCCAAGTCCTGAATTACCACTGACAAGTACAGGAAGACCAGCAGATAACGCTTGCAGAGCCGTTATTCCAAAACCTTCTGTCCTGGATGGCATTATTGCAAGATCCACTTCACAGAATAAGTCAGCCAGCACCTCTCTGCTATCATCAAAGCTGCGAACAATAAGCTGATTAGGACTAATACCACAGTGGAGCAATTTTTTTGCTACAATAACTCCTTTACCTCCAGCTGGGCAGACAAATTTGAGTTTGTAGGATTCATCTTTCAACTCAGCAATTGCTCTGGCAGCTATATCGTACCCTTTGACATTGGAATCTTCGCAGCTGTCACCACTTCCAATTACAAGAATACAGAATGTTCCTCTTTCTTCAGTGGCTTGCTCTACTTCCAAAAATTCAGAGAAAATGCCTGGAGTGAGGTCAAAAACTTTTTTTTCTTGTTTAGCTCCACAAAGGTGACGCTTGTAAACTTCTGCCAGCTTGGGTCCAATTGTGATAACTTGGTCAGCCATTTTACAGAGTTGGATTTCTGTTTTTTGCATTTTTTCACCTTCTGAAATGTTTTTGTACATTCCATCTTCTTCAAGAGCAGAGTGAACAACTTGAATCCATTTGCAAAGACTGTAATTAGGATTTTTCTTGAGGAGTGGAATTAGTTGGCCAAGGTGAACGCCATGACTAATGACACAGTCCATTGTATGGTTTATTGGAGGAGATGACAGGCAAAGAACTGGCTCTACACCAGGAGTTTTATCTGCTTCAATGAGCTTCACATTATGACTTTCAGCACTGCTCCTGTCCTCTCCATTGCAATTTGGAAGCAAGATACTAACATCCACATTAGGGTGTTTAGCTAACTGGATGGCCAGCTCTCGGTTGATAGTTGACAAGTCCCCATCAGTTGATGATCTCCACTCACTACTTAGCAAAGTGACTTTCAGTGTCCTACTTTCCTGGTCTTCCTGTGATGTAGAGGCTACACTAGGAATGGTGGAATCCTACAACAACAAAACAAGAATGGTATTGACAATAAGCTGTAAAACAATAATAAATCACAATCATAATGGATGTCCACTCAATATGTCAAGTCAATTCTTTTGTAAACTTGCAGTTGAGTTTTATCCTATGCCAAAGAGTCAGATACATGTAGATTGAGACAAAGTTAAACCAGGAAAATGTTAAGTTGCTTCAGAAATCTACACTGATAACAACCATTTCAGTTACAAGGAAAGTGAAAATTATCCTTTAAGGGTCTTCCTCTTCAACTCACTTTGAAATTGGTACGTGTAGTTTCATTGCAGACATTTAGGTGAAAAAATAAGAGGATAAATTAATGTTTTTGTCAAAATCAAAGTTTGGTATTTGTAACAGATTTAGATCCCTCTTACTACCTTTTGTAGCCTTGACATCGCAGGAAGCTTTTAATTTTGAAAAATTATGCTGGAAAAAAACAATACAAAATGTGAGTTCACTGAGTCTATTTAATAAGCGTTCCATTTCTTCTTAGAGTGTTGTTGAGACCACTTAAGCAGTACCAGAGGCTAACTTGACCTTTTTGGGAAGCCTTCATTTTCTCATATATTTAAGATCATTGTTTAAGTTTCCTTTTTGTAAAATGTGACAATTGGAAAACAGTCTGTTATCAAAATGAGAAGTTTTTTTTCCAAGGACAAATCTTGCAGCAAATAGAGATAAGATCCTTGTCTAATGGTGTTTGCTGTTCACTGGGTATTTCCTTTAGATGACATTTCTGACACATCCATTTCCTAGTAAGTAACAATGTGATAATGAAAAACAAAGTGCTATCTTATCATGGATTGAACTCAGGAAAGAGCTCTACAGTAGCTGACTACTTACACTTTCCAAGCAACGAAAACACAAATACATTTTTTTTAGCCTTTTATTCTGAGAATTTTGATGAAATCTCCAATTTTGGAAACACATCACAACCATAAGCTAGAGAATAACCACAGATTTTGTGTTGTCACACCGTGTTAGATTGAAAGTTGTTAATTCCCACATCATGTCATATTTTTGTGGTTCCTGGTGGCGAGGAACATTTACAACATAGTATACCATGGTCTGAGAAAATTTTCTGAATGAGAAGGTATGGGATTGTAAAATTGTCAAATTGAATATTACTTGGCAGACTTCTCTGAAAATCTTTATCACCATCTTTGTGCATGTGCCAAACCATTTTGAGTGGTATTAAAAATTGGCTTGGATTTAGAGAAGATTTTTCTCCAAGATGGCCTTTTAAACACACACCTTCATTCCATGAAATTTCACAAATTCCATGGCACTGAGCAAACTAAAAGTCTTTTTCCCAGATTATGTGTAGAATCATACATCCCATATAACAATTTCAAGTCATTCCAACAAATATGTCAGTAAATATTTCTTTCAATGGTTTGAGACAAAATTTACTGAATTTAGTGTCCAGTCCCATCTTGATTTGGTATTGAAAATGTACCTTAAAGTAGGCACTGTAAAATGAATTATTTCCTCTCAAAAAAAGACAATTAAAAACAGTTTTAATGATATCAGAACATACCAATAGCAAGTCATCTGACCACCACCCTCTTCATACATCCTAAACAGATAGAGAAAACAGAAGAAAGAATAAAGTGTTTAACCCTTTAACTTCCAACATGTGATTGTTAATTCTTCCCTGTAGCTACTATACATTTCCTTGCAAATTGGTGACAAGAATTTGGTGTTAGATTAAGACAACAGTTTCTACCTGATAAGATTGAGTATTCTTGTTACCTGTTTGCTGGATAATATGTGCATTATATTGGGAGAAGTTACAAGTTAATCACTTCTGGGAGTTAAAGGGTTAAGCAATTGCAGAGATCAAAATTCTTCTACAGGATTCTACTGAAGGCGACAAAAGACAATCTCAATATATTTTTTAAAACCAAAACATAGTTCAAATTGTAGTTTAAAAGTTTTTCAAGTCTAAAAAACAATTACCAATTGTAATTGAATTGTTGGATCCACAAATAATTTTTTTGAAAAACAAAAAAATAATTTGTGATCAAATAATTTTTGTCAGGAAATCCAGAAAAATGTTTGAAATTGATGTTGCATCACTTCCTGCAGAGTATACTCTGAATGAACTTGAGTTCTTCCTTGCAACCTATACTGACTGAGCCTTCTTTTCAAAGTATTCACTTTGATAGAAATACCATGATATTTTACCAAAACACAGATGGTCAAAATCCTCTTTTGAAGCAATGCTCTATGCCAAATTTCTCATCTGCTGAATTATCTACCTCTCTTTAGTGTGTCATTATTCCTTATTATCCAATTCTCTTCCACATTTATGACAGAAAAACAAACTGAATATTCCTTCGCCTGTTTCTCACAAAAGCTATGACACCCTTAACTGTTGTTCAAATGGTTACTCCCTGAGGGGACATGACCTTTCTAATAGTGCTCTGGTTCCAAAAAAGATACATGAAAGACTTGCCTAAATATTGCGGTGCTGTGGTAAAGAACACTGTTTGCTACTATGAATAAGAAGTTGGACATTCAAGTCTCTGCTTCTTATGTTCACCTTATGCATACTAATTTTGTTTATACTTAGAAGTTACAATATATATCATTTTCTATTTTCAAATTTAATTTATCTTCCTGTAACATGTAATTTTCCTTTTCTCTTCACACAACCCCACAAGATTGTAGCTTAAAATATTATCATTTATAAATAGAGGTCATCTATCTATCTACCTATCTATCTCATGCTTGTCCATCATTTTGAACTGCAGCAAAGTCAGTAATGCATCAATCAATTTGAAGTTTCAACATCCCTTCCACCCTTCTGACACCCCCTGAGCATTTGAAAACTTCTTACTGTTAAACACCTCCATATCAATTAAAAAACATGTCTATTTTGCTGGAAAGATTTAATGGTTCTAGTTCAAATTCCTCAACCCACCCAGACAAGATTCAAATTCCCCATCTCTCCAGGAGAGAAAAAAAAACCCTTTTTGGCCTGTTTTAGCTCAACAAGAAACTGAGAATCTACTTTATACCAACCAACCCAATGACATAATAGCATTCTAAAACTCATGACCTTAATGTGTGATTCAGGGGTGATATTGTAAGGAGAATTTAGATGTTAGTCACTCTTAGGGGTTCAAGAGTTAAAGCAGGAAGAGAGAAAGGACCCTAGAAACAAGGTTGGGTCTTTCATTTCTGTAAAGGGATCTAATTACAATTTTTGACAAGATGTTTGATTTGAGATATTTTGGTTTGAATGTAATCTAAGAATTATGTTTGTTAGTGTAAGTCAGAGATTTATCACCTAAAAAAACACTGAGCAAAACCTTCAAAGGTGAAACGGAAGCAAGGGAACAGGAGGGAAACAAAGGGGCGTTCCATTGTTTCCATTTCACCTTCATGGGGGAGGAGGATATGGCTCACAGTATGTTTAAAATGAAATGCAAATATAAAATTTGAAATACATTTCTTATGCATGGATTCATTGTTTAGAGACAATGGAGATACAATTGGAGCAATCACTATTGTTTGAAAGTGATGAAAGTCTTTTCTTTTTTGTTTGCACATCAAAAGAGTGTGAAGTGTTTATCTGTAAGCTTATACCAACCATGCAATTGGAAGCAATCCTTAATCTGCTGCATTTTAGTCTTAACACAAATTAAAAACCCCACATTTTAAAGGTAATTTAATTTTACATCTGACCAATTTGAAAACAATACAGCCTAAAATAAGATAGTGCTACTCATGACCCATGAGATTACTCATCTATTCTTCTTTGATGAATAGCCCTACGTTTCGCTTGTCTGAGTGGGGGATTACATGATTGGCAGTCAGATTGACAGGCCTGCGTGAAGTTACCCATACTCTTTTTCTAGCTTATTTGCATTTTCCCATGTGACGTTTTTCAATGAGCAAGATTCCATAATGTACTAAGCATTTCAATAGACCTTTTTACAGTTACCAGTGCCATATTGGATTAGTAACTGCACACACATGATAATGAGGCTGGGGTTGACCCGGCGGTTCTTTCAAACAGCTGATCTGCTGACATTTCACGTTCTAATGCACTTTTCAATGCGATTTCTCCCTTCAAAATGGTTCTTTACTACAACAATATGGAAATTTGGTCATTAGATGATATCCAGAAACTCGAAGCTAAAGATCTCAGGGAGATTTAGAAATCTAATTCAAAATCGACGGGCGGAATTAGAGCCGACTTAGTGTCGAAAGTTTATGCTTTGCTGATGTGACACATCCTTCCATCAAGTGATGGAGAAAACCAAGAACTTCTTACAGATGTCCAGGACCTAGAACAAAACCAGAGCAACTTCAAATACGAAGCAACTATGGTAAATATTATCAAAATAACTAACCAAAATATTAGGATGGTCAAGCAATCTCCGTAATTTACCTGAGATTAATTTCATTCAGCTTTATGATTACCCCGTTGTTTCACGAGAATATCACCACATCGTGTTAAGAGGAATGCATCACAGGAAGTACCACAGAAGTTGTTCAGTATGGCTTAGAAAGCAAGGCAAAGGCTATAGCCCGTTAGGTAGAGGAGATTTGTTATTGCTGCTGTTGTTGACATGGTACTTGTTGTTGTACTATATTCTTCAATTAAAGTTATTCCCATTTTGTTTACCAAGATGTATTTTAGTTTGCCATTTGTACATTGTATCTTAAGGGAAACTATACAATAGAGCCTGTACAGCCACTTGATTATAACCTTCTTTCTATCAACCCATGAGGGAAACAGTAACCAACAGATGTCATAATATTTTGAAACCCATCTGGCCCAGGACAACTTATGCTTGTGATACACTGAAAACCATTTGAGTTCACGACTCATGGTAGTTTATTAGCTGGCAAGACAGCATTGACAGAATCAGACCAAAATATTAGACAATTTAAAAACTCCCAAAAGTGACTGATTCATGTAACTTCTCCCTATAATATCCAAACACTATCTAGCAAACAGATAATGATAATACCGAAACTTATCAGGCAGAAGTTATCTTGATCTTACATCAAATTCTCATAACTTATTTACAAGTAAATGTGCAGCAACTAGAAGGGAGAATTAACAATCAGATCTTGGGTATTTAAGGGTTAAAGGAAGAGAGCAGAAATGCTTCCTCTCAGCTACTGATCTCAGCAATGCTAGTCCTTCACACACATTTAAGTTTCTGTCAGTGATAAACATTCAGTGAATTGATATTCCCATTCTTAGCATTCAGAGGCCTTCTGACACAAAGGTTTGCTATACTAGTTTTTATTGCATTGTGTTAACTAATGTTATGATAATATAATTTTGAAATACTTAAAAGATTTAGAAATATATCCAAATAAAGATATTTATTCGATACTGTTACAGTCACTATAAGATTTGTTTGAAAGAAAATCTTTCAGACCATCGAATTGTATGAGAAATTATATTTTGCGAGACTTCTATCAAACTTTTTATTATGAGGAAAATTTTGTGAATAATAAAATTTAGAGTCAGTTCATCTTTGTGTTGAGAACTCTTTCAGTTGGTAAAACTCGCTTTTCCTTTTTTCCAATTTAAAGCATCAAATTGATTGATACATAAAGCACACAAAATATTTTTTGAGAGTTCCATGGGGCATCCAAAGTGGATTACTAAGCTATCATGAAAAACAAAAACAACAACTACTGAAAACTGCTTTCGTCACAATTGCTACCAAATTTGTGTCAGTTTTCTGGGTTTGCCATAATAAGTGAAAACTCTGAAGATACAGTGTCTTGGTTATTTTATTAAAAGCAATTTCTTTCCAAGAGTTTCTCTGCTAGGAGTGTTTTAGGCAAGCCATTTAGTAAACAGGTGAGCAGTACTGAACTTATTGACTAACTGCCGCAATGAAAAAAAACTCTATTGAACTTAAAACAATTCAGGTACCTAATTGAAAATTTGTACTAATTTTGCAACAATAGTCACCCTCATCCATAATTCAAAGAGAATAAAATAAGTATAGAACGATAAATACTTAGCAAAAATACATGCCTCCGTGCGTAAACTTGAAGTGAAAGCTCGTAGGTAAATCATTGGGGCTATAAAATGTATTTGAACAACCAAAAGCAGCACACTACTCTCCTTTCTTTTTGGGAGAAAAATTAGCTTTATCGAGATTTCGGCTTGGACCATCCATTTTCCTTAAAAATCGAACAATTTTACTGCCTAAGTATGAATTTCACCAAAATCGCTCACAGAGATTTAACATGAGTCAACCCCAGCCTCGTTCTCACGTGTGCGCGGTTGCATTTCCAATATGGCGCTGGGAACTGTAAAAAGGGGGAGTTACTACATCACGGGCGACGAGCGGGGATAGAAAAAACGACCCAAATATGAGCGGTCAGCGGTGAAACAGCTTTTATACTTCATATAGAGACATATAATTTGTTGTTCCAGTGACAATCGTGTTGTAAAGCCGAAATGTTAACAGTTTACTTCACAGTTTAAGCAATTTTTCAAAAGTGTTGATTGAACTCATATCTTTTACTGCTTTAATAAACAATGGAGGCTTCGGAGAGGGAGTCAGTGGCATTTGGAAAGGCACCAAGAATAATTATATATATGGTTTGTAGCTAGCTGCGTGACGTGCGTGACGTTAAGATAGATTTTCACAAGCGTCAATGGTGCAGAATCGTAACTTGATGGAGCCAACAGTGGACAACATCCCAGAATTCAAACTTTGTGATTTTTTTCTCAGCTTAAACGCTAAGTCAGTTGTTCAATTGAATAGGAAGAAAAACATTTCGAACAGAAAACAGCATTATTTGCACGTGTGGATCTTTTGAGAAAAGGTCTCCTAAATGAGTGGTCTCGATTGTAAATATTTAAGGAATGGTAAATACATTGGCCTTAACATGGCTGTTTCTCGAAGCTCAGTGTTTTCCTACTTGCCTTTTTTCCACGTGAATTGGGGGCGATTGAATAGATATAATATGCAGTAAAAGAACTTCAGCTGATAGAAATTTTAAATTTCTCATCTTAGGCTGTGGATACAAAATTCAAGTGAAAAGGAAGCCAACTGTGATTAATGCTTTGAACAAGTCAAGATACGTTTTTTTTGTCACACAACAAGTTACATAACATGAATATCATTCTTCTTGATGCCTTTCCCGGTGTCACCAATGCCTTTCCCGATGCCTCCATTGGTTAATAGAGCATTAAAAGTATTGTTCCAGTTAAAGCTTGAGGAAAATTGCTTAACTTTTTAGGTAGCGAAGTGTAACTTGGTAACACTTCGGCTTTACAACATGATTGTTTTCTGCAACTACAAAACGTACATTTAATTCTTCTTGATACCTTTCGGATGCCACCGATGCCTTCATTGTTTATTAAAGCAGTAAAAGATATATGTACAATCAACACTTTTGAATTGCTTAACATTTTACTTAGCGAAGTAAACTGTTTACACTTCGGCTTTACAACACGATTGTTTCCTGATACTACAAATGATCTGTCTATATATGAAGTAAGAAAGTTGTTTCACCACTGACCACTCGTATTTGGGTCGTTTTTTCTATCCCCGCTCGTCGCCCGTGATGCAGTAACTCCCGTAAAAGGTCTATTGAACGAAATTCCACATTCCTAGAGTTAAAGTGTTCCACATACGACGGCTAATCCGTCAGTTATTCGGAAAAGTTAACCGGAAACGTACACAATCCATCGTATCACGTTTTAAGATACCATCTCGCTTATAACACCTCACATTTGAGAAAACATGCAATGCAACGAAGGCACAGACAATGCAAATCAAAAAATCGAAAGAGCACATTTTTTAACGTACACTTTTAACGAACTTTCAATTAGGAAAGTTTAACAAAATTAGATACATCCCTAATTGAATAGACTTCTTCAGAAGGAGTAACCTTGAGTTGGTGAAGAAGAAGAGCTTTCCGCGAGTTCCCAGCAACGCAAACGTGGCAAACTCAGCACATTTGTAAGGCGCCATGAACGCTGGAATCTTAGATTTCAAATTTGCATGTTTCCTCACGATAAATAGCTCAAGGACAACCTACACATTTGAAGATAACATTAGGGGATCTTTATATCTGAAAGTGGCAACGAACTGGTCCTGAAACATATAAAAATCGCACTTCCTCAATCGAATACCTTTAATCACTGACGCACTTGTAAACTTGATTATTGCCACTGGTTTCTGCTGCCAAAAGCCTCCAAAAGGAATGATCACAAACTTCGCCGGCGAACCAATCACTTGAAGACATGATTACGAGATGAAAAATATTAAACTCAGCCCATGATTGACGCAAACGCTCCCTCGCGAGGTAGTCAACTCAGTCAAAGATAGCCTTTCCGCATTGATTGGAAGGGAAAATTTATGGCATTGGGTGTGGGTAGTTCTGAACTACTTTGGTCACATGATTGATTAATTTATCAACCTCATTCCCAGGGTCTCTCATCTTCCCGCCCCCTGGAGCGAGCGGGAAGATGAGAGACCCTGGGAACGAGGTTGTTAATTTACCTGCAATAGTGAGGATAGTGGACTACGGGACGGTGGATTAGAAAGTATTTCTAACAACGTCCTTTGTAGGTTAAAGGGGTACGATACTGGAATGCAGTTAAATGATAACCTTTATATACCGACACTTATCCGAGAATATTACAACAAAATGAAACAGACAGGTCATCAATATTATAGAGAATTACTCATGTAATAATATACATGGAAAAATTACTCAGTTCTGATTGGTTAAGATAAATGCAGTTTTCAGGTAATTCAGTGCAGAAGAGAGTTAATTCAGTGGAGAAGAGGGTTAATTCAGTGCAAAGAAAGAAACAAATAAGACATTCTGATTGGTCAATAATCAAAGAAAGTCACAGATAGCCAATCAAATGCGAGCCTTGGATGTCGCAACAAAATTTGAAAATTTGAAAATTTGCGAGCGAAACAATGGCCGGCGTTTTGAGTAGGCTTTCTTTTGCCACCGCAGCTGAAAAACAGCTTAGACAACAAAAACACTGTAAAAAGCACTGCTTTTTGGTTGTTGGTTTGGAAAAAGTAGTGTTTAGAGTAGGGAATTGCCAAGGAAATCGAACATTACGAGCCGACCCAGTTTAACACTTTGCTCGAGCGATCCAACGCCGAAATTAAAAACAAACATGGTTAAACCTCGGAAACGACGATTCCATTTCATCGAAAGTGATTCGGACAAAGACTGAACAATTCCTTGAACTTTTTTGCACCTTAAAGATGTGAAGATATCACTGCATAATTTATTATTGTCTTCTCTAGTTTCGTACGCGGTTGTTTTGACCGAACGCGCGGTTTAAATAAATTATTTTTGCACTTGATGCGCGCTTTGCTTATGTTTAATTATGATAAGCCATCTCGTATTTTTCCATGTATATTATTAACACGTAATCACATGATTTTTCTCGTGCAATTTGGAATAAACAAGCACTTGTTAATTTTTTCAAAGACCACAAATTGCACCCGCCCTACGGGCTCGTGCAATTTTGTTAGTCTTTAAAAAAATTTACTCGTGCTTGTTTATTCTAAATTGCACTCGAAATCATGTGATTACCTATACAAATTAGGAGCTATACTTTGGTTACATGTTATATACTGCATGTCTGGGGGTAATTTCCTCATTTCATACATCTTTCAATTTTTTTCTAAAATGTCTAGGAAGCTTGGGAGGAAAAAAAACCCCTTTTTGGCCTGTTATAGCTCAACAAGAAACTAGGAATCTGCTTTTTAACCAACCCGATGATACAATTCTATTATTGAATCCAGAGACACATCACTCTGCACTTAAGGAGGGGTTGGCTGCTAAAAAAAGTCTTTCCTTCAGAAACCATTAAAACTTCAGGATTTTGGGCAGCATAAACATCACACTGAATTCTGGTAGTTCTACAGTTGGCTTCTTTCTGGGCTCTTGAAATACAAGTGTCATTGTTGATTCTTAATAAAGCAAAATCTTTTTCCTCTATAATAAGTCCTTTGCAATTCATAATAAACTGTTGCTGGAAGGGGGTACATCTCTTTATTGTTTATACCCTTTTATATCTCTAATAATCTTTCTAACTGATGATTTAAGTAAAGTTTCATTGAAAAAATTTGACATAAACCTGTTGCCATTTCACTACTTACATTACCAAAGGCTTACTTACCTTAAAATTTTTTAAATCAATTTTTAGAATATGGCTTTTTAATTTTAAACTAAACCCAAACACTAAACAGATCTGCATGTAGCAGAATTCATACAATGTATGTACAAAATTCTTGAATTGAATTTCATTCAAGTAATACAAAAATGCAGAAATACACATTCAAATACATTTGTAAGTCAATAGATGAGAAATTATTGAAAAAAACTCCCTCTTTTTCTTCAAAAAAGTGGTGCTGTCAAACAATCTACTTTTCCATTTATGATCAAAATATTTTGTTAGAAGAAAGATGAGACTCAAAGGAGACTTTTTTCCAAGCAACTTGCAAGGAATGTCATCAAAAAAATTTAACTAAATTATGTTAAGACCTGAACAGAAAAAAAACTTATAGGTCACCAAATCAAGTTTGATTCATTTCCATATGAAATAAGCATGGAAATAAGTTGACCATATAAAAAAATTTTAATTCAGGTTCTTTAATACTGAAAAATGTTGAAAAATAAAAAGTTTCTTCCCCCCCTTCAGAAAAAAATACTCCAATCTACTTGGAAACCCTGATGGTAGAAAATTGTGTAAAAATTACATTAAGTACAGGGTAATCTAAGGTTCTGTCAAGGATATAGAATGCCTGACATTGGTTAAATCAGTATCCCACTCATAGCTTAGCTGGTTGTTTTAAAAATTATAAATTACAAGCTTCGCTTTTAAATTATAATTGTTAACACAAGCTAAGCTATGAGTGGTTCTATAAGTGTAGCTCTTAAGAAGTTAACTTTTTAAAAAGATTCAATAAGATCCAACCTCTATTTGTAAACATACTTCAGATCTACATCCACAGGCTTGAAGAACTATTCTGATTTTGTCTTTTTGTATTTAAAAGATTAAATAATTTATTCATTACAAGTGAGCATCTAAAGCCTCAAGATACTTTGAAGAGATCAGTTTGGGAACAAGAAGATGCCTGCAAAGTTAAAATATGATTTCATCAAATTACCCTTAAATGGTTACAGCTGCAGTCCTAATTACTATAGGGAATGACACAGTACAACATAACCATGAAAGCTTTTCACAAGCAAAGATAGCATGACATTTAGTGTCCTCTCAACAGTATGCAAACAACAAAGCTTGTTGACGAATCACTTTATTTAAGGAGGGACTGGCAGGAACAATCCCAACACACTAGAAGCTTTTCATAAGCAAAGATAGCATTATTTTGTTATCACAAATGCCACCAACATAATAAAATGTGCTCACACTATTTTTGTATATCATACCCACATGTCTAACACCATGTCATGATCACAACATACACAGAGTTGTTTATGGGTAAGCTTGCAAACAACATTCCTATGTTTAGACGGGGTTTTCCTATGTGCTTTCCTATGGTTTTCCTATTTCCAGAGATAGTCAACAGAGTATAAAGGGGTAATGAAGAGAGTTGACTGCCAATTGATCGCCACTGATGGGGGGGGGGGGGGGGGCAGGGGTGACAGAAGGGAGGGAAATGTTAAAAATACTACAGAGCCTTATGGGGGGGAGGGGGGGGGGGAAATCAGGTAAATTTTAATGTGACACAACTAAAATCTTCTAACTGCCCAAGAGATAAATAATAGCCGGTACCCAACCGATCAATCTGATCAAATGCTATTTGTCGGTCAGCTTATCATATTATTATGTTCTCAGACAATCAAATATTAGTAAGTATTCCATTACCTACCAGAAGGCACTTGCGGGTTTGAATCGTTAACCAATGAGTATCAACATAAAACAAGATCTCTGGGTTCACGCTGACTCTTCCAGCCACCGAAAACGTGGAGTAAAATCACCAAGTTAACCCCTCCGGCAAGAAAACATTTATTCACCCAGAACTTACGAAAAAGTAGAGAAAAATACAAACTAACCATTTAAAACACATTTTGGAACGGTCCGCCATGTTGCACGTGAGGAATGGATTACTGCAAGGAGTGCTGGGAGGAAAATACTCTCCTCTCCATGGGTCAGTAGCACTGAGAAGAGCGATAGGAGGTACAGATCACTGTTAATGAAAGTCGTTTTTCTTGGCGATTTTTGCAAGACCACGAGCCTATCAATGGGCTACTAAGAAGACCTTGGATTTCTATCATGGTTAAGAAAAGGGAGGGGAGGGAAAGGGACATCACCTTCTTTAATTTCATACCTAAGCCTTCCCCAGTGCACCCGGATACGTAGACCCCCAGCCCCCCTCCTCCAAACCCGTGAAGTCTAAGGTCAGAGCAAATATGAATTACCCAAAGAATAAAGAGAACAGAAATTTGCCTGCAGAAAAGGAGCAATAAGGGATGACAGAAATGAAACTAATACGAGTTGAAAAAATGTGCACACCAAAACCAGAAAGAGGTGATATTCCTTTCAAACAGTTTATTATTCTTAAACATTCATTAACAGCATTGAACTAGTGCAAGGCTTTGGAATTTCATCCACTGCATGAAATAAAAAATATAAGATTCTATATTAAAATTCTAATTCCTAATTAGTAAGTTCTGATGCTCCATGAAAATTTTATCTAAAATTATACACCCACAAAGTGACTCAACTGTTAACCTTTGCTGAAAAATGCCTATTTAGTCTCCACTACACAACAAAAAACACAGTAGTGTACACCAAATAAGTTTATTTAGGGAAGCCTTCCGAGAACCAACCCGAGGCACATATAGCCCAAGGCGTGCATACACACATTCGCAACTGATATACCATATACAATCCTAATATAAAGTCAATTCCTTACACATTCAAAATAGGTATACATTACTTACATGTACACTTCACCAAGTTGGGATTAACAGAGGTGGGCAACCGCTTACATGGACATTACTATGGTTATATGGAGGCCAGAAAAAACCTGCCAGAAAAAAACCCCTTTGGGGAAAAAATATGACAGGAAATCTGGGTAGGAACCATGGCCCACACTCAGAGCAGTTGGCAGCCCGTCCTACGAGGCTTCACAGTTAAAAAAAATAAGTTTTCAAACTAAAATAAATTTGTCATCAGCCAGAGGTGGACGGTTGGTTCTGAGGCCTATACCACTGCATCATTACCCATGATGCTCGGGCCTAAGGCCCGGGCCTTGTCGTATCTTGTGCCGACAAAATATTTATTTCTGCCTTATTCGCAGACTCAATCGTCAGAAATACCATTTTCTATTATCCATCATTTAAAAAAAATTAAGTAATAGACTTATAGAATAACGTCTGATTATTATTACATCAATTCATACAAAAAATTTTAGTGAGACAACTGTAATTGTTGTCCATTAAATTATCTGGCTCTATTGTAAGAATTTTCGAATCAGTTCCAGTTCTTGTTCTTGTGCTTGTGTCACTGTAGGAGGGTCCAGTGGATTGGATGCTCTGATTGACATAATTACATCAATAATCAATAAAACTGAAATAGCAACAATAATCAGAAAATTTCTTTGAAACAGGTTTTGTTGTTTTTCTAATCCTCACCAGCCATATTTCAATGAAGGAAATCCCCAAATAGGGCTTTGGCAGCTAGTATGCTCTGCACCTAGCATGCTCCAAGATCTCAGAGAAAATTCTTCCTACATCTCACCACACATTTCATGATTAGTTAAAGCAGAGAATTTCGGCTTTCAGTCTGGAGCTCACAATTTCATTTACTGTCAGCAACCACCTCTTAAACTTTCTAAACAATAGGAGGAGAATTTGCATATTGATCAATGTGGTCAGTGAAAGGTTAAAACATACCTCAGATCAAGATGGTGAGCTCCACCTCTGACCAGATGTGCCACCAGTGTTGGTGAGACATCTTCTAACACCTAAAATATAATAAATTCATTTTAAATCCAACAACCATTTATGATTCCATCAATAATAGTAGCAACAAGAGCCCTTCAAATACCATTAACTTACCCCACCAGGTCTCCATGGACCCAGGTCACCATTGCAAAAAATAATATTAGTGTTTCAAGATCCGTTTTTATCAACCATTCGGTAGCATACAGCGTTGTAAGACAATAAATATGTAACTCGATCTCAGTCTAGTTAGACATTGATAGTGCATGTAATCACGTACATATTGTAACATCCTCCTTTTTTTTTTCTTTTTTTTTTTAATGAAGAAAAGCTTGAAAAAAGAGAAAAAGAAAGAAAGAAAAAAGAAATTGACCAATAAAAGTGTCAATGTCAGTTCAGTTCAGAATCAATGCCATGGGACAAAATCTATCAGCTGGTGAGTTTGACATGAGAGGATCAGTAAATGAGAACACTGAACCCTGTGATAACCGCGAAGAAGGATTTAAAGTCACGAGTCTAGTCACAAATATAATCCTTGAGGTATGCTGGGCTCCTCCTGACTCGCTCTGACCTCCAACATTGTTCCGGAACAGTCACCTCTTCAGGGTGTGGCTTGTGAGGAACATTGCTCTGGTCAGGGGTAGACGCTGCGGTTGTGGTTGCCTGTTCATCTGCGCTGGCCATATCCGGTTCTGGCGCTGTGATAGTGGGTTCAACTGGTGGTTCAGACGTTTTCTGCAGGTGCTGTCAGTTTCTGTGGTAGACTGCTCTGTTGTCCGTCTCAACGGTGTATGATCGCTCATCGAGTCTTGCAGTGACTTTGGCCTTGCGCCAAGACTTATCACCAAGTTTGAATGGCTTCATTCTAACAACATCGCCTGCAGACAAACTGAGTAAATCCTTTGCGGACCGGTTGTAGTACTTGGCTTGGGCCTGCTGGCGCTGTCGCAGCTCTTTCTTTTCCACTTCCAGGTTTATGGTCCTGGGTAGCAGTAGGCTTTGAGTGGTAGGAAGGAGTGTTTTGGTCCTTTGGCTCATCAGACGTTGTGCTGGGCTTGTTGTCATCCCTTGTGTCGGCATGTTTCTATAGTCGAGTACGGCAAGGTATGGGTCGGTTCCAGCCCTGATTGATTTCTTCAGAATATGCTTGACTGTCTTCACCCCAGACTCGGCCTTGCCATTGGCTTTGCTATTTCCAGGGCTACTGGTAAGGTGCTCAAAATCCTGTTTTCTGGAGAATTCAGCGAATTCGTCACCTGTAAACTGTGGCCCATTGTCACTGATCACTTAATCAGGTATACCATAGCGAGCAAAATGACTCTTTAGCTTCAGAATGGTGGTGCTGGCTTTAGTGGTTGGCAACCTGTCCACCTCCCAGAAATTGCTATAGTAGTCTATGGTGACCAGGTAGTCTTTGCCATCAAGAGTAAAGATGTCTGTGGCGATCTTCTCCCAAGGACGGGATGGGACCTCGTGGGACATTAGTGTCTCCTTTGGGTGTGTGGTGCTGTCGAGTTCTCTACATATTTCACAGGCAGAGATGTGGTGCTTCATTTCCGCAGACATGCCTGGCCAGTAGATACATTCACGGGCACGCCTCAGACACACCTCTATTCCAAGGTGGGACGAGTGAATCTTCAGCTTCATATCAGCGCAAAGGCTCTTTGGTATTACAACGAAATTCCCTTTGAAAACCAGCCCATCTTGTACGGTCAGTTCGTCACGCATACTGAAGTAAGGGTGTGTCAGTGCTGGAGCATGCTCCTTCTTCTCAGGCCATCTTACGAGAATAGTATCTGACAACTCTCGCAGACACGGGTCCTTCCGGGTCTCTGCTCTTATTTCGTCTAAACAATGGTCAGATATGGGCAGATAACGGACCATGTTGACTGATTCGAAGTCATCTACTTCTTTACCGTTGTAGGGCAGGTAAGCCCTTGACAGCATGTCGGCCAAATGCATGTTCTCGCCACACTCATAGTGCACGGTGAAATCGTATTTCTGTAACCTCATCATCATTAACTGGAGGCGTCGAGGGGCTCGAGCGAGTGATTTCTGTAGAATCATCTCCAGTGGCTTGTGATCACTTTCGATGTGTACATGTCGACCAAATGTGTACTGGTTGAAACGCTCAAGAGAGAAGATAATCGCCAGCATCTCTTTCTCTATTTGAGCATACCGGGTTTCTGTGTCGGTAAGGGAGCGACTTGCGTACTCTATAGGCTTGCCGTTCTGAAGTAATGCTGCACCAAGGCCACTCTGGCTCGCATCACACTGTATGGTGAGGTCTAGGGAAGGGTCGTAGTAACGTAGAACAGGCGCTTCTGTTACTAGCCGCTGCACGTTTGCAAACGCCTGGTCTTGTTCCGAAGACCAGTTCCATGGAGCGTCCTTCCGAGTCAGGCGACGAATCGGTTCCATGACTTCAGACAGTTTCGGAAGGAACTTGGCTAGATAATTGACAAATCCGTTGAGGCGCTGAACGCCCTCCACATCTTGTGGCTTCAGCAATTTTGTGATCGCCTCTACTTTGGCAGGATCAGGCTTCAGGCCCTTGTTCGTCAGGAGATGCCTTATGAAATTTACCTCGCTCATCCTCAGCTTCATCTTGTCTGGGTTAAGGACAATGCCGCGGTTCTTGCACCTTTGAAGGAGATCTCGTAGACTCCTGTCGTGGTTTGCAGTGGCTTCTTCATCGGTATCTCCAGTGCCATAAATGAGGATGTCGTCCGCGATGCACAGAATACCAGGTAAGCTTTCCAGTGCGTGAGTTAAGTGCTTCTGGAAAATCTTGGACGAGGCAGAGAGACCGAAGGGCAAACGAATCCATCTGTACCTTCCGTAGGGTGTTGCAAAGGTCGTGAGTATGCTGGACTCAGGGGCAAGGACACAGCGCCAGTATCCCGACTTGAGGTCAACTGTCGAGAATAATTTTGCTTTGGAGAGCTCCGGGAGAATGTCCTCAAGTACACGAAGTTGATACCTTTCTCTCTTCAGGGCGAAGTTAAGTGGCCTGGGGTCGATACAGATTCTCAGCGCTCCAGATTTCTTCACAGCCACGGTAAGACTGCTAACCCATGGAGTGGGTTCATCGATTGGAGCTATGACATCCAATTGCTGTAGTCGATCCAGTTCTTTCCTCAGTTTCTCTTTGAGTGACGTTGGGACACGGCGTGGAGGAGCGACGACGGGAGTTGCGCCTTGTTCGACTTCAAGGTGAACTGTTCCTGGTAATGCTCCTAGCTCTCTTTGGAACACCTCTGGGTAGGCCGCTACTATTTCGTCAGCCGTCTGCACGCTCTTAACCTTTGTCCTTGATCGTTCAGGTGGTTTTGCGATCGTGAAGTTTTGTTGACAGTAATTAGGCCCATCTGTTGAGCTGCCTTTGCTCCAATGAGTGGGGTCAGTTGTCTGTCAACGACAAGGAATTCCACCGAGAACTTCTTATTCTTTGGATTGTGAAGAATTAATCAACAGGAACCCAGTGGCTTTAGTGTTGTGTCGTTCCACATTTGTAGTGTCTTTGTGGTGGGCTCAAGCTTCTTATCAACCACAACATCCGCGGAAATGGCATTCACTTCTGCCTTGCCGACAAGCATCTCAGTGTAGATTACTCTTGGGTAATCATGTTCTTGCGTAACAGAGTGTATCATGTCCGGTCGTGCAACAATGCTTGTAATGTACTCCATGTCGCTGTCATCGGAGGATTCATCTCTCAAGTTGTACACTTTTCTGGTCGGAGTAGTGCAGGTTGTTGCAAAGTGATTTCTGCCACCGCACTTCGTACATTTCGCGCCCCACGCTGGACACTTTCCTTTTTCGAAAGGATGTGCTTTGCCACAAAATTTACAGGTCTTCGTCTTCCCCGCGCGGCTTTTCCTGGACTTGTCATTATGGCGGCTTGAAGCCGGGTGTTTATCTTGCACAGCGTGAACATCTTCGTTCTGGGCGCCCGAGATCGTTTTCAATTGCAAATTTGTTGCCTCAGAACTCTTGCAAAGATCGACACACTTCGCCAGGGTGAGACTCCGTTCTTGTAGAAGCCGTTTGCGAGTGCGGTGATCTTTAATGCCCAGGACGATCCTGTCGCGAATGATCGAATCACGCATGCAGTCACAAAAATTGCATGTTTTCGCTAGTGTGCGAAGGACGGTGACATAAGCATCAATGCTTTCGTTTTCCTGTTGATTTCTGGAGTTGAAAGTGTACCTTTCAAAGGTTTCGTTCAGTTCGCCGATGGTGAATTCGTCGAACTTTTGTATTATCTTTGCAAGGTCATGTCTATCGTCTGGAGTGTCGAATTGGAAGCCGTTAAAAATCTTTAACGCATCAACACCGATGCAGTGGAGAAACAATGCGACTTTGTACGCCGGCGGTTTCAGCTCGAGTTGAGCAATGACCATGTAGTTGCCCCACATTTGTTTCCATACTTTCCAGTTGTCCGCCACATTCCCAGTCGTAACTAGTTTTCCAGGAGGCTTTATCCCGGCCATCGCGCCAAAAGGTGGGTGTTGCACACCTCCCAGTTGTGTTAGGGTCTGTTGCGAAGAGCCAGGTGGTGGTGCTTCAGGCACCGTTTCTGAGTCGGACATTACTACACCAAGATGATTTCAACTGTTTTCGACTCCGTAAGTGGTAGGCGGAGGACTCGTTATCCTATTTCGCTGCCACCATGTTTCAAGATCCGTTTTTATCAACCATTCGGTAGCATACAGCGTTGTAAGACAATACAGATGTAACTCGATCTCAGTCTAGTTAGACATTGATAGTGCATGTAATCACGTACGTATTGTAACAATTAGAAAATGAAGATATATCTGAAAATCAATCAGTACAAGAACATGTTTTTTATTCTTGCCCTACAAAGGACTTCTCTGACCATAAAACTAGAATGAGGAAGGTTTCACAGTGACTTAAACACTAACTGAGAAACTTGCAAAACTGTGGTCACTGAAATAAGAGTGAAATACTATTGTATCAAGAAAAGTTAACCCATCAGGCATGAGAAATTTTCAACACAGACAGGGATGCTAGTTTTAGGATTTGTTTTCAAGTCCTAATCTCATCTGATTGGTCTTACCACAAATTACACCCTGGACTTTTTCCAGGTGTTCTAGTTTTGACAAAAATTCTGTATCACATTAAATCAAATACTGGTATTGCTGCCATTCAAAAAGGAAAACGTGTGGATCTATGAAAATGGGACTTGAAACAATAGTGTAACCCAATGCTTAGCATGATAGACTCAACATCAAAAAGTCTGGTTCAATCAAGCCCAGCTCAGCATCATAATCACATGCTGTGCACAACAATTGATTCACGCTCTTTCCTACCAGGAGTGCTTTTGTCTTAAGGAAACCAACCTTTTCCCCAGAGCTGTATGGGTGCCCAGTTAGGTTGAGGTACCACACCCCATTTTTTCTGGCAGTATGTGGATATCATTTCTGAAGTCCATGGCAGAGGTGAAAACATGTCTGTCTTGTTGTTAGAACCAGCTGGAAGAGAAAGCTCAGTACAAACCTGAAAAGATAAAATATAAATCTTATTTTGACAAATTTTTAAAAAAAAACCTTGAATACTTTAGCGGACTTAAGTCAAAGCTTGAATCATTTGTACCATTTGTTTCCTGAATATGAGCAGGCAAGAACATATGCTGCCCGTTTTAGGAAAGATTTCTTTTAGTTTTTTGCTTAGTCATTAGTACTACAGTACTAACGGTGTTCACCAGTACTACAGTACTATCAGTACATATACTAACTGTGTCACTAGCGTACCAACGTACTAGCGTACTAACTCCACTTCTCCGATGAATGAACTGCGTCGTTATGTACTAGCGTTCAATTAAAGGACTGCATGTCACTAGCGTACTAACTACACTTCTCGAACAAGCATGAATGACTTGCGAAGGAGAATTTGTAAAACAATCAAGAGCTTTGTTAGTTGCTGATCATTTCCTTCATTCTCCTATCTTAAACATTTGATTCAAGGGATAGATTGTAAAGAGAAATTAGAACTACGGACAAGTAAGATATGCAACCCAATACCTGATAGTCCCATGCAAGGCTGTCTGGACCCAGGCCACACCCAGTGGGGTCTGCACATTCGATGTACTCTGTATCTGGATCAAGACAAGTCAGTGTACCATTAGTGCTATTGTAGACTAAAGCTGTGACCTCAGTCAGACCTTCAACCTTGGACGACACCCTTGCCATCATTTTATATGCCAAGTTCACAGGACACCCAGGAAGTGGAGCCAGAAAGTCTGTTGGGTAAGGATAATCACCCATTGCTAGGGTTGTGAAAGAATTGCAAATCTAGCCCAAAATGTGAGGGATCTAAAATGAAAACAAAAAATAAATAATTGGTGAAACAATATATGGATGAGGGTCAGAAGGAAAGACATACAGCAAGAGTTAGGGAGACAGTTGAGCACCAATAATGATAATAATGACATTAATTAAAATTAAATAATAATAATCATAATAAAAATGATCATAATAATAATGAAAATAGTACTACTACTACCTATTATTACTAATAATGATAATAAACAGCAACAATAACAACAATACTGGAATTCAGCAAAGACACATCTACAAGGAAGCCCTAAATTCTATGTTTTTCAGGTAAAATTTTTTACAAAAATCAAGCACAAATGCAAGCCACTTGTGACACCAGACTGAGAGATATCAGGAGGAAATGGAAGAGTAACTGGCTGAGAGAGGAGGGGAAACATAAGCTAAGTGAGAGGAGTAAAGTAGCACTAGTCTAGGAGCATGACCAAGACATCCGACCAGCACGTGCCCAGACCTCTGCTGTTTCAGAGCATGCCAACGACACTGGACACCAATTGCTTTGGAATGAGGTTAAGTTGATTGATTGTGATCCTCACTGGTACACCTGAAGGGTCAAAGAGACAATTCACCTAAGACTTTACCCCAACAACATCAACAGGAACAATAGAATACAAAATCCTGAAGTGTAGATGCCCATTATAAAAAAGAAAAAACAACTAAAAAAAAACACTACAACCAGAGTGCTGTATGACAGAAGACCACCCAGGGAAAAACTCACTAACATCAAGGATCGAAACGTGCCGATCACGGCAGGGGAAAATAACAACCAATTACGGCAATGCATCCTGCCCTAATCCAGTCGACCTTATCACCTGATGAAGACTAACATTATGCAGTCAAAACATCCTGATCCACATCATATGTGATCAAATTGAGAGACAAACAATAATACCTATTATTATAGCATTGATCTTGTAAATAGGCTAACAGATATAGTTACTGAACAGTGTAAAAAAAATCCTGCTTCCTATGACAAGTGTTATCATAGTTCTTGAGTGATGACCAAATAATCCTTACCTGTTCTGTTGGCTTTAGCGGTTTGCAGAGTTTAAATATTTTTAAGAGCTCAGCAAGTCCTATAAAATGAAGAAAGAATTTCAAATAAACTCCACACCAGTTTCACTCACAGAGAATTATTGATCTCCAAGTATGGAACATCATCAACATCATGAACCATCATTTGTACATGCCATAATGTAGGATGTAACCAGCCCCTTGTCATATTTACCCACATAAATGACAGTCACTCACTCAAACAGCTTATTCAAAAGGAGTCTGATTCACTTACTTAATATACTCCTTAATACTAACCCTTTACACCCTAATATCACTAAGAATATTCTCCATACTGTTCTCTATACATTTCCTGAAACACTGACAAGCAGAATTTGTTGAAAAATCAAGAGCTTTATAAGTAGGTGGTCATTTCCTTGATTCCTGTGACCTTAATGTTTGATTCAAGGATGATATAATTGTAAGGAGAAATTAGAATTTGGTCACTCTTAGGGGTTAAAGGGTTAAGGAAAAGAGGATGACACATTAATGAGGCAATTTCCTCATGCAATAATGCAGCACACTCATGACATCCCTCACAAGGGGAGTATTGCCTGTTCCCCAGTCCCCTGCCTAATACCAGCATTCCAAATTTCCAACTTAAATACAGCAAAAGATGTAAACCCCTTCATTTTCAAGATTTGACGAGCATTTCTCCCTTCGAGTTCCTACCCATTTTCTTTTAAATTATTTAAAAAACGTTTAATATTAGGATAACACATTTGATATAACCTATTTTCTGGTTTTTGCATTGTACATTAGATTAATTGAGGGTTCAGCAACTCCATGGATTTCCTACAGCTAACTCTGATTCATTTTACCTTCTGCACCTTGATTTTTCAACATCTCAATCATTTCAAAAGCTGTAATAGCATAACCTGGATGGACAATTGGCATCTGCATTTAAAAAGTCCTTGGAAATAAATGACAAAATTATATTAATTGACCTAATTATTTTTTAAAATCAACTATAAACATAGAAACAAAAGTCTGGCCATGTTGCAATAATTTTGCAATTATAGTTGGGTTTTTCTTTTGTTGATATCATTAAAAACAAACAGATATTTTAGATATCCTCCGATAGGAGCAATAATGTCTAGAACTGAGTCAAATAACAACTTGTTTTTTCATTATCCTCCATAACGTTTCTCAAAAAGGAGAAAAATTACTCTGACTCTCTCAAATCTTTTACTATTGACAAATCCTGACCCTTTAACTCCCAGATCTCATTATTAATTCTCCTTACTATATGCCATACAATTCTTATGATGTTACTTTGGAGAATTTTGTATCAGATCAACTAATAATCTCCTCATTGACATGACACTTCAGTCTCATCACTTGTCTGCTTGATGTTGTAAGGAGATATTTTGTTTTGGTCACTCATGACATGGGAGTTTAATGTTGAGTGAATTAATTGTTTCCCTGATGTTATGGAGAGGACAACTAATTATCAACCTGAACAAGAGAAAAGGCTGAAAAAGTTGAAACGTCAAAAGGAAAAAAAAATTTACCATTACCTTTGTCACTGCAGTAAAGAAAAAGTCTCTTTCACTTCCATGGAAAGTGGTCATGTAAATTGGAGTGATGGCTACCAAAGCAACATCTATCACATTTGGAAATTTATACCTCATTTAAGCATTCAGCATTCCACCATAACTGAAAAACAATCAAGGAAAGATTAATGATACAGAAAGTTTCATTACACTAAATTTAACAAGTCTCAATTCAATCCCTCTTCTTGGTCTCAAAGCAGGGTCTATATTTCCTTTCTGTGTATATTAAAAATATTACATTTATGGTGCTGATTGTTTGTCAGCATATAATTTATTTCCAATATTTAATCCTCCTCTGAAACAATTCAAAATAATTTGGACTTTGTACTAATTCCGGAAGCGTTCAAATATACACATTTTGTATGGAAACAGACTGGAATCTTGTTACTGGCAAAGAGCTTAGCCTTGTTGCCCAGAAGAGACCACAATGCAATTTCTCTTTACAATATCAATACAAAATTGAGATCTTGAGAGTAAAAAGGTTAAAAATCTGTTTGCATTGTTCCATTGAAAAGATGGAAACAAATATGGAAACAAAGAATTCACTTGACTATGTAGCTTGGTCAATCTAACTTTAAACTTTGCAGTTTCAACATACAGCTGTAAAATGCTTGAGAAATTTCTTTTCTTACTGTTTTTCTTGACTACATGTACTGATTTAAAATTCATCTGCACTAAACATTAACAACTGAAATAGAAAATGTATTTCATAAAAAGGATCTTCAATTAAAATTCTCTTTTAACCATCTTAAATGAAACATGATATTTAGTTTGTGACCTAACTTGAGTATAGAGATCATATCACAAATATCAATGCAAGAACAATCAAACACCATTAATACAAGTGTATCTTCAACCTGAGTTTCAACAAAGCACATGACACTCACTGGATACCTGAGTGCATGTAACAAGACATTCATAAATGGCAGTAACTATTACACCTTTCTTTCTAAAAGATGAGTCAATTAAGACAGGAAGGTCTTTCTCAAAGTCTCTCCTCTAACTGAATTGTACAGCCACTTGGCCATGAAAGGTATGGGTATTAGACTGGGTATTTCCTATTTTATCAAATCAGCAAAATAAGGTGAAGTATGCTTAGCACACATAGCCTGAGTTTTTTCCTCTGATACTAATTACCACTGTGCTATCAAATAAATGAAGTATCAGTTGAATTTTTCTTGCTTTTCAATCCTAGAAAATTGACTAAAGTTAATGAAAAAAAAGTATAAGCAGTCCACAGTCCTTTTTCTTCCTTTTTCCAGGCTTTGTAGTTAAGCATTTTGATTTTGACAGATATCTACTATCCAATAAGAATGGTTGAACCCATATTTGGGAAAGCTCAACAGTATTTGTCATAGAGAAGGGGCTTGTGTAAAGTTCCTTCTTTCAAGAAATGTGGTTTAATTACAACTTACATGGCAAGGTTGAAAGAGAACATATCAGTAAGATTCCCTTCCCTGCCACTTGTTCAAGCCATTTCAATCTCTCATTGCAATGTCTCCCTGCAAAGGAAGCCACTGATTTCAAGAGCTAAGGGGTGAACCATATGGCCACACTTCCAGACCACTTTGGCACCACAGATTAGGTGGAATTTGAAGCCCTCAAGTCTGAGTAAGAACACTTCAAGTTCGTTGCACAGGATTCCCACAGCCATGGAATACTCTGCCTGAGTGGTTGCTAACCAAGATGTGCAGCATTTCATTACTCAAAGTAATGTTTCCAAACCTGGTGAAGTTGTCTGCTGTAGCCCAGAGCCTGTCTGTGACTAACGCCTGGCCAGAAAGAGGTGCAAGTGTACTGAAGCGGATAAACAGAAGGCTTCCAAAATTCATTGAAAGATGACATGCTTGACTCCTTGTTACAAATTTCCATCAATGGGCCCCCTGTATCAAAAGCAAAAGATGTAATAGACCAAGCAGTTAGACTCAGTTGCCAATTATGTGCATGAAACAACTTTACAAACTGTTAAAATTGTTTGAACTGTTAAAGAAATTAAAAACTTTATTAATCTCTGTGAATACTATAAAGGTATTAGTTATAAGAGAAATGTATCAATTCACAACTGTGAATGCAGAATTCTGCAAAAATGACAACTTGTCAACTTTGAGACAAGGCAAAGCCACTTGACACTTAACACCACACCATGTTCTTCACTACTTTCATAACAATGTCTAATAATTGTTTTTGCCCTATTTCATTTTCATTACTTTTTGATTAAGAGAATAAAAAATTTGCATCTCAGAGTGCAGGAAAATGCATTTCTGAGAGTCTGATTTTTAAAAATTTTGTGCAGGCATTCAAAATAATGAACCACTCTATTGTTCTTTCCTAATCTGATAACTCAATAGTTATGGCCTGTGGAAATAGAATAAAGGAACAGAGTCATTGCCACTTTTTCATAATTTCTTTTCTCACTGAAACAATATAAACACTTGTCTGTACCTCTCTGTCAGATCCTCATATAAGTCCAAATGCAACTCAGAAAAATAAATCTTTTGTTTCAAAAGCATATGTGCTAGATAAAATGCAGCCAGATACTCTTGAAATGTCTTGTGAAAGAAGAAATACCCGTGCTGTGGGTTAATCTTCCTTAAGCTGGCTTCCTTGAACACAAGACCAAGTTTGCAAGCTGCAAGACTCTCATGTGTAGATTCAAATTCTACCAACTCTTTTTCATGAAATGAAAATTGATCTTCTTCCCAGCATCTCCAAGCTAACTCTCCAAGAACTAGCAAACTGTCTTCAAAGTGCCTTGTTAGAGCTTTGTCATCAGCAGGCACCTCCAGGTTGTGCTTGGCACAATATCTTCATAAAAGGCAACAAACAATTATCTGGTAAAGTTCAGCGCGATAAGATGGCAGTTCTCCCTCGTGGTCCTCAAACACAATGCAAAGGAGTGACAAATTCAGTTGATTGTTCCATAGTGCATCAAGGAAAGAGTTTGTTTGCATTTCTGTTATGAGCCTCTCTCCATTTGACACATTTTCAGGACCCGTATTCTTAAAATACTTCTTTATATAATTAAAAGCATCTTCTCTTGTAAAGCCTTCAATTTGTAAAAGCATATCGAAGTTCACCTTTTTTCGCACAAAAATTACATAGCAAAATGGAAAAATTATTTTTGAAGCAATCTATCCACACAACTTTCTGACATCTCAGGTAACTCATCAAGACCATCCAGAATTATTAAAACTTTTCCTTGGTAATGGAAATCTTCAATATAATCAATAAGCTCTTTCCTGATAGCATCTATTATGTCCCCATGAATATCGCGGCATTTGAGCAATAAAATTACTTCAAATTGAGGAAAGGAATCCACCTTCGAAGTTGCCTTATTAGCCCAATCATGGGCAATTTTAAGACAAAAAGTTGTCTTACCTACAACAGGGCTCCCTTCTACAAGCACAATGATGTTATCTCCACTTTAAAAATTTCAGACATGTTTACTTCATTGTTTCCTAGCCGGAAATCTTGTTTTCTTCTGCAAAAAATTTTCAATCTTGTGTAAACATCTTCCAAAGGCAATTGAATGGTACTATCCCAGAGAAGTGGTTTCAACTGAGATTGTCTGTTGTACTCATTTTTTAGAAGTTGGCGAATGATGGAAAGGCAGTTACCTAAAAACCAAAGAATAAATTTTTTTAAACAACTCTTACCTAAAGCATGTTAAGTCCTTGTATGTTTGAAAATTTAAAAGAACATTTAAATCTTCAAAGAATCAAGAGTAAGGCTTCGCCATGCATGAGAAAGTCATTCTCCATAATGTGGTTTTTAGCCATTTAAAAATTCAAGATTAAAGAATCCTTCCCAAGAGACTCTGAAAAGGACTATATGACAGAGCACTCCAGTGAAGAGAAAGGCAAACAATTTGAACCCAGGAGTAACAGTTGACCACATAAACTGATTGCCTATGTAATTATTAACTGTTTTGAGGAATATTACCCACAGGTGGAAATTCATGTCTGTGCTAAATCAGTTTGAATTTGTTTATTAATCATAACTGTGAATTGTAAAAAATAAGAGTGTGCAGAGCATCTCATAATTTTCTTGTGACAGTCAGAGATTGACAAACAGACTTAAATTTAGATCTGGTGGGAAAACCTGCAGGCCCTATTTGAGCTAATGATTTACACTAGCAACACCTGGTACAGCAAGCTCACTATAATTGCCAGAAATCAATGATTATTGAGAATTAACTCTAATCTTGTATTAAGGTAATGCAATTAGTAATCAAACAATTTGTCTACTGTTGTGTAACTGTCCACAAGAGTTTTTCAACAAATATAGTCTGGTAGTCAAAACCGGATGGGCCAATAGGTAAACTTGATGTCTTATTTAACTGAAAAGAAAGATAAATCTACACAGAGGGGAAAACAAGGAGATCGTCTCCAAAAATGCCTATAAAATATCAACCTATTAACACTTTTGTTTTCATGGAGGTTGCTGCAAAACATGTCTTATAGATTACTATTATTATTATTATTATTATTATTATTATTATTATTTTGTCAATTAGGTGAGAAGGAATGCAGTTGAACTGAAGTGCATTTGAAAGGTTTTTAAAATCTTGTTTCACACCAGAGGTTGTTTTTCTTTTTATCTTGAAAATTCTATCTACCAATGTATAAATGAGACCTTTTTTATACTTGAAACGGATAAAACTATAAAAGAAATTTTTTAGAAGGCATGCAGTGTATGCATTCTTGTGGAGGCAAACATATGTTCTTTTCCAAGTTGTAAGCAAAAATGTTCCACTGAGTGCTTTCAGATACTAGACTCAGCCAAAACAATTTATTGTCAAAAATTTAAACATTTTATATTTGCTTGCAACCAGACTTAATATTCAGTTGCAACATAATTATTCTTTTTTGTTTGTTTAGCTTTCTTTCCAGGTACTACATTTGTGTGCAGTAGCTATTGCCTAATTTAACTATTGTAACAGTACTAATTTCAAATATTGTATTTGTTTGAAACTTGTTACATATTTGCATGCAACCTGTCACAACAAAGTCAAATGTTTAACAATTAAACTAATGATGGCTTGAGTCATGCTGAAACGTTTTTAAAATGTTTCCTTATGAATCTGAGTTTTATTACATTATTCAAATTGTTATTGTGAAGGTTGAGAGGAGTTAACTCTAATTTTGCATTAAGGTAATGCAACTTAGAAATCAAGCAATTTGTTTACCATTGTACAACTGTCTACAATAATTTTTCAACAAAAATAGTCTGGTGGTCAAAACTGGTTATGTCAATTGATTGGTAAACTGGTATCCAGTCAAGCTGCCAACGGTTCAACTCGCCAACACCAACTCGCCGACATGTAAATCGAGTAAGGACGTCGGCGAGTTTGTCTTCAATCCAGTACAACTTATTAGTAGTTAAACAGATAGAAAAGTAAAAGATCTTAAGTAAAAAACTTTTTTTTTTCTTCTTACAAAGTTTATAAGGATCTCATGGTGCATTAAGCAAGGTAAACATTGCCAATTACTATAACGAACAATGAACTAGTTATAAATCATTCATGTCTAAAGCTTTTTTGGTCATTGGCGATGTTTATCTTTCTTTATTCACCTTGAGATACTTATAAACTTTGTTGGAAATGAAAAGAATTGTTTTTCACTAAAGATCTTGACTAGAAAGCCAAGTTTTCTTTAAAAAAATCTGACCAATTGACATGATGAGTCTTCACAGTGTTGTTGTCACACAATAATTGTGTCATAACCAGCATCATTCTGGATTCGTGCTTCGGTAGCTCACATTTGAAGGCGTTTATGTTTGGTCCATCTTAATACCGGGCAATGCTGGTGAACGGCCATAAAAATACGATAAGTATCTAACCAGAAGCTGACCAGAACCCAAAGAAGGGCTGATAGGCAATTGCAAAGTAAGTTGTCTGGATTTTGGGGAGAAATATGAGAATGGTGAAAAAAAAAAAGCAGCCCAATTATTGAAATCGATGTTGAGATTAAACAGACCATCAAGAGCAAAATGACTGCATGATAAACCTAGCTTTCACATGTTCACTTGATCTTTATAATGTATCAAATTTTTTTCGTAAATCAAACGTTCTCGATGATGAATAAATCAGTCCTTAAAGTTAAGAAATCATGTGGATCCGCGTGGTCGCTATGGTTGTCACACAATAACTCATTCGCATCTAAAGCTTTTCTTGGTCATTGGCGATGTTCACCTTGCTTTATTCGCCTTGAGATCCTTATAAACTTTGTTGGGAAAAAAAATTGTTTTTATTAAAGATCTTATCTAGAAAGCTAAGTATTTTTAAAAAATCTGACCGATTGACACGAGGAGTCTTTACGGTGTTGTTGTCACACATTATCTCGTTCGCGTCCAAAGCTTTTTTGGTCATTGGTGAGGTTTGCCTCGCTTTATTCGCCTTGAGATCCTCATAAACTTTGTTGGAAATAAAAAGAACTTTTTTTTACTAAAGATCTTGTCTAGAAGGCCAAGTTTTCTTAAAAAAAATCTGACCAATTGACATGATGAGTCTTTACAGTATTGTAGTCACACAATAACTCGTTCGCGTCTGAAGCTTTTATAGTCATTGGCGATGTTTGCCTTGCTTTATTCGCCATGAGATCCTTATAAACTTTGTTGGAAGAAAAAAAACGTTTTTTTTTGCTAAAGATCTTTTATTTTTATTTTTCTATATCTTTAACTTCTAATAAGTTGTACTGGATTGAAGACCAACTTGCTGATGTCTCTACTCGATTTTATACGTCAGTAAGTTGCTGTTAGCAAGTTGAACTGTCGGCAACTTGACCGTAATTCGATAAACTTGATGTCCCATTTAACTGAACAGAAAGATGCATCTACACAGAGGGGGTAACAAGGCGTTTGTCTCCAAAAATGCCTGATAAGCACCAACCTGTATTGACACTTCTGTTTTCATGAGCTAGAAGGATTTTGGATTGCATTTTTCACCTCATGCCCTCACAATTTACCTTCACAGTAGTCATGAATAGCCAACTCTTTCCTGAGTCGCTTGCAAGACTGATCTGCACTGACAGATGCTAGTCTCTTATCCTTCCTTGGTATAGTTACCTTATTTTCTGAACAACCTAGATGCACCAAAATAGTAATCATTAACAACAATTGCCAACAGCATGCATTGGCAAGTAGATCATGATTGTAGTAGCAGCAGTGAAGGAATCACATATATCATTGGAATATACTGAATTTCTTAATATGTAAAAGAAGTTCCCATAGACTTGATAAATTTGAAATTTGTTATTGGTTAAATCAAGTAAGATCCCAATGTTATAATTTTTCAAATCAGATTCTATAGTTTCCTTCTCTTACTTGAAATAACTCTTTGTTTGAAAATAGTCTGGTGGTCAAAACTGGTTATGTCAATTGATTGGTAAACTTGATGTCCCATTTAACTGAACAGAAAGATGCATCTACACAGAGGGGGTAACAAGGCGTTTGTCTCCAAAAATGCCTGATAAGCACCAACCTGTATTGATGCTTTTGTTTTCATGAGCTAGAGATGAAAGAAGGATTTTGGATTGCATTTTTCACCTCATGCCCTCACAATTTACCTTCACAGTAGTCATGAATAGCCAACTCTTTCCTGTGTCGCTTGCGAGACTGATCCGCACTGACAGATGCTGGTCTCTTATCCGTCCCTGGTATAGTTACCTTATTTTCTGAACAAACTAGATGTAATAGTAATTACGAAGATATTGTGCCATAGTAATCATTAGCAACAACTGCCAACAGTATGCATTGGCAAGTAGATCATGATTGTAGTAGCAGCAGTGAAGGAATCACATATATCATTGGAATATACTGAACTTCTTAATATGTAAAAGAAGTTCCCATAGATTTGATAAATTTGAAATTTTTTATTGGTAAAATCAAGTAAGATCCTCATGTAATAACTTTTCAAATCAGATTCTATAGTTTCCTTCTCTTACTTGAAATAACTCTTTGTTTGAAGAAAAAAGTTGTTACAAATCATAAATGCAATTACTGCAAAAAAGTAATTCATACTCATAAAACGGGACCAGAGAATATAAAGAAAAAGTTCTCTGGGGTAAACATCACAAGACCTGAAATGGGTAAACAAAACATACAGGACATGTACAAGGACAGAGGTCTATTCGGCTTATACTATTTTGCGAAACAAAACGAAAAGAAGCGAAACGAAATCAGGTGAGATAGAACAAAACTAAAGGAATAATGCAGATATATTTTCTAGCAGGGTAAAGAAAACTTTCACAAGGAATTTGGAGTAATTGTTCATTAACAAGAAGGATTTTTATTTATTTCGCAAAATAGTAATTTTAGGAGCGTTACTATTTTGCAAAATAAACTATTTTCCCCCTGCGGTGACTAACATGACCTCTTCCATGTCATAAAAATACATTTAAAGATTACAAATTAGTATATCAACGAAGATTTTGGCCTCCTCTTATTTCCTAAACCGTATTAAAATATATTTTGCAAAATAGTAATTTTAGGAGAGTTACTATTTTGCGAAATGGACTATTTTCACCCTGCGGTGACAATGTGACCTCTTTCATGTCACGAAAATACATTTAAACATTACAAATTAGTATATCAACGAAGATTTTGGCCTCCTCTTATTTCTTAAACCGTATTAAAATGTATTTCACAAAATAGTCATTTTAGGAGAGTTACTATTTTGCGAAATGGACTATTTTCACCCTGCGGTGACAACGTGACCTCTTTCATGTCACGAAAATACATTTAAACATTACAAATTAGTATATCACCGAAGGTTTTGGCCTCCTCTTATTTCTTAAACTGTATTAAAATGTATTTCACAAAATAGTTATTTTAGGAGAGTTACTATTTTGCAAAATGGACTATTTTCACCCTGCGGTGACAACGTGACCTCTTTCATGTCACAAAAATACATTTAAACATTACAAATTAGTATATCACCGAAGGTTTTGGCCTCCTCTTATATCTTAAACCGTATTAAAATATATTTCGCAAAATAGTAATTTTAGGAGAGTTGCTATTTTGCGATATGGACTGAAAGGGTGAAAATAGTCCATTTCGCAAAATAGTAACTCTCCTAAAATTACTATTTAGCGAAATGGATAAAAATCCTTGTTGTTAATGAACGATTACTCCAAATTCCTTGTGAAAGTTTTCTTTACCTTGTTAGAAAATATATCTGCATTAGGTAAGTACTAAAACAAGGAACGACCTAAAACCACCTAAAACCACCTACAACCATCTACAACCATCTACAACCACCTCAAAAATTTCAACAACCACCTACAACCACCTCAAAAACATCTACAACCACTCGCAAACTATCTAAAACCATCTAAAACAAGGCATAAATGTCTAAAATAAGGCGAAACGACATGTCACGTACACGAAATACGAGAATCGAACGAAACCTCTACCTCCCCCTGAAATCTTACTCTCCCTGGTCCCATGTATAATCAACCATCTCACGAAATGAAATGCCATAGCATGCTAATTATTTTATATTCCCTCAGCAAAAGACTTAAAGAACTTTTCAAAATGAACTAACATGTTACAAAAAATAATACATTGGGAATCATACATAGGCGCACGTATATATGGAAGTTTTTGTAATCATGATTCAAAGCATTTTCCATCTTAAGAGTCAGCGCCAACGCACTCTACGATTGTTATTCGAGGATTGTCAATTCATTTATTTGCATTCATTAATGAGGTCGGATTTTCTTCCCAGAAAAGGGCTATTGTGTTTATATGATAAACAAAATAATACATGGTTGCTTGTAGATATGGAATTTCTCTTCTCGTGTTCAACTTGACATCTCACTCGTTCACTGCGCTCACTTGTGAGCTATCGAGTTAAACACTTGAAGATTAATTCCATATCTACGCGTGCCCATGTATTATTCCCTATTTATTACTTTTTGTAACTTATTAGTTCATTTTGTAAAGTTCTTTAAGTCTTTTGCTGAGGGAATATAAAATAATTAGCATGCTATCGCATTTCATTTCGTGAGATGGTTGATTATACATGGGACCAGGGAGAGTAAGATTTCAGGGGGAGGTAGAGGTAGAGGTTTCGTTCGATTCTCATATTTTGTGTACGTGACATGTTGTCGTTTCGCCTTATTTTAGACATTTATGCCTTGTTTTAGATGGTTTTAGATAGTTTGCGGGTGGTTGTAGATGTTTTTGAGGTGGTTGTAGGTGGTTGTTGAAATTTTTGAGGTGGTTGTAGATGGTTGTAGGTGGTTTTAGGTGGTTTTAGGTGGTTTTAGGTCGTTCCTTGTTTTAGTACTTACCATCTGCATTATTCCTTTAGTTTTATTCTATCTCACCCGATTTCGTTTCGTTTCGTTTCATTTCGCAAAATAGTATAAGCCGGTCTATTCACATCACAGATAAAGTGAAACAGTTAGTTCTGCAAGCTTTTATAAAATGGCAATTCCTATGTACATGTACATGTACAGCCTGTAGCTGTATAGGACTAAAATACAGTTGTAGAATGCACTCAGTTATAGTATTTGAAATATCTTGTCTGCAAAATTTATGGATAGGCCAATTTTTAAATGTGTTATGTTCTGAGCCTTACCTTGCAAGGGCTGAAGGCTGACATAGTGTACTTCATGGACATGTCCCAGTACAAGATGCTTGCTTTGGTCAAATGGAAAAGCTGGTTTGATAATTACCTCACTCTGGCCTGGAAGACTACTAATCACATGAATGGCTATTTGATAACAGTTTGCTGCAGCCCAGAGAATCACATGATCACCCCAAGTGCCATCTTGTTCCATGTCTGCTAAGTAATCAACCCATGTTGTATGTCTATCAACAAAATGAAACAAATCTGTTCCATCCACCTTGAGGAGAGAGTCCAACAAGATAAAATGAAATATTAATAGTAAAAGAGCAACTGGTCTAGTAACAACTCAATATGGTAATAATTTTATATAATTATAAATATCACCTTCAAAAGTATTCAAAGATAATTTCAACTCTATAGTTGCAATAAGCTTAATAGTCTTTAATAGTACTCGCTGTATGTTATATTGAGTAATTTTTACAACATCATGATATCTTATCTTAAAAATTATACAAGCCAAAAAGATTAATTTAAATGAATAATAATTATTATAAACAAGTTCATCAGCATTATACTTCCCATGGCTGTTCTAAAATAACGAATTACGGTCAACTCGCCGACAGACCAACTCGCCGACGTTTAAAATCGAGTAGAGACGTCGGCGAGTTGGTCGTCAATCCAATACAACTTATTAGAAGTTAAACATACAGAAAATTAAACGATATTTAGTAAAAAAAACACTGGTGAACATTGGTGAACATCAAACAGAAGCTTAAACATTGGTGAACATCACCAATGACTAGAACAGCTTAAGACGCGAACGAGATAATGTGCGACAACAACACCATAAAGACTCATCATGTCAATCGCTCAGATTTTTTAACGAAAACTTGGCTTTCTAGACAAGATCTTTAGTAAAAAGCATTTCTTTTTATTTGCAACAAAGTTTATAAGGATCTCAAGGCGAATAAAGCGAAGTAAACATCACCAATGACTCTAACAGCTTCAGACGCGAACGAGTTATAGTGTGACAACAACACTGTAAAGACTCATCATGACAATCGGTCAGATTTTTAAAGAAAACTTGGCTTTCTAGACAAGATCTTTAGTAAAAAGCAATTATTTTTATTTGCAACGAAGTTTATAAGGATCTCAAGGCGAACAAAGTAAAGTAAACATCGCCAATGACTCTAACAGCTTCAGACGCGAACGAGTTATTGTGTGACAACAACACCGTAAAGACTCATTATGTCAATCGCTCAGATTTTTTAACGAAAACTTGGCTTTCTAAACAAGATCTTTAGTAAAAAGCATTTCTTTTTATTTGCAACAAAGTTTATAAGGATCTTAAGGCGAATAAAGCGAAGTAAACCTCACCAATGACTCTAACAGCTTCAGACGCGAACGAGTTATTGTGTGACAACAACACTGTAAAGACTCATCATGACAATCGGTCAGATTTTTTAAGAAAACTAGGCTTTCTAGAAAAGATCTTTAGTAAAAAGCATTTCTTTTTATTTTCAACAAAGTTTATAAGCATCTCAAGTCGAATAAAGTAAAGTAAACATCACTAATTACTATATCCGCTTCAGACGCGAACGAGTTATTGTGTGACAACAACACCGTAAAGACTCATCATGTCAATCGCTCAGATTTTTTAAGAAAACATGTTCACTAATGTTCACCGATGTTTAAGCTTTTGTTTGATGTTCACCAATGTTCACCAGTGTTTTTTTACTAAATATCGTTTACTTTTCTGTATGTTTAACTTCTAATAAGTTGTATTGGATTGACGACCAACTCGCCGACGTCTCTACTCGATTTTATACGTCGGCGAGTTGGCGTCGGCGAGTTGGTCCGTCGGCGAGTTGACTGGTTACCAAAATAACATAGCAATAAGTTACAACAAGATAGAAAGATATTGTAACGATGCAAAGACAAGTTGTCCTTTTTAATCGTGTCAAATTCAACTTCATGTATCACACACACACTGATTTTTTTCCTGATCAAAGTCTTCAACATTTTCTAATAACAATTCATTTGTAGTATCTGTTCTACACATTACATACACCAAATACTCACCAGTTTTGGGTACTCTCTTAGATACTGAACTAAGGAATGTCTTAATTCCAAATGATTGATCTTTACTCCTTTGACAATCTCCAGTTGCTCTGACAAGGCATAGAACATACAATTTCCTGACCCTTGATTGTCAGAAATTCTATAGCCTTTTCCTGAAGCAATCTTCTTTAAGTCTGAGAGTGGGTCTGTGTTGCTGATCTTACATCTACCGGCATCCTGTTGCCACTGTTGAAGATTATGGATGACTTGTTTACTCTCACCTAAAAGAAAAACAATTTAATGATCATTACTTTATTCTTAAACATGTAAATGACTGGTTGCTGACAATATCATGGCATATGGCTTAAGATGAAATCAGAAACAAATATGTGGATTGGGGATTGAGTATTTGGGAGCAGAGGGAACAACAGTTCTCAAAGCTTAGGATATTTTTCAAGAATTTGTTGCAAAATGATAGTATTACAACAAAGGTATACTGAGTATACCTAAACTTAATTTAAAAGTTCTGACAAAGGGCTAAAGCTCAAAATGTCAGCCAATTCATAGGCCAATTTTTAAATGTGGTATGTTCTGAGCCTCACCTTGCAAGGGCTGAAGGCTGAAGACAAGGTTCTTCATCTTTATCACAAGACTCTTACAAAGCTCCTCCCAGCTATACTTCTTCATGTACTTTTTACGTAGAGTATTTGACTCTGAAAGTCGCACTTCTCTATCTTTCTGACGGACACGCTTGATTTCTCTGGCCCAGTCTTTAGGATCATCAGAGTCTACCACACTCTGTGAGCCAAAAGGAACTTTCGTCAGAGCTTCTCCAAGTCCTGAATTACCACTGACAAGTATGGGCAGGCCAGCAGATAACGCTTTCAGAGCTGTTATTCCAAAACCTTCTGTCCTGGATGGCATTATTGCAAGATCCTCTTCACGAAATAAGTTAGCCAGCACTCCTCTGCTATCATCAAAGCTGCGAATAGTAAGTTGATCAGGACTAATGCCATGGTGGAGGAACTTTTTTAATACAATCTCTCCTTTTTTTACAGCTGCCCAGACAAACTTGAGTTTGTAGGATTTATCTTTCAACTCAGCAATTGCTTGAGCAGCTATGTCATACCCTTTGACATTGAAATCTTCACAGCTGTCACCACTTCCAATTAAAAGAATACAGAATTTTCTTCTTTCTTCAGTGGCTTGCTCTACTTCCAAAAATTTGGAGAAAACACTTGGAGTAAGGTCAAAAACTTTTTCTTCTTGTTTAAATGGACAAAGGTAACGCTTGTAAGCTTCTGCCAACTTGGGTCCAATTGTGATAACTTGATCAGCCATTTCACAGAGTTGGATTTCTTCTTTTTGCATTTTCTCACCTTCTGAAATGTTTTTGTGTATTCCTTCTTCTTCAGGAGCAGAGTGAACAACTTGAATCCATTTGCAATGACTGTACTCTGGATTTTTTTTGATAAGTGGAATTAGTCTGCCAAAGGGAACTCCATGACCAATGATACAGTCCATTATATGGTTTCTAGGTGGAGATGACAACCAAAGAACTGGCTCTACACCAGGAACTTTATCTGCTTCAATGAGCTTCACATTGTGACTTTTAGCACTGCTTCTGTCCTCTCCACTACAATTTGGAAGCAAGATACTAACATCCACATTGGGGTGTTTAGCTAACTGGATGGCCAGCTCTTGGTTGAAAGTTGACAAGTCCTCATCAGTTGATGATCCCCACTCATTACTTAGCAAAGTGACTTTCAGTGTCCTAATTTCCTGATCTTCCTGTGATGTAGAGGCTACACTAGGAATGGTGGAATCCTACAACAACAAAACAAGAAAGGTATTGACAATAAACTGTAAAACAATAATTAATCAAAATAATGGATGTCCACTTAATATGTAATGTCAATTCTTATGAATTTGATAAGTTTTATCCTATGCCAAAAAGTCAGATACATGTAGATTGAGACAAATTTAAACCAGGAAAATGTAAAGTTGCTTTAGAGATCTACACTATCACTGTCACTGATAACAACCATTACAGGTACAAGGAAAGTGAAATTTATCCTTTAAGGGTCTTCCTCTTTAACTCACTTTGAAATTGGTACATGTAGTTTCATTGCAGACATTTAGGTGAAAAAATTAAGGGATGAATGTTTTTTTTCAAAATCAAAGTTTGGTATTTGTAACAGATTTAGATTCCTCTTACTACCTTTTGTAGCCTTGACATCACAGGAAGCTTTTAATTTTGAAATATTATGCTGGAAAAAAAACAATACAAAATGTGAGTTCAATGTGTCTATTTAATAAGCTTTCCATTTCCTCTTAGAGTGTTGTTGAGACCACTTAAGGCAGTACCAGAGGCTAACTTGACCTTTTTGGGAAGCCTTCCCCTTGCGAAATGGCTCTTGGAATTCCTAGGAATTCCTAGGAATAAAGGTGTGAATTTTCACGGTAAATTCGGACTGGGAATTCCTAGGAATTCCTAGGAATTCCCAACCATAACAACTCTGGTTCTAAAAACCTAGAAATTCCTAGAAATTCCCAGAAATTCCCAGAAATTCCCAGAAATTCCCAGAAATTCCAAGTTTATAGCCAACAGGACTTGGAATTCCTAGGAATTCCTAGGAATTCCTAGGAATTCCAACTCAGAGAACCAATGACTTTCCCTGAAAAGCTGTAAATCTAAAAAATTCCTAGGAATTTCTGGGAATTTTTAGGAATGTTTAAGAATTACTGGGAATTTTAAGCAAAAATTTGAGGCTTATGATATAAAATAAATACTTTAAATTAAAAAAACCCAGCTAAAATTCAAGTATTCAATGAAATTTATTTAAAAGCTTGATTAAGGCGTACATGTAAAATATTTTTGATTAATTATTAACATCAATGTGTGGTAATATTAGGATGGAATTTGATTTATTTTTCTTTTCTTGAAAACTTCATACAGATTAATCCTCAATTACAGCTATTCATATAAAATAGTTCTAATCAATCATTAAATTTGGTTTGACACAAATTGTGAATAAAATCTGTTGATTCTTTTCCAAAAAATACAATATCCTAAGTTATATTTATATAGTTATATTCTTGGGAGTGAAGGGGCTAATTACAGACAAATAAAATTGATTTTTTGATTAAAATCTTGTTATAACTGTAACAATAAATTAGAATGAAGTTATTCTAAACTGCAAACTTAGCTGCTGTTTGTACTGTTTGTATTTTTTTTCCTGGACTCACAATGAGTTGGCCTTGAATGAGGTTGTCAACAAGAACCTTGACCATTTTGTGACTGGATTCCTTGACATCTGAATTTGAAAACAAAATAATATATTAAAATATGTATGTTTAAAGCTCAGACCAGGCTTTTAAGATGGCTATGAGGAAAAGGGCATTCATTGGATTCTCAAATTGAGAAATCTCTGTTATATTGAGTGACTTTTATATTGGAGTTAGTACATCTCTCTCATGGATTTTACTAAAAAAGGGCTGAATACATTATTTTGTTTTTACCAAGGAGGGCTTCTTTATGTACTAAGGTTTGTTATGAATCTTGAATGTTCCCAAACGTGACTAGAGGAATCTTGAAACCTTACTGATAGGTTTATTTCATTGTAAAGCATAAGCTTAAGAAACTGCGGCATGCAAGTGACTGATTCGATTCTCAGAATTATTCTAGTTTCAGTTGCGCGGAGCGTTATGTAAGCTTAATTCAACCCGCTACATCTATTCTTTTATAAGATTTTGATCACAACGAATATCGCAATTTTTACTCACCACAAACTTTCAAAATCGTAGCTTTACAGATGGCCACTCGACCCTTGTTTGTACCGGTCCATATGTCAACTGTTGTCCCTACTTTAACTCCACGGCGCCAACGACTTTCTTCTCTTTTACAACACTCACGCTATTCTCGTTTTCCCATTGAACCAGAATAAAAGCTATCTTTAGAAATGTTCTATTAAGCAAAACAGTTGAGAAAAGCGATCAACCGATGAAAAGTACATTCAAAGATGAGCGCCAAATGGAGTCTTCTTTGTTTCCGATCACCGGCATGATCACGTGGATCTTTTAGGACTTGTCATTGGCTAGCAAAGTGAATCCGCTGGCTTGCCGATTGCAGTGTTAAGAGAAGCGCCCAACTTTATTTTGACTTCTCCGACCGGTTCTCTGCTTCTAGAAGATGGATAGCTTGGTGATATAAATAAAGATGTGAGCTCACTCTATGTAGAAATAATCGACAAGAATCGATCGTATTACAAATGCACGATTTGTGGCCGAAAGTTGTCGAGGAAACAAAGACTCGAAACTCACTTGAGTTGTGTTAATGGCAAAGGTGAGAAATAACACAAGCCAATCACAGTTTTGAATGCGACTACAAATCGTCTTTTACCATCATATTTATAAAAGAAGGATACCACATTCGGAAGTGTAAGAGATACATAGATGATCCCAGTGTACCAGTACCTAAATCTACAAAGCTTGACCGTAGCAAGCGTTCAGCAACACGTTCCAACGCCGCCATCTCGATTCCTCAGTCAGTCGTTTCCACTGAACTTAAAGCAGTATTGACAACAGAGTAGAGTGCGTCTTACAAAGGAGAAACATTTGTACAAGAGACAGGAGTAGCTATATGCGATTACAGAGGTGCGTTGGAACTCTGGTCCACAAATAGTTATGCACTGCCCGAAGTATAAAACAATTTTGTTGATAGCTGACAGACAGAGAAGAACAACAAGTAAACTTAAGAGCTGTTATTACTGAAGTGTGACTAGCACTTTTCATTTTTATATAAAGAAGGACTTGTAATTTGCACCAAAAATAAAAAGATGTAATATTTTTTTGGGAGATCCAGTGATTGGGACATTTAAGAAATTAAGTTATGAAAGGAAACTTGGTTGGTACTTCTCACTACTAACAAGTCTTGTTGACAAATATTTTCAGATCAGAGTTTCAAATAAAGTAAATTGAAGACGTCATATATAAAAAGGTGTTTTTTCCTCAAAGGGTACATTGACTACCTCTGTCTTGTCTGCATGCCAAATGTTTGGAAAGTGTGTGGATGATCCACAAGTATTGGAACTCTTACAAAAATGTTTTGTAAGAATAAAAACAGCAAAACAAATTACAGCAATTAGTCATGAAAATAGAGCAAAAAACTGAAAAAAAGCAGCAACAACAATCATGAAAAAAGAAAGATTAATTAGGTGTTGAATTTGTTTGTCTAAGGCATGAAATTTCTACTAAAAGTATTGTCAACAAAAAGTCTCTGACAGCGTTTGAGGCAACTGAGCATGACTGTTCCAAGGTTTTCTAACAAAGGCAACCAGTAATGTAGGTTAGGGAAGTAAGATAACAATGTAATTATTGTTAATTATTGTGGAAGTTGGCAATTTCCATTTAACATAACTGACAGCTGGTTCATGAGAAAATCCATATTAATGTAAAGATTTACTAAAACTTAGTTTGAGTAATAAATTTCATGATCTTTAAGTTATAAACATGTACATGTATGTATATCTCTTGGTATGTTTTGTATAGCATACCTTTTATTGAGCCAAAGTTTTAAGCCTCTGAAATTACTCTTTTTCTTAAAACCTTCACATTCAAGGTATTGAGAATTTCTTAGAATTTATGTGGACCTCAGGGTATTAAAATTGCCTCAAATTCAATTCCCAGCAATTCCCAAGAGTTCCACACTTCTTAAATTATAAGTAGTTTGTAAAGCTGAGAATTCTTAGGAATTCCTAGGGATTCCAAGTCCTCACAAAACTGGAGTCTTCCTAATTCCCAGAAATTCCCAGTAATTCCAAGCTTTTTAAATCAGAGTTAATTTGCATAGATGGGAATTTTTGAGAATTCCTAGGAATTCCTAGGAATTCCTAGGAATTCCCAGAAATTCCCAGAAAACTGGGAATTCAGTTTGCAAGGGTCATTTGCATAATTGGGAATTTTTGAGAATTCCTAGGAATTCCCAGAAAACTGGGAATTCAGTTCGCAAGGGTCACTTTCTCATATATTTAAGATCATTGTTTAAATTTCCTACTTGTAAAATGTGACAATTGGAAAACAGCCTGTTCTCAAAATTAGAAGTTTTGTTTCCAAGGACAAATCTTGCAGCAAATAGAGATAAGATCCTGTATGGTCTAACTGTGTTTGCTGTTCATGGGGTATTTCCTTTAGATGACATTTCTGAGACATCCATTTCCTAGTAAGTAACAATGTGATAATGAAAAAAAAAGTGCTATCTTATCATGGATTGAACTCAGGAAAGAGCTCTACAGTAGCTGCCTACTTACACTTTCCAAGAAATGAAAACACAAATACATTTTTTTAGCCTTTTATTCTGAGAATTTTGATGAAATCTCCAATTTTGGAAACACATCGCAACCATAAGCTATTGAATAACCACAGATTTTGTTTTGTCACACCATGTTAGATTGAAAGTTGTTAATTCCCATACCATGGGAAAGTGGAAAGACCAACCGAGGAATCGAGATGGCTAGCTGTGCTGGAACGTGTTGCTGAACGCTTGTTAAGGTCAAGCCTTGTTGATTTGGGTACTGGTACATGGGGATCATCTTGGTATCTCTCATACTTCCTAATGTGATTGGCTTGTGTTGTTTCTCACCTTTGCTGTGAACATAACTCAAGTGGGTTTTGAGTCTTTCTTTCCTCGAAAACTTTTGGCCACAAATCGTGCATTCTTGTTCGATTCTTGTCGATTATTTCTACATAGAGTGAATTCACATAATTATTTATATCATCATCAAAACATGGATCCAAGGTATCCACCATCCAAGAGAAGAGAACTGGTCAGAAAAGATAGAATAATTTTGCGCGCTTCTCTTGAGACTGCAATCGGTCAAGTCAGCAGATTCTCTTTGCTAAAAGATCCACATGATCATGCCTGTGATCGGAAAGAAAGAAAACTGGCACTCATCTTTGAATGTACTTTTCATCGGTTAACTGCTCTTGCTTCAAGTTGTTTCTTTTCTCAACTGTTTTGCTTAATATAACACTTCTAAAGATGAGTTTTATTGTGGTTCAATGGGAAAACGAGAACAGTGTGAGTGTTGTAAATGAAAAGAAAGTCGTTGGCGCTGTGGAATTAAAAGAAGGGACAATTAACAGTTGACATATTGACTGGTTCAAACAACGATCGAGTGGCCATTTATAATGCTAGGATTTTTAAAGTTTGTGGTGGGTACAAATTGCGATATTCGTTACGTGATCAGAATCTTACCAAAGAATAGATATAACAGCGTGAATTAAGCTCACGTAACGCTCGGCGCAACTGAAACTCAAATAATTCTGAGAATCAAATTGGTCACTTGCTGCAGTTTCCTACGCTTACACTTTACAATGAAATAAATCTATCAGTAAGGTTTCAAGACTACTTAAGTCACGTTCAGGAACATTCTGACCTTGCTTTACTTTGAAAAATTCAACTAAAGGGAGAGCAGAATTTAAATCACTACCTTCTTTCTCAAATTTTTGATAACATGAATTATTGAGGTTTTGTCTTTCTTCTATTCTTTAATATACAACAGCCAATTTTTTTAAACTTTGAGCCATATTACACTGTAAATGGTCTGCATAAATAATGAAGAAAAAGTAATATGCCGAGTTGTACTGTTATTCTTTAAAAGTGTTTGGTTAGGAAATTTGTTCATGAAACAACACTGACTGAGCCTTCTTTTCAAAGTATTCACTTTGATAGAATTAAATGCCATGATATTTTACCAAAACACAGATGATGGTCAAAATCCTCTTTTGAAGCAATGCTCTATGGCAAATTTCTCATCTGCTGAATTATCTACCTCTCTTTAGTGTGTCATTATTCCTTATTATCCAATTCTCTTCCACATTTATGACAGAAAAACAAACTGAATATTCCTTGGCCTGTTTCTCACAAAAGCTGTGATGCCCTTAACTGTTATTCAAATGATTACTCTCTGAGGGGACATGACCTTTCTAATAGTACTCTGGTTCCAAACAAGATACATGAAAGACTTGCCTAAATATTGCAGTGCTGTGGTAAGGAACACTGTTTGCTACTGTGAATAAGAAGTTGGACATTCAAGTCTCAATAATCTGAAAAAACACTTTCTGCTTCTTATGTTCACCTTATGCATACTAATTTTTCTTTATACTTAGAAGTTATGATATATATCATTTTCTATTTTCAAATTCAAATTATCTTCCTGTAACATGTAATTTTCCTTTTCTCTTCACACAACCCCACAAGATTGTAGCTTAAAATATTATCATTTATAAATAAAGGTCATCTATCTATCTATCTATCTATCTATCTATCTCATGCTTGTCCATCATTTTGAACTGCAGCAAAGTCAGCAATGCATCGATCAATTTGAAGTTTCAACATCCCTTCCACCCTCCTGACGACCCCCGAGCATTTGAAAACTTCATATTGTTGAACACTTCCATATTAATTAAAAAAACATGTCTATTTTGCTGGAAAGATTTAATGGTTCTAGTTCAAATTCCTCAACCCACCCAGACAAGATTCAAATTCCCCAGCTCTCCAGGAGAGAAAAAAAACCCTTTTTGGCCTGTTTTGGCTCAACAAGAAACTGGGAATCTACTTTATACCAACCAACCCAATGGCATAATAGCATTCTAAAACTCATGACCTTAATGTGTGATTCAGGGGTGAAGATTTGGTCTTTTAAGATCTGAATTGACAGACTATTCCCAAATGGGAGTTATAAAATTTCGCATTGCGTCCATTTAGTACAATTAATACAATTGGAGCAATCACTATTGTTTGAAAGTGATGAAATCGCAAGCAATCATGTTATTTTGCTTTCATGGTGAAATTGATAGTAGAACCTTGTTAATCTGCTGCATTTTAGTCTTAACACAAATTAAAAACCCGACATTTTAAAGGTAATTTAATTTTACATCTGACCAATTTGAAAACAATATAGCCTAAAATAGCTAATTTGCATTTTCCCGTTTTTAAACAGGCACGATTCCGTAATGTACTAAGCATTTCAATTGAACGAAATTCCACATTCCTAGAGTTAAAGTGTTTCACATACGACGGCTAATCCGTCAGTTATTCGGACAAGTTGACAGAAAACGTACACAATCCATGGTATCACGTTTTTAAGTACCATCTCGCCTATAACACTTCACATTTGTGAAACCACAGGCGGCCCAAGCTCACGTCTCGATTAATTCATGAATGAGTCACGCGTTGTGTGACTCGGTGTTAAGTTACGAGAGGAACCGTTGAAAATTTGAACACGTCACAAGGAATAGTATGGGGAACGAAATATGGTCGATTTACAACGATAAATATTTCGAAATATGAATATTTTACGCGTAAAATCAATAAAACTTACTCATGCCCTGTGTATCCGTCGTAGTTTCCGGTGATTTCTGCCGTTTTAAGCTTGCTTTACCATCACTGTTATCCATGTCAAAAGACGAAGTTGTCGACGATATTTGTCGACGATATTTTCAATTTGGAAAGTTTAACGAAATTAGATACATCCCTAATTGAATGGACTTCAGAAGAAGTAACCTTGAGTTGGCGAAGAAGAGCTTTCCGCAAGTTTCCAGCAACGCAAACGTGGCAAACTCAGCCACGAACGCTGGAATCTTAGATTTCAAATTGCATGTTTCCTCGCGATAAATGGCTCAAGGACAATCTACACATTTGAAGATAACATTAGGGGATGTTTATATCTGAAAGTGGCAACGAACAGGTCCTGAAACATATAAAAATCGCACTTCCTCAATCGAATACCTTTAATCATTGACTCGCTTGTAAAACTTGATTGCTGCCACTGGTTTCTGCTGTTAAAAGCCTTTAAACGGAATGACCACAAACTTCGCCGGTGAACCAATCACTTGAAGACATGATTACGAGATGAAAAATATTAAACTCAGCACATGATTGACGCAAACGCTCCCTCGTGAAGTAGTCAACTCAGTCAGAGAGAAACTTTCCGCATTGACTGGAGGGGAAAATGTATGGCATTGGGTGTGGGTAGCTCTGAAGTGGTCAGCATTAGATTCCATCCACCAAAACCACCTCGGTCGAGAGGGACTGAGATGGAATATTTAATGACTTGCAAAACATAACCGAAGATTCTCGGAAATCCGCAAGTGATTTAGCCGAACATCCGAAGCTGTAAATCCCATGATTCTTGAGGAACAAACAGAAACAGCATAGCGAGAATTTTAAGTCGCGAAACATTGATGGTAGACATGCAGATAATTTAGGATACGTAAATTCTGTTGATGAGGCGCATAAACTTATTGCGGAATTTGAAACAGGATTGACGACGAAGTTTTCTTTCTTTAAAGCTGTCAAAGGTTTCGGGAACACATATATATATTGATATAGCTCTTTAGCATTACAAAGCTTTGCTATCGCTTTTGTGCATTCTCACTAGTTTATCTAGCTCAAGCCCTCTAGCATGGCTTGGATGATACCACAATTGTGGAATCATTCGGGTTAATTTAATGCTTACACCTCCTTCCTCGGACAGAAGTCACAAAATACTGGGGGAAGATGCATGAGATATTTAAGGAGCAAAAATTCGTTTTTTACTGGTGTGCCTTTCCTAATTTTGGGAAGGAAAGTGTTCAATTGCCAGCACGGCATAGATATAACAGCTGGAGAGAAAAGGAAACGAAAAGATGCAGAAGAAGTACTGTATATAATAATTTCTTTTTATCCTCAACCTTTGTGTTTCTGTCAACTATGGCTTGCTAATTCGAAAGGTCAAATACTTGAATTGGTCATATGACATTGATCTCAGAATACTTTTATGACAAACGTGATAACAGTTCAATCTTGGCTAAATTATTGAAGATGGTTTAGAAGTTAACAATTATAAGAACTTTTCACTAACATATGCTGCTGACAAAGTAGAAAATATATGCAATTCTGCATTTTTTGCTTTCTATCAAGCAATCATATGTTTGCTCCTTATCACGCTATGACACTTCCGTTTTGTCACATTCCAAAAAATAACTTGAGAAATACACTGTCACTCATCTTACACTGTTATATTTACCTATTACAGAAGGCTGGAAACAAAGATTTTGTTTTCAAGAAAATAAGATTTCTTGTCCAAGACACAAGGAAGTTTGACTGCAAAGCACAGATAAAAGTGCGAGAAATTTTATTTTTTTCAGAGAACAAGGTAGTTCTACTCATGTATAAACAGAACAAATGCGATTTAATAAATCAGATATGCGGCATGACTCCTTTTCTTCCATCCCCACTCGAAACAAGCAAACACACCTATAGAGGTTCCAGTCTGGTCTGCAAATGAAAAGGAGGAAGGTGATCACTGCAAAATTAAGCATTAGGGTTCTTATTTATAACATATTGATTATTGTATACTGATATCTAGAAATTAAGGTTGCAAGTAGCAGCCAGCTGAGTTATAATTTGAGTTTTATCAAGTCCATTACTTTGTTAAATTTAGAGTAACCTTGTCTTGAGAGAGGAAAATTGAGGAGCTGTAATATACTTATCATCAATTAGGGACCACAAAGAAAAATTTATTTATAGAGACTTTTAAAGGAGAGGAGTAAGACTTGTGACAAGCTGGCAGACATATAGATAAACTTTACTGCTAAATGGGTTACAATACAAAGTGCTAAGTATTTGGATCAGCTATGGCTCAACTTAAACTTTGCTTTAGCTTCAAGTTTAATCCTTTGTGGTTTCCTTTCTCTGTGTTTATTTTTCACGTTATGTACACAGAAGAACACAAAAATGACAAGGAATGCTTTTGAATATTAAGAGGCTGGAATAAGCAAGAAACCAAAACTGAATTTTAAACAGTACAAAGTTAATTTGATCTTCCAATGTTATTTAATTTTAACCATTAATAAAATTTGCTATTTAAATTTATCCCCTCCATTTTTCTGGATATTGTGAGCAAAAACAAACAATTATCACAAAATGCATGGTATACAATGGTTTGATTCACCAATGTGGCAAAGGCCTTTCACTGTCTATCCATAAAAAGGGAAATAGTTTGTAAAATGTAAGACATTCTGCATCTTGAGCATATACTTATTCATCCATGTGAAATTAAAGGTTACTTGAAATAAATGTGAAAGATTTGTAGGATTTTTTTCAGACCCTGATAACAATTACTAATGTGCTGATTTGTTGTACTTAAAGGTTATGATTTTAGCGGAAATAGTGGAAGAAATTTCTGGACCTGGAATTTTTGTTGCAAATGTCTGTTTAAATCAGTTTAAGTCAGTTAAAACTCTCCCGTTTCAAGATTACATGATTACCACACCAGAACCTTTTTGTATTCTATATCGTGCACCATGTTATGATTATGGTTTCAATAATAAAAGGTGCTGACTCAAGAACTTTGCAAAATATCTCTACATACACAGAAATAGATTGTGGTTATGTACTCCAAATAGCAGGTCACATCAGTCTTCTGTAAGGAAGTAGCAGAAATTGCTATGGTGGTTTTGGTGGATGGAGAGAAACATCCACCAAAACCACTTTATTCTATGTGTTAAGAGTTATGATAATCATTATGAACGTTTGGTCGGTCAGCAATTGTGCACCATAAAAAATAATTAGCCAGAGCACTAACTGCTAATTAGTGGTATAAATGTTTTGTCTCCCTGAATATCTAACAGTGGCTATAGATAAAATTAAATTTATTAAAATATATTGTTAATGGTTTTGGTCAAAGTTTTGGTGGATGTTCTCTAATGACATCCACCAAAACTACGTAACATCTGGGCACCTTTTAAATACGTGAAATATCTGCATAAAATTGCGTAAAATGTTTTATAATACTACAATCGAACAATAAATTAATACTTACCATTTCTTGAGTAAAAAGTTTTGACGCAATTTCCCAAACAAATGATACACTTAGGTCATCGGGATAAGTCGGCATGTTGTCGTAGCTTCGTAATTTTCATTTAGTATAACAAGTCATGAGTTGTCCATCATTCCATCTCAGTCCCTCTCGACCAAGGTGGTTTTGGTGGATGGAATCTAATGCTGACCCTCTGAAGTACTTTTGTCACATGATTGATTAATTTACCTGCAATAGTGCGGACAATGGACTACAGGACGGTGGATTAGGAAGTATGCCTAACAACGTCCATTGGGGATTAAAGGGGTACGATACTGGAATGCAGTTAAATGATAACCTTTATATACCGACACTTGTCCGAGAATATTACAACAAAATGAAACAGACAGTTCATCATTATTATAGAGAATTACTCATGAAATTAGGAGTTATAATTTGGTTACATGTTATATACTACATGTCTGGGGGTAATTTCCTCATTTCGTACATCTTTCGATTTTTTTCTAAAATGTCTAGGAAGCTTTGGAGGAAAAAAAACCCTCTTTGGCCTGTTATAGCTCAACAAGAAACTAAGAATCTGCTTTTTAACCAACCCGATGATACAATTCCATTCTTGAATCTAGAGAGACATCACTCTGCACTAAGGAGGGGTTGGCTGTTAAAAAAAAGTATTTCCCTCAGAAACCATTAAAACTTCAAGATTTTGGGCAGCATAAACATCACACTGAATTCTGATAGTTCTACAGTTGACTTCTTTCTGGACTCTTGAAATACAAATGTCATTGTTGATTCTTAATAAAGCAAAATCTTTTTCCTACATAATAAATCCTTTACAATACATAATAAACTGTCGCTGGAAGGAAGTACATCTCTTTATTGTTTATACCCTTTTATATCTCTAATAATCTTTCTAACTGATGATTTAAGCAAAGTTTCATTTACAAAATTTGACATAAACTTGTTGCCATTTCACTAATTACATTAACAAAGGCTTATTAACCTTAAAATTTTTTAAATCAATTTTTTAGAATATGGCTTTTTAATTTTAAACTAAACCCAAACACTAAACAGATCTGCATGTAGCAGAATTCATACATTGTATGTACAAAATTCTTGAATTGAATTTCATTCAAGTAATACAAAAAATGCAGAAATACACATTCAGATACATTTGTAAGTCAATAGATGAGAAATTATTGAAAAAAACTCCCTCTTTTTCTTCAAAAAAGTGGTGCTGGCAAACAATCTACTTTTCCATTTATGATCAAAATATTTTGTTAGAAGAAAGATGGGACTCAAAGGAGACTTTTTTCCAAGCAACTTGCAAGGAACGTCATCAAAAAAATTTAACAAAATTATGTTAAGACCTGAACAGAAAAAAAAACTTATAGGTCACCAAATCAAGTTTGATTCATTTCCATATGAAATAAGCATGGAAATAGGTTGACCATATAAAAAATTTTGAATTCAGGTTCATTAATACTGAAAAATGTCGAAAATAAAAAGTTTCTCCCTCCCCCTTCAGAAAAAAATACTCCAATCTACTTGGAAACCCTGATGATAGAAAATTGTGTAAAAATTGCATTGAGTACAGGGTAATCTAGGGTTCTTTCAAGGATATAGAATGCCTAACATTGGTTAAATCAGTATCCCACTCATAGCTTAGCTGGTTGTTTTAAAAATTATAAATTACAAGCTTAGCTTTTAATTTATAATTGTTAACACAAGCTAAGCTATGAGCAGTTCTATAAGTGTAGCTCTTAAGAAGTTAAATGTTTAAAAAGATTCTATAACATCCAACCTCTATTTGTAGACAAACTTAAGATCTACATTCACAGGCTTGAAGAACTATTCTGATTTGTCTCTTTGTATTTAAAAGATTAAATAATTTATTCATTACAAGTGAGCATCTAAAGCCTCAAGATACTCTGAAGAGATCAGTTTGGGAACAAGAAGATGCCTGCAAAGTTAAAATATGATTTCATCAAATTACCCTTAAATGGTTACAGCTGCATTCCTAATTACGAGGGAATGACACAGTACAACATAACCATAGAAGCTTTTCAGGATTTATCTAAACTTTTTTTTATCTTTTAGATGGTGTTTATCTTAATGAGCCCCTTTAACACAATGATGGCTTATCTTATCCTGTTCACTATTTGTAAAAATTATCACTACCACCAAAGTCAGAAAGTGGATGGAGTCTGAATCCTAAAAGGGATATGGCCTATGACCCAGATTTTTTTCCTCAAAAATTTTTTTCCCGTTCTATGTTCAGCTGTTTCACTCACAACATCTCATTAGCAACTCTCCTTACTGTCTATCATACAATTCTTTTGATGTTAGCTCAGAGAATTTGGTATTGGATCAACTAATAAGCCTGTTATTTATTTTTTTGGCTTTATTTTCAACACTTGTCTGCTTGATATTGTATTTCTATAATAGGGAGAAATTATATCTTGGTCACTCATGGGAGCTAAAGGCTTAACCATTGAGGTTACTCAAATTGTACCTTGGTCTTACCTGATGGGCAATATAAACATGAGAAGAACAGGAAACACCATCTTAAGATAAGGCAATGGGGCAAATCCAAATCCACATAAAACACCAAGCTGTAAGAACTGCAGAGCAGTGTACAAGTGCATTTTTCTCTGAGGCACATGCCGAATGTAGTGGTTTGGTGGGTAGGCAGCCTACAACATTAAACATATATGAACAAATCTCATATTTTCAGGTCTCTTAGAAATGACAAGAAGTATCAAAACTTAATCATTAATAATGGCAGATTGTAATAAATTATAATAACGAAATTTAATTTATTATGACTTAGGAGCTAATTTAATCAAGTAGAATAAATTTTGTCTCCAAATCAACATAGAGTTGAACCATAAGAAAGTCCAAAGGGGAAAACCATGATGGTTTTCCAGAATTAATACAAGACATAATCACCGTGAAGAGACAGTATTTGCATACACAGGGTTGTGCTCTTCAAATAATTAGCTGGACGCTCTAAATCTCAAAAATCCAGGCACATAGCTCTGAAAAGCTCTCCCTGACAATAACACTATGTGGCTCAGATGCACTTTACTCATTTGTGACAACTGGACTCTGTTAGGGCACAACCCTGTGACAAAAGAGTTTGATATCCTACCAACCTGTTCTGTGACCAACAGCAAGGCTCTTTCAAACATCTGGTTACCATATAAGGAGGTCACGGCCATAAAAAGAAACAGGCCATCAAGGACAGGTGTGGGGATCAGTGTGAGAGGAATGGGTAACATCAACAGTGATAATGCAATGAGAGTGCTTGAGAGAAACCCAGTCAGTCTTGTCTCTCTAACTTTAACAATACTGCAAAAGAAAAAAAACACACTATTAAAATCCTTAATCCTTATTTGTTTCTTTTTCAAAGGCTCAAATAGCCTTAGTTAACCAAGCAAAAGCAAACATATTTCAATCCAACAGATTAAATTGCCATTCATTTGAAGAACTTTTTAAAGCAATTCCTTAAAAAAAATAAATCTAAGGGCAATGGAAGTCAAATGGTCTTTGAAGTTCTGAGTGGAACTGTAATGCAAAATAACTATTAGGTATTCAAATTACCCTCTACTCCTTCTTTACATTTCATGCCTTAGTAAAAGTACATGTATTTATCATAATTTAAGTAGAATTTCATACTACATTTCTGATTTGTGCAAAAAACAATTTCATACACAATCCACAGGGTTTCTAATTCCTCTGCTCACAGTTAGTAAAGGTGATCTGACTGGTTGAGATACTCAACAGATGTTTTTACTAACTGACACCATTTTTCAGTTTTTAGACATTACTCTGACTTATGTTCAATAGCATTCCAATCACTTTGAACTAACCCACATTAATTCCCTATCAATTTTCTGAGTGTAAGATTAGGGAGCTCTCAACCTAAGTTGGTCACTAGTTTTACCGAGCTTTAGAACCACTCACTTCTGTTAATTATTATTTGCTACTGTATAAAAACAAACTTGATTTGTCATCCTGATTATGAAAAAGGTTTCAAAGGAATCTTTATATGGTTGGATATATATAAAGACTTCTTGGTCTCTACACTGGAAGATACTAAACTCACATTTCAAACACATGTCCTCTATCCACTCGCTCTTCAACATCTGCCAATGCCCTGACATGGAATGGTGAATGAGGAAGGGCAGCATGTACCCATGGCAGGCCAAAAATTGATAGAAAGCCATTGACTACAGCCACAACAAGTAAATCCCAATGGTATGCACTACCCTTCTTTAATCTAATGAAAACAAAAAAGTTAAATTTGGTGATTTGACATCACTGCTTAGTAGATGGTAACAATGACAGGGTTAAAGATATGTGATTTAATCATTTATCAAAAATCCTGCCAAAATCAATCATAATTACTACAGAGAGATTAAGAGTAAAACAGTATCATTCAATACTGGCATACTTTGCTATTCTTTGCAGTACTGATAATCAATCTGAGGCTTTGTAAGCTCATCAACTATCTAGGAATGCAAATCTCCAAGTAAAAGGTCGTAGGTATTTAGTGAACACATTGACTACATGTAATTCAATAAATCATCGAATCATCTTTTCCTTCAGACAAAAAATAAAACTTAAAACACTAATGAAAGCATTACCATAATGGTGGGCTGAAAAGAGACCCATGGAATAAACAAAGCACCAAGCAGAGTACAGAATCTCTTAGCAAACCCTCTTTGAAAAAAATAATTAAAGTTATGTACCTGTTTCCAGGATTGTTGACCATGGCACTTGAAATATTCTGATCCATGAAAAACAACAGAGAAAGGGAGAACCCTAACCCAAGTCCAGCAAACACTGCACCCCAAGTGAGCTTGTGTAAGGGAGCAACAGTAAATGAAAATGTACCACTTGATTCAAACTTGTAATCTGTGAAAAATCACAAGGAATAAAGGATCAAGTTATAATCATATTGATTAAATTTTGAATAGAATGTCTTCTTTATATAGCTCTGAAATTATGAACTACCACAGAATTCAAAGTTGAATGCAGGGTTGTCTCATGACAAGTTAGTCATCCTAATTATTGTCACTATGTGATGATAATAATCTAGGCCCAGTTGTATAAAAGGCAGATAACGCTATCCAATGGATAAATTGCTATCCAGCAGATAAGTGATAGCTAAACATATAGCATTATCCACCGGATAGAGTTCTATCCAGTGGATAATGTTATTCAACCTTTGAACAACCAGGGCCTGATCTTTATGTAAAATCCCACAATCTGATATTTATTCTTCACTTCTATCACATTTATGACATAGAATAAGTAAATATCAAAGAAACAATAACACACCCTGCTCTTATCTTGCAGTACTTACTATCAATATCTCGTACAAAATATGAAGCAATAAAAGACATGACAAGTACAGCCACCACAAGTGCATAATCAGCCAATGCCTCTCTCTTTCCAGCATCAAGAAATGGGCTGAAATCAATATACTCCATCAGTAAACAAACATATCGAAACACAAATACGGGGCAGAAACAATTTAAATCTAAGTACCTTTTCAATTGAGGTAGTTTGTCTTAAGAGAATCATGCAACATCTCAAAACTGAGCATTCAGTAAACCAAGGATGAAAAAAAATTACACAGCATGAGTGATATTTTATGAAAAGGTTCATCTCATTTTGACTTCAAACCACTGAAACTACATTATGTATGAGATGTTACAACTTGCTCCATGACTGAAGAACACAGGTCACCAAACTGAGACCTTGTGCTGCAAATTCAGAGGATAAAATACTTTACCAGTCATAACAGAGTCACATCAAGGAGTGCTCTGTAATGAAGGTCTAATCACACCTAAATATAAGGAAACACCAACTTGTTGGAATCACAGACAAACTTCCCAGCACTCTTTTTGTCCAAATACTACACTGTTGCTACTGACCTCTTACGAAAATTGTACAGTGCTACACCAATCCAAACTGTTCCTAAGCTTATAACAGCATAAGAGAGACCTCCCTCTCTGCTACAAACAGATACATCTGGGACCTGATCATGAGTGAAATTATCAGCAATTGCCTGGCCAACAACACAAGATGATGAGTTCCAACAGGAACTTAAGCTTGTACAGTGAGGATTTGAGTATTCTGCAAAGAAGTTTTGGTGAAAGAAAAAATATATACATGTACCAAACAACTCCCACAGCATTCCTTCTTAAAAAGTAGTGAAAAAAAAAGGCAATCATACTAACACTTTATTTGTCATGTATTCATCATTACTTTACTGTCACTTAACCTTAATCCTTCTTATGATAAGCATCTAATTTCTTCCACCAGTATCACCCCCAAAATCAAACATTAAGGTTTTAAGAATAAAGGATATGATCACAAAATCTAGAAGCTCTTGATTGTTTGACAAATTCTCCTCATAAGAATGTTGAGAAATTTGTGGAGAGCAGTATGGAGAGTACGCATTCTAATGATAAGGTGTAAAAGTTAATTGTGCTATAGTCACATACACAAACAAACAGACAACACAGCAGTAAAAAATCAATTTGAACAATTTTGGCTGCCTGCAAGCCAATTTCTTAGGGCAAATTTCTTAGGTAAAATTTTTAAAACAATCCCTGTCTGCTAAAATGGGCAAAGAAAAATTGAAACACAAACAGAAATCTGTAAAACAGACCAAAGGTAAGTTGTTTTGATCTTTATCAAAATTGTTGTTAAAACACCTTGACTTGTGTGTATGTCTGTGACTCTTGTAACACAACTTAGTTCTTAAAACTTGTAAATACACCACCACCACATTTTCACATGTGTAAATGTGCAAATGTGTTCACAGAGACACTTCCACCAATCTAGAATGACAAATAACAATTTGTGTTTTTTCTGGGTAATCATTATCAGTACCTTTGATGATACTACTAATGGCATCTACTGTAAATGCAAGTGAGATGAACAAAGCAAAAATTTCCTCTGTTGATCTGTGAAGAAAAAAAATATTACTTCTCACTAACAGAGCACATGGGCAGTACTGGAAAATATTGGTCCAAAGTTGTAGCAGTTTGGACTGAGGGCTAATATTCCCCTGTATGCCTTGAGCAAGCAAGATTGGTAAGTAGTTTGTTGTATGGCACACAGACCAAACATGTTTATTTGGAATTTGTTGGCTTTTGTGACCAAAAATACATGCCTTTGGACCATTTCTGTGAAAACAATCGCTATGCCAAAATATGGACCAAGTAACAACCAATCAGAGTGCTTGGATTTACCTCAGGACTATCTTGCCATAAAATAAACATGGTTAAAACATATCAAATGTTAACCAAACTAAAAATTCATGATAAAGAATCTCCAGAAACTCACAATGAATAGCATGGCTGCATACTTTTTGTTCATTCGTAAAAGATATGGAAAATTACACAATAAATGTCTGCTTTTTTTTTAAATCTGAGAAAAATAAAACTGATACACATTGAAGAAACATTGTACCTTGTTGACCACTTCATGATCTGAGAAAGACCAAATGTAGAGTAGACAAATAAGAAGAATGAGTTCCAAAGACCAGTACAAGAATATAATGCAAAGAAATCCAAATCAAAGTCTGCTGCAATGTTGTAAATAACTAAAGGAAAAACAAATGCCAAGTGATTAATAATGATGAGATGTTTGGAAATTTTTAGAAATGTTTAAGTCCAAACTTAAGACATTTCTTTTAGCCAAAGTTTTAGAGACGAAGTGATTTCTTTTTTAAGGCATTTTATTTACTTTTGTGTACTACATTGTAAAGTGCATAGTGCCTTTGTATATGTGCTACATAAATGAGTTGTATTATTATTATTATTATTATTATTATTATTATGATGTTTACCTATAAGCATTTTTTTTCAAAATAAGAAAAATACAAAAATTTTAAATGCCTTGTTTATCTGTAAGTAGACATGATAGACATGCCATTGCTGCTATCAATTTTAAATTGGGATTTCTTCTCAGGTCATTTTCTTCTGATTAAAATGTGTTACAATTTGTTTACCAGCTGAAGTTATATAATTACTATTGTACTGTGACAACATTTATACATCACCTTTGATATACAGTGCCAGTGGAGCTGTGGTAAGTAAAACAATTAAAGGTTGTCCTCCAAAGAGGGCAAACAAAATTCCTCCCACAGATTGTGAAATGATTACTTTCTGAACATCTGTAAAAGAATGATGAGTGGAGCAGTCAACATCTAAGTCATCACTAAAGAATGTGACTTGCATTTCACAATCAATGACAACAAAGTGTAAGCTAATTGATGTGGGTCATAGCTCAGGTTACAAATCTCATTGCAAGTTTTGTAATGCAATGCAACAAACTCTCTGTGCTTCTGAACGATAAAATGTGTAAAGTGAACTTGTTAATGATGTGACACTGATCAGTTACTGTGGACCTGCTATCACAACATGTTCAATAAATTCAAAATTTTTAATGTTTCTGACAATATAAATTTTATGAATCACCAAATGAATTGAAGTGTAAATGTAAAAACCTACTAGCAAATTCTTAACTACAGCCATTAAAAAACAAACTATTCAACTAGTATTCATACCATTTCTGTCAATTTCTCTGACATAAACCTGCACATAGCATTACCTGTCTCAACAAACCTAGCCAACTTACCAATTTGTCCTTTAGTGTTGCGGCCATTGAGAACACCAAATGCAATAGATGGCAGAATACAGGCAAAGTATAAGAATAGTGTTGTGGAGATCACTTTAGGAATGGTCCTGTGACCTCTTATTCCTATTTAATCATAAAATTGAAAAAAAATACAAATAATAAAATAATCTTAAAATGTACTGTCAAAAGAAATAAGGGTCAGCTTGCAAACCATTCTCAAACAGTTTGAAAATTAAATTAATTCCAAGAAAGCCACTCTTCAAATATTCATTCACATGATACAAGATAAGGCCAAAATAATTAAAACAACATTTAGTTTAATCCACTTACAGTCACATTATGATTGATTTAATACAGAAATGCAATCTTAATACCTGTTACAATACTTTAAAAAAAATTTGGATAAAGTAATTCACATGAAAAGATACAAGGAAGTATTTGAGAAAAATATTCCATGTTTCTGTGGTAATGAATTTGGTACATACACCTCAACTTACCATCTTTAAAGTCAGATAAGTAATGTGGCCATCTCCTTCGAAAGTCACGTATGACCCCCCTTCCAAATGAGAACAGCTCTGATCTCTGTCAAATTGATGGATAAGGTAAGTACCAGTACTCTGTATGCACAAATAATGAAACATTATCCATGCTACTGAATGACTCATGCTCCTTGAGTGACCAAGACAGAATTTCTCCTTACAATTTTCATACAATATCAAGCAGATAAGTGATGAGAATAAAGAAAATTATCAACTAGGAGATTATCAGTTGATCCAAGACCAAATTCCCAGAACTAACATCATAAGAACTGTATGGAAGACATCAAAGAGAATTACTTAATACAGGATCTTGAGAGTGAAAGGGTCAAATGACTCATATACAGAGATGCTCTACAATAGAGAGATTAAAAAAAGCTTTTTGGCATCTTGGTCAACTGTATACCTTTTCATCATCTCTTTGATGGATAAAGGAGGACTTTGGATGGAGACCAAATTGCCTTCGGGTAGGTTTACGTTTTGACCATGATCGAGAAGAAAGCGTCTCTTTGTGCACTGAGAGTACTTTCTGTAAATGGAAACCATATGATAAAACAATAGATGCTGTAGTTTGAACTCTTTATAATAAATGGAGGGCAAACAATCTCTGCAAAGTCAAATTCATTATCATAACTACAGCTTGAACAAACCTTAAATTCCTCCTCTGTTTCTGCTTCAATAAGCAACTGTCTTGTCTCTATGTCAGACAATAATGTTGCAAAAGTTCTTCCTGTTTCCAGTGAGTTCTTTGTGCTTTTCTGAATGGCATGAAATTAAGAAGAAAAATCTCAATGGGCAACTTTCAAGAACAAACTACATGTATTCCCAAATCAAGGTTTTTTTAACAATAAAATAGCCAGTAAAGGAGTATAAGTTAAAATTATAACAAAATGGTAAATATCTATATTATTAATTCATTAATTTCACTCCCATTTGCTGAACATTGTAGTATTTTGAGTAGTATTTGCATACTACTCAACCACGCTCCCCATTGACTTTGTATCATCCTCTCACCAATAAACAACACACACATTAATTTATACAGAGGATATTACACAGTACCGTATAAGATATTCATTTTATATTGGAGTGGCAAGAACTATACCTCACTCATTCCCAGCACTCACCCCTAATATAATTTTGAACTTCTTGCCATGAATAAAGCAACTAATTAGAGGAATGCATGGTCATCTGACTTTGAAATGTTTGCCTTTAACTGTTTGACCCCTAAGAGTGACTGGCATCTAATTTCTCCCCACAATATCACCCATGAATCAAACATTAAGGCATCAAGAAGAAAGGAATGATCACAGACTCAAGAAGCTTTTGATTGTTAAACAAATTCTCCTGGACAGCCTTGACAGAAATGCTCAGACAACAGTATGAAAAGTATGCATACTGATATTAGGGTGTAAAGGGTGAATATGCAGCAACTTACAGCTTTACTAGGAGCAAGCACCAAGACAACCAAATGAGTCTCCTCAAGTGTTCTTCCCAAGTTTACAGGATGTCTCAGCTGTGCAAAGGCCACGTGGCTCTGCTGAACAGATGGTAGCTCTCCCCTATAGTCAGTAAAAGACAAAAAATTATTTATTTACTTATTCAATTTATTCATTTACAACATTTAGAAAGGCTGGCCCAGTTTAGCTTTAAGGCTGGTTTAAATGGGGGGCTTTATAAACAATATTAAAGCCAGACTACAACACTGAACATACTTTCCCAACTCTTTGCAAGAAGTGCATGGGTTCTTTAATGTCCCCTACTAACCAGTACAGAGAAGATGCATACAGGTTATTGTCCTAATCCAAGGAGACTACAACATGTAAACATTTGCAGTTGTTAGAACAAAGGCACAACATTTTCCTCAGTTATTTTAAAACCCTGAGTAGTGGTCCTGTCTCAGGCTTGAACCTTTTACCTCTCCCATGGCAGCCGACAGTGAGCTAGCTTAGTACAATTAAAAATATAAAATAATAAACCCAAACCATGTTTTACCGACTAAAGGCAGTTTAGCCTCACTGATGATCAACTTAATAGAATTTCAATTGCAATTAAACACAGCTGCACTTATGTGCATACTGACTTACAGTGCAATGAGCCAATTCTGAGTTTCTTCCCAGCCTCCACCTTCAGATATTTCTGTTCCTTGGATTATTTTAGCCAAGCAGTGAACTAAAAGAGGAACATTTAACCAAAATTTAATTATCACTAGGGACAATATCCAATCCAATCTTTAACGTTTAAGAAACAAGTATGGTCAGAAATTTTTGTCAATTTGCAACTGAAATCACCCTCAACAAGCGATTTTTAATTACAGACATTTTTTTAGATCTGGTTGTCAATTCTCCCCTCCAGCTGTAACACATTCCCTTGTTAAATTGTTACAAGAATCAGGTGTTAGATCAAGATAACAACTATTACCTGAAAAGTTTGAGTTTTCTCATAATCTGTTTGTTGGATAGTGTAAGGATATTATAAGAAGTTACATTTAAAAATTTCTGGGAATTAAAGGGCTAATCAAAGAATGAAATAGTATCTAGTTGGTAAAGTACTCAATATTCTTAAGGTTATGATATAACTCCTCACCAGAGTCATGAGTGAAAAATGACAGCCTAGCTTCTTCAAAATCAATGTCTTCTCCACCAATTACAGTGATCAGCTTCTTCAGCATTGCATCAATAATTCCTTGCAGACTTGTCTCGTGCAATCCAAGAAGTAGTGTTGGTCGTTCAAGGAAAGTTTCAACATCCTTAGCTGCCCTGATTTCTGCACAGAAATTTTTTGAAGGGAGTTTCTGCGATAAAGAAAATTGAAAGAAATGAAGTTATATGTGTATGAAACAAAAATTAAATACAGTACTACAACAAAGACACTGTTTTAACCCTTTAAACACTAACAGTGACCAGCATCTAGTTTCTCCTCACAATAATTCTGTTGAATCATTCATTTAAGATCATGAGAATAAAGGAAATGATTGCCAACTAAAGAGCTTCTAATTGTTGAACAAATTCTCCTTTCCAACCCCTTAGGAAATGTATAGATAACAGTATAGAGAATATACATACTGATGTTTGGGTGTAAAGGGTTAACTTATGTGACATCTTGGGGCTAGCTATCCTAGACTGGCCCAACCTTAAGTTTGGTCCCAATACCATGTTCTGGATATCAATGCTAAGGTTAAGCTACTCATTGGCTCATGACAGGACTACAGGGAGAAGCTGCACTCAAGTACCAATTCACTCCTCTAACAGCCAAACATTTCCTTGTAAATTAGTTAAAGGGATTTGGTGTTAATCTAGATAACAAATTCTACCTGACAATTTTGAGCATTCTTATTAACTGTTTGCCAGATAATGTACGGATATCATGAAGAGAAGACACTTTTTAATCACTTCTGAGAGTTAAAGGATTAAAATTCATTATTATCAGTAATTAACTATTGTAAATGATTGTTCATTTTTAAAAAGGATGTGCATAAAATAAATCAAATATTCACCTGGTGGCTAGACAGCATTAGGGAAGTATCAGGAACACCATCTTCTAGATTAAAAGAAAAAAAAATTCCTTGAAATGAACACTTTTAAAACCAAGTAAGTAAATTTAAGAAATGTACTCTGAACCAACTCTCTTACATTTTACTTGACTGTTTACAAGATTATCCCATTATTATCATGTAATGCATTGTTAACATTATTCTTAATCCTTTGACTCATATAAGTGACCAGCATCTAATTTCTCCTTACAATATCTCCCCTGAATCACATATTAAGGTCAGAAGAATAAAGGAAATGATCACCAACTTAAGAAGCTACTGATTGTTAAAACAAGTTCTCCTTGTCAGCATTTTAGGAAATATAAGAAGAACATGCTTACTGATGTTAGCTTGGGTGTAGAAGGTTAAAATTCAACAAGTGGGCAACTAAAAAGAATCCAATCAACTGATATCAACTGAAAAAGGACTTATACACATCAACATATCCAGAATTGAGTGGGTGAGTGAGTAAAAAACTTTAATTCTGGCAACTAGGGTAGAATATTAACACCTTACTACTAGAGTTTACCAAACCAGTAAAACACAAATATTCAAAAAGTCAGAAAATGTTATTTCAATTTTTGGGAGTGTTTGTGATTCCTGCATTGTTATTTATGAGGGTATCAATGTCCACAATTGTACTTTCTACAAGCACTTTTTCAAACAGTATGTAGAACTTCACAGTTAAATCAAATCCAGACATAATAAAATGCATAGTTGCCAACAATCCCCAGCATCCTAGCTGGAATGTTTTGATAAATAAATCACCTGTTTAATTAAAATGTGAACACACTTAAGTAATTCACAAGATAATTCATTCCTCACAGTGAGGTAACTGTTCTTTAATACACCGTTTCAAAGGAAATCTTAAAAGTGTATTGCACCAACTGATAAAATGAAATCCTAGACAAAACATGCTTTTACACAAAGGCATATATCACATTTAGGCTTTTGAAGAGGAAAGCATATGGCAGTACATATGATATGAAGTTTTCCCTTTTAAATTTGTGGCATTTTTTAAAATATAGTTTACAGGTCACATAAATTTTTCAAGAATTTGTGTGTGGAAAGGGATTAGGACCCACCCTTTGCTAACCCTCGAAAGCTATGTGAAGTCGTACTAGCAGCTTATCGAGTGAAACTAAATATTTTTTTCTGATTGATTGAATGATTGTCATGGCTTTTTACCAATACCATGATCGAAATAACCTTTGGGTGGCTGACTATCAGTGAGGTATTGTAAAGGTATCATCCTCTTGTAATGGAGTTAATTCACTTTCTGTTGAGGCCTTTGGAGTAGAATATTACAGCCCTTGTGGCAGTTCTGAGGTTGGGCCAGTTAATTAAATCAATCTTGTTGCTTGATAAAGATCACATTACTGAAGGTACCATATAACTATGACCATGATCTATGCAAGTTCATCACATTTTTGTCACATGAATCTCAATATACAAAAAAAACTCTTCTGACAAAGTATTCAATTTTGAAAAAATCTTGCTTTACTCAATTAGCGAGGAGAGTTTGTTAACCACGCCAACACTGGCACCTCTTGCAAAGAAAGAGGCTGATTGAGACACAACCAAGCACACTCGTCGTGTGAAAGAGATAACATATAACTGAAAGTACTGACTAATAAACGTGGCCATGATCCACGCGTGACCATCACAATAATATCACAAGAATCTTTACAAAGAGCAAAACAACTTGATAACCCTAAAAACAACTTAGGGTAAAATTTCCACACAGCCCCATACCACATTATGCATTCAGTTCTTGGATAGAGAAAACAATGACAAAAACAGTACATTGCCATTGGAAAAACAGATTTGTTTTACAATAATATGGGACTGTGCGGAAATTTTACCCAACTTGGTATCACTAGAGGAGGATGTTTATTCAATTTGTCGGGAAAGTTTGCGAACCTCACCGGCCCTGACACGTACGTACCTCGTGCAAAGAAACATGCATTTCATGACACATTTTCCGCTCATCCACCAATTAAACCCTCCACTTAATATTTCGTGTGCGGGCATTTAAAAAAAAAGTCTTCTTACCTTCGACTAAGTATGATTCAACCACTGTCTTGATGTCAAGCCCTTGTCCACTAGAATTCAAATTAATTATTTCAACCGTCTCCATCTCACTTTCATCGTCGTCACAGTCTTTAAAACTCAACATTTCTATCGCCGGCGTCACGTTTCCCTGGCTGTTGTTCAGATCCCTTTCGCCGATATTAGCGACATCACAGCCGTCCATAGTCCTTCCTGTGGTGTAATTATTTCCGCCATCTTTTTCAATACCTGTAGGATGACTGAAAGGTCTTTCCATGTTGTTTTATATAACATAAGACTTAACCTTTTTATCAAAACCACTAGCATTGCTCTAAACGTTGTGTTTCAGGCAAGTACAAGGCCGAAAGCACATTGTATAATAGAGTAACCACGTGCATGGCTCTAGGCTCACTGCCCAACAGCTTGTAACGGTTTCAAAATGACATTTTAAGATCAGAGAAACTGCATCATTGTCGGCCAACGAGCATCCTCCATGAAAATAACACCACGCACTTTTTGCCGCCAGTTATCGAATGACAACTAGATAGTGTCCTTTCCTCTGATTGGCTATTTATCTGTCTGTAAATTATTTGGAAACAAATGAGCTATTTATAAAAATCTAATTTTTTTTCTTTCTTTTTTTATGCTGCCTAAAGTTTACGCCCTATAGTTTATTTCTCTTATAAAACATTCTTCCCCCTTAGGCTTTTTTCTATCTAATGTAAATATACCACATGTATCGATTTTTCCGAGATCCATGCTGCTGTGAACACCGACTATTTCGCGGAGAGAAGATCCTTCAGAGATTTCTCAAAAAACAAGAGTAGCGAAATATTACGAAACTTCCAAGAATTGGAACCCCAAAATTTAATACACTAAGTCTAGGGATTTGCCAGTTTTCTTATACTTTGTTAAAAAAGGACAAACAAAAAATCTGCTCAGCTGTTAACTCTGTGTCTCACCCGTGAACCAAATCTAAAGGATTCAGTGCCTGATTCTTCACGATTTTTTCACAGCATCTTCTGCCTTGCCTCATTCATAATGAAATGCCCTGTGCTTTTCTCGCTATAGGAAATGAACTCGACTGAACTTCAATGTTTCATTACATAGAATTCGTTTACTTCGCCAACTGTTTCATTGTTATTTGTATAACGGGAGAGATAACCTATAAAAACAAGTACTTCTTTCAATCATATGCAGCTCCATGTCATTGATTGATCGAATATTCGTTTATATATCAATCAAGCCAATAACGTAGGACATTTTTCTGATCTTTTCCCGCCATATTTCATTATGAAATCACTCCTTAGCAAAGAGGAAAAAAAACTGATATTTTCAGATTTTTCTCTAACTTTGTAAGTTTCATAAGCAAATATGCATATGGTTTCGATTTTACGACTCAAAAAGTAAACTAACCAATGTTCACCTACATCTATAACCTTGGAACACTAGTTTTAAATTGACAACGCAGGAAATCTCCTGTTATTGACCAGATATCAAATAAACTAAGTAAATAAAAAGGAAACTTTTATTAAAAGTTGTCGCAAACGAAACGCCCAATAAGATAGTAGTTATATTAAAGTTCACATGGCAACCAGGTGGACAATCAGACATGGTTTGATGCTACTCTGGTTTCCAGATTTAATGAATGTAACCGAAGAAGTTACAATTCATAGACCCAACGTTTCGACACTCCTGTCTAGTGCCTTCATCTGGGGTGATCTAAACGCTGCAACAAGAGGTACTTTTATACGATCACTAATTAGCTTCCTTTTTTCTGACGAGGTGTAAGTAGGCGTCAGGAAGAAAGCCGCCATCATCACGATTTAAAGGAGCGTGGGCGGAGTCAATATGCCAAGCTTCCAAACAAAGGCGCTGTTGGTAACGCCGATTAATGGTGATAATTTTAGACTTATCCCACCCAGTTGTATGGTTAGTTAGGCATGTGTGCTCCGATAGAGCTGAATTTTCTTTTTTTGCAAAAGAAAACCGCTTTTTGATGCTCTTTCAAACGTGTACCAAACTGACGTTTGAGAAAATACAGTTTTCCAATATGGTTTATCATAACCCACACTTTAAATATTTTCGAAATTAACAAATTTTTAGGAACAGATGCAACATGAAAAACATGTCTCAACGAGAGCCCTTCAAGGTTCAACTATATGTTACCGCCAACTACCAACATGTCAAGTGAATTTTTAATTTTTTTTTTTTGGCATCCTTTGTTGTGCCAACACGACATCTTCGATTTCTTAGGTCTTCTTTCTAAAAGCTGTGTTTTGTCCACAAAAAGCTGAACTGGATCCAATACTTTGCTTCAAGTATTAGATCAGAGCATTTTGACCATTTTATTTCCTCTTCATTAAGATTACTAAACTACCGTGCATGTACCCCAGGTAGTCAAGAATCTTTCCTACTCCCACCCCCCAGATGAGTGAGCGTTCTCATGGTTACGTGTGTTTAAAAAGGATCCGGGAAATTTCAATTCAAAATGGCGGCAATTAGAAGCAGACTTTGAGAAAAGGTTGCCTGAAACAAATAAGTTTTACGGAAATATATCGTTAAAATGCCTGAAGAAAGAAAAGAAGATGCAGACGCCTCTATTGCTGGCGAAGAAGAAGGCGAAGAGGAGATTCCGTCGGACATCATGCCACTTTTCTTCACAAGCAAAACCCAAGAAATATTTGGCTGCAAGGGCGACGAGGATGTTACGGAGGAGAACCCGCACAAGTTGATCCCAAAGGAAGCAATCATTCAGGATTTCAAAGATAGGGCAGCTGTCTCAGATTTTCATCCAGCCAAACAAATTGTTTTGGTAAGTTTCATACCTTTTAGGTGGATGTTGATGGTATCAGTATCCGTGTAAACGTTTTGTCCTACATGTGTTCAGCTTCTGCTGCATCCTCATCTTTTTGCCTGTCAGAACGTGTGTGCTACTCATTCAGGACTTCAACCAGCCAACATTTTTTACATTGTATTTTGTCCCTTTAACCCTTAAACTTTCATGAGTGACCATTACGGAATTTCTCCTTACCACATCAATACAAAGACTCAAGACAAGTGATGAGTGTAATGAAAAATATAAATTATCAGTTTATCCAATACCGAGTTTTTTTCAACTAACATCCAAGGAAATGTATGATAGACAGTAAGGAGAATTACTAGTGACAGAGATCTTGGCAGTGGAAGGGTTAATGAAATGTCTCCAGGTCTCTCTCATCTTATAGCTTCTTCTGAACATTGCCTTTTTATCATATGTGTAGGACTATGCAGCTGATCAACTCCTTGTAGTGTATGATCCCATCTTCAAGTATGGTCAAAATTTCTATCTTGCTCTCACTGAAGAGGCTAAGGAGAGGCTTCTTAATGTAAGTGTAAACTTTTATTGAAATTTTTCAGGAATAAGATCAAATCAGGAATAAGACCAAATCACTAATCAATTAGTGTACCCCATACTGTAACCAATCATCAGTATCACTGAATAAAGGGGGTAAGTTTCTTAAGAAACTGTGGTACTGTTTCAGTGAGAGAGTATAATAAGGTAATTTTGTATTATCAACTGAGTTGATAAGTTAAATGTAAATTGGCCACCATAAAGAGTTTCAAAACTGACATTTCGAGCATTAGCTCTTTTGTCAGAGCATCGCTGTCCCATTAATGATTCACTCTTGTTAAGGACAAATGCTTGAAACATTAGCTTTGAAACTCTTTATGGTGGCCTGAATGTTAATTATTGATTTCAAGTTTTTTCCACTCAGAGTTATGGCCTAAGCATGAAGCACACAGGCCTTAACCAAATCCATGCAGAAAAAAAAACAGGTTTCTTTATTTATAGTATGGACTTAAAGATATAGTATATATTATTAAAGCCAGCTAAATTCAATTAAAAAAAAGAGTCCTTAAATAAATAGAAAATAATCTTCAAAACAAATTTTGCTACTGTCTATCTTGATCTGCATTACTAGTGGAAACTCTGCAAGAACTTTGACAAGAAATTAGGTAAACTTGGTTAGTGTAAGATTTCAGCTGTTCATCCAATTGAATTATTGTTATTTTATATGCTCTTATTTTTCCCCAGCCCCCTCAAGATGAAGCACAAGATGGTGAGGCAGAGGAAGGAGATGGAGAAGACCTGATCCTAACACTCAGAAAGTTTCCCAGAACACCACAGCCATGGCAGTCACTTGGAAGTGAAGTTGAAGTGGAAGAAGAAAATGTGATAGAAAACAGACCTAAGGTCAGGAAGGGAAATTTTTTAAATAAAATTTGTCTTTTAATGTAACCTCATACACCTTCCTATATGTATTTTCCCTTCAGGTTAAATTTAGAATTTCAAGGAAGAGACGTGAGTTTGGGGTACCCGTGACTTTTGGTGACCGGAATGTGTCTGATGCAAAAGATGGCTTTGTAGAATGTCCTTCATTTGAAGATGATGGGTTTAGCTTGCTGAAGAAAGAACTAGACAAAGGCATACAGGTACAAAGTACATTCTGTGTGCATTTGTAGATTTGAATTGACCCACTGTTAGTGAAGTGGAAGTTACTGTCATATGACAAAAATTATTAAATCCAATTTGAGCTCTTATTTATTGATTACAGCTGTAGCTCATAAAAATAGCATATACAGTAGTTTACAGTTATCTGGATAAATTATGCTCAAAATATAAACTGTTATTCCTATATATGAATGTCTTGTTATAGGCAGTTCCAGTGTTAACAGATAATGGAAATCAAACAGAATGGTAAGATGCATTGTCTTCAGAACTGAGATTAAATTATGTACACTGTATTTTCAAACATAGATAAAGAAGTTCATTAACTGGTAACCATCTTCAGATTCCCAAAGCTTATAGACTTGATATTAAAAAAATAAACAAATTTATACATGTAATGAAAAGAATTGTATGCATTCAGTTTGACTCAATCTACTTACAGGAGAAAACCATGTAATGCTGTGACACAGTATAGTGCAAGAACTTTGGAAGAGAAGTCCAAAGATGACATCAAAAGAGCAACAACAGACATCATCAGCTTTATTGAAAAAGTCACGCCAAGGTACGCAAAAAGCCAACCCATTATGTCTCAATAAGCATGTCATTATATTTTGTCTGTCAGTGTTGTCTATACCAGTTGATTCATGTGATCTTGAATGTTTTGCTTTGTTCTTGTTGAGCCTTTTGAGTTTTGTTTGAATACTGTCCAGTTTCATGATTATTATATGCTCTGATGTGATCAAAATCTTGAATTATCAGTCCTACACACATGAAAAAAAAAAACATGTATCTTGCAGCAATTTTATAAAGATTCAACTTGTTTAAAATAACAGATTTCTCTTTCAGGTTTGAGCTGGCCTTGCAGCAAAATGAGATACTGGATGTGTTCTATGATGATTACTTGTCTCTGGCAGATGATGAAACTACTTTTGGAGCAAAATCAGACAATTATTTGAAGGTTTGTAAAAGTCTTTCAACATTTTAAGATGAGCATAATACAGTTTCACACTTAAAGTTTTGTACTTTAATTAATTAGCTGTATTCCATGCAGTCATAGAATTGTTCCCTGACATATGCATTTAGGCTCAATTCAGTTATAATTGCGCTATTTTAATTTAATAAGGTATGATATATAAGAGAGGATAGAGTTCAATTTGGTCTTTAATCATAGTTGCAGTGATGAACAGAATTGGACAGCTGCTAAGCAAGAGTACAGTTAGTTAATAATGAGTATGATTACAGTCCCTGTTACTCTTACTGAGAGCTTGATGATGTGAAACACTTAAGTGGAGGTACCCTCAAGACCTCAAATGTGAATGCAAATTCCTATCACAGAGCCATGACTCATAACCTGTTATTAATATTAATTCATTTCATCCAAATTCAAGTGCTACTTGCACAATATATACTATTAATAATAAAATGAGGCTGCTGATAACCAATCTCATTCAAGAATCTTTTAATAGTTTTAATGAAATCCTTACATTTAACACAATGGAACTGTGAGAGTAATGAGCACTTACTTACAAATTTTGACAGGAATACCAGTCATTTACTGATCTTCAGTATAGCAAGGAAAAAACAATCACAGACATTCAATGGCATCCAGTTATCAAAGGTAAGTTGATGGTTATTTATGATCTATTAACAACATTGATAATGAAAACAGAGAGTAAACATCAGAACTGCATGTGGTAACATGTCAATTTTTCATACCTTCATTAGTAATAGTGGTCCAACTTTTACCAGTAACATACAATATGCTTTCCATGTAGTTTAATTTAAGTTGTGTTTCAACTGTATGTGGTATTCCTTGGTTTTCACAGGAATCATAGCAGTTTCCTGTGGAGAGGGCCTTTCATTTGATGACAGAGTAGACAATTTTTCTCGCATTCTTATGACATCTTCCCTGGTTCTTATTTGGAGTTTTTCAGATCCAATACATCCCCTGGTGAGTATAGAAATTTTTTTGCAGCACCATTTTATATTCAGTTGTAATTTACAATTTTATCTTGTAGAACATGATAAATAGTAGCAATTCTTTTTCAATCCCTTCCTTTCATTTTGCATTACATACTTTTGAAACAGAGTTAAGCCATGAAAATAATTCTTGCCCTTTAACTTGAAAAGTTCCCAAGGACTAACACCAGATTCAGGAGCATTTTACAAAAAAAAGCCAACAACTTCCCTGAGATATCAGAATACTTGTTGTCAAAAACATCTCTATTTTGTAGATATCTCATTTGTATTTCCTCAGCAGTTTTGTGTAACTTTATAGCAATTAATATGTAAACTTCAGTCTGATTGCAACTTGTTCATAATTACCAGAGTTCTTAAAAAGAAATTCCTTTTCGTGACACTCTCAAAGTACAGGCTGGTGTGTAGTTACTGTGTGATTTGCTTCCAGGCCCTTCTTGAAGCTCCTGATGATATATTTTCCTTCAAATTTAATCCTTCTGATCCAAATATCATCGCTGGAGGATGTATTAATGGACAGGTAATTCCACTGACTGTTGTGTTCCTCTAAATATCAATTATAACTGGATCTGAACCTGTACATGTAAACAAAAAGTGTTTTTGCTTCTATTAGTTGCTGTTTAAAAAAATTTACGAGAAAAGTTATAGTTTACAGTGTTCAGCCAAACCAAAGTTTAAAATATCTATCACATTTTACAGTTTTGTATTTTTCTATCATGGAAAGCTAAGGTATTGAGAATATTATGGTTGCAGTTGTCAGTAATCATAATAATTTTTTTTCCATTTTGTAAAAATTATTAGATTGTTTTGTGGGACATAACAAACCACAGTGAAAGATTACGCACTCACAGGCAATCTCATGGCCAGAGCAAGAAGAATTCTATGAACTCTTTGGTGAGTAACAAGGATTTTTTTGAAAATAATAATTGATTTTGCAGCCAGAGAGCTTGTAAAGTGAAAGGAATGGACACATTAGACATCTATAACAAACAGGATGCTCATAATTACTTGACATAGCTCAGTATTACAATAATACTGATTATCATTATTACTAACAACTATTAATCTCTGGTCCTTAAAATCCCCAAAGATGCAAATTGTATTGAAACTGTGTGCAGTTGATCCCAGATATTAATCATGTCTGTTAAGATTCTTATTCTAACACTGTGTTGTCTCAAATTTCAAAAGCCTGGTTTTGAAGATGAATCAAGCTTTGATCGATCACCCATTCTGAGATATTGTGCCGTATCATCAATAGAACACAGTCATAAGACTGTTGTTACAGACATCACATGGATTCCTGATCACATGGAGGTAAATATTGTGCAGTTATGTATGTTCATTTGTTTGGTTGTATATGCCTTCTGGTATTTTGTTTTTGTGAGGTTCTTTGTGTGTAGATTGTGTGCTGAAATTAGTAAGAAGAAAGGTTTCATTACCAGTAGATTTGGTTTCCACCATTTTTTGGGTGTGGTCTCTCATCATCCTGAGATAGGTAGAGGAGGGGAACAGGGTCATTTCCAAAAACAGAAGCTTGTAGTCACCCCTTACCTGGTACTTACTAAGCACTCATTGGGAAATGAACCTTTCCTGAGAATAGTTCTTTTTTGGAAAGATCAAAGATCAGAGAGGGAAAAAAGGTAGAATTTAAGCTTGATGGTCATGTTAGTACACAACAGTAAAACACCTTTCTTTTTAACATGAATGTGTTGGGGGAAGGCTTTATCAAGTTCAAGTTACTGTATGATAGACTCTTTATCTGTGGATTCTGTCTTAGATCGGCCGTATGGGAGTTGTTGTTGAAAACAAATCACAGCAGTGCAATCAGTTAATGTCCTGTGCTGCAGATGGGTAAGTGATAAGTGACGCTTAGTAATACAAGGAATCAAATACTATAAAATAATATTTTTGATTTTACACTTGTCAATGTGATCACTTTATCACTCCATTTACCACTTCTTATAAACATACATCATAGTAATATTCATAGATAATTAAGCTAGCTTATGTAGTTTCTTTGGAGATCAAAGATTCAAAATTTGATGATCAAAATTTCAGGCATACAATAATGCAAGAATATAGCTTTTAAGCTATATCACAATGGACCACACTATGTGAAGAAACACAACTCTATAGTTTTTGACTGACAATATACTCATATTTTTTTTCATCTTCCCACTACTGTGACAAATAAATAGCATCTTTCTGTATGTTTTTTCTTCTTTTTGATGTTTATTTACAGTACTGTCCTTGTTTGGGACACACGCCCCAGTAAGTCTGCTGCACCAAGTCAGGCCGCAGGTCACAACCCAGTTGGAATTCTTCCCACATTTAAACACTTGGACTTAACTTGGAAGCCTGTCCTTAGGGTAATTCAAGATAATTAATGTAACTTAATTTTTTTCAGGTTTTAGTTGCTTAAGTTTAAGATCTGCAGATGAAACTCCTACAGAGAGATTCCCCCGTATAACAGAGAAAACAAAAACCCTCTGTACTGACTACCATACAATTCTTATGATCATTTACCTCTAAGAATTTGGATCAACAAGTAATTTCCTAATTGATATATTTTATTATCCTCATCATCTATCTGCTTGATATTTTATTGATATTGAAAGGAGAAGTTATGGGGTTACACTATAAAAGAATTGATATAATGACTATGTATGAATTCAGGTTACTGTATCTCACTCGGTTGGTGCTGGTGAGTTTGGCCCAAGTGTATTCAGCATTTCAGAACGTCAAGGAGCAAGAACATCTGGCTGTGAGTACCATGAGTTATCATTAACTAACAATAGTCTTGTCTAATATCTGTAAAAGCTTAAATGTTTATTACCTATAACAATTTTTTTTCTGTAGAGAAGTTAGTCAGATTTGCTTAGAAATTGGGAGAAAATTGAATGAAAATGTAAAGTTGACTTGTAGATGTCTATTAACAGTACGAATGTTGGTTCATTCAACAAAAGTAGTTCACCTGATTAAATTCTGCAATATGTAAATGACTTACTTGCTACTGATGGAATTCTCCAGGGATAAATTAGTCTAATAATACAACACTTTTGGTACACTTAATCAGCTGTAACCCTTTACACCAAAACATCATTATTCACATTCTTTCTACTGTTCTCTATGCATCTCATAAGGTGCTGACATGGGAATTTTTTTAACAATCAAGACCTTCTTTGTTTGGTGATCATTTCTTTTATTCTCCTGACCTGAATGTGTGATTCAGGGGAGATATTGTAAGGAGAATTTTGATACTGGTCACTCTAAGGGGCCAAAAAAATTAATTTCAGTGCAGAAGGCATACAGGGTCACATGATGATTATACAAATATTAGGTGCATGTATGTGTACAAGGTGAGATATTACATCCATCTCTACCTGTTATATTTTAACAGCAAAACCTAGTGAGGAAAAAGAGACAAGGGAGATATCCAACTTATCAACCGGTTTGTCCAAAGGTAGAGATCATGGCAAGCCTTTGGAGAATGTCAGCTCAAAATTTTTCATTGGAACTGAAGTAAGTCTGTGAAATAACACCCACCTCACTTACTCACCTCCAGCTTGTGATTTACAAACTTTTCTCTTATTCTCTTAACATCTCAAGTGGGTTATTACAACAATAAAACAATAGAAAGTGTCCTCTATGGCTTAAATACTTTTATGAGGAACCCATTATCTTGCTGATGATTGTACTTTTGTGATACAGTAGGTCTGCCATGTAATGTTGCTCCGGGTCACCTCATCTTGACACGGTTGTTTTGTCATAACATTTGCATTCAGATGGGTAGCCTATGTAGCTGGTGGTTTTACATATGTTTTAAAGCATTGGGTGAGGGCTGGGAAAATCTCCAGCTCCTTAGGATACCAGATACATGTTGGTGGAACATGATGTATAGCATACATAAATACGGTTACTTTTATGACAGGAAGGTGATTTGGTGTATATGGATTGGAAACCCGAGAAGGATACGGACAGTGGAAAGATCGTGTGTAAGTTTGTGGTTCATGCTTTATAATGGCTTGTTTTTGGATTTTAACTTATATTACTAAGATCTTTTGGCGCAGCACCCAGCCTTTTGAAATTTTCCATTAGCCAGCCAGAAATTTACTAAACAACCAATTTCCTCTATGTCACCCAAAATACGAAATATGACTTTGCCCAAGCTTACAGCAGTTTCCAGGAACACAGTAAAAACGTCTGAAAAACTGTCTAATTTAAAGATTCATTTCTTCCTGAAAACTACACTCTGCTGAGTGAAATGTTTTCAACATTACCAAATAAAGAATCCTTACACTATTTTTGCACTGGTAACAATGTCGTGGGAAGATTAAGATCAAGAGGTTGTGATCGTTAGTTTTGTTTTGAGCAAGAACAAATTATGAAGGTAAACTGTCTCTTTTCTTTAGCCCCCCGTCCTGAGCAAGTGTGGTTAGCACATGATGGCCCCATCACCACCCTACAGAGGTCGCCTTTCTTCAGGGATATACTTCTTACGGTGGGAGGGTGGACTTTTGCAATTTGGAAGGAAGGAGTAACGGTATAGTGCTTTAATTCTCTTTAGTGTTTCCTTCGATTAACTAAGCCGATAATAGTAATTATAATTACAATGAGGACGACTTCGATCGTCGCACATATGATGCGGACGTTTTGTGTGATCGTCAGAAACGGTGGAGCTTTTGAAAATTTGGGAAAAACGGGAGGTGGGCTCATCACTTTTCAGGTCAAATACATGACCTCACCCATGACTCTCAAAATGTTCCTTTAGGTAGCTGTAAGTGCAGTTTAAAACGTATGAGTTAAAAAAGTTCAGCAGTATATTACTTCGTCAAGGGCAACCCTAATGAAACAATTTGTGAGAAGGTCAAACAACTGAACATGTTTCCAAGCCAGTTTTCTGCTGCGCTATCGATATTTTCCGTAACAAAACGTGGGGGAGGCTAAGGTGTGCTTCCCCTTGGGTTTCCTAACCCCCCCTTGCTCCTTCACCTATGTTTTGATTGGGCGATTATTGATATTAATTTTACTGACAGAAACAATGACAGTGAGGATTGTTTCTTAAAGAAGTGACTTCGGGGTAGTTTGATTCATTCTTGGTGTCGAAGAATGTTAACTTAAAAAAAAAATTGAAACACGAGAAATGGAAGTGGAGTGATAAAGGATGCTGTTCATATACTCGGAGTGCAAACACAATATAAGAGGTATCACCTTTTGGAGTTCAGGCACTCATGTCCATATGGCTTCTCTTTCTCTTCTTTTTCTTCTTTGTGTCTCCCTTTCTTTCTTTCATTCTTTCTCTCTCTTTCTCTTGGGTACAGAATGGTCCTCTTCTTCAATCAGCGAGTCATTTAATGAGATTGACAAGGGGACATTGGAGTCCATCAAGACCAGGTAACAAACCTAAATACCTTCAGGGAAAGTAGCGGAGGTATAGTACCTCTCAGACATGTATAACAATGTAAAAAAGGTGTGAATGAAACAAAGATTGAAAAGGAGAATTTGTTGAGAGATTAAAGCCTAAAACTAATTAGAATTAAGTAACGTTACTGGTGATTTGAGTTGGGATTGATGTGTGGTACTGATTCAGAAAAGTGAGGGAAAGCTTAAACTGAACACGGGTGATTTAGAATGAAGAAGCTGCTTTGAACGTGTTACAGTGTTTGCGATCCATTGTAAGCACTCATCATCTGTTAAAAAATTTTAGATCACAAACCTCGTGTACAAGGAATTCATCATTTTATTCTCAACCGTTATTTTCATTTCCAGGGGTGTTTTTCATCACCAAGACCGATGGTAATGTTGATGTATGGGACCTGCTAGACAGGTATGGATCTAACATCAAATTCTCCACACTCCTCGCTTAAGGAAATATGAAGATGCTAGAGGAGAATTGAGGTTTTTTGATAACTTGGTGGAAATTGTGTTTAAATGTGTACTCTTTTGTTAGGTCACACGAGCCGTCTTTAACTCAGAATGTAACTGCTGCTCCCATCACGACCATTTCACCTCATCAGGTTTCAAGTAAGTGTGACAGTAGTTGTTGCTGTAACACCTAACTGCTTTATGTCTTGTAGTGTTACTCACAGATGGTTTCTTGTAAAACTATAAGCAAAGCTATCGCAACAGCAAATCACAACTGATGAAAATAATATAAGGAGCCAATGTTAACTAAAAGTAGCCTGCGTTACTGGCGATCTGCGGTTTTAGGGGCGGAGAGAAAAATGAAAGACTTTCATTTTTCTCTCCGCCCCCAAAACCGCAGACCGCCAGCAACGCAGGCTAAACTCAAAGTTAAACGGCAAACTGCTCTGTTAGCTGGAAAACGTGCGTAACGAAGTGGCTATGGGTGTGACTTTTACATCTGATTGGTGGAGAGGATGTGACGAATTTTCTATACCCATAGCAGAGCGAAGAAAAGAAAAAGAAAACTCATCCAAAATTACTTTCTACACGTGATACTGAATTTCTCTGACGATCGATATGAGTAGTAAAGAAATCTGTCATCCAGCTCGTAGATATCTCGGCTGCTGTAGTCACTGTATTACTCGCTTGATCTGGATATTGCTCTATTCAAGGACTGTCAAAGGCAGTTTTCAAGTGGCACTGTCGCTTCTGTTCCATGTTTAGTGACGATTGTATGTTTGTTTGTTTGGTTAGGTAAGCAGCAGCTTCTAGCTGTCGGTGACGGTATGGGAACATTACATGTCATGGAGGTTCCTTGGAATCTTAGGCACCCATCTGCTAATGAGGTAATTTGTTTCTCTATTTTCGTCCTCGAACTTTTGCCGAGGAGTGTGTATTCAAGTAATATAAGGCTGAAACTAGTACTATGTCTGATAATACTGATGTAGAAAGATATTTTACAGGACTCTTGTTACACGTATGTGAAGTGTCCTTTCCCTTTCGTGAGAATAGAGTAGTCACCCTCCCCCCCCCCCCCTTCCGGCACTTCGTTTAGGTACCAGACGATACACATATGTTCATCTTCATGTGTTGGTTACCGGAGGAGGCAGTGCGAGGCTTGACATGTTTGTTACTTGGTCTGATCATTTGATTAAGTAGGCCCATGCCCATGTAGTCGAGTTGATTTCATGTTTACGTCTCGTAGGCCAATGCAATGGAAAACTTTTTTGAACGAGAAGTTAAGCGACTGGCATTCGTGGAAGAGAGGATGAAGATCCGAGAACAGGAGAAAAAACAGCTGGACGCTGAAGAAAGCAAGCGGCAACAGGTTAGTTATAATCAGCTGGAAAAAGTAAAAAAACATACAAAAGTAGTAATGATATCATAAACAAAAAGTAATGAGCATTGAAAAGGTGGAGAGGGTAAACATGCCAGATCTCATTAGTAATTCTCCTTACTGTCTGCTATACAATTCCTAATGTTCGTCTCGAGAATTTGGTACCAGATCAACTGATACGTGGTATTAATTCTTTATTCTCATTACTTTCTGCTTGATATTGTTTGGATATTGTAAGGAGAAATTCTGTCTTGGTCATTCATGTGAGTGAAAGGGTTAATCTAGAAGAACTGAAACAAAAAAGGAACGAATTGCAGACATACAGGTACTGCTGTCCAAGCCGTGGCATACGCAGGGCTCTGTTATAATTAATAGCTTCTTCGGAATCCAAGTAACCTTCGTCTTCTCGGATAGGACGTAAAACCGTAGGCCCCGTCTCCTGCAGGGTTGGGGTAGGAGACGTTAATTTCCCACGTACGAGATTACTGTGTGGTGGAGTGGAAATAGACACTGATTGGTAACGTTTGGCAATAGAAATAGCGCTATATAAATACTGTATTATTATTATTATTATTATTATTATTATTATTAATAGACCAGTAACGTTTGGTAACTACATGTAGGCACGCGCTGCGGACCTGTTTGTTCGTGAACACACACTCTCTCATTCTCTCTTACATTTCTGACGTCATAGTAAGTAGAGCATTGTGCACAACTACAAAAAGGTTTAGACTTTTCCTTTATTGAACCCACAGGAGGGCAAACGAGCTGAGGAAAGTGACGCTGATATCGAGGCTAAACAGAGAATGGTGAGTCATGTGACAATAAAGCAGTTTCGATTTGTTCTCAAGAGTGTTTAGAATCGCACGCTCTAGATTTCTTAAGTCTCTTTTTGGATTTAAACCGCTTTGTGCACCATTAATTTTCTTATTTTCCCGAACGTTGCACAGGAATACCAGGAATATTTACAAATGGAGAAGCAGTTACTAGAAGAGCTCGGCATCAGAGAAGAATCAGATGATCCTATTGAGGTTTAGTGCAGGTTGTAATTGTGTTGAATACACGTTCGTCTGTTAACAGGTCCTGTAGTTATACTAGGTTGTAAATAGTGTATTTTATACTGTTGTACATTTTCTGGTACTTATTTCTTCCGTACGATTTCTGGTCTTGTCTCATGAGGGTCGATCGTGAGCAAATCGTCTCAACGAGAACACACGAAGGCTCCCGATTCTTATTTCCTGCCACAAAAGAGTTTTCTGAGCGTTCGCGAAAACACTGAATATTACGTCGTGTTGCGTAGCAACATCTGATAAACCCAAAGACTGCTGACTCAGTTTATACCAGATATCTAGCAAGTATCAGGGGTTTTATTTTCCAGTGCAGGTTGATATAAGCCGCCAACCGAACTTTAACTCAGAGCGTTTATTTCATTGGTATTCACATCTTGAACAAAAGAATACCGCGAACGTCTAAGTCATTGTTTACACTTGAAATGATTAATTATTTTTAAACTATTGTCGACGTTTGAAGTAATAAAGAAATTCATACCAGCAATCAGGGTGCTTTATATCTCTGCGATATTACATGAGGACAATGTTGTTTTGGCAAACCAGGACTAACATTATCTTCTTTTAATTTTGAACTTTTCTAGTTTCCTGTATGTAAATTGTCGGCGAAATTGGTTCTCACAAATAAGCAATTACTCCCTTACGGTTTAAAAGGATTTAAGATTTATTCCGAGTTCCGCTTGTCTAGAGATACATTGTGTCTCAAGCACTCGTTCTCTAAAACTCTCACCGGCGTCAAAGAGGATTTTGACAAATGACAATTTAGAAAGTGGCTTTACACCGTGTTAATTGCGTTGAATTTTCTCGAACATTTTTAACTTCTCTTGTTATCGTTCAGTTGAAAATCCCTTTGCAGAAGGAATTGATAAAGTATTGTGAATGGACAGTCTGTGACAGATGGTGTCATCTCAATTTCCTTAAACCTCTTAATTAAGTTTCATTTATTAAACTACATAACGAAAAAGCTTTAAGAAGCGAGGTAAACTCAACCTTTAGGTATCAAAAATGAGAATTTGCACTCGCGGCAGAAGTCTCTCTGATGTTCTTCTTATTCTTGTAATCAAGATCTTTATAGTATATTCTTGGTAAATATTACCCCGGAAGTTTTTAAGTTTTATAGAGCTAGACGTGCGATTTTGTGTTCCAAGATGTGTAATATCAATTTCAAAAAAAAAACTAATTATGTCTATTTTCCCTCTTGTTTAATAACAGCTAAAAATCTGAATAAACATTTCTTAGCCAGGTGAGACTCATCTTAATTGTGAGTGTCACAAAAAATGATCATATTTTCCCCATGAAACCTTATAACAAAAATGAAATAGACAGTTGCGGAAAAGTTGTCATATAATTTCTCGATTTGAAAGTAGTTCGTTGGATAAAAGACCGTGCCGATGAGTTTGTATTAAGCGACGCATCAACGGAAGACAGGATTTTTTTTTTTTTTTTTTTTGCGTTTCAAATGAAACTACACTTTTTTGTTAAAGATGGAAAAGGAGAATTGGAAATTTTGGCATTGATAAGATAGGTGAGATCCACAAAAGCATAAGACAAGAAGTGTTTTCCGACAAACATTTGAAAAACAGAAGTCCTAACTTATCTCAGTCTTTTTTTAATCAAGTTTATCACTGAAAAACATTAATTTTAATAAAAACAACTTTACAAATGAATATGAAAGAAAATATATTGAAATTTGCACTATTTAAGAAAGGTAATTTGTTGTTGAAGGATTTCTTTTGAAGCAGTGTAATATTTCATGTCAAAAAGACAACTTCAATCCGATTCCCTGCCTTATATCATAACAATTGCTATTTAACTCCTCGAAAAAAACGTTTTCAAATAATGACTTTATTTTCCTTTTTTTTATTTCGATTAATTATGCATGTTGTTCAGTTAAATAAAAACTAGAGGTAAATATCACTTTCCGTACCATGGTTATATTAGCCCTTTCAATGGATAGTAGGAAATTCATAAACTTTCTTTCTTTTCAAGCGATCCATTGAGGGCAACATGTAATAACGCAATTATAAACGAGTACTCAGTAAAAAATCTAGCTTATGATTCAAGAAACACAAGTGAACTGTCAATGAAGACGTCATTAACTTTGTTGTGGGTCTTTTTTGTGGAGATGCATTCATGTTGATCTAATGAAAAATAAACATTGTCGCACACACACAGCCCACAGAAGCGACAGGTGCGTTTGATATCCGAATACGCTCCTATAAATCATTCTGACTTAAACGATTCAGCATTATATTGCGTAGTTAGATAATTCACGCATATTTATTCAAGTTTTCAAGTGAACAGTCAAAATTGGAACATTTGATGGTTTGATGCGTAAAAAGTTGTTGATTCCAAGTTAAAGACCCACTCAATTTCGCTTCCGCGCACAGTTTCACATTATTTATTTTTCTGCTGTTTGATTATTGGTCAATGCACAGCGTCGCCGGAGAACGACATCACTCTACTGATTGAGGTGGTCTGTTCCTTTGCTACACTTGTCGGAGTGAAATGCCATCGTTAAGTTCTTCAACAACCACTGAAGATATGGACGTTATTAACTGCAGTTTTCAGGTCTTGATACGGTTCCCACACACCATGTCTGCACGCCTCACAGCCATCGTTACTTGTATTATTAGCTCACTGGGCTTGATGGCTGCTGTGTCATGCAATACGTTATTTATCGTAGCCTTTGCGCGGACGCGAGAACTTCGTACGTACGCGAATCTATTCCTTGTCAGCCTATCATGTACTGACTTACTTGTAGGCTCCATTGTCGAGCCACTGTATATAACGCGGCAAACTCTGGCGCTATCAGGAATAGATGACTGTGGTGTTTGGATCGCTTACTTGACAATGGCACTGTTCTGTACGGGTGCATCTTTTCTGAACCTCACTTTAATAAGCTGTGAGAGATATGTCGCAATATTTTCCCCACTAAACTACATGCGACTGGTGACAAAATCTCGCGTTTTGAGCATAATTGGTGGAGTGTGGCTAGCGTGGGTAACACTGACCTGTGTGCGTTTTGCTGGAATACCAAACCGTATTGTATACCTGATTTGTTTCGCTGTCATTGGCTCATGCTATGCTATTACGGCTTTTGTCTACTTCTTTATTTTCCGAGAGGCCAGAAGACATCATCGAAGGATCGTTAGCGAACAACAAAACTATGATCCTCTCGCTCCGAGTGTAGCGCGCGAAACTAAACTTGCCAAAACGATGGCGTATATATTTGGTGCGTTGTTGGTTTGTTACCTACCCGGGATGACAATTTTACTTATTCGCACAATTAAAGGCGACTCGCCTCAATTATTGTACAATTACTACCCATGGGCAGAAAACTTAATTTTTTTGAACAGTGCTCTGAACCCAATGATTTACTGCTGGCGCAATCGTGAAATACGCCGGGCAGTTTTTCGGGTTATCAATCCAGTGTTAAGTCAGATGTTCAACCGCCATATCGCCTCCTCGATAAAGGTGGGGTATGTTAACGAAGTTGGATCTAGGACTCCGAAAACTGAATACGCAACCTGTGTTTCTGGCAGAAGAGTTCAAACATCTCCCATAACAAGAGACGTCGAGATACAATCAGTTTGCTCAAGGGAGTAAAAAGTGGAACAATTCTCAATAACCGGCGTGTGGCAAATAATTTTTTTTGTTCCTGCTAAGGGAAGATTCTTATCACATCAAGTGCTAATGACTCGAATTCATTGACATCTCTTCGTAACTTCAAGACTCAATGAAGGCGCTTTATCACAAAAGAGACAACTTATCTTTTAATATTTCTACACTTGTGTAAGTGCTCAATATTTTGACTATCTCTTTGATCCTTCTTAGGTGAAAACGCGGCTTTTACTGACACTCTTTTGTGCAAAACAGAATCGTTTTTTTTATTGGACGAAATGACCAACGGAAAGATATACTTCAGTGGATAAAGAATCGTAAAAGTTTCTTTTTAATATCCTTACGGTAACGCATTATTTCACTTTTGCCTCAAACAATGTAGATTATATGTTGTAAAAAAATAACCGAATTATGTACATCTTGTCGTTAATTTTTTTCTTAATCTCTATGCGGCGATGGTTGCAGGCAGCCCAGCCCATCTAAACTATTAACCGTCGAATTCAATATGTATGTTAATAGGGTGATCCACTGTGTGTACATGTAGAACTGACGAGGACACAATGTTTACTCAGACTAAGCTAAAAAATAATATTAGTTTGTTCGAAACACATAAAGGTTCTGCTTTGTGGTAATTAGCAAATGTTTTGAAAGGTCAGGCTCGCGAATTGCAGCACGTACCCAGAATCCCTTCATTTTCCCTCTGGACTTCTCGCGAAGAGTTACTTTTTTATACAGAAAAACTGACGCTTGATCTGCGGAGATCTGTTGATAGGGTTTCTCTATGGCATTCAAAAATTTAATCGCATTCATTAAGACTTATACATTTCCCTTACATCAGTCATACGCACAATTCATCTATTCATTCTAATTGTGCATCACATTCAGACTATACCGACAATATAAGGAAAGTAATGGATTTTATTTTAGATTTACGATGAAAATAATTTGTGACCAGTCTTTTCCGCTCAGAGCTGAAAGATTTAATCTTATTACCCATACTCGTGAAGTTATCGATACAGAGAAAAAAATCCTTATTATCTCGTTTCGGCTTTATTTTAATCGTGATTTGTGTATGGGTTTATATTAAAAAGACGCATGCTCGTTATTGAGTATTACGTAAATTTAATTGCGCCCATGGAAAGTGTTTTGATAGAAATCATTTGAGTTACTAAGCGCGAAATTTTTATTATTTATCTGAGTAGTCTTGTAACCAATTTGACTGACATTCTGATGCTGCAAGGGAGTGTTTTTAATTCAGTTCTGACCATAAATTTGCTCACAGTGAAATTTAATTAAGTATCGACGCAGCAATTTTAATTTCTTTCTTGGGAGATTTATCATTTTCCGAATGTAAAACAAAGACCGGTCAAAAATGGTAAGTTTGTCTAGAAGCATGTTTTATCAGCTGAAAGTTAACACAATTATATGAATATTTTTTAGACCTTTTTCGATGGCGACGGCGCGTGTTCCTTCCAAACAAAGCTTAAAACTAAAGTATTTAGGGTGTTAAGGCTGGTTGGCGCAATTCCATATTGGTTGATAATTCATTTTACCAGACAAACACCTCAAGATACAGTGTAACTGAAGTCCTACACGAGAATTCTCAAATTAAGATTTGATTTTTCTAGTGGTACAATCTTTAGTTTCCCAGCCACACAACCTTTGTCACAGGGGGGAGGGTTGGCTAGGGAAGTGAGGATGAGTGCATTTGTTATTTCGTTCATGGCTCTTATTGAGGTCACTATCTAGACGATGTTTTAGGTATGAAGGAGGGTCTTTGAAAAGACTAGTATCAAGAAATTATTTCTACAAATATGCTTTTGGTGATATCACTTGCGAAAAGTCGACCTCGAGCATCAAAGGTTTTTATCAAAAATTACTTCAAGGGTTACCACTCCTCCACAAGGTTCATTTAGTGCCGCATACCATGGTAAATGTACCTCCCTTCCTACAAAATTTATTAGATGTGGTGATGAGAACTGTTCATAATTGACAATGATAATAATCATTGGGGCGAGACTCTCATTATGCGTTGTGACCTCATGTTGTCCGAGAGAGCGCTAAGTACTAGACAGTTTCTAACATGGCGGTCTAGAAAGGTGGTATTGATAAATAATGCATTCAGATGAAAACAAACCTGCAAATCAAAGCTCTAACATACTGAGCTCAAAAAGAAAGCGGGATTTCGAGGAAAGCAGATCAAAGGTGTCCCGCTCCGAAGGTTTTTCTTGGTGGACATCATTAATGTTGGGAGTTGAACCGAAGAACTTTCCAAACACTCGTAGTTCGGTTGTGTCCACGAAACAAAAAGCTGACGAACAAGACCATTAGAGAAACTTTTCTACCAAAAAGTAAATACAGAAATCTCTCCACGCTAGTCCTTTGTAAAACAAGAGTTCACGAGCGTCTAACTGTGGGAAGGCGAAGAGAAATATCATGTTCTGTTATCGTCATAGATCGATCATCAGCTGATTGTGGGCTGCACTGAAGTGCTTTATACAGCTTAACATCTTCTGGCAAAAGAAATTGTCTTCTTACCTGTGTAGGTAACCAACCATTGGTATTTGGCGAATCGTTTTATGCACAGTTCCTTGTCTGGTTCCGTTCATTAAGTATAACTAACAACGGTGCTCTTCTGTCTTTTCATATGACGTTCTCTGTAGTGCACCTTACTAGTTGATCGCATGAAATGAGACAACAAAAACTCTTTGAAAACACAATCGTCACTTTGCAATGATTTATTGTATCGTTGGAAAGGATGTTTATGAAAACACCTATTCCGTAGGGAGATGCTTCGCATTGAAATGATAGGATAAGACAACATCTCGTCATACATTTGAAAATTTATAGTTGTCTAAGGCATTTGAAATTATCATGTCAGGAAGTGTAGAGAATTCAGGTGAGCATCTTGTGGAAGATACCAGTCTTGATTTTCCAGAGCCTCCAGAAAAACCACAAGATAGTGACTGCTGTGGAACTGGTTGTGTACCATGTGTCTTTGATATTTATGACGAGGAAATGGCAAAATGGAGATTAGAATGTGACAGAATAAAAAGTGGAAAAAGTATCTTGGAGGATTTACCCAGTGGAAGTTTTGAGCAAGCACTCAGTACTTCAGAGTTTCGAGGTTTTGAACTAGAGTCCATCACTCCGAAGACAGATGATTCATGTATATACAGATTTAAGATCCCAGGAAGTAGGAAGCTAGGAATCAAAGTAGGACAGCACTTAATAATGAGGTGAGATGTAAACATGACAGAGATAATTCCATTGGTATATCTATTAGAGATGTTTTGGCTTGGCTGGGAGATGGTGGGTTTTAACTTATTGCCTGGTGTAGCTAATTGAATAACCCTTTCACTCCCAAGATCTCATTAGCAATTCACCTTACTGTCTGCCGTACAACTCTTATAATATTAGTTCTGAGAATTTGGTATTGGAACAACTAACAAATCTCTAATTGATATTTTCCTGTTATCTCATCACTTTTCTGCTAGATATTGTAAGGAGAAATTCTGTCTTGATCACTGATGGGAGTTGGAAGGTTAAAAGGGATACTGATTTTTCAACTAATCATTGGTACATATCATTATATTTGATTTGACTGATTGTACAATCAAATTTATATCAAATTCTACCAATGTTAATTGAAGTTCTGTAAGGCACATTATTTAATTTTTTTTTTTGCTATAACAATTTTTATCAATTGGTAAAAGAGTAAGAGTAAGTTTTCATCCCCAAGACTGAGAACACTAAGACCTTCTAACTGTGATCCTTGTATGCATTTTTCTTGAGAGAGGATTAGAGAGAGTCTAGTTACTGGCAATCTGCTTTTTAAATATTATTTGCATTTGACTTAAATTTTTTTCCAACAAGAATTATGCAATTGCTTTTTTAGGGGCAAATTTGATGGCAGGTGTATCACTAGGCAGTACACACCTATTAGTCCAGTAGACGGCCGTGGGTTCTTTGATGTACTCATCAAGGTATTTCACAGAGTATACCATTCTGAATCCATCCCTAATTATGCAAAACTATTTAATAATTTTATCTGAATGATGAATCTCATAAATAAATTTTATTTTGTGGGGAGCTGTCAAGTAAGGCCTGTAATGCAAAGTTAAATAAGACAAAGATTTATTTCTTAGTGGAAAATTGAGATGGTAAAAGTCTAGATTCAAATGTAAATAGCTTGTACTCTTTCAAGAAAACAAGCAATTAATTCAAACTGTTAATCCGTACCAATTTTTATTGTACAGGTTTATTTGAATGGAAAAATGTCTCAACATATAAAAGCTTGGCAAGTTGGTGACATGATTGAGTGGCGTGGACCTTTTGGAAATTTTTCTTACTCACCAAATCAGGTATTTTGAATGTGGCAAACAGCACATGTGTTTCTATAGGGAAGGTATAGGAAAGAATCATAAGGAACCTTGAATACCTGTGGATCTAAAATGCTCTTACAGATCTTATATAATGGTAAAAACAAAAAAGCACTTCTCGCATTTTACGGTACTGTATGTTTTCAGTATCGTAGGATTGGTATGTTAGCAGCAGGAACAGGGATTGCCCCAATGCTGCAAGTGATTCAAGACATAGTTACAAATGAGGATGACGAAACATTTATCCAATTGGTTTACTCAAGCCGAACATATGATGACATTTTAATGAAAGACACACTGGATGAATGTAAAGCTTACTGGAATTTTTCAGTACTCTATGTTCTAAGCCAGGTTAGTTATTGAAGGTAATACAATGCTATCTAAACTGTTTACACCCTAACATCAGTTTACATATTCTCCATACTGTTCTCTATACATTTCCTAAGGTGCTGATTAGGAGAATTTGTTTAATGATCATTTTCCTTAATTCTAGTGACCTTGATTCACATGTGATGTTGTTTGGAGAAATTTAATGCAAGTTGTTCTTACTGGTCAAAGGGTGAAGTCTTCCTGTTTGCTCCATTGTTATTGAATGTGCTCTTAGATTAAGCCCAAAAGGTATCATGGTGGCCTTTTAGTTGGTATGCAAGACTCTTAAAGAGCTCTGGGCCAGGTTGTTCAAAGCTAGGCTAAGATAACCCAGTGCTAGTGTGAAATTTGATTTCACATCTGAAAGCTTTAAAAGAAAACTCATTTTTAATTCTTTTTGTCTACAATTTGATGATTGGATGCTCTAAAAAGATTTTAAAAAATTATCTGAAAAGGCTCTTGCATAAAAAGATAAAGAAACCTGGATTGAAATTTAACCCTGGATTAGCATTAATTAGCCTTCAAACAACTGGGCCCTGGGTTTTGCTCAGGCTTTGTCATTGTGTGTTGTTCTTGAGCAGTGTACTTTACCCTCACAGTGCTCCTCTCTAACCAGGGGTATAAATGGGTAACTGCAAACTGTTATGGAAACCTGATGAATTTTTGACAGGTAACCAGCCATGGACTTGCTTTCCATTTAGGATGGGTAACAATACCAGTAGTTGTTATTTTTTTGCAATCCCACTGTTATTTTTATGGGCAAAGAAAGATAAATTGAATGACTGATTGCCCATGGGATTCTAGACTCACAGTATGTAACTGTCTGCTATCAAATTGCAGCAATGTGATTTTTTTTCTGTTATTCCAAAGTCCCTGTTGTAAAATAGTTGCCTAATTTTTGCAGTGTCCCTCAAGTTTAAGGCTGTGTGAAGCTCTTCTTTTAAATGTAGACATTGCCTTTGTAGGAAAGTAAAGCTGGCCAATCAAAAGTCAAGTATAGAGATCACATGTCATACGGCAGGATCGATCAGGAGCTTGTATCACGTGAGATGCCTCAGCCGTCACATGATGTTCACGTGTTAATCTGTGGAACCAAGTCGTTTGACAAGGACATGATAAAATATTTGAAAGCTGCTGGTTACACATCAGACATGTATTATAAGTTCTAATTATGAGAAAATTACCATCTGTCTTATTTTTGTCTATGAGAAAATTGTTCTTCAAGAAAGATCTTTTGTACACTTCGCCAACAAGGAATAACTTTTAGATCCTACTTTGGTACCCTTCCCTGATCAAACGCTGTTATTTTATTCCGATTTTTTGAACCCTCTGATAATTAAAACCAAGTTCCTTTTTCCTCAGAGGTTTAAGGAAGCGGAATTTCACTGTAGCTTTTTGCTTGAGATAGAGATTCACACAGTCACAAAAAACTTTGTACATGTGCATTTGTCAATAGTGTTCTTAATAAATTGACAGAGACGATGTGTCTGTTGTATACTTTCCAATTAGAATGATTATTGGACTGGAAGATATCGCGTATATTTTTTTTTACAAAGTCTGGCACCAACGAGACAAAGATGTGAAAAAGTATAAATTGTAGAAGTTACATCTACATGTTTTGTTGCACATGTTCACTTACATTTATTCTTACAATTCTCTTCAGTTTTCAGACTATCGACTTTACTTTGGCTGACCCACAATTAGCCACAGCTAGTCTAAGGTAGGTCAGTAATTAAAACTGAGATAGCTAACAAAACTATCTAAGCTAACTGCTTAACATACATTGGATTCAGTGTTCTTGTCAAGAAATAGGTCGAGATGGAAATAAGCAAAAGCTCGGATATTACATTATGATTTACAATATTTTTCTATTGCTATAACTGTTTCAGTATCATAATGACTGTCTTTCGTTTGCCAAACGTGTCTTAGGGTAGCGTCTTTTTAAGGGAGTGGCTGTTGATCTGGATTAGAACCAAACGAAAGTTGCTTGCATGCTCGTAACGAAGCGTCGGTATTCTACGTGCACGAAACGGAAATCAGTCAGTATGATAAGTTATGACCTGACCAGCCATGAAAAGATTGCCTGAATGATTTGTCGTAAATTATGCACCTGAATCAATACGCAGATAGTTACTGATAAGCATATGTTTGACTTGAAAATTTTCTGGCTGACACAAGACAACCGGTGAAATGAAAAACATTTCTTGTTTAAATTGCTGCACGCATAAAGCACACCTATAAGGTACATTGTAAATGATGGTGACGTAACGGGGAGAAAGTCACCAGTTTAGAGCGTTTAATAATACATAATCACTTACGGAGAACCAGATTGTGATGCTTGTAAGAGGTGGTAAATATATGTGCTGCAGACTCCAAATCGAAAGCTCAGAAATATTGTAGCTGGCGTGTAAACCTTGTGTTTAAGTTCATGCAAGATCCTTTGTCGGCTTCACAAGGGGCGAATCATTTGTGGGTGTGACATGATATGTGTCCAACAGAAAAAAACTCCTTTGCTTTTGCCATCCAGAATGACCTCTACAAGCTCACTGAATTTATCAACTACTGGGTCTATGAGAACGTTACTTTTTATCGTAATCTTCTACAGCTGAATATTCAGTTCGTTTGGACAAACGAGACATTCCTGAGTCTTGTCGTGTGAGTCTTTAAGGGTCAGATTCTGTCAGTGTCCTTTCAAAGTTTTTTTCTTACAAGGCTCGCTTTGAGATTAAAGACCTTAAAAGTAGTTTAGAAATTTCTTCTATACCAAGAGTTTGTTTGCCTGTTTGTTCCTTTTTTCGATAACGACCTAAAAGTAAATGGATTAGTACTAATTGAACGCCCTTCGTTACTCTTCTGATGCTGCCAGAGGGGAAAGGAAACATAACTATTTCAACTAAAGCAGTAGTCTGGTATATCTAAACTCCATCATATCATAACACCTGTAGAACTGTTTCTAATGGTTAGATATTGTAAATCGTGAGAGTGAATACCCTGTTGACGTTCACATTTTTAAAACAATTTTTTTGTGGATTTGATCATAAAAAATGTCATGCCAGCTAACTCAAGGTAATCTTAGCAGTACTGATTCCAAAAATATAAGCAAAATATAAAATTAGACGCTCTCTCTTGACTTTCGGTACATTCTTACAAAGTGTGTTCTTCAAAAATAACCTCCAAAAGAAGAGTGTAGCGCCGTTTTCGTAGAAGAGAGTTGAGTTCTCACGTACAATCACAACATTAGCGAAATGTTCCTCCGTGGTTTTATATTTTCTTCTATGCAGTAACCATTTCGAATTCTATCCCAATCTTACGGAGATTTTCTCTATGAGTAAGCTTGAGGTAAGGTGACGATGTCACCGTTCAGACAGGAAAGAGAAACCGCCAAGAAAATGGTTCCGTTCCTTGGTTCCGTTCCCTGTTCCAAAATTTACGAAGGTTTTCGTACTTTGCCCACAGACTATTGGTTGTTTATCCTCTTGTCTGGAATAGAGATTTACACAGATTATACCCACTGTTTACTTTATTTCATTCCTGTGTATTGAACTCGCTTCCGTCCTTTGAAAATGTACTCCAAAACAAACAATTGGACAAAAATAATGATTATTTTTATCACGGAACGCATTTGAGAAGGGTTGGAATATTTCTGTTTTCGGTTTCAAGATGAAAGACAATTTATTTTGACAATAGAAATCCAAAGTTGAGACTAGAATATTGTTTGGTTGCGCAGTTGAAGCTAAAAATCCTCAAATTGCAGATAAAGGTTTCATAATAAATCACATCGTAACCCTGTCGCGTACTCAATAAAGTACTGAATTTGTTTAATTTAACTGAAGGTTAACCTCTGCAAGATCACGGCTGAAGTTTTTCAGTTTTATTTACGGACAACAGAACGACTGAGTAACAACCGTGTTCCGTTATACCTCTAGCGAACTAACTTAACGACTTTTACAAGCTTACAAAAAGAATATCGACTCCGCGATTTTATCTTGATCAAGCACCATATTCTCATGATTAAACTTTAGACAAATATGAGGTCATCAATTGGGAGAGTAAGCCTTCATATCTTGAGTGGAACTTGAAGGGATGATAAAGTCCCCACGGTCAGGAATCAGTTTATGATTTCACGATTATCGAGCGCCTAAGAAAGAGAAAACATGCAGCTATGCAGAGCATGCTTACGTATTCGAAATAGTTGACATTAGCGCTCAATTTAGTCAGAAGATAATATCAGGAGCAATCGTTATATCATTCAACGACGTAAATAAATGTCATCTGGGCCCCCGCAGCACATTGGAAATGACACGTATTTTGCGCATTTTTGAAAAGTTTTTCATCTTTTTGGCAAGTGTCCACACTAGTTTCCTCAAATTTTGTTAGAGGAATTTACTTTACGACGGTGAAAAGCTAAATGATTATGAGGAAGCTGTAATTACAATAAAAACATTCGTAGAGAGTGATCAGAGGGTGCTGTCGACAAAGTGGCTAATTACCTCCTCAATCATTCAAGAGATGTTATCACAATCAGCGGGTTCACAGTGAAACGGACAATTCGAGAAGGCAGCTTAGAACACTCCATTGTCAGTTGAAAGTCAAAAATTACTTTCTTCTTGTCTGTCTCAGGCGCTAACGTTTTCAGCTAAATTACTGATTTTTTTTTGTTAGGTTTCAAGCAGAGTGATAAAGTAAAATATGGTTAATACTGGGGTAGAAATTATGAACGGGCGTGGAGAACGGAAAAAATAAGAGATGAAAACACGTCATTAGAGCCTGTGGGCCCATAACTGACAAACGTAATTTGCTAAAGTTGATATCATCATCACTTTTGTTAAATTGTGTCATTGCACAAAATACCTGAATATCTCTGTTTTTCTCTCTGCTTCTCTCCACCTAACTATCGACTGTTCCCCAACAGTATTGGCAGACCACGACTGATTCGAAAATTACTGAGACGAAAACATGCAGTACAAGCCATAAATTCGACTTAAAACTTCCATTATGTGCCAGGAAGTGATAAAATCTCTTGTTTGACCTGATCGTCTGCAGCTTCTATTAAAAAGATGTAATTTTCGGCCCCAATAATAACCCTCTCTTTTATTCGGCACTGGTATCTGCGCGATGAAACCTTTCGACCCATCTAGCGGAGTTAGATGTAAGAGCGCACAGACGCATTTTGATTTAGTGCGAAATGATGCAGAGTCATGTAACTATTAAGGGTGAAATGCATTCAGTGAGAACAAGAATTACTATCATGAGAACAGATATTACTACCTAAAGCCTATCTTGACTTCCTCTTTGTTTTTCCCCGACCTCTCCAGAAGAATCGTTTATACAAAATATCGAAGGCAATTTTGTCAACAGTCAACAGTCTGAAGGAGAAGCAATTACGTCATGCTACGACAAAATCACCTACTTACGGTAAATGCAATAGTGCGTTTTAGTTTTTTATTTTTTTGTAGATTAAAGTTTGCAAATTTGATCGGGGAGAACTTGACCCAAACTCTAATTTCATTTATTGAGGAAATTATTCGCGCAGAAAGCTTCGAAATTTCGAGAAATTGCTCAATCAACTGTTGTGCTTTGAGGAATGCATTAACTGCAAGTGTGAAGTAATTTTCGTTGCTAAATTACCGATTAATTCAAATGACACCACCACAGACTTGAACTGTGGACTATATTTGTTAGAAATATTTCAACACTGTTCACTTGCCCAAGCCAGATGCGTCGGAAATTACTTTAAGAAAACGTGACTCGCGGTTTTTAAATCTTCCATCTTAGTGCTTTTCGTGAACTTTTCCAACTTATTTTGAGAGAACTGTGAGTTAGCTGTCTGGGTATCGTGAAGTATTTGCGTTTTTTTCCACCGGGTAGGATTACCCAAGTTAAAACCCGCCTGGTAAAAATTTTTCTTAAACCAAGCCGAAATATTCATCAGTTATCCCAGTCTTTTACAACAACAAATAAAGAATCGATGGCGATTCCCGACACTTTCTAATGAACAGATTTTAGGCGAGGTTTGAGAATGTTTCCGATCGGAAGACGATTATTGAATTTACAGGTTTGTTTTACATCTGTCAACACAGAGTCAGCAATCATCAGTAGTACTCCACACATTAGGTGTCCAGTTGCGCACATCATCAAGTTTCGCGCAATCTTAACATCAGCTCAACTTGATTTCAGGGGTTATCGATAACGGAACTTTTCAATCTCATACAGCCGAAAGCTTTTTTATCTCTGAATACTTCCTTTTCGCTTCGTTTTTAACCTATGAGGACTATAAATAGGGCGTCACAAGGCTGTGTGGTTCATTTGAAGTTACTAATGACCTGTGGTGTTTTCTACACCTCGGCATCTTCGTGCCGCAGCCTCGCGACAGATTTGATTATAATCCTGTGAAATTCAAACGATCCAAGAACAAACAGGGTTTGCCTCTCTGTGTTCTTGGCCGACGTGGTAAGCTTTGTCATTTGTATCATTTGTCAAGGGGTCTGGTCTCTTTCCGGTGGAGTAAAACCAAACAACCGGAGCCAAATTAACATTACTTGTTAAACTGCACGTCGGACTCAGTCTTAGGAAGACCCTGAGAAATGGAGGGCGAACTAACGGAGGATATGGGCTCTGGTATAATGGACGATGGTTCATCTGAAAATTCAGAAAATCCCATCAACTACACCTTTTTGGCGATCCAATGTGCGTGGTATTCATTCGTCCTTATTCTTGGCATCACAGGGAATGTGTACATCATTTTAACAGTGTGGTGTCGTAAGGACTTGTGTTCCACAACAAACTTGTTCATTGTGAACTTAGCTTTCAGCGACTTAGGGATTCTGCTGATCTCTCTCCCAGCTGAGTTCATCAAGGATTATGTAGGTTGGCCCTTCGACAAGCTAACCTGCCAGATTTTCGCCCCGTTGAACGAAGTGTTCTTTTGTGTGTCCATACTGACTCTAACTGTTATCACAATTGAGAGGTTTCGGGCGATCTGCAGACCTTTTAAACCACATCTAACGCAACGGAAGGCCAAAGTGATCATCATTATCGTATGGTTTGTGTCATATCTTACTGTTGGTTTTCCAATGTCGTTTCTTATGGATGTGCAAGAGAGTCAAAACCATCTCAGATGCGGACCTAAGTGGTCGGGAGATCTTCAGCGGCGAATACACACTTGTTTTATTGCCACACTTATCATCGTGCCCCTGTTCATAACAGCAGGAGGCTATGCAGCAATCGTGTCTGCAATGAAAAGACAAAGCGCGCGGATCAGGGCGAGAGCAAACTCCTTGAGCGGCGCAACCGTTACCTTCCGTCATGACCAATTCCGTTTAGAGAAGAACGCAGAATTAATCAAAATGCTTCTACTCATTGTCGTTGTATTCTGGATTTGTATGCTTCCTTTAACTCTACTTGCCCTGGCAATAGATTTTGGAGGCATCGATCCGACAACAAAAGCAGTCGATCTGTTATACACCCTCGGTATCTCCTTATTTTTTAGTAACAGTGCATTTAACCCCGTCGCTGTGTACATGATGAGCTCAGAGCTGAGGAAAGGACTCTACGCCTTCCTTGATAGAATTTCAAAGTACTTTGACTACAAGTTTATCGAAGTATGAAAACAGATGAAAGACTGGCTGCTTAGCCTCGCAAGGTTCTCTCATCTGAAGTGGCTGTAAATAGTGGTGGAATGTTATATTTAGTTTCTACTTGTGATGTGTGCACAGATTGTAGCTGTTATATGTGTAGTTGTACAAACAATTTATCCGTAGCAGATGAAAATAATGTAAACTTCTTAACCTAAAGCATTTGATTGGATTTTATCTTTCGTTCGTGCTTGATTCATTCAATACCGAAGATAGCTTGACATAATTCACAGGAACTAATTGACCTTAAATTAAACTTCTTTTTGAGCTTAATAACCATCCGCAAAGAGACCAAAAATTCCGAGTAAAATATTCCTTGTTCTTCGGGAGATAGAACATTTGGAAAAATGTTTACGTTCACCCTCTATAAATATAACTGCATCATCCCAATACACATGAATCTTTACCATTTAGGAACTGAACACGATACGCAGCCATTCCTAAGCTTTTAATAAGCTGATTGACGGGTTTAAGTTTCTTGTTTGTTTGGATCACCCATCAATCAGTACAAAGGACCAGCGGAGTAATTGAAATAAGTACAATTGAAAAACGATGCAAAATTGCAATATACTAAAGTCTGTACCCTGATTAAGTCTACTAAGTATTCTTTGATGTCTCTCACGTCATCGAATACGTATCCTGGTTATATTCACACAGCGGTGATCTTAAACATTTATCTTCTTCTCCCGAAGTTAGAACTCACTTATTAAAAAAACAGGAGATGGAACATATGAGCATAAACATATGAGCATAAATTTTCCTCACCAATTTTCCCGGAATAGTGTAGCAGCTAGACGTGAAAATTACTATTTCCATCGAAGTGTTCTCAGCTGAACAACCATTGGCTGTTTTAATCATTTTTAAATCGACTCAAATACCATAACCTTGTTGAAGAACGACAATGAATTGCAACGACAGCTGGAGAAAACACAACTATTTCTTAGCCTCAAGCTGTAATGGACTCTAATGCCGCCCGAATTATGAGGCGATAAATAATTTTTCATATGACAGCAGAAAACAAACATAACGCATGTAGTACATATTTTTGCAGGGTAGAGAAAATGTGTATATTTAATTTATAATGTAAGGAAGAAAAAGTTAGTAACCGTTTCGGTTCAGTACGTAGTATTTTTATAAAGAAATTATGTGAAATACAGAAAAAGCCCATGGAAAACTGCCAAACCAGTTTCCTTTGAGGTTTAATCCCTTATTTTGGTCAAGAGATTTTGGCAAGAAAAGCTCTTACTCAGGAAAAGAGACTGTTTATTTCATCCTGATTACGAAAATCTTAGAGATACAGTCAGGGTAATTCTGTTAGAGCCGGTTCCCTGGGCCGATCTTGATTCATTTTGTCCGAGTGTGCTGTCAAAGGTCATGATGCTTTAGAGAAAATTTTTAATTGCATTAAAAGGAAATATTTCAATTTACTTCGTCGACGTAGGTAAGATCCTCAGATGTTCAAAGGTCGAGGATGAATCAGCAAAAGAAATCACACAAGGATAAAGTTATGATTAAGTTCTAGAGTTGACCATCAAAGGTCTGATCAAAGGGGGTAAGTTTCTAAAAGAAACAGTAGTGCTGTGTCGGTGGGAGAGAAGAACAGGGTAATTTAGTTTTCAATAAAGTTTCGAGCGTTAGCCCTTCGTCGGCTTTTAAACTCTTTACGGTGGCTAATTTACGTTATCAACTGAGTTGATAACATTAAATGTCTGATCAGTTGTCTGTAGATAAGAATGGAGGTAATGGAATGCGCGTCATATTCTTTAATACTTTCAATCGCCAGGAATCTCTGAGATCTGAATTAAAATTCTCCTTCTGACTTTAACCCAAATGCTTTCTGATAAGTTGACAGAATTCAGTGTAACATCTCCATAATCATAGAAATGAAACAAAACCACTCTAAGCAGTTTTCATAATGGGAATTTAACTAATCCCAAAACTATAAGGATACGAGCTATTTAAAGAAATCAATTTCAGTCTCGAACTGACAATCAACAAAAGGGCCTAACTTAGACCGTTTACAACACAATTGGAGAGTCGGTTTATGCATCCAAACACAGGTGATCGGGTTACGTTGATTTCCTTTTGCGCAATGTCATAGAGCTTGCGTGGGATGTTCTCAATATACTATGTACAGGAACAAACTTTAAAAATAACAAAAATGGTCCTCGGTGAGGGGGAGGGGAGGCTTCCATCATTGACGGGAAACGTTTCGATGTGATCCACCTAGCTATATTAGTTTAAACTGTTAGTGTTTTATCACATATGCCATAATCTGATTGGCTACACCCCTCTCTATCCATTCCCTGATAGACAGTCAGTCAAGTAGATAGCCTGAGTGTGATGGTAAACAAAATGTAATAAAAACATTAGCTTTTCTTGTTGATAAGTTTCGGACTCCGTGTATGAAAGGACTCCATAACCACGGCCTGAAATTCCCCAAATCGCGTTCTTTAATTCTTTCAAAATCAACTTCCTTGTTATTTCTCAAGACTTGACACCGCCGTTTGCGACTTTCTCAGGTGGTTTTACTGATTAATCTCTCTATTCAAGGCCAAATCAACAGGAGAATAAAAACAAAATGCTAGCCACCGAAACCAGACACTGCACTTTATTATATATCAGACGGAGTAGGACTTATGATGCAACTCTTTCCGGAGGTACCTATTCTTCGTTTTAACGAATATTTATCGCATATAAGATACCTCAATTGATATCTTAGCCAAAATTTTGAAAAACAGGTACATGATGTCATTGTTTACTTAGTGACCATAATTAGGCAGAGTTACAAGTGGAAACATTGATCATTCCGATCTCGTGATCAGTTTTCTGATCCCTCTCAATAACCCCTCAGAAGCGTATCTCTCTTCATGCTTCCAAGGATCTTAAGAAGCGCAATTTAATGCCACTTGTAAGCACAACTCTTATTAAATTTCTTTTATTTCTTAAAACTACTTGAGGAGATTGTAGTTAGAGAGATAGGCCAAGAATTGCTGAGACTAAAGCTACTCACTGTCATCAAAAGCTAAGCAGCTTTTGTCTTCGGGAATTACAGTTTTGAGGATCAAATCACTGTAGTTCTGTTTCTCTACAACCTGTATTGGTTGTATAATCTGCGGTCTGGCGGCTGTTGCCAAGTTATAGTGTTGGTCCTGCGTTATGTTTGCACGTTTCTATATCGTTAATTTTGTCGATTTTATTAAAGCATCAAAGAGAAAAAATTTAGATGACACAGTACTGAAAACTCAAATCTCGGCACAAAGCCAGTAGCTGGTAGAGTTATCTCTGTTAACCTGATGTGAAAATTTACTTTGATATTTGTACAGATTGTATTTGCACAGATGAGCTTTAAAAAGACGAATTCTAAACATTAGCGCAAAAATGAAAAAAATTCCTGTTATTCACACCTGTCAATAGAAAAGTAATTTTCCATCGTAGACGTATTTTAAGCTAGTCCTTAAAATTTGACAGTTATATTCTATATTCTCCCTCCTTTTATACTTAATAGTATGTTAATAATGTGAAAACAAATTCAATGTTTATGGCCACAGTCTTTGTAAAGATTTTCAAAGAAAACTTTTTTCTGAAAAAATTTACTTATTGCACAGTAGTAGTTGTAACTTTTCAAAAGGAAGGGGGTGAAAGCTTTGTTCTTCTCTAACCAATCGTATCACGATTTTTGTTTTGGTTTTTCTTTTCGATTAACAAAGACGAAGAGCTGGGGGTTTCTGCTGAAATTCTCAAGATGTGCTGTATTAAATGAAAGTTATTTCCTATTGAGAATTATGAATAAGCTTCATCGAGTTCATTACCCTAGTTTAGACAAAATTTGAGACAACATCAGTTGGAATGTTACTCACCGGCAAGCAATAGTGATGTAAACAGAATTAGGGAGTTGACATTTTAAATTCACAAAGTATGTCTTTCAAATTTTCAATCTCACGCTGTATCGTTTTCGTTTACACAAAGGGTATTTTCATAAGAAGTTCGTCAACTTTCTTGAGCGGTAAAAAACGATTTTTTCAAGAGCGAGTTTACATGCATTACACTTTTAACTAGAATTGCAATTGCTGTCATTTTCTACTCACTACTCAATAATTTTTAGTTTCCATCAGTGCCTACCCAACAATTTCAATTTCTTCAGTCATTGATTATTAATAAAGCGGTCATGAAATTTTAATCAGAGTTTTGACTAAACAAATGCGTTTTTCAAACTTTAATGGAAAAATGTTTTTTTTGTTTCCAGTATGGTTCCCTTGCGCCTCCTATTAATAATACGTTAATTTGTTCTAGAGTTTCTCACGAATGTGGCAAAGAGTTATGAATAGTGAAACGAAGCTAATGCCCCATTCACACCAAAGCTTAAACATGTTTAAAAGTTGTTTTGTTAAACACAGTTTAAAAATTTTTCTTGAATGTAGCACATTGGAAATGGAATTAAACTTGAATCCAATGGAAAATCAAGTTTTTCAGTTCTCTGTTTATAAAAATGAAAACCAGTTTAACAAAACATGAAAAGGCCGTCATTGGCATTAAAAATTCATGGAATTAAACTAATAACCTTCGCTTCAGAAAAAGCTGTTTCCCGAAAAGGCCGTCAGGAGAAGAAATGTGTCGAGAAAGAGTTTGTATTATTTTTCCCTCTACGTTCAAAAACTGACGTCATGTTACGATTCAGAATTTGGTCTTGCATTTCTCTGGTAAGCGTGTGCTTCTCTGCTTTATTGTTGAAGAACAATCGTGCTGGAATAGGAGATGCTTAAGACATACGTAGTTTATTTTGTTCGCTGAACCACGTCACGTTTTTCTGACATGTAATTATTAACGCCTCGAATGAATTTGAAGATAGTTTATCTATACTGAATATAACTATCCGAGAATCATGGAATATTAGCACAAAAAAGAATTGTATTGTTTTCATAGATTATTGTTGCTGGAAAATTCAGTGAAGGAGTTGTACAGAATGCAACGGAGGGGAATTTCATCTATAATTTGTCATGTTTACCACCAGGTATTTCTACTCTGCTAAAAAATAAAGGCGACTAAAAAAATGATTCATCTTCTCTTGGATATAGGATTTGATGTTTTCTATAACTAAACAGAAAAACCTTTTCTTAATGCTGTAAAGTTGTTTTGCTTAATGTCGTTTAATATTGGTTAATCCGGGGCGACTTTGGTGTTAGAAGTGTCTGCCGAGAAGTTTTAACAACACCTTTTTGTAACGAACGTAGTTCCCGTGTTTGTCCTTCCCGATTATACCTCGGTTACTTCTTCAAATATTTCATGTAATATTCTTCAAGCAGATATCAACCATTTAATTCCCAATAGTGGTTAATGTGTCATTTCTAGTTACCACATCGATACATTATCTTCCCAAAAGATGATGGGAAAAGACTTGTGTCTAAGAGTACCCTGAGGCACTTTTCTAACGACGCGGATAGACATTGATGATACCGAATGTGTTAGGCACCTATGGATAAACACACCAGCAAATTAACACTTCTCTACAGAATCACATTTTTCTTCCTTTTGATGTCAATGCATTGTCTTCCAGAAAGGAGACTGTAGTGTTACTGAGACTAGAACGTTCTAGAAGCTCTCAAAGATGATAACTTTTATGAGTATTGGATAAAATATAATACGATATAATATAAAAATATTTGCATAAGATAATGAAGAATCGCTTTTACAACAGAAGAGGACGAATTTCTTGAGCTATCTTGAATACAATGTTCCGTGTTTTGGTATTTTCGTTTTAAAGGCCCGGTCATTAGCTATCTACTGAAGATGGCAGGGGTGGGGAGGGGGAGGGGAGGAAATTGACATGAGCCGTAAGGCTCTGTAGAAATCTAATGACCCCCCCTCATTGGCAGCGAATGAAACAAGAAACACCCATCTTTCTATAGTCCCCCTTGTCTACTATGTTACTGATGACCAAAAATATGATCTGTTGTCTAAGTTACTTTTAATTGCTAAAAATGCCTTTTTAGCTTAATTTTTTAAAACTAGAATCGTATAAGGTTTATCAAGAGAGAGTCATGATCCTCTCAATGGAGCATCCAATGTAATAATAGTAATTAAAAAACGCTTTTGATTCCAGACATCAAAGGTATTTTACAAGAAGTATGGCTGGATAATATACATGGAAACAACTTGAGCTCGTTATTGGAACATCGGGATTTTCCTGACTCTCCCGATCGAGTCTCAAATCAAACGTTTCTACCCGAGCAACAATATGGTCAGCGGCTTCGTGCCTATTTCGCCGCACCCGAAAGTGGAATGTATCAATTTCATCTGTCCTGCGACGGCGCATGCGTGCTTCTGATCGAGAGTAAGATGGGGAGCTTATTGACAAGATGTCAAAACTCGTAAGTTTTTACCATCTAAACAAACTACGTCGATGATGCTTACCCACAATTTTGTTAAATGAGTTCTTTTATTGATCATACGTTTAGACGGATAATCATAAAAACGTAACTATACTTGTTAAGGATTAAGGATAATGCTATAATGATTGAAAACAGTATTTAATCTTGTAATCTGATCGTCTGGGCGAGGATAGTCTTGAGAAGGGCTGTGGTGACTGACAGACGTTTCGACAACCTGAGCGGAGGTCATCATCAGAATCGAGAATCGAGAGAAAAATAACGTGTTACTTTCTTTCAAGAAAAAAAAAAAAAAAGAAAAGAAAAGGAAGGAAAAATTCCAAACTGGTCAGTCGTGGGTAGCATCAAATTTCTAAGCAAGAAATCAGAAACTAAGCAATTAAGAGATAGGAAACTACATGCCTGCATGCGTCTATATGACATACGTGAAAAATCATACAGTGGATTGTCAAGCAAAGCAATGATCCTCATAAGTCAGCGGTAGAAAAGAAGCTTGAACAAAAATTAGGCTTTAACCGGATTCGAACCTGTGCCTCGCAGATACTATTCGGGTGCTACTACCGACTGAGCTACAAAGCCACACTTTCGGGGAGGCAAATTTGTGAGCGTTCTTTTCTCCCGTGGAGGAATCTGACCACAATTTGTGATGAAATACATCTCGCTCCTTTAAATAATTCATAAACATATTTTTTCTTAGATCAAAGGGCATGAACATAACCGCAGGATCTTTTTATTATGTGACGGTGCTTCACGTTGTCTCAAACGCTAGCAAAAATGTTTCGCTGTCTGTCACTAAGCCAAATGGAACCCTACTCAGTCCGATTCCTCATGAGTATTTTGTAGCCTACAGGAAAGGTAAGAGCGTTTGTCAATCATTTATGACACCATTTAGACAGCAAGACAGATGGGCACATGAGAGGACGGGTGGCCGATCATTCAGACTGATAGGCATGCAGTCAGACTGTTAGTGAGCGAGTTGGTGAGTCCGTCAGACAATCGTTTAACAAGTCAGTTAGTTAGCTTGTCAGTCAGTCCGCCAGTCAGTAAGTCAGTTAATCAGTCAGTTAGTTAGCCAGTCAGTCAGTAATTCAGTCAGTCAATCAGTCAGTCGATCAGTGAATTAGTTAGTCAGTCAATCAGTCAGTCAAACAGTCAGTCAGTCAGTTAGCCAGTCAGTCGGTCAGTCAGTCAGTCAGACAGTCAGTCAGTCAGCCAGTCAGTCGGTCAATCAGTCAGTCAATCAGTGCAATGATTCATTTAATTAATCTGATAGTCATAAGTTAAGGCAATCGATATAGTTTCCTTAATCATCACGAGCTCGCACAACTGTTTCCATGCAAGTCATGTCACCTAGGAGAAAAGAATGCTTAAAGAATTTAGAGGCTAATTCTTCTCCCTTGTTGGTTGCAGATGGAAACCTTGGCGAATACATTCCAGGGGACTGGGGCGAGTGGAGTGCATGTCAGGGGGGCATCCAAATACGAAATCGCTCGTGCCAGGTTCATCCGCCTGTCTACAGCAGGCTTAATTCTTCCTATCAGCTTTCTGACACCAAGAAATGCGGCGAAAATGGTATGTGTTTTACCTTCAACAAGTCCCTCTACAATCTTGTTATTGTATAGCGACGATGGAATTGCGGTTTGTTATAAGTTTCGATGCCCAAATTAGGTTGGCCATTTTCAAAAGAAAAGGTTGCATTTATCTTTCACATAGTTAATCGAGCGAACGATGTTAGTTTTAAAACTTTAAAATGAAAGGAAAAAACTCCCCCCTGTTGATTTGTCAACGACAGTATTAGATTAAGCTTTTAGATCATACATGATGCAGAAAAAAAGGAATAAATGAATTATTAGACAAATACAAAAAGAAAGAAAAAAAGAAAAGTGCTAAAACATATGCAGATAAAATTCACTCACATTAATATCCTATCAAACAATAGAAAATATTAAACCCATTATTTACTCTTGTATCGATCCATGACAGTGACTAAAACAAACAAATTGGACAGAGGGGGCGAAATGTTCAGTAAGAGAGGAATTTCACTCATTCATACAAGCCACACATCAATATTAATTCGAAAGACCATTCAAAATAAAAATGGCGAGAGGTTTTGAATAGACAGGCCCCGCCCCTCCCTCCACCCCCTCTCCACCCCTCCCTTCACCCCTCCCTCCATCCCTCGAAGCCCACGCTTGAAAGAGGACAATAAGAAATCTAGATTTTACTCATGTAGTCACATGTGATTTCATTATGTTTTAATCGAATCTATTTAAGTATCTGAGCAACTGCACACCTACTCCTTCCCTAATTAACATTAACCTTAACTTGTTATCGTCTGACTGTCGTTGGGTTAGGGATGGGGTAAGTGCGCTGTTTCTCAGATACTGACATTGTTCCTTGCTCTCTATGATTAACTTCTCAGTAACTTGTCAAAAAAACCAATCGTGTTTAAGTTGTCCACTGGGTATGAAGACAGGTGCAATAACAGACGAACAGATTACGGCCGGATCTTTTTATAACGCTTCAACTAGTCCTGAATACGCGCGATTGGATGGTCATGGGGCCTGGTGTCCAAATACTACACACCGCTATCTCAGAATCAATCTGGTTGTACTACACATTATCTGCGCTATTGCCACACAAGGGAACTCTCAACTGAGATTATTTACTAAAAAGTACAGACTTATTTTACGAACAGGTGAAGCGTCAAATCGTTACGAAGATTCAAATGGAAGTAAGGTAACGTTTATCTTTTTTTTTTTTTTGTCTCACATCTCCTTCAATTCCGGGCCAAGTTGTGACACTAATCAATTTTCAGTTGAAATTGCCCTCCTTTGACAGTACTTAAACCAAGAGGTTTTTCAGGTGATTTGGAGGGGATCCAGGTTGTATTTTTTGGTAGTGTGTGCACTACTAAGGAATGACGTAAAGGACGGGTGACGTAGACAAATTTTAAAAACAACAAGGGAGAAGGCTTATGACTAGGCAATAACATAATGTAAGCTGTTAAGAATCCATTGCAAATGATACAACAGATTTTGCAAAACCGTGAGGTTATATTAGGAAGCTACGGATCATTTCGGGGGGAGGGGGGTGGGAAAGTGCTGCGTGCTCACCCCCTGCACCCCCCCCTCCCCTAGATCCGCCCCTGTAATTACAAAATCCTAGAATAATTAAGAAGTTATGCTACCCGTAATGACCATATAGGGCACACAAAACCGGCAACAGAACTATGAAAGAACGCTTCACATCCACCTTTCATTTTTTTCTTTTATAGACTTTACAAGGGAATTACAATCCAGATAAGGTTCATGTTAACGCACTCGAGGGCGTCGTCATAGCAGACGAGCTGACTTTTTCTGTACCGAATAATAATTCATGTCTACAAGTGGAAATATATGGATGGCCACTAGATAACTCAACAGGTCTGGTTATAAAGTGATGATCATTATTTATGAAAGTCTTACTCCCAATACCCAATATTCAACCCTCGTTGTCGCTGGCATTTGCCTTGGTATACAAAAGTTGGGTTGACCCCGAAGAAAAACTTGGAAGGAAGTGGTAATTACCGTTTAACAAACGCTATTGTCGTGAATTTGTGCATGCGACAAACGTGCGCATTCCTAGTTTGACGATCGCTATCTGCCAATTCTAACCCTAATCTCTAAGGTTACCTTATTTCCCAAGTATACCACCCTTCAGAAAAACTTGTCCCTCCGAAACATTCTCGCCTGGATTCGAAATTTGCCGAGCGCAATTTCGAACATACGATTGGAAAAATTTTGGAGGACAACCAACGGTAGTGACATTGTCATAATAGTGACATAAATAAAATGCTTTAGTTGGAGCTTTCGATAGAAATAAGAAGAATAAAACAAATGTCCTTACGATTGAGGCTCGTGTAGGAAACTTTTCTCTGTTCTATAATGAGTTATTCTATAGAAATTCTCCTCGCAATGTTTACAGCTTTTGTGGAGACTGATAACATCATTCACTCTAAACTCCAGTCTAATCAATTATGACTCTTACCTGTTTTCCCTTTGTGTGCAGTAGATAAAAATAGATGTATTCCTATCATTTTTCAAGTATGGATCATATAACTAACATAATGTGTTTTTTTATCTTTTTTTTTTAGCCATATCTCCAACTCTTCCGCCAATAATTAATGAAGTCATTCAAAATGAACGCTACATGTATGTTACTGGCATTTCTTGGAGTCGACCAAAAGTCTATGGGGGCCTAGTGACAGGATACAAAGTCATCCTCCACTATACAGACGGTAACCGCCATAATTGGACTCTGGAAGCAGACAAAAGATCATTTTCTGCGGGGATGGGCCCCAACAGCACCTACTGTATAACTGTGCTGGCTTTTAATGAGGCTGGGGATGGACCGGCTGCAAAGTGTATTAATTTTACAACTCGGGATGGAGGTGAGGCCCCCTCCCCCTTAAAAAATTAGAGGCGGTTGATCCATTTTTTATGCCGCTGAACTTAATGGTTTGGTATCGTATAAGGTACGCAGACTATGTTGGTGAATTTTCAACCTGTTTTTAGAAAAATTATAATAAGTTTCGACAAAATATCGCAAGAATTCTGTGTAAATTAAATTTTTACCAATCAAGGTGGGGGTAGGAAAACACGTTAATACGCAAAGAAAATTATGAAAGTGTTAGTCATCGTATTTAATTTTTCGTAACGTAAAATAATCTATAATTCAAAACTATCATCGGAGTGGAGGGGAATAATGCTGAATATTAACCGAGTCGCGTCCATCGGTTTCACTGACCATGAGGTAAATCATTGTTTTAGTATATACCACAAGGAAACAAAAAAAAAATGGATTTATTTCTGTCTACATGCAGAAAAATGATTGGAAATTAAACACGTAACGCACGATTTTTTCTCTTCAGCCAATCGAGGTGAAAAGTATTGGCTAATCACATCCGAACTAGTCAATCGGCGCACACAAAAAGTACTATTCACCCATGTGGTATATACATATAATTTACATAATTTCTTAGTTTGGGCTGTCCCGTTATTAAATAAAGTGGAAGTGGAATTTTATCCTTCATACAATTAACAATGATCTTGTTTCACAGTCTGCCCTATTTCTTGGATGAGATATCAGGACTCGTGTTATTTGAATGTAAGCAAACCAGCAAATTGGCCACGTGCTAAGCAGGAATGCATAAGCCGACACTCTCAACTCGTGACTATCTACAATGAGGACGAATTTGAATCTGTGGCAGCTTTGGCTGAAAACTTTTCCTGGATTGGAGCTGAGTGGAACGAGAACAAGTCAAAGCACGTGTGGTTGGATGGTTCAGACATCGAATTTCATCCACCTACCTGGAAAAATGGAAATAAAGACGATACTTTGTGTGTTGGGATTCGTGATATTGCTTCGTGGCAACGAGAGAAATGCGCTCATGTCAGACCTTATATCTGTGAGAGGAAAGGTGAGTATAACCAACGCACCAACAATAAATTTAAAAGAGGTTTAATTTCCTGACGACTCGACCGAACGAAAGGGCGATTTACCCGACGATTTTTTAATACGGCTGGCATAAGAAAGTTACCTGCGATTACATTTCAACTCGAGCTCACACCTTTTATTTGCATGATCCGCGCGAAAGTCAAACTTCTATGGATAGACGCGTGGACTGGGGCTAGGAGGGGGATTGGTTTCTACAGTGAGAACTTAATGGTATCTTAGCCACGCGTGTCACTTCCAAGATTCCATCAGTAATTCTCCTTACTGTCTGTCATACAATAGTCATGGCGTTGATTTGAAGAATTTGGTGTTAGATCAACTAATAATCCTCCAATTTATATTTTTCGTTTTTTCCATCACCTGTCTGCTAGATGTTGTGTTGATGTTATCAAGAGAAATTCTGTCTTAGTCACGAATGGGAGCAAAAGGGTTGATATAATATACTCTAATAACATTACAAGACACAAATTTAAAACTTAGGAAAATTGGGAGTTTTTTCTTTTTTTTCACTTATTTTTTAGCGTTGTTATGATAACATCGATGAAAAACGTTCGGTAACAATATCAAAAGTCAAAAACATTGTGATTCATGAACACGTAGGCGCTGAGATATTCAGTTTAAAATTGCCACGATTCATTTAAAGAAATCCACGCTCATGGACGCGGTCCTGCACAAGATATTTTGTAAAATTACACAGATCCATGCTCGGAACGAGTCTTAGGTGTGAGTCGATGAAACTGGCTTAAGAATCCTAATAACAGGGCACCACTTCAGAACACTGCTTTGGGTAATTTCCTATCACAAGATATTTTTGCTTCTCTGGTTCAGCTACGAGAAGGTATTACTACCTTATTTCTTTTTCAGTCGCTCCTGACCCTGACGACTTGAAGTGTGAAGATAAGGGCGTTGGACTTGAATATCGCGTTAGATACGACAGTATATTTTCTGCATCTTCATCATTATTAAACAAATACCGACCAGGTAATGCCCGATTGGCCGGGGAAGAGGCCTGGTGCCCAAAGACAAATTCTACAGAAGAATACTTGGAGATAGATTTAGGTTCTTTGTACAAAATCTGTGCTCTTGCTACACAAGGACTGCTTGAAAGAGGTGCTTTTACCAAAACGTATCGTCTACAGTTTTCCATCGATGGCTCAAAATGGGACTGGTATATAAACGAAAACAGCCAGGTAGATAATTAATTAAAAGTTTCCTCATGTTTTTTTTTTCCATTCAAGAAATACCTTTGCTAAGAGACCAGTAATTTTTTTAGCGCGGGGGTGGAGAGGGCTGGGGGATTTTTTGGGGGGTTCACTTGGTCTTCGGGGGGAAACGGATAAGAGTTCAGTCGTCGCAGTCGCAGTCGCAGAGTACAAGGGGGGATATATAAAAATAACTACCAGTTAACTGCCTATGAGGGGAGATCACAAGGTTATCAAAGAGCACTATGGGGGGATCAGGTAGATTTAATCGCGAAACAAACAAACCCTCCTTCCCTCCCCCCATGATGACCATCCCACAAATATTTTCGTCTGTGTGTGTCTATTTTTTATCTTATTAAAGGGCACCATTTTATCATTGAATACATGATGTTCTATGCCTTTTTCCCTAAAGGTCTTTCAAGGAAATAAAAATTCATACGAAGTAGCGAAAGTAGATTTTAAACAAGTTCCGGTGGCTCAACACTTTCGGATCTGGCCATTGGAGTTCTCTGTTCATCCCTGTTTGAGAATTGAACTTTATGGAAATAAGTCGAAATCTCAGGGAGGTTGGTATCTGTCTCATTGTTTCGCTTAAACCTTTTTTAACCTTAGATTTTTCTCTGCTTGCGTTGAACATATATTTTGTGGTTTAGAGGTAAAAGGTTTCTGCCAACGAACGTAAATGCTAGGTACAACATTTGGCTTTCATGTACCATTAGTAGAATTCGGAGACCTCGAAATTAAGGGTTGGAGATATTGCACATTAAGCAAAAAACATCGACACATCTTTACGCGGAGGCAGGCAAGTTGATTCCGAAACAACGGAAGTTCGTTAACACTTGCTTCATCCAAGCTCCTGTTTAATGAGTCAAACTCTCACATGGAGTTTGTAGCCCAGTTTCCTGACCATATTAACATTGTTGCATCTTATGATTTTCTCTGCAGGTCCACCAACCGGTCCACCAACCGGTGCACCAACGAATTTGACCACGGAGATAATATCTTTGACAACGGTACAAGTAAACTGGAATTTCATCCCGGACTTCTTCGATGGGGGTTTGGGAGTTATTGGATATCGGGTGTATTATTACATAAAAGGAGCTGGTACAGAGGGATTAGAACAGCAGAAGAAAGTTGTACAGGATAATTCGACCAAACTCTTTAACCTGACATTAAATGCGACTTACTGTATATCAGTCGTTGGTTATAATGAAGCGGGAGAAGGTCCTCGAAGCGAGTGTACTGACCTTCACACTCCATTAGGTAAGGTTTTCTTTAGGATTATAAGTTAACCTTCCTTAGGAGTGACCAGCATCTATTTTCTCCATACAGCAATGCTGCTGAATCATTTATTAAGATCATGAGAATAAAGGAATAATCACAAACCTAAGAAGCTTTGATTGTCAAACCAATTCTCCTTGTCAGTGCCAAGGGTAGTGTATAGAGAAGAGTATTGAGAATATGGATACTGATGTTTGGGTGTTTTGGGTTAATTAAGAAACTGATCCTTATGCCATAGAGAGTAGTCCAAGACAGAAATCAAGTGTAATAATAATAAAAAGAACCATAAAATCATCAGTGCCCTGTTGTATCTTAGTTTGGATACACAAACCTTCTAGACCAAAAAAATAAAAATAACATCTTGGATATCGCGATAAAGGTGATTTGATGTCCTATAGGAGAGTATGGCTTGTACATCCCCTCTTCCGGGAAGAAAGATGGGGTAGAAACTTGTTAACTGAGACAGGGTCTGATCATTATTTATCGCCTTGGGGGTTAGGGGGAGGGGGAAGGTCTTTGGATTTTGGTTGTGTCAAAATAAAATTTACCTGATCCCCCCAAAGGTCCCGTTGTGGGTCACCTCTTTATTCCTTGTTGGCGACGACTGAACGGACTGGCCCCCCCTCTGATAATCAAGTGATCTCCCCCAAATCCCCCGACCCCTCCCTCCCAAGCAAAATTGACTGGTCCATAAGTTACGTCCATTAAAGTTACATTCTTTTTTTCACAGTATGTTTACAGGGATGGTCAAGCTATGGTGGAAACTGCTATCGTGCCTCTGAGAAGAGTGAAGGCAAGATAGAGTGGAGTGAGGCCGCTGACAAGTGTTACAACCTTAATTCTCATCTGGTATCCATCTACAGTGAGTCTGAAAATCAGTTTGTCAAATCTTTAACAGAAAGAGAGCCAAAGACTTGCTCGTGGATTGGCTTGAAATTTAAAACGACAAGGCAGCTCCTTGCTTGGAATGACGGTTCTCTTGTGAACTTTACAAAGTTGAAAGATCAAGAAAATGTAAATAAGTGTGTTGCGTATCATGAGGAAAGTGAAGTTTGGGAAAAGAAATGGTGTTCAGGAAAATGTTCCTTTGTCTGTAAGCGAAAAGGTAGGTCGTCATTGATTTTTATGTTAATTTCCTCCCTGATAATCGGTGATTCTGTTGACATTCTGGCGAAATTTTGGTCGGATTTTGGCGGGGTCTTGGTAATATCTCAAGGCAAGATGTTTTTAAGATTTCAGTTCTCATGAGCTTTCCATATTCAACCTTTTTATTCTCAGAACTTAGTTTCCTTTAAAATTGGAGTGGAGCCGTCGCCATACAACAAGTAGCCATGCTGCTCCTCTAGTCACAGTGCAATTCAGATATTTACGTGTGAAAAAATAATCTGTTTTATTGAAGTCATCTTAGATGATCAAAAGAATAATTTTTCTTTCTAATTATCTCTCGACTTGTGCGTTCTATTTATTTCTCTAAATTGCTTTGTTTTTGAATGACATCTATCGCAGATTTCGCTTGGCCACATCAAAGCTGTTCTGATATGCCAATTGGACTAGAAAACAGAGCCATACCAGACTATGCCATGCAATCCACCAATACGTTAAACGGTACTTCACCCTATGATGCACGCCTGAGTTCCACAGGGGGGTGGTGTGCTTTTCCCAGAAGCGAAGTTTACCTTGAGGTTAACTTGCAATCGCCTCATTTTGTTTGCGCCATCGGTACCCAGGGTAGACAAAGCAAGGACTATGTGAAGAAATACAAAGTTGAACTGGCAAACAGAAACAGTAAATACGAAGTTTACAAGGAAAATGGAATTTTCAAGGTTCGTGAATTAGCAAGAGGAAAAGGTTTGTCTGAATATGAGAGATTTTTTAAATCTGTCTGATGTTTTGAATACCTCAGGTGACCAGGACTGAATTTCTCCCTATAATATCAACATCATATCAAGCAGACAAGGGAATAATTACTTGATCCACTTCCAAATTCTCTGAACAAATATAGTGAGAATGGTATGGCAGACAGTAAGGAGAATAAATAATGATATCTTGGGACAAAAAGGCTTAAGAATGAATAGAGAGTCAAACTTGCACGAATAAAGCAACTTTGCATACACGATTAAGAAAAAAACGCTCAGGTTGATAAATCTTTGGTACCTTAAGGCTCCCTTATTCTCATAAGAGTATTACAGAGTTTTATGGGGAGATCAGATAAATTTTGTCGTGATACAGAAATATCCTCCGACTCTCCTCCCCCTCCCGAGGCGGTAAATAATGACCAGTCATTAAATGCGTTTTAGGAGTTTGAAGCCAACAGCGACTGCAACCGTGTAAAGAAAAACTTGTTGGAGTCCGGGATTGTGACGCAATATGTGAAGCTGCGGCCGCTGGAGTGGCATAGCACGCCATGTTTAAGGCTGGAAATTTATGGACAAATTAATTCAGAAAGAGGTATTTTGGTGATCTTACTCATAATTGATTCTTCTCCAGTTCTGAGTAGTTTTACATATTGAATATGAATAAAACTAATTTAACCAGTTCCTTAAAATAAACGAATAGATAAACCTGTTACTAACCGAGTTCGAGGTCCTTACTGTAAGTTATGGACTGAATTTTCTCCGCAAGAATTTATGGCTCACGCACGAAGCGTAAGGACCATAAATCTCAGCGGGAAAAAAAGAGTTTCTGTAACTCATAGTATAGAACGAGAAAACGAGGTGAGTTTATTATATCTAATATATATTTATTATATATTTACTATTTATGATATTTATTATCTCTATCTCTGAGTTCAAAGAGAGGGGGAAGATTTCAATTCAAACAAACTTTTGAATATAGCGGGTCGCACAGTGAAATGTGATCAATCAAAGTGCACGTTAGTAAGATGTTCATTATGTCTCTGGGTTCAAAGAGAGGGGGAGGATTTCAATTCAAACAAACTTTTAAACTTAGCGGGCTTTAGGGTAAAATACGGCCTGCTCAATCGACCAATCATAGCGCACGTACTGACTATGACAGAACGAAAGACAATAAATCATGGGTAATAAATATGTAATTAATGAATGTAAATATGAACACGTTTAAATTTCTAGTGAGAATTATAGACAGCTGTTTAGTGTTTCGAAATGAGTGGGATAAATGAGAGTGGGGGAATTATGAAAAGGTCAGGCCAAAAATCGTCATATTCCCGAGCGTTCTAGTGTGGCGAAAATGTTTTGAAATGAAAACGTATGCTGGGATGGTTGAGGAGCATTTGCTTTGTGTTGGTTTAGACACTTCAATTCGGACCAGGCTTACACTACATTAAAACAGATACTGAAAATAATTTAATGTTTTTTTTTACAGTCCCGACACGCGCTCCTGACAGCGTTTCGTTTTCAGTTGAAGATGGTGGAATACAGGTCAGATGGAGTCTGTTGCCTGTGTATTTTCATGGGGACGTTCTCGACGGATACAAAGTAGAAGTTAAGAAACCAAATAACTCTCTTCACGGAATATGGACATTTTCTGCAGAGGAAAAGAGTCAGAAATTTCCTGGAATTACTAAACGTGCCGACATTGGTTGTGTACTGGTCTATGGATTTACCAAATATGGAGACGGTGTTTCCAGTGGCTGTGCCATTGAGGAGCAAGGTAAACTAAGGCCATAAAAATACAGTTTTCGTTTTGCAGACATGAAAACATTGCTCACTGAAGTAGCAACGAAAAATATCGTTCATTTTTCTTAACAATATTGGTAAGTACTTGGGCTTCTTGGCCAATGGCTCCCAAAGGAGCTCAACGAACGCGCTGTGAGGGGGCGGGGGGAGGAGTGTATGGGGTTTCTACTCAACTACCCGTCAAAAGAGGGGGATAACTTGTTATAGCAAAACCTCTTGTCATCCCCCTAAAGTCAGTAAGATACACTTGTAGCCCCCCCTCCTTCAATGGAAAACTTGGGTCTCCGTCCCCAGATCAGTTGCGCATTACCACCTGCTCTGACTGACTAATTTAATAAGCAAAACCTTGAGAGGCGTTTTTATTGATTTTGTTGATTTTGTTGTTAGCGAGTGATATGACTGGAGTATGCGACAAAAAGAACTGATTTATTTCGTCTTTGGTCAGTAATTCGCCGAATTCACTTCCAAGGTCCCAGTCTACAGAATAGAGATGAAATCAAATCTTAACCTCCCATAATTTGAGTTGTTATACTTTCTTCTAGCTGCTATATATTCCTTGTTAAGTAGCTTCTCATAATCTGTTTACTGATTATAGTACTAATGTTGTAAAAGGAAAATAAGTTAGTAAATTTTTAACCGTGTTAACGATGTTTGTCGGCGATAATACTAAATCTTCCGGCGGGGTTAATTTGATCAATAAGGCAATAGGATTATGATTTGCACTCTATACAATGAAGTCGACAGGAGTTTCTCAGAGTCACAATAACATGTCATAAAAAATATAGGTGACAGATACACAGAACATGCACACGAGACTGGCATATTTACGATTGAATCAAGACACTCAAAGAGGTTTTAAAAACTTTTGTTGGCGGAGATCAACAGACGTGGAGGGAAGGGGCGTGGTGGAGAGGGGACTTAAATGGATTATTGACAGCACCATTCATGAATGACCGACTGACTTGTTGGTTTACTGATTGATGTATTGATTGATTCTCCCTATATCAAAGAACCTCCTAAATGTCAGGACGCTATGGGTATAGAAAGCGGTGCAATCCTTGACGATGAAATTAGTTCCTCTTCGCGAAAAAGCGGGGTAGATGCTGCCATTTATGGCCGATTCAATAACAATAGTCTTAGCGGATCGTGGGCAGCTCAATATTTAAATAAGAAACAATGGCTTCAAGGTGATCTTATAACATATTGCACTCAAGTTACGAAACTCTCCGCGCACCTCGCACCCGCCTCCAGACCTCTGATACATGCTGGCAAAATGTTAATTTATGCTAATTTATGCTATGGAAAATTGTGCCTCTTAATCTTTTTATTAATAGGTCAGATGGTAAGTTCCAAATTATGAAGGGTCACTAAAGAATTAGTGATAATTATTCTTTTTTCTCCTTTCAAACCCCTTGACAGAGATAAATATACTTAAAGCGAGGGGACCCTTTTACATTTTGGATCTCAGACACGTCATTTTCAATTTCTATGGGCAAGTTCGCGAAATGCACAGAGGGATCTTAGCTTTGTCACCATTATGCTAATGAATAAAAACACCATTCTATAGGAGAGGGGTCTGGTAACAACTCTATTCTTTATACGCAATGGAGTGAATGGAGCAGTTGCAGCAAGTCATGTGATCGAGGTGTACAATTTCGCAACAGGACTTGTGCATCACCGTGTAGTTACGGTGATAGTTCACATCAGCAGAACAGAAGCTGTAATTCTCAAGATTGCCCAGGCAAGTACAGACGTCACGATCTATTAACCTGTTTACCCCCAGAGTAAGTGGCATTGAATTTCTCCTTACAGTATCACAACCGAATTAAACATTGAGGTCATGAGAGTAAAAGAAATGATCGCCAACTAAACGAGCTCTCTCGTTTTGTCAGCACCTGAAGATGTGGAGAATATGCAGACTGATGTCAGGGTGTACAGGGTTAATGGATTGAAAATGTATTGAAGAGGAACACTTTCGTGTCAATCATCTCTTGATTTAAAGGGTTACATATTAACAGCAGCAGAATATGTCATCTGTTCCAAATTTGGCGTCTGTTTATGGCGTCCACCTCTGATAATCATATTAAAATGTCACAGAAATCTCATCTTTGTCTAATTTCCTTTTTCCCATTCAAAGACTCACCGGATCCGATCTTAGATCAACCGTCAAACCTGACCACTGTGAAATCAAGCCCCAATTCTTTAGCGGTCCAATGGAAGCCTTACACCGGTAATAACACTTTGGTGGCTTACCGCGTGTTAGTGCTCCGCATAAGAGCTTGGAAGAGTGGAAAGAGTAGGAAGAGAAGGTCGATCCCGAACAAAGAAGGCGAGCTTCTAAGGAACTTTACTGTTGGCCCTAACGTCACAGCTTTTGAGATTGGAAATCTGTCCGCGTCCACCGGGTATTGTATCCGCATTGGAGCCATTACCGAGGAACTAGGGGAGGAAAGTCTCAGTGACTGTTATTACCTCTATACAGAAAAAAGAGGTAAGAAGCCAGCTACCTCCTTTTTTTGTGTTTGTAATGGAAGGGAAGAGTTGAATTACTCGGATCAATGTCAGTATCCGAGCAACTGCGCACCTTCCCCTCCCTTAATCCAGCTATAAACCTATCTGTTTCTTTCAGTCGGCTGTTGTTGGATTAGGGGAGGGGTTGGTGTGCAGTTTCTCAGTTCTCTTTGAAATTGAATTCCCCTTAATGACTGACTCCAGCAAAGAAGATTTATATTTGCGATCTTTGACAACACTCATTCAAAGATTTGCCCTCAATTAATTCTACCTCTAGTCATTCATCGTTTTGGTGCGTTGTTCATTTGTTCGTTCGTCTGTCTTTTCAACAATGATAATAATAATAACAAGTTAATACTTCTCTAGCGCAACGTACATATAGATATGATCTGATGCTCCTGTTTGACTCACTGAAGATTTTTCCCTTTTCCCCTTTTGTTTCCACTTATTTCTTTGCTCTTTTCGCACAATGTTAGCTCTTGTTTTTTGCTCTTGCCTTTCTTCCTAAGAAACGACATGGCAAATAAGAGATAAAACATTTAAATATCTTTTATACAGTTATAACCACCTAACGACAATAAACTCAAAATTTGTTTTAAATTTGTAAGTTAAGTTCTTAATGTTTGCCAGTCATTGGATACCACTATGGGGTTCTAGATTTCTTGGTTCACAGACAGCATAAAGTTACTAATTTGATATTTCAATGAAATAATGTTTTCTTCTTAGATGTGTCCCTTCCGCCTCCTCCTGAGGCAAACGCCACCACTAATGGATCCTCATCGATAACTATCCATTGGAAACCTGTGCTCAACAATACAGACTCCCCAATAGTAGGATATGCCATTTTCCTTCGCGATACAAACAGATCAATTTTTGTTGAATCGTGTTTGACAAATATCACTGTGAATTCCAGTGGCTGTATCGAAATGGCAACTCTCATTACTACAGGGCGGGGAAACACCACAGGGTGTCTTCAGACAGAGAATTGTGAGTGTTTCATGTGATTCATTATCTACAGTTTTCATAGTGTGTATGGAAAACACTCCAAAATAGTTTTTAGACTTAAAGCACATCTTAAGAACAAAGTGGTCTATAACCTACAGGGCCGCTCTGTTTCGCCCAGCTTGAACTAAGTTAGACCTCCTAAATGGGATGGTAGATCCCAAGATCCCTAGAGCAGTCTTCCAGGCTTTCCTTATGGTGTTCCTGTATCCATTTACACACCTGGGTGGGAAGAGGAACCGTGAAAGCTGCCTTACCCAACGATAAAACACAGTGATCTTTCTAGGGTACGACATGGGACCCTTCATATGGTCCAGGGCCGGGTTGATCAAAGCTGGGTTAAGATAACCCAGGGTTAGTGTGAAATCCGATTTCAGATCTAAAAGCTTTAAAAGAAAATTCAGTCGAATTCTTTTTGTGTAGAGTATGACTATTTGATGCTTTAAAAAGGACACTGAAAATTTTCCCAAAAAGGCTTTAGAGTAAAGGAATAAAGAAACCCAGATTAAAATCTAACCCTGGGTTAGCGCTAATCGGCCTTCGAACAACTGGGCCAATGGCGTTAACCTGCGTTTTCACTCAGTAGTGGTTGATCATTAAAGAAAAACAATGAAGAGCACCACTCAGCACTACGGAATATTATGAAGGATATGAATACTCAGAGACCAGTAAAAGCGGTCGGATTAAAAACGATGACAGAGCCTTATCTTAAGGAGGAACGAATGCCTTGGAGATAAGATCTGTGTTAATCCCCAAAGGTATGCTTAGTTACCCTTCTCACTCCCCAAAATCTAAATTTTTTTCGCAGCACCTACGCCAACGCCAGAACCAGTTGTTAATGAGACTGCTCCAAAGATCACTGCATCGATAAGAAGATCTCTAGCAACCATATTAGTCACGTGGGATCCCAAGACAATTTCTGGCATCAAAGGAGAATTTATCGGATATGATTTGGAGTATAAGCTTATTGAAGTTAATGGAATTCCGAAAGACGATGCTTTGTGGACGTCGCTGATGTTCAGTTGTTACCAGTCCAAAACAGAGTTCAATCTAACAGACCTTTTACCATTTGCACGGTATGAGATCAAAATGGCGGTAATCACATCAGAAGGCGTTGGAAAATACAGCGAGGCAGTGTATGGAGGTTGGTACTTTGGTACTTTACACGTCTCTCTTATTCTATTTACAAACATGACGCTATCGACATGGCTGGTCCTAGCAGTATGCAGGACACAAGTCATATGAACTTCGTAATAGACCTCACTCACCGTAGAGTCTCTCTCAGCTCAGAGGTAGATCATCGGAGCGCGGAATCCGATGGTGTGAGGTTCAATTCCTTATGGGGACTCAGAACTCTTTCTTTATCCCACGCTCGTGACAGGACGAAAAGCATCTTTCTCTGAATGAAAAATGATATACGAGGGAAAAAATTTGCGTGTTGTCACATCGAAGTTTCAATTTTTCTCTGGGTTTTACTTGCCTCTGATATAACACAACACTCAACGCTAAAGTAGAGACAACCCTACCACTACGCCTTTTCTAATGATAGAGTAATATGTTAAGCCAGGTGCTCCAGACTTAAGGTATTTTTTATTTAACAGTCTGTTGGTTTTGTTTAAAAAAACTACATATTGATCATGGTCGTGCTTTCATCTCGACAGTAACTTGCGCATGCGCGGAGTTTATCACAGCTCGTTCTGCTGGTGGAATCAAAGACTCAAAGCAAGACACTATCACCTCCTCGCTGACAAAAGTGATATCGGACCTTCTCCTAGACACTTGTGGTAAATGCGAGGATTACACCACGAAAATTATTTATAGTAATAAGAGTGACGATAGCAATGGATTAATTAATTTTCCAGTGAGCAAAACCTCATACGGGCAGAGTGAATATAGCAAGTTTGTACCGGTGATTACAGTTCCAGGAGTATTGGTGATAACAAGGAAGTCCGACTTAAGCAAGGTGTTGACCCAAGTGGCAAGTGGCTCAGCTCTATCATCGTGGCCTATCGCTGTGGTGACCGTGGTGATGGCCACGTTAGCAGGAATAATTATCTGGTTCTTGGTAGGTATCAGGAAATGTCTCAAAAATTACTTCAGGACTACAGCAGGACCCCACAAGGGCGTGGTCATGGTCCAAGAATGGAGGGCGTAGGACACCCCTTCTTTTGAAAAATCTTTCTTTGGCTTATTCCAACGAACTTCTAAACAACACGGTTTGCGTAATCTTCTATGTAGATAACAACTCAAACTCAAATTTTTTTTAAAATTAAACCCATAACAAACAAGAGTTCTCGTTATCTTCACCGTCCTATGTTCATTCTTCGCAGTCAAACAGGATATATATTATATCCATTTTGATTTCTCACGAGGAACATAATATGCAACGGGAGTAATGCTGATTATCATAAATCACTCCGTTGCCACTGCAGTACGGTTCTAAGCTATTTGTACCCTGCTAAGAAGTCACTCGTTTGTAATGTATTTCTCTGTTCTTCACAGGATTCCAAGGAAAACTCTGAACAATTTCCACGTCAGTTCGTTAAGGGAGCTGGTCAAGGATTCTGGTGGTCTTTCATTTCTATGACAACTGTCGGGTAAGAGAAATAATAACGTTCTACCTGGAAAAAATTGTTTCCTAATTGATCTAGCGTTTGGGAGAAAAGACCAAATAACAAAACTACAGTTATGAAAGACTCTTGTGATTTTTTTTTGAAAATCTTAGCCAGGTTATGTTCTCAACACTATATTAAGCAAACTCAAGTTTATTGTAATTTTTTATGTAGTTGTGTAGTTGTTTTGGACAGTTGAACTGTTTGCATTCCTATCCCTTCAATTTTGCATTACCGCAAAATTGCGGTACGCAATTTACGCATTTACGCATTTACATGCAATATTAAGGCCAAGTTTAACTTGTAATCCTGGGTGAGTGCTGACCTCTTTCCGAGATTAATTGGCTCTTGGCAATAAAACAAGTCAGTCCCCTTTCAGCTATTAGCCACTTTAAACCGCCATCAAAACCAGCGAGTTGAAAGTTTTTTTGGTGTTCCACAGCTAAAGTCAATAAAAACAGTTTTTTTTTCAAGGTATGGTGATCTCTGTCCGAAGTCCATACCTGGAAAATTATTCGCCATGATCTGGTTTCTTATCGGCCTTGTGATCTTCTCTGTGTTCATGGGAACTCTAACTTCACTGCTGACTGTTACCACCGTCAGGAAAACTATTGGATCACCGCAAGGAACAGATGTGAAAACGGTAACTGAGTCTCACTCTCTGGGTGTTCATATGAAGTCCAGAACAATACAACGAAAAGAATTAAAAAAATTATTGCAACAGTCCCCATCTCCTCCCGACCTCAGCAAATCTTTCCGTTTGGCCCCAGTTAAGATGGCAGGTAAACTTCACGCGTTTCAGCACAAATTTCCTTCACTGATTAGGCGGGGAAAATAGACAGACACAGATAGAAAACATTTATACGGTAGAGATTTCTCCCACGACTTTTTATCACAAATGTAACGAAATTACTTCAGGTTGCAGTTGTGGCTGATTCCCCTGAACAACGTGTTGCAGTTGGTTCTCTTAGTGGCAAAGTCAATCTTGGTAAGATTTTTTTTTGTATTTTTCTTGTGAATGGTTTGACAATTGGCGATTAGAATATCATAAAGTTAATAAGATAAGATAGGTGCGAACTTTATTATTGTGTCGAAATTGCTAGCATACAGTGTACACTAATTGGGAACTCCTTACTACAATTAATTATCTAATAATTAATGAAAATATGATAGATATGTTCATGTGTAAGTATGAAAAGATAAAAGAAATTTTAAAATTTGCTCATCAAAGAAAAAAAATGGCTCTAGATTATCTTAGTTTAAGTATTGTTCACCAGAAAGGAAAGAAGGAACCTCCGAAGGGAACTTGATCCTTCGGAGTATTGCTCAAATACCATATTGCTGAGCTACAGGTGATATTAAAGTGGGAATTACTCGTAAAATAAGCCTATAATAGCAAGATCCATACAGGCTCCATTTTTACCTAACACAGTTTTAAACACATTTATCTCCTGCAAAGTACAACTCAGAAAATGCCAACGTCACCCCTTATTGTTCTTAAACAATAACATGACTTAAACTTTCCAGGAAAACAATTTCCAGATGTGGAACATCTTGTGAGGGCTTTAAAAGACCGCGCAGTTGAGAGCATTATGGTAGATATGTACACGCCGATTAAACGAAAGGATTTGTTTAATGGTTCTTGGTATGAAATTGGCAAACTACTAGAGGTTGAGATCTCTCATGGAGTTCTTCTACATGGCCGTGCTGTTAGCCTGGTGGAAGAATTGAAGAAAATGATCATTTCTAAAGATGTACAGTCAGAATATTTACAAGACGCAAATGAAAACGCGGAAGATGAGGTGAAGGACGTAAATTAAATACGCATTGCGGGCCTGTTGTACAGATAAGCCTTACTCTCTTGGCCCTCTCACACGTGACTTGTGATTGAATAATTCTCTAGCCAATATAATGATAAAAATGATTACGTTTATTACCAGAGGAGATAAGAAATCTAGCTTTCATTTAGCTTATTTTCTAAATGAGCATTTTTTCATTGACTGCCGTCTACACAGGGAGAAATTTTAGAGGAAGAACCTGTAACATTCTTTGAGCCGGCAAGTCCCTATTTCCGCACCACCATGTACACGACTCTAGCAGCTCTGGGTGTATGTTTTTGCTGCGGGATGCTGTACCAAGCATTTTTCTACAAGAGAAGACGAGCACCTGGCAATAGTAAGTACAGTTAAGCAAGCACTGATTCAGCAACAACACGAAGCACTGATAGACAATGTTTTTTTTTCAGTGAAGCACACGAACGGAAAAAGCGAAATTCAGAGTACTCCTTGCGGAGCTAAAGAAAATAATATCCCATTTTTATGAACCTCCATCTTTGGTAGTCAATTTTCTATAGTTCCGGCTGTTGGTGATACCTGATCCCTCCATTTCTCATGTAAACCATGGACTCCCTCCAAGAACCTACCCCCTGGTGATAAATAATGAGTGGTTCCTAATGCGAACGTGGTCTGTGTAATTTTTGGCCGTGATTTTCAGCATAGTAAGTTGTTGTACGAAATGATTTGTTTTAGTCTTTAGTCTTTTGCAGTTGAGAAGAACCGAGTTCTTACTTACAACGGTACGAAATTGTCCCAAGGATGATCTAAACATAATTCAACACTCACGTTTTGGGATTTATTGACCATTTTGAATGAAAAGATATTATTATTTTTCTAACTTTTCTTATGGCAGGAATCAATAATAACGCTGTCGTTCCTGAAAACACTGCTTCTGTTGCTCAGTTGGAAACAGCGGTGAAAGAATTTTACTCATCATTTTCCTCAACGTACAAGGAATTAAAAAAAAAGTTCAAAGCTGAGCTGATTCACCTGGAGAAAGTAAAGAGACAAGGAGGGAAAAACTTGATAAAAAAGAACTTTCAGATATTTGAGTCTAAAGCATAAATTATTGATCACATTTGCAAGCATGAAATTAATAACAACAATCTCTGCTACACTTTGTACAGCCTTGACTTAAATTTGTCATAAATTCTACTGCCAATTAATTCGTGGGGTGATTTTGCCGTTAGGCAATCCACATCACTGTCTAAACTCGTGTATCTGAGGCACCTTTCCGTGGTAATGCTTTCTACAAAATGCAACAGTACATTGTTTTGAATTAAGGTGTCAATTGCCTTCCACAATTGTCAGTTAACAATGAGGTTAACAATGTACGTTAACAATGTTTTCATATTATACAGTTTTGACAGTAGTAAAGGTGTGATAATTCTATAATGACGGAAATAATTCTGCAGGAGATCAGAGCACGAATGAGAGTATGTTACACCAAATCCCAATTATAGGAATCCTTAAAGACATGATGAAATATAAGTTCAATTCTTTGACTGAACACAAAGCAAACGTACTACACTACTTCTGAAAAAAAAACACAAGTCAGAGAACACTATAACTATGGTGGACTTAACCATAGTAGTTTGAGTTAAATTTAAACGGCATTGAAGATTTTTTCAAGAAAGGCTTTACAGTACACACTCTTAGTGCCATTTGCCCGCAGGGTGTGGTCAATACGAGGTGATCCTTTTTTTGAACAGACACATACCACTCGACATGTCTCAAGCGTATCCCTTTTCCATTTTTAAATGTACATGCATTTGATGCTCTTTTTAGTGTTAAGTTGTCTTGAATAAGAAATAAAGTTTAAAGCGAATATTCAAGCTCACATTGGTAGAAAGTGGCTGTTGGAGCGAAACTTGGTCATGGGACCATAGCCTCATTTCGTTTTTCTGCGCATGCTTCGAGTTCATTTCTAGCCTGACGAGCCACTATAATTAATTCCTTTTTGTGCATATTCTTGAGTCTTTCATACTTCTGACGAAGAGAGCGGTAAAATTCATCGACCAAGTTTTGTAGTTCCCTTTGGATTTCATCCCTCTCTGTCTCCTGTTCACCTAAAATGTCAGCAAAACTGATTTAAAGGAGTTTCTCTATTTGTTTTTACACTAAGGTATTAAAAAATTGAAAGAACATAGGGGAGAATCAACTTGTCTTCTTGATATTGTATCGATATTGTAAGGGAAAAGTATGTCTTTGACACAGATGGGAGTGAGAGGGTAAATTATTCAATGCTCGTAGGAAAAGTAAGAAAATTGGGGTACGTACTCGTCTGGCATTTTCTGTTTATGGTGTACACCGTTTGATAAACCAGCCCACAAACTGTGAAGATGCACAGGATACCCAGGCCCGCGAATATGATTTGCTTGTAAAATGGACTGGCCGGATCGAAGAACAGATACTCGTTGGATGTCGACTCAGCTGCTCCCTGTTAGAAAAAAAGCTGTTTTTTTAATGGAGAATATGCATTTATGTGACTTATGTCATACCTTTTATATATTTAACAAGAGAAGTGTGTGAGCCGTAGAAATTTATGTCACACACACCACCAGAGCCTTCCGTCTATTCACGCCCATCATGTAGTTCTTTGTTGCTTTTAGAATACAAACTCATAAATTACTCTGATAAAATAGCTCATCATACCTCGTCATCGTTGCTGTTTTTTAGAAAATTAGTCTGCACGTTATCGTATGCTATCATCTCTTCCAACGCAGACGCGAGGTTTAGGGCGTCACCCCGAAGAATAATCCCGTGACTTATTTCTGCCTTGTACAGCGCCGCAATTTCGAACCAAGAGCCATTGAAGAGATCTTTGCGTTTAACAGGAAGATACATGTCAACAAGAATATAATCAACTTCGCCCTCCTTGAGTGCTCTGATGAGTCTCTCTACTGATGAGTAATTTGTGGCTAAAATTAAACAGGAAAGACATATGAATAGAGGAGTATGAGTCATTGACGACATTTTGACTGGGTAGAGGCGATAATATAAAGATACAAAAAAGAGCAACCCCCTTCCTAGCCGATAAATTATGAGTGGTCCTTTTCTAACAAGTCTCAAAATAACAGCAGCCTGAGCCTAATGAGCGAGTAGATAACATATGTTACTAGTGTGGCCTTATTACGATTGTCAGCTGCTCAGCAAAGAAAAGTCGTGATTGGGGTTAACCCTGAGGAAGAGAAGGTGGGTGTGGGTGTGGTTGGCTGAGGTGTAGGAGGAGCACGAGAGGCACCTACTGAGCTTCAACTTGGCACTGAGTGATCCCACAGCCAATTTATACTCTGGAGAATTAGCTACCGCTGCTGCCTGTTTAGGAAAAGGAAGAAAACTGTCAACACGTTATGCTTACAATAAATTTCTTAGTATCAAAAATATCATGTCAACGATATTTTCAAGAACAGTGATGAAAAAGCACTCCTTCCGACTAAGATACACTAAATTGACTGGTGTTTTGCCTGGAAACGACAGAATACCTTTCTGAGAGGACAAATATTCCGAGAAACTTTTATTTTTCGTTTGCTTTTTGTATGAACTGTTATGAATTGCTACCCGTTTGAACGTTGCATTTGAAAACCCATTAATCCATTGCTGACCGCAAACTACGTCGATAAATATGTTCGCGCTTAATCCTTTCACCAAAATCTCATCAGTACTTCTCCTTAACGTCTGTCATACAATTCTTATGATGTTAGTCTGGAGAACTTGGTATTTGATCAACTAATAATTCCCTATTTGATATTTTGTTTTATTCTCATCACTTGTCTGCTTTATATTGTGTTGATAATTTGAGGAGAAATGCTGTTTTGGTCACTCATGGAAGTAAAAGGGTTAAGTCTAGTCCAATTCAGCACCATGACTTTAAGAGAAAGAACTCGCCTTGCTGTTTCGATCGATGTTGAAGTCCTTTTTCTGTGACCGAACCACTGTAGCAGTTAAAGTGGATGACATGGCGGCCATGATGAATGAGAGTAGAACTGTACTGATAAGTAACCAGACGATTGCAAACGCTCTTGCTGGTTTAGACTTTGGACAACGATCGCCATAACTACATTGATGAAAAAAATATATTGATGTAGTTCCTGTTTATTAATCCATCAATCAACCCACATATCCTGGACATAACTTCTACTGGATTTAATCTATTATGTCATCAAGCTCTTACGTCAGATCGATGACGTCCTTACCCTACTGTTGTCATGGTGATGAATGACCACCAGAATCCTTCGTACACTCCCGCGACAAAAGATGAGGATTGTTCCTCCCTGTCCTAAAATCAAAAGACAATGAAATAAGAATTTCCATCTATCAAAAAGACAAATGGCTTTTAGAGGCTCGTTCCATGAGTAATGATGATAGTAATAAAACTAGAGGAGTCGAATTCGATCTTTAATCGTAAGAGTGATTAACAAAATCGGACGACCACGAAGCAGGAGCTCGATTTGTTTGGATGATGCAATGTGATTTTATCAATAATGACAAAATTTGAGAGACAATTCAGCCAGCAACTGCACGTTTTTAAAACCAGTTAACTCAGCGAAATGCCCGACAACAGCATGCGCACATGACATGTACTGTCCAATTGCACAGGTATGACGCACAAACTTTCCTATTAATGCTCAAATATGGCTGGTGATAACCTATCTTGTTGGAGAATGTGACAGCGGAAAAAGGAACTTAGACTTCAATTATTTCGATGCAGACATCATCATTTCAAATGTCGACCCCATTTCTTGGTTACTATAAAAAAGACAGCACGTAATATATAAACATATATAAATATATCATAGTAAAACCGTGACATGCTCACCAAAAACCAAGCGAGTACACCTGCTGAATAAACAGTCAATAGCGACACAACAAAGATTGGCCAGATATCAAACACAGAACCAGTCATAATTTCTTCGTAGAAACGAGAAGAACCATTGTCCTGCCTCTTCACAACTAACACCCCAGGCACCTCTAATACAGAAATAAACTTGCTGAATTCACTTCCTCTTGCACCAGTCCTTGTGACTGGAAATTGAAGATTAGATTCTTCATCAGTCTTGTTGGAAAATACCAGCACAGTTTCATTGTGTTCTTGACAGTACCCGCATGATTTTGTTACTGTGTTGGCGATAATGTCTGCTATACTCTTTGAATCATTTCCTCCTTGGTCCAAGGATGACTGGCTTTTGGAGGCAGAGAGATACTTTGGACAGCGACAGGTTTCTGCAGATAAATTCGATTGACAGTTAAAAAAAAATAAGAATCTGATCATAATCTTACTTTATTACTTTTACCCTACAGGGTTCATATCTGAGCTCTAGGTTACTTTACCGACCAGGCTTCAGTGGTTTGAAGGGTGGATGACGCTATCCATTGGGTAAATCTATCTTCAGTGTTCAGTGCACTACCTTGTGGTGACACTTATCCGCTGGATAGCGATATTTTTATTGAATAGTTTTATCCGCTATTTTAACAACTGGGTCCAGGATTTTTTGCCTCGGTGATCAGCAATGGCAGAGCATTTACTTTTTGAAATAATCTCGTTTGAAATATATGCTTTATGTCTGGTAAAATTCTCCTCCGATGGGTGTTCTAAGCCTGCTTCCCTTAAGTAATGCAGCTTTGTCTTATGTTCTCAGGACTCTAACGAACATTGCGTGGTCGAATGAGACCACATGGGTCTTTAGTATATTCATATTCAACCGTTTTATCGTAAGTGTGCCTCTCCATTGATAATTGTTTTTTAAAGTTCTAGTACAAGTATCCACAGAAAACGTCGTGCTCACCAGCAAATACTGTATTGCTATAGTTTCCACATCCTGCTATAGTACATGCCGAAATTTGAGCCCCATAGGTAGAAAACAATGAGAGGTTACCAAGAATGAACGACGTTTCTGAAGAATCACTGATGTCGATCAATTTATTCCATGGATCTGTAGGTGGTCTGTTAGCATTTCTTGTTTGTGTGACGTTTATCTTGTATTTTATTATAATCCCTCGAAATAGGTCCTCTGTTAATAATTGCCACGTGAGCTTGATGGCGTTTGGACTAAAAAACTCCTCAGCCTCGAGTTTAGGAGCTCCACCTGGAACTAAAATAATGAAAATGATCCAGTTAATAAAATGCGTTAGTTTGTGTAAGTGTTCAGTGCATTAGTTAGTTTCAAAGGGCTTAATTTGACTTAGTGTAGACTTCTAGTAAACATTTTATTTCCGGAAAAAATGACGAAGAAGCTCACTTCAATTAAAGAAATTCTCTGAGACATAAATTGTACCAAGGAATTAGTGAGACACCTTTTTAATAAAAAATCACTTGAACTGAGAACTTTTTCATGTTAATTCACTTGCAATGTTCGTTTGCGCTATCGTCGGAACCTCTGCTAACAAGCACCAAAGAAAAGTATAAAAGCTTAATTCGATAGGGACTACGAACTACGTACCTTTCCAAGGCGAATTAATCGACAAACGGAAGCCTAAGTAGTTCATTTTATTCCAAACGAAAGATGGCAAATACTTAGTTTTTTTTTTTAATCCAAACTCTTCAACGAAAGAGAAGTGTTATTTGCATACCGTCTTCACTTGCGTTTACACAGATGTGGGATGTTTTATTGCCGCTTCCCTTACTGTTGTAAGCTTCAACCCACACACAGTAATTCGCTGACTCTTCGAGTCCCACCAGGTCCTTCATCAGTGCGTTGACAGTGGTTTTTTTAACAGAACTGTCCGTACTTCTTTTCTTTCGCTTTGTGTTCGTCACTTTCTTGTAAAATACTCTGTATCCCAATATAATTCCTCGCCTATTTATCGGGGGTAATGGATCCCATGTGACTCGAATACTTGTAGGGTTTATCCAGCGAGCAGTCAAATTTTGAGGTGAGGCGTTTGGAGCTGAAAAATATTATCCGTACGAGAGGGTTAGGAAGAGAAAACAAAAAATTCTAAGCCTCTTTATTAGGCCTTTATATGCAAAGAAAAATATTAAGGAAGGGAGAAAATTTGCTATTTTTTCCTTGATTCTTTTTCAACACCATTTTTTTCGTCATTATTATTATTATCATTTCATTGGCCCCGCAGATATATGTAGATGTGAATACAGTTTTACGTATCACTCTTTTGTATATTTTACTTTGAGAACCTATCAGATATCGTGTTAATTACGTCAAGGTCACAGGTCTTATTGTTCGCACGATGTATATAGAAAGATAACAAAATTTTTTTATCCGTAACAAATTGAACTTAGCGTACCCCATAATGCCAATGGGGCATGATTGTGGCCTTCGCCCTGTCCCGGAAATCCAGCTGCGACTGTGTGTTAAGGGATAACGGACCGGTCTTCATTGATGGGGGGGAGGGAATTTGGAGGGTTTTTGGGTATCAGAGGGAACGGAGGTGGAATCGGTTGTCGCCAACAGAGCATAAAGCGGGGACTGTAAAAATTGACTGCCAATTAACTGTTAACCCTTTCACTCTCAAGATCTGATTAGTAATTCTCCTTACTATCTGCCATACAATTCTTATGATGTTAGTTCAGAGAATTTGGTATTGGATCAACCAATAATCCCATGATTGATATTCTTCTCTATTCTCATCACTTGCCTGCTTGATATTGTATTGATATTGTAAGGAGAAATTCTGTCTTGGTCACTTGTGGGAGTGAAAGGGTTAATGAGGAGAGAATCATAAGAATATTACAGAGCCTTAGGTGAAGATCAGGTCTACTTTTTTATGAATAAATAATGACCGATCCCTGAGGCAAAAACGCACCTGCTTCATCTGTAGTCACGTACTGACATTGGCTTCTGTTGCTAGCGGTGGTGTTTGTGAACGAGGAAAGTTCTAAACAGTAATTCGTAAACGGTTTCAAATTCGTTAAATTTGTTGATAAATTCCACTCAGGGCAGAGAACTATATGGATACTTAGAGACGAGTTGCCTTCCCAGTAGCTTACTCTGTATCCTGAAATATTGTTGCTTGAAGACTGATCGTTTCTCCAGCCAACAAGAATGGATGAAGAGCTTGTGTTGTAGGCAGTTTCAATCGACGGAGGTTCTGACAAATACAGAAAGATTGTTGTTAGTTGTAGCGACAAAACTCTAAATTTAATGGGCTTAACGATGGTTAATTTTTAGCGACTCATATTGTTTTCACTGAACACATATGACGGTTCAGAGTCGCGTAAAGGAGTTCCCATAGGTCCAAATATTACAGCAGAGATCAAAGCGATGAAATAATATGTCTTTCGTGAAAACGTTTCGTTTTAGCTTTCGATTACTGCTTGGACTTCAAACATTGATAAAACTTTGATAATTCCAAGAAATTTACATCACCCCTGAGCCACGATATGAGAGAAGCCATGACGCTACTTGTTGCGGTCCAGTCCACAATCCTCCGTTTCATGTCCACCCAGCGTCAAATTGAAGTTTATTTTACCTGTGCATGTAATTAAATGGTTGTCTAACGCCTGTTAATTACTTGCAAGTTTGATAAGGATTTACATCAAGTTTATTAAACCTTTCCAACATAATTGAAAAAAAAGCTTTGTAATGTATAACCTACCTGTAAACAGAAGAGCGATTCTTAAGGGATCTCTGACTAATTTGCTACGAAAATTTCGATTACATAATACTGAAGATTTCGTTGTTATGCATCATTAGGAGAAAATGCATGCTTCTTAAGAAGAACTCACTTACCAAATGATACGTAGGCAGGCTGTGTAGCTTTATTTAAAACAACCTGGCCAAAAAAGAAGGCCAGAATTTTAAAGAACAAAGAACGTTTTTCGAAATGCATCCTCTTGCTTACTAAAGAGATATGAATGACCTTCGCATGGTGAGAACGTGTACACAATAATTTCTTTGGTAAAGATTATTCTTGAATTATTTTATTTATTTTATTGATTTTATCCCTATAAAGCTGTATCACCTGTCGTCAAATTTCGTTCTGGCGAATCAATGCCGGGGTATTGTACAACCTTCAAATTTTTCGTTTTTGATGGTTTGACTGAAAGCTGAAACTTTATCGTTTCGATGACGTTTTTTTTTTTCTGAAATGGTACAGAAGATAATGTATGTCCTATATCTCAAAATAGAACCCAAAGTATTTTTTTACATGTTGAGTTCATGATTAATGTAAGGGATTTTGTAATTTGTGAATTGTTATGGTTTTAGAAAGGAATATGAATAAATTTTTGTTCCTTCTGAAGTAATTTCTTCCAAAGAATCGACATAACAATAATGCTAACATTTGAACAAGATAAAAACTAAAAAATAGAAAGCAATAAATAAAGGGAACAGAAAATAAAAAATACGGTAAATAAAACGAATTTGACTTTATCTTTCTGACTACTTGTAGTAGCACCTGATGTATGGCCTGACGCGCCATCTTTGTTATTTTGCATGACACGCGATCTTTGTTATTTTGCATGAAAGTTTTTATGATAATGAAGGGAGATATTGCACTTTAATTTTTGGAACAAGTAACATGTTGTGGTCAAGAAGAAGAATTTTGTGCAAACAATCGGATAAACATAGAAAACAGATAAAATCATGAAAGCAGCACATTTAAGATAATCAAGCCGTTTACACATAGTATAATTTTTTGAAGTTTCATTTAATATTGGAGCGTTGTGCCTGAGGTCAGAGCGGAAAAACATATTTTGGAATCTTTGTAGATTCATAAAATATTGGCACAAATAATTTCGCTGCGCATCATGACTGTTACTGTTATTATCATTATCATCTTCTCTATCATTAGTATGTTATTGATTTTCCAGGGGTTACTATTTCCAACAGGAACCATTCTCTGCTTCATTTTAAGAAAAGCTCTTTGATGCAAATGATTAACCATCTTGTTTTTGTTGAACTGAGACTTCAAGTCTGGAATAGCGGTTAAGCACCACTCTTCGGAGAAATTTCTTTATTTCTGTTCGGCAAAGAAAAACAAAAACAGTTATTTCAGCAATAATTTAACTCAGTTGTAAGACCTCGAAAGTTCTTATGTAACGAAGAGACTTAAAACAAGCAGAAATTAAAAGAGAAAAACAAAGTCAGCATGCTGCCAATTTTTTTCCTTTACTTACTATTGGTGGATTAAATGTTCCTACTTTTTTGTGATCATGATGCTTTGCTTTAGTTTTACTGTCACCGTTGTGAGCATTTATTATTTGAGGAATGTTACGTGAGGTGGCCAAAACAATAATTTCTTTTCCGAAATATGTGGCTTCTCATTCCTTTCTTCTTGGTATGTGTATAATTCTTATATAATGAGAAGTAACATTTTAAATTAAGTTGCTGCCTTTAATTCTCAATATCTGTGTAAAACGGTTTTACTAAAAACACCTGCTCCAGTGTGAAGATTATTTCCCAACCTATTAGATGTTTTTCTGAGAGTTGTTCTTCTTCTCTCAGTTTTGAAATGGAATGAACTAGGTCAGCTTGTCAATATTATTTTTTTCAAATTTACTTCATTAGGAAAAGTCGATTTTATGGGAGTCTCTGCAAGTTTATTTTCCTTTCATCTATCATGAATCCTCGAGTAGGATGAAAAAAACACGCTGAAAATATATATTAATAGAGTAAAATTTACAACTTCTCGATGTTTCCTAAAGTCTCTTACGTCATAAATAGACGCTATAGAGATACTTTTTTTGCCCAATCCACATAAGACATCATTGATTTTTCCAGAAAAATTATTTGATTCAGCTAGGAAAAAGTCCGAGAGAGCCTGGTCAATTCATGTAAAAATCACATCTAAATCAATAACGAGGGTCTCGACGCGAGACCAAAAGGTAAACGTAACTATTTTCTAAAGAACACCTCATTCTTTTATCTGTCAATGGAGTAAGTGGGATTTGGTAAAAACCGGTGACTCAAGGTCATTGTATAAACAGATGGTGGAGCTTTTCGTGATTCTTTTAACATCAAGTAGCACGAACACTACTATCCCAACTCCTGTGTGATATCTGAAAATGACCTCGTTCATGTCAGTTTCAGCCCGGCTTTATCGTCAGACTGCCAGTTTGGAAACTCATTGGGATGGGAAGGGGTGGTAAGGTGGAGAGAGAGTTTTCAAAAAACCATTATCAGTATTCCACAAAGGAACTTAAACAATATCGAGCCATATCTCCGGAGGGTAAAGTTTGATTTATCAATAAGAGATGAGGACATTGGAAAAGAAAATTCCTCCGCTCCCCACCAACTAATGATTTTTCTTGCATTTTAGAATCTCGTGTGTATACTGCGTACGAATGTTGCTCAACATTGCGGTCCATCTTGTCTTCCAGGTATGTAAAATAAGATTTTATTGAATCTATGAATTACATTCTCTTTTCCACACCATGACACTTTTGGTATAGAGGGGAGGGGAAAAACCTCACACACCTTGCTGAAAAAGAAAGATATGAAAACAGTGTGGAGATTATTTAGTATGATTAGGTCTTAAGAAAGCCATTTCAAACACAAAATAGACTGAACTTTTTCTCTCTGAGGACTAAAAAAACTTTTCACCATATAAACAACTGAAGTGTTATACAAGGATTTCCAGCCGTGAGAAAAGCCGTAAAAACACACGTGAAGAAATTCGATAATTTTTTACGTGTTTGATATCCCCATTCAGCTGTTGACACGTCACTCGCCTTTCGCGCCATTCGGTCAGGTTGATGAATGAACGGCAAAGCCTTCACCGTTCTCAATCCAAGGTCGTTTGTAGGAATTGTTTCGGATTATGGCTGCTAAAGCACTGAAAATCCGTATCACTTACAGACAGTGACGTTTTAAACTTACCTAGAAGGGAGAGAAAACCGAAATGCGAAAAGAAAAATCGAAAGTTACGTACTCAGTAGCTTTGATAGTGGAATTTCTCGCGGCTGAGAACGAAAATCGACAACTGGAAGATTTGCAACAGGCCGATTTTGGTCGTGTACCTGAAAGATTTCCTTTGTCGGTAAGGACCAATTCAATAACTAAGAATTTTGTATATTGAAAACTAGGCTCATAGTTTGGTTTTGTAGTGATTCAACGCATGTTTTCGTCGTGAGTGCGCCAACACACTTTACGATCTTTATTCGGGGATTGTCGATCCCTTTATTTTAATTTATTAATAGAGTCGACTTTTCTTGACAGTAAAAGGGCTATTGTGTTTATATGATAAACAAAATAATACATGGTTGATTGTAGATGGGGAATTTCTCTTCTCGTGTTAAACGCGATATCTCACGAGTGAGTGCGCGCTATGTATTATTCTTTGTTTACATCACTATGCCGCTAGTTCAAATTCTGTTGACGGCCACTGATTAGCCCCCCACCGCAAGTTCTGCGCAACATAGCGACAAATTTAACTTTTGTAAATGTATAGGCTCTCCAAGATGTTGATGGTGAAGTTCCTTAACCTATCTTTACTGACATTTCGACAGCTTCCGCAAGTCCACCAGAAAATGTAACAGCGTACAACACAAGTTCGACATCGTTAGAGATCACATGGAGTGCTGTTCCAAAGGACCTTGAAAATGGGAGTATACTCGGCTACAGAATTTACCTCAGGAAAATAGATGAAAACGAGACCATCACAGTTAATATGTGTTCAGAGATGTCTAGTTTTTCTTTGAACAATTTGGCAGTATTTACAAACTATTGCATTCAAATGTCTGCGTTTACCACGAGTAGTATTGGAAACAGGAGTGACTGCTTTTTTTGTTCCACCGATGAAGAGGGTTAGTAAGTACATTATAGTGGCTATAGGTACGTTAGCTACTAGTTACATTAGTAAAGATAATATAACAAATAATGGTTTAAGTGTTTTAGTGACTCTTGAATCAATTTGCTGGTCACAAGCAGCATTCCAGGCCTGTGTATGCCGATTGTGTAAAGAGTTAATTCTGGGATAAAGAAACAAATCAACAGAATACAAAAGAATGCGATCTACACATCAAGCTAAATGGCGAGGAAAGATGTAATAAGATGACCCAGCGATCAAACGAACGAACAAAAAGAAGAGTAAAAATCAACCAGAGAAGATAGATGATAGATGATAGATGGTTTATTTAAATCACATCGCAGCCCGAAGGCTGAATTAAGTAACTTTTACAACTTTTAAAAGGACAATAATAATCTATGATAAATCTATGTTAAATATAATGATAAAAATGTTTAAATTTGTAAAACTTTTTCATCCTTGAACTAAAATTTAAGAAATAATCTATGTATTATGAGAAGATGCGTTGAATAGACGGGACATTGCGAGTATGAAAGTGTTATTTGCCCTATTGGTGTGAACGCGCGGTAAAACAAAGGGACGATTGTATCGAAAATTATAAACAACATTATTTTTCTGTGGCAGTAATCCATGTAGCTTATGGTTGGGGTCGGCTACTATGGCGTCAAACAGTTTAGTGCATAGCTGGCTATGGTGTTCGGTTATTGGCGTTATTCCCAAAACTTCGCAGGCTTTGTTGTAGTTCATGCTGGGCAAAATTATCGATAGTGCCCTTTTCTCGATATGTATGAGCTCGTTCTTAAGGTACTGCGGAAGCGCGTTGTGAAAAACCGGAACTCCGTAGTCTATAGTAGATCGAACACACGAAAGATAGAAAAGAATTAGGTCTGAAGGAGGTAGTCGGGCCCGTTTCAGCTGTACAAGGAAGTATTGTTTTTTGTTGGTTTTCTTTACTAACTCGTTAATGTGGGCGTTCCAAGTTAAGTTGTCGCTTATAGTTATATCTAGTAACTTGGCACTGTTTACCACTTCGATTTCCTTATCATCGATGGACACCGAATCGAAGGCCTCAGGGTTCCGGGAAAACGAGATTCTCAACTCTTTGCATTTATCTGGATTTAGCACTACCCTGTTCTTACGGGACCATTCGATTAATTCGTCGGTTATACCCTAAACCAGGAAAGAAAAACTCGAAATTATAAGCATGAGCCTCTGAACAGTCAGATAGCGAGTAGGAATGCCGTAAGGATCACGTAGATATTATCAGTCATGGATGCGAAACCTATTTTAATTTTTTTTTTATTTAGCCCCAGGTCATCCTCCGGCCGACCTATCAGTGTTCAACACCAGTTCGACCTCCATCAAAGTTGAATGGAGTCCAGTCCCAGCAGAATTTCGTCGAGGAATTATCCTTGGATATCGTGTTTTTTTGACCAGGTCCGCACAAAACGGCCTTGGAAGACGAAAACGTGACTTGTTACAGAACGGAAACGTAACCTGCAGCGAGACGACAAACCTTACCACAGAATTTCAAGGTCTTGAAATGTATTCCAATTATTGTGTAGAGGCTGTCGCTTACAATCGGGTTGGAGAAAGTGGAAGGACAAACGTAACATGTACATTAACAGACGAAGCAGGTATTTTAAAATACATTTTTATCCCTTTGAAACACCTCATCGCAGGCCTGGAAGTGAAGCGAATTTGTAATCGTATTAAATTTTGGCAGTTTTCTTTTTAAGTAAAAAATGTTAAATGGAAGAAACAAAGGGGGGGAGGGGGTGGGGAGAGGTCCTGAACATATTTCACACGCGAATTTTAGAAAACTTCACGTGTCGGTTTCTCATTTGGACCTCAATCACGTGTCTCTTACATACTCTTTTCCCCCCTCCACGTGGAGTTATCATATTTGATTGATTGAATGATTAATTTTTAGTCCCCAGTCAAGCGCCCAGAAACCTAATTGGCCACAACACCAGCTCGACAAGTCTGGTTATTGGTTGGAGTTCAATTGAAGCGAAATTTATTCACGGAATACTCTTGGGTTACAAGATATTTTATCGAAGATCGATTGAGTCTGATACTGCTTCTCAAACTTTAAGCGTTAACGCAGAAACATTAAGGAAAGGAATCAATGGATTGCTAAAATATACGGAGTACTGCACAAAAGTAGCAGGCTTTACCAGAAAAGGAGATGGAAAATTCACAGACTGTTTGAACATTACCACAGCTCAGGACAGTAAGTGAAATGCAGTTAGACTAACGTCAGATTTTAATTCAAACCAATAACGAAATAAAAAGGTTCAAAGCTTGATGAATAAACCAAAAGGAGCTTTGAGTGGAAACAAGGGACCAGCGTAAAGGGTGGAGAAACCGTGCTCTATACAAGGCATGACTTGTTTGTGCTCTTGCCTCTGATTGGTGTAGATGTGGCCAGGTTATCAAAGCAACGCACAAGGAAGTAAAAATAAACAAAGAAGGAGACTAGAACTTGGCGTGATAGCGGATCTTGTTTGATAAATTTACCAGCTTTATTCAGGCCGCTTTATGTGATTCTGATTATATTAATCATTTAGAGCCAAGCTCTGCACCTCCCTCTGTTGTTGCGTCATCGTATGAAAGTCCGCACAGAATAAAATTGTCGTGGGAAGCTTTACCTCAAGGTGAGAGCAACGGAAGAATGACTGGCTACCAAGTGGAATATCAAATGATTGGTCAAGGAGGAGAACCTGTACCTATTTCGAAGACGTTTTCAGAGTTGGTACTACCGAACATGAAGTCTTTTGTACTAAACAACCAGTCAGTTTTTACCTCATTCAAGTTTAGGATTGCAGCCGTGACAGAAGCTGGTATAGGAGTTTTTAGTGAAGAAGTTATCGGAGGTATGTATATAATTTCCTGTTGGGCTTGAAGTGTTTCTTGTAAGATTTTTAGCTCGAATAAAAGACAAGACCAAACAACAACATCTACAGCAAAACAAAATGACTTTGCATTTCGCAAATTATGAGCGATATTCTGAGAAGCAAGAGGAGGAAAGAGTCAATAATGAATTTGGCAATTGCAATCTTTTGCAGAAACTTGTCGTTGCGAAAAAGGATTCTCAACAGCGTTGAAACCGACTGCCCTCGATGAAAATGGAGTGCTTCGTGAAATAATCACCGATGTTATCGAACAATCTTGTGGCCAATGTAAGGATTACGGCAAAATGCAACTTAGGATTGTAGGGAAAAATAACACAGAATCAGAAGTGAGCTTCCCCGTCACGGCGAGTTCAGTACGAGTCAGTGAGTTCAGCAAATACATAGCTGTGATTCAAGTGCCAGGGATGTTGGTTATCAAACGACGAAATGATAACCCTGGGATGTACCAGAAAGTTTTAAAGTCGTCAGTCTTCGATAACTGGCCAATATTTGTTTTCGCCCTCTTGACTATGATACTTGCTGGGATGATCATTTGGATTCTTGTAAGTTTTGTCAGTTGCCTTGAGACATTTTGAATTCTTTTCGAGTATATAGTTTTATTTATGAAACGCTGGGGATTTTGGGACATTGAAGAAGGAAGGCAGATATTATAATCGACATTTGTTAGAGTATTTAAATCCCGGGAGCAATACTTTCAATTTGCTCAGTACCTCACACCCAGTCTTGCTCCAAGAACTCTTCCAAAGTTAGCTTAAGAGTCTCGATCCAATTCAACCAAAGTTATTTAATGTAAACCCAACAAAAAGAGTAGAAAAAGCGAGGGCGTGGTTAGGGAAGGGGGGTGACCTGGGCTGCTCGTTACGCCCCCCTCCCTTTTAAGACTTATTTTTAGTTAAACACGGTATGTTGGTCTACGTGAAAATCTGGTGAGTACCCTCTGTTTGACATTGTGTGACCCCCACCCCCCCTATTGAAAAGTCTTGGCTACGCTCCAGTAGAGTGCATGTAGTTGAAGGTATTATAGAAATATTTTCATTGATATTTTATCAAACAACACCCAGATTGAATACTTTCCCCCACCTTAATAGACACAGTATCGTTTTGGGTGATTTGCTATGTCTTAAATCTATATTCTTAGGACTGTAGTGAGAAAGGAGACTCCTTTCCGCGCTCGTTTATCAAAGGAGTAGCAGAAGGATTCTGGTGGTCCTTTATAACCATGACGACAGTTGGGTATGTCATCATAGATACCAGTTGTAATTACTATTTTGCAAGCAGTGTATGGGACATCTTCTCCTATTAACCCACCTGTCTTCCTCTCCTCTGAGAAGGACAGTGTCCCCAGTAGCTTTAGATGTTTATATTAAGAGCTAGTATGTAGAAAGATAAGTTCTCATCGTTGTATATACAATTAATTTTCAAACTGGTACTTTATTCTTATGAAAGCTTGTTCCTTTTTCAGTTACGGAGACCGCTTCCCAAAAGGTGTTTTGGCAAAGGCATTTGCTATTCTGTGGTTTCTGGTTGGACTTATTATCTTCACATTTTTTGGCTCTGCGGTAACGGCACTGATGACAGTTACTGTAATCACAGGGGGCCCGACTTTAACGCAAACAAAAACAAAGGTAACAATAAATTGAAAATTCATATAATTATAGCTCCTCGATTTTAGTAGGAAACAAGAAAAACTATTGCATAACTTATTGTGTTGAAAGTCCGCTCCACATCTTTGCTATTCTTTTATTTGCCAGATTTATTGTAAATAATTGTGCAGTTTGAACCAAACAGGGGAAATAATCAATGGTGTTCTTTCTGGGCGAGTATAAGCACAGGGAATCATTTTCCTCAAAAATAAATTTAGGTTTTAAACACTATACACTATACTAAACGAAACTGGAAATGTCCACTATATATTAACAGCAGCACATACGCATAAGCAATATGTCTAAACTAGAATCTCTTATGTCATAAAAAGCATGATACAAAATTCATATATTCTATTCGCTGCAACAAAAAAGCTGAAAAGCCAATAGAAATGGCAAGCGTTATATTCCTATTTAGGATGTTAAAGAATCCACTTTTAACACTTCAGATTACCAGAATTTCGGCAAGACCTCTTTAATACGAAAAGGTTTATGTTACTTTGTTTTTAGGTATCAGCTGTTGCTAATTCTACTGAGTTCAACCTCGCAGCCAAAACTCTGAGCGGAAAATGGGAGATCGGTATGTCTTAACTCAACCACAAGCCTTTTATTAGACCCTATATTTTATTTGTATTCGTACTTATTTGATTAATACTGAGCTTCTTCGTCTTCTGCGTCGCTCGTGGCGTAACAGGCTCTTAAATCGAAAATGAACCAAAAAATGATACTTACGTTTAATTATTACTACAGGAAAACCGTATGGCACCATTAAGGATCTTGTTAATGCACTACGATTTGGTAAAACTGACGCCATTTTTGTTGACATGTATTTGCCGACGAAGAGACCAGACTGGTTCAATGGTTCCTGGTATGAGGTGGAACACATTGTTGAAACTGATATGTCTTACGGAATTGTTCTCCGAGGACAAGCTATGAAACTGCACAGAGCTCTGAAAGATTTGATTAGACAGAATAATGTGCAATCCAAATATCTTACTTCTGGGGATGAAACTGCGGTAGGCTTAAAATCAGTTTCTTTTCCCTATATAGAGGAAAGAATATTGAGCGACTCCTTTGTCATTTTTACTTTGAGTTGTTGAAGTTGAAGTTTGACCTTTTTTACCAAGCATCTATGAGGAAAAAAATATCAAAGCTGAAGATTCGCGGCGAACCTCGCCCAGTTACGATTTAATCCGTTGACTCCTAGAGTGACTGGCATCTAATTTTCCTTACAATATCATCCCTGAATCACACATTAAGGTCATGAGAATGAAGGAAATGATCACCAACTAAAGAAGCTCTTTGTTGTTGAAGACGTCCTCCCTGTCAGCACCTTAGTAAATGTAGAGCGACTTGATGAGGATGGTGTGCAAACTTCTGTCTGAAATAAACCTAGAATATATGATACCTCAACTGGAGAACTAAAATTATTGGGGGAAGTTCACTGGTGAGCCCCCATTCCTGCAGGTTGATGGTTAGAGCTGTATCTCTCTCGTACAGGACGGTTACAATTGTAATGTAGTGTTCATGTGCCTTTGATATATACCAATAGGTCGTCGCACCTGTCCATTCCCATGATACAACGTTCTTTGAAGTCAACAGTCCTTTCTTCATTGTGACAATCCTTGCAATAATTTCCATGTTCAGTTGTGCCGTTGTCTGTGGGCTCATTTATGAGATTCTACATCGAAGAAGGGAAAGGAAACGTGCAGGTGGGAAGTTTCGTATCTCGTAATGGACCAGTCACTGTTCGTCTCCCTGGGGGGAGTGTAATAAAGGGGGTATTAATAAACTTGATAGCCATTTGGGGGGAGGGAGGAAATCCTGAGGATTTTTTGGGGATCACTTTGTTTTCAGGAAAAACTAAGGGGGGAAAAGTCGTGGCCAACAGGGTATAATAAAGGGGTATTAAAGAAACTTGACAGCCATTTAACCTCCGATGGGGGGAAACGAGGAAATCCTGGAGATTTTTGGGGGATCACTTTGTTTTCAAAAGGTACTGAGGGGGGAAAAGTCGTGGCCAACAGGGTATAATAAAGGGGTATTAAAGAAACTTGACAGCCATTTAACCTCCGATGGGGGGAAACAAAGAAATCCTGGAGATTTTTGGGGGATCACTTTGTTTTCAGGAGGAACTGATGGGGGGAAAAGTCGTGGCCAACAGAGTATAATGAAGGGGTATTAAAAGAAACTTGACAACCATTTAACCTCCGATGGGGGGAAACAAGGAAATCCTGGAGATTTTTGGGGATCACTTTGTTTTCAGGAGGAACTGGTGGGGGGACAAGTCGTGCCCAACAGAGTATAAAGGGGGACCAAAGAATCTTGAATGCCATTTAACCCTCAATGACGTGACCATAATCTGCGGACACGCCAGGCAGCAAATAATGACCGTAGACGGCATTGTTATGGGTCAGCGTGTTGACGTGACGAGAGACTCTGTTAGACTGGACTTATTTCACAAATTTCATTTCACGATAAACGTTACCTAAAACATATTTGGTTAAGGAAGGTTTTTAATCATAGAATTAATCAGTTTCCTGATCGAACTCATGTTAAGTCCAAAATTTTTCATAAACCTCAATCTTGGAACCTATAGATTGAGATAACATGTGATCTGTGTAACAATTAAATTACATGGAGTTTCCTGAACGTTGCATCTGCTGGGAAAAAATTGATTATTTTCTTCATTTCAGCTTTGTCAAAAAGGAACAAAGAAGCCTTGTCCTATGAGCTTCGCGAAGTGGTCCAAGAATTTAGAGATTCGTTCTCAGCCAGATTTTCCGCTATGAAGAGAAAACACAAGAGACAACTGAAATATCTGAGCAAGATAAGGGGCGGAGTCATTCAAACTTACCTGTGAACAGACTGCTGAGGAATTAATTGTCAGTTTTTAGTGAGAAAAACAAGACCCACCGTCGAAAAAATGAGAATTTATGACACTTTAAAGTATTCGCCAATAATTTCGTGTCCAGGTCGCGCACGTTTTAACCGTAGATTTTAAATGTGACCTTAAGAATCATGGGTAGAAGAGAAGTAGTATCACGTGTTTAACAGTATGAAAAAAATAGCGTTACGCCGTCAAGCAGCGTTGAGGATAAAAGATTTTATTATTGATGTTTAGAAATGAGAGAGACTTCTAATAGCTTTTGACAATTAGTTGTAGTCATTTCTTTTCGACGGAGATATTTTCCATAATTGGAACAAGATTTCTGGAAAAAGGAAAACACTAATTTGTTGTACAAACCAAAATAATGGAGATACGGAGTAAATGGTCCCCAGAATCTTCGGAGCACTTTAGTTTAAGCGTTTGAGCATCTTTTGAATTGAATCGTGATATGTATTGCTGTGTCATGAGTATTTTCATCTGCTAATGTATGCACAGATGACAAGCGGTAATTACACGACGTCAGTAAACTTATTATGATCGAATACTATCCTCTGTAAAGTCGAAGTTGATAATTTGTCGAAGAGAAGAAAAGGCTTTTACGTGTAACTCATGGTATTGTCATCGTGCTCTCTTAAATGGGCTTAAATTCTACTTAGTAGAGTACTTAAATCTTTTATTTTCTTCATATGCCGTTTCCGCGCCAATTTGATCTAGTTATTAATTTGCCAACAAAACATACAGTCAAAGTGTAATGTTAACAGAAAAAGTCATTCCTTTCCTAAAATTAAATGCCTATTTCATACACTGGTGTCTTTTCAGATAAACTAGCGTCACTATTATCATCATTATCTGTCAGTAAACGTGTCTATCAGAAGAAGAAAAGTTAACAAAATTTCGGCCTAAAATTCGAATTTGCAAGTCTCAATATTCATAATAACATAACTCAACGAAGAAGACGCGCTTTACTTTGTAGACGGCTCATGGCAATACGAGAATTAGAATTGAATTTTATCAAAACAGAACTTTGTTACGATTGCATGATTTGCGATTAAACGGAGTGCTTTATCATTTTGTGTTTCGCTGGATTGTCGCCATGTTAATTAATGGGTTTCATTATGGATGGAGCCTTGTTTTAACTATTATTGTGTCGCGCTCAAAACTTTTCAACTCCTGTTCTTCTTCAGCATGAATAATTTAACGACTCAAACAGCCTTTGTTCACCTAGTATTTCTATTGGTGTATCTCGTTTGGAACTTTCATAGCACCTGCAGCTCATAAATGAAATGGGGGTCATTTAAATTGACTGTGATGTGCAAACTGCCAAATGTAGCATATCCACGCTATTTTCTTCGATTATGTTCTTCAGGAAACGTAAAGTTTCTTAGCTAGCAATGGCAAGTTGACCTCTTCATGGCTGGTTAATCTATTCCCATCATGTTTTACAAATTATGGATCTTAAATTTAAATTTCATCATCACCGTATTCATTTTGCAGGTAAGATTTTACATTATTACGTGTCAAGACTGTTGTCGACGCTGACAATACCGAACTGTTCTGTCTGTACCAAAAAAATTTCAATTTGTGATACTGTGATTTTTTAGTATCGTACACTTATCTAAGTTAACTCTTCCATAACAGTGTCGTTGTTGATATTATTCTGTATTTAACTAATTGAACTAATTGCTTTGAAGAAAATTGTCTCGAACTTGCGTAAGTGTCAGCTGAAATATCCCTAACTTCAGCGTGGGTTGATTTCCAGTTCTTTCGCGTTTCGATTTCGTTTATTTCGTCTTTCAGCTGTTTAAAGTTATTACAACAAACTTTAGGTTTTGGTATAGGATTCGAATATTTTCATGTTTCACTGCGGGAAAATGATCACAGAGAAAAATCCGGATATGAAAAAAAAAACAAAAACATCCTAATGCCATACTTGCATGGATTTAAGATTGAGTGAAAATAGGTTCAGTGCATTGATACGACGCGACCCTTTTCTTATTTAACTCTTTATAACAAACATAATCGCAAAACCAAAAGGGATGCCATATTGAAATGTATTTGCTACAGAATTAGTGAAATTATGTCAATTTGTTAGAGATTGTTTCAACACTTCCAATAAAAATACTGACTGGTGTAAGGTAAACCTTTATAAACCTTAAAGTTAACCTGAACAACGGTTTCACAAGCTCTAGGTGATGAAGAGATTTCCCCCATCTACCATTAAGGTTTAGTAGATAATATTCTTATGTCTTGTCACTCGTCCATATCTAACGTGGTACCTAGTTTTGTATGCAAACATTTCCCCTCTTGGTTTAGTTATATATCATCGTCAAGGTGACGCCGAAAAAAGTTAGATACGTCATATATCGCCAGCCAATGAACCAGGCAGCTGTCGTATCATGATTGATTTTTGGATGAAATCTCAGAGATTGTTTGTCTTGTCATTTTCGAGCGACAGATTGGCACCCAGTGAGCTCAAAATTAAATGTCAGATTAGTATCCTAACCATTGGGTTAAGCTATTGTTTGACTGACTTTATGTAAAATGGAGGTACATTAAGTCTTATTTTTCTACGTTTTTGTTTTCTTTAAACCATTTTTTCTTGAATAAGGGCCACTTGAAGCATTCTGCATGATGTACTGAAAAACCAATTGCTTAGATAACTGTAAAGCTTTCTTCATTTTAGGCAATAGTGGTAGGGCTAGAGTTATTCTTAATTCTTGCTCTTCCGTTTTTTTTTTTTATCTCTCCAGGAAAATTATGGTACAATAAAATGTGAGGGCCAAATAAACGGTAAGTCTGTAAAAGTGAGTTCTTATTCAAACAAATATGATTCAGAGTGAGGTTTGCAACTTAGGATAAGAAGACGAACAGGCGCTTTATTAGGATTTATATACAGCCCAACAACCTTTATGTCCACAACATATTTTTTCTTGAATTATACCAAAGATTGCTTTCTTTTCACTTTAAGAAACGTTTATTTCGGGTTTAGGTGTTCAGTCATCTTCCATGGAATACCGAATTTATCAGTTCTGGTGATATTTCATAAGTGAAGTATTAGCATGAAAAATCTTGTTTTAAATTATGAGATGGTAACGGAGTAGAGATGTAGGCAAAGGGAATGTAAGACTCTTCTTGAGGGTATTATATTAGACACTCATTGTTTGTGTACGATTTATCTTTCATCCAGGAACAGCTCCCGTTCCGGAAGGCGCGAGAGTGATTAACACTACATATAACTATGTGGACGTCCGTTGGAATACCATTCCTACGAGTAATTTTACCAACGGAACAGTTAAGGGATATATCGTCGCACTTCAAAAAGTTGGCGGCTCTGAAGAAGATGAGACTTTGCTAGTCACAAGTTGTCACTCAGACGGGATAAATGTCACAAATCTTGAGGAAAACACGAAGTATTGTGTCCAAGTGGCGGCCTTTACTGAATATGGAAAAGGCAATAGTACTCCATGCATGTCAGCGGTTACTGGAGAAAGAGGTATTTTCTGATGCATGCAATGATATAGCATAGCCAAATTTTTATCAGTTAATTCAATTGAAAGGTTTTTTTTAAGACACAATAACGCAAATTCTTTTCCCTTAAAGTAATAGTCCCTTTTTGAAAACACATAAGTATATGTGGCACTGAATCTAAGCCACTTACTGTTAACATTATGCATCAGTCGTTATTTACTTTAACCCTTTAACTCCCAGATCAAATTTGTGATTCTCCTTACTCTCAACCATACAATTATAATAATGTTAGTTCAGAGAATTTAGTATTGGATCAACTAATTATCCCCAAATTGATATTTCTCTTTACTCTCGTCACTTATCTGGTTGATATTGTATCGATATTGTAAGGAGAAATTCTGTCTTGGTCACTCATGGGATTTAAGGGATTGAGTGTCGAAGATTGTGATCGATATGATTAATATTATGCATCAAACAGAGCATGATGAATAAGTTTTTCAGGAGCCGAAGTTCATGGAGTACGTCTTAACTCTTCGGAGCTTTTCCTTTTTCAATATATAATTTATTTCATTTTCTTTTATTACAGCTAGAGTAGAATTCACTGCTTTCAACGAAAGTTCGACATCTATTCGATTGAAATGGGACAGCGATATACCGATCCCAATTGATGACAGTCAAGAAGATGGATTGAAAATAGATTATCGTCCGGCTGATAGCACCGCAGAAAGAAGTCGACTTTTCTGTGGTGGTGAAAGCACTTATTTGTTCAGCAATTTGACTGCATTCACCAATTACTGTTTTAATTTAGTCGGTTTCAACAAGGGTGAGATTATCACAAAGATAAATAACAGCCAGTGCGTTTATACTGACGAAGAAGGTAGGTCCTTAATTCGTTTTATTTCAGTACAGTACCTTTTTTTAACGTTAATGCAAACAGAAGCAATGATAAGAGTTTGGGTAGCTCACGCTATTAGCTCAGTACTGTTGTTCTTTCGTTAGTGGGCATGCAAAGTTTTTGTATGGTTCAACTGCTAATCTAACACACAGCCCTCTTTCTCATCTGAGCTTGGGTCCGGCGAGGTAAAACCAAGATGCGGGCTTCACCAAACAGTGTCGATCAAAACTGTGTTAAATAGATCATATTTGTAGATGATGCTGACCACCCATGCTTGGTTGGTCATGGTTTTGCCCTGTGTCTTTAATGGGTTAATCTTTAGCAACTTAACATCAGTATTCATTTTCTCTATGCCCTTTTCTTGTTTAACAATCAAAACTTCTAAGGGTGGCGATCATTTCCCTAATTCTCATGATCTTAATAAATGATTCAGTAATTACTGCTGTTAGGAGAAATTAGATGCTGGTCACTCTTAGGGTCAAAAGGGTTAAATGTGATGACAAAGCGTTGTAAACAGGAAAATCTCAGTCACCTTTTCCCGCCCTTTGCCCGGGTTTCACGCATAAGTTATCCTTAGCGTTTTCCCATTACCTTTAAGCCCCCAGTGGACCGCCTCTTGATGTCACAGTTCGTAATGAAAGCTCTACCAGTATGAACGTGACCTGGAGACCAATCAATGCAAGCTTACAGCACGGAATAATCCTCGGGTATCGCATTCACTACGAGAAGGATATGAATGTTCCTCAACGTCGAAAGCGACGAAGTTCGCAATCCTTTGACGTAACTGTGCTTGGACAGAACAACCTGACATGGGTTATTGAAGAATTAGAGAAATTCACCAACTACTGTATTAAAACCGTGGGGTTTAACAGGAAGGGTGATGGAAAGCAAAGTAACTGGGTTTGCACCATGACAGATGAGGATGGTAAGATAGAACCTTTTTTAACACTTACAACAGATTCAGGGACACACTGTAAAAAAAGGAAACTATTTCGAACGAACAACTTTCTCACAAATTACTCCTTTCACTATGAGCTCTAAGTTTTTGTAAGAAAACTCTCAGTTTTTAATATTTTGTAAAACAGAACCTATATCATGTGATACTTCCCTAACACGTGCAATTTGCACTGCCCTTTTGGTTACTGCGTTTCTAAGAAAGGTTCAGTTGCGTCGCAAAGAGTGTGATCGCCAACCTTGGGAAGCCTATATACTTCTCACTGCGGATATCACCACAAGTGCACGTTCACGACGTGTTATAAAATTACAAGTATTGTCGTAATAAACGCTACCATACGTTGAAAAAAGCAATTCAAGTTTTCAATGACCTGTTTATTTCAACAGTACCCAGTCAACCGCCAATGAATTTAACTGGATACAACACGAGTTCAACAAGTATCGCGATTAAGTGGGGTGAAATACCAAGTACTTTTGTCCACGGATATCTTTTGGGTCACCAAATTTCTTATGAACAGATAAGCGGCGAGATGGACGGTTCCCAGACAGCTGTCACCGTTGATACCTCTCCCTACGATAGAAATAAGAGCCTCTCAGGTTTACAAGTGTACACCAAATACTGTGTTCGCCTGGCCGGTAGAACCCGAATTGGGACTGGAAAGAAGAGCGAATGTAAGAATATCACGACTGACGAAGAAAGTAAGAAGAAAGTAAAATGAAACAGATCCTTCTTTTTCCACCTCTCTCTCCCTTCTTTCCACTTCTTTTACATCTCTCCTTTTCCCATCAATTCACTCACCCACTTACACACTCACTTCCCTCCATTTGCTTACGCATTTATTCACTCACACACTCACAAACTGACGCACTCAGGCACCACGCACTTATTCTCTCATTCATTTATTTGTTCATTCATCTCTTCATTCCTTCCTTTCTCACCTTTCAGTTTCTCTTTCATCCTTACCTCCTTTTTTCATGTACTTAACCTTTTAACTCCCAAGGTCTCATTAGTAATTCAGTCTGCCATAAAATACTGATGATTTCAATTTGAAGAATTTGGTATCGGATCAACTTGTAGTCCCCTAATTGAATTTTCTTCTTTATTCTCTTCATTATTTTGTTTGATTCTGTGTTAATATTGTAAGGAGAAATTCTGTCTTGGTCACTCATTGGAGTTAAAGGGTTAAACTTCTGGTTAAGCGCAAATAAATAACAACTTAAATGCTACTTGCTTTTCCAGTCCCAACATCTCCCCCACTTGATGTCACAGCTATCGACGGCACAAGCACAGATACCTTGAATGTGTCGTGGAAGACACCTGTAGAACTCAACGGCAAGTTAACTGGCTACAAGATTTTGGTAGAGACAACACTTGAAAACGGAACAACCCTGACGAACGAAATCATGACGTGCGACAACCGCATCACCCTAACAGACCTTGATATGAACACAGAATACAAGATACGAGTGGCAGCAAGTACAAGAAAAGGACTGGGACCCTTCAGTGAAGTAGAATATGGAGGTACAGTTGTAATGCAAGTTACGATCAAAACTTTGCATAACAATGCTGCTTGGCGATTCTGCATTTATTGTCTAATCCTATGCAAACAAGGCACAGGGACGAAATGGAAAATGATAAAAATTTTAGAGAAACTAAGTCCTTTTTGTCTCCCTTATTTCTCGGTCTTTCCTTCATCTTAACTGCTCTTGTCCCTTCCTCAAATCACAAAAAAATTCAAAAATTTGACCTCTTAGCGTTTGGCGTTCGTGGAGAAATTGTAGTCACTTGATGAGTAAAATACTAAATTTTGATAATCTTTCAATTCAGTCACAAACAGCCGATCAATTTTCAGAATTCTTATTTTCAAAACACTTATTCATTCAGTCGGCATATTTAAATTACTTGTTAAAAAACTATCCTTTGTTTTCAGAAACTTGCAATTGTCCCGAAACTTTACGAGTAATTGCTCATCCCAGTTCCTTTGACGCAAACGGACAACCCACTCTAGGAAAAATGATGGAAGAATTAGTGTTGGAAGCCTGCGGTGAGTGTCACACACACGAAAACAAAAAAACAAGGCTTATTTCAGGTCTGGAGGATGACTCTGACCTGAAGCTTCCAAGCGTCCAATCCGGTGGTAGTGCACAGGAAGCAACTGGAACAAAGTTTGTGGCAGTACTTGATGTACCAGGCTTGGTTGTTCTTCGAAGGAAAGTAGAAACAGAGTTAGGATTTTATGAAAAAGTGATGGCGAACTCCGTGGTCAATTCCTGGCCCATATGCGCAATATTTGGAGTAATGACTCTTGCTGCAGCCCTACAAATTTGGTTATTGGTAAGAAAATTGATAATTTGTTGAAAGCTTAAGAATCCGCCTCATGGTCAAAACCTCTTGATCATTTTCTCTTAGGCTTCTTGATCTCTACTTGGGGGCGAGTTTTCCTCATAAATTGACCCAATTTTACCGCTCTTCTGTTTCCTCCCAAACATTTCAGGATATGCACAGCAATCCGGAAGAATTTCCACCAACAATAGTCAAAGGTACCGGTGAAGGGTTATGGTGGGCCTTCATCACTGTCACAACGTTGGGGTAAGCAATTTTATTTGGCCAGCCAACCATATATTTCGCTGGAATGTTGATGAATAAATTCATTGATTTCTTGGACTAATATTAGTGTTTGTATATGTTGTGTATTTATTTAGAGGAGACACTCACTATTTAATTGCTTTATATATTCTGTCTTTATTCATCGATCAACTATCTAATAAGCGGGTACAATCGTGTTACTTGATTAAAGTGCTTTTACATCATACAGTAATCCCACAGTGATATTGCTAACAATGGTACAAGTACTATTAATATGTTCACAGTACACTATAGTATAATAGAACGACTTTCAACTTTTTTAACGTTATGAATTTCTCTATTTATAAAATCTTCCCACTTGACGATGTGCTGATGCCATTAGTAAAAGAATGCTTCTTTGATTACTTTGAACTTACAGCAGAGATCACAATTGCTGGCGAATTTCATTGGCGTCAATTACAGCTCTTACACGAATGGCTTCGAATGCGATTATTACTGCTTATTCCTTAAACTATCGTAGTGCGACGCAAATTAAAAGCAAAGTATTGGCTAGGCAGTATGCGCAGATACATCCTCAAAGTATTGACTGCTAGCACCTTTTTCTTACGTTGGTTTAAGGCACTGAGGATTCTGCGTTACTTGTGCTAAGAGCTGCGTAGTAAGTGTAACTCAAACGGAAATTCTTTTCTGTTTTTACAGGTATGGAGATCGAACTCCAAAATCAGATCTATCAAAAATATTTGCTGTGGTGTGGTTCCTAATCGGAATGATTGTGTTTGGCCTTTTCTCCAGCGCTATTACTACTTCTCTGACTGTGGTCGTAGTGACCGGAGGACCCCAAGGAGATGCGAATAAACACGCAAACGTGCGTATTACTATTATGGTAATCATTACTAGGAATAAAAGGGGGGCAGAGGTTTCTTAAGAGGGATACAAGACAAAATCATTCTTTAATCAGTATCAAATATTGTTGGACATGAGCAACTGTGGTTCTTACTCCTTTGGTATAAGGTTTTGTCGATGGAGTGGTATGCTGACATCGATGATGCACGTCATTTTCCGAAGATTAACTCGGTAGATTTAGAGGAGCTCGAGATTTCTCAAGCTGTACGATAAACGAATTAAAACGAAAGCATTTATGATTTTTTTACGTCAAAAGACGCTCTGAGATAAATTTGTTAGCAAATTAGTCATGATAAAGTAAATGGTTTGAACCCAGGAGTATCAGTAGTTCGTATAGCAACAACAGTTCTTTTCAGAACTACACTCACGCGGACGATCACACTATACGAACTAAATTAGTCATGACTTAAAAGCACCGGAGGCCTAATAGAGATAATCTGTCAATTTGTACTTATCCTTCTTTGGAATAGATTTCCACCATAAAAGGTTCCCAAGAAGAGCACATTGCGGTGAGGAAATTGTCCAACAAATTCAATATAGGTAAGAAACAAACTTTGGGAGCTAAAAATGACTTCAGATTTCATAAAAATATTGACAAACTTATTCGCTTGACTATTTTTTACTCTTGATATCCTCACTGGTGCGATTGACCTGAAGCATTCGTATACTATTTGTCTCATAACGTGAAACTTTTCACACGCAAGATCCGATTGCTAATTCTCCTCCCTAGCTGTTACACATTTCCTTATTAATTAGTTACAAGAATTTAGGGTTAAGATCAAGATGACAAATTCTCTTGATAAATTTGAGAATTCTAATTACCTGTTTGCAGGATAATGGAGAAGTAACAAGTGAATCACTTCTAAGAGTTAAAGAGTTAAGATCAAGTTGAGCTCATAACAGCGATGGTTTGAAGAGGAAGAAACGTTTTCTGCACCGTTTTGCAATTCAAGTTATACTAATAAATGAGTGCTGCTATTGTGTGCTCGGATTCTATATTGAAGCCTTATTGATGAAAGGCATACTTATCTCTTGAAGGTACTTCGTATGCTAACCTGTCAGATTTGGCGGATGCTCTGAGGACCGGGAAAACTGGTGCCATTTTGTTAGATTTGTTTGTCCATATGAAGAGAAAAGACTTATTCAACCACACCACTACCTGGTATACAGTCACTGAAGTAATTAATCAGAAATTGACTCATGGGATTGAACTAAGAGGTGTTTCAACAAAACTGGCTAAAAAGCTTGAAAACTTTATACTAGACAGAAACCTAGAGAGAAATTTTCTTGAGGACAAGAATGAAAAAGATGAAAAAGATGAAAATGAAGAGGAAAATGAAGCGAGTACGGTAAGGGACGCAAAATTACTTTCAATTCTGATTTAATGTGAAGATTATGTAGAGTAGAAGAGGTGACTTGGTGGTGGACAGGTTTAAACCCTGACCGAGTCACTGCCCGTTTGGTGTTGGGCGAGGCACATTACAACGGACCTGCCTCTTTTCAGTGAAACTTAACATTTTCCTAAGGAGTTATAACACGTTACTATGTCGAGGTATAGAATTAGGTGTCGCGAATCGCGCTTTTACTTGATATCACAAGGGGACTGGGAATACGGCCAATGTGTGGGTTTATTAGCTTAAACGACTTATGGATATCCTTAGTAGGAAGTAATGTTATCGTCACGATGGAAATAGTGAAAACGTAAAGATAACGAAAACGATTCGCATAAGCACTTTTACTCATTCGTGCCTCGATGGATGACGAAGCAGTTTCTTTATTTCGATATCATTTACACAGGAAACTGTGCAAGAGGAGGAGGAACTGGTATTTTTTGAACCAAAAAGTCCCTTCTTTCAAGGAACATTGAAGTATGGGGGAGGAGCTTTGGCAGGTCTAGTTCTATGTGGAGTAATCTACGAAACTTTTCGATGGCTGAGAGGAAAAAAGATCAGGCATATAGGTAATCCTATTCATTATAAAAAATAGCAATATCTGCTGTTATGCAACTCTACAATTCCCATTCATTCCCAAGAGGGCAACATCAATTTTTTGCACTTACTCTTCGCAGGAAGGACCTGCCAGGATGAAGACGAAATGAGAGAACTTGTGGAGAATTTTTACCAGGATTTCACTCAAAAATATAAACAACTAAGAAAGAAAAACAAAGACGTAATCAAATTCTGTAAAAAGCACGCAGAAGGGACTCATAGGTCTGTACAAAAGGAGAGCGATAATGCCAGATGGTGGTAATGCTATTTATTACAGTTTGCATCTGAAAAGTTGACAGTTCAGTCATAGTGTCGCTTGTCAATTATCACACAAGCCAGTCATGATCTTGTTCTCTTGATTAAGTCTCGCGGTAAATTGTTGTTACCAAGATGCTTTACACGTGTAACCTGAATTAATCTCTCTCAGAGGAGTTTTCAATTGTTTCGAAAGTAATTCAGGATTTCATTAATTTGCCTTGCCACACTCCTAGAAAAATCGTCCCAATTTCTAAGAAAATGCAAAAATTAATTATGCAAAACTAAAACTAATTTTCCATACTCGCGTTTTCCCGCGCTTCAGGAAATCTGTTTGGTTTTATGTCGAGTCTTCATTGGCTCCTTTTGTTACTTTTTCTTTGTTCTGATTGGCCACCATAATTACTTAATGCTCGGTTTAGCGAAATCCAATCGATACGCTTTCTGCGAAATGATAAATGTATGAAAATACGAGGATTGGAGGACAGTATTAAAGAGGAGATAGTCATCAAAATTGCTATAATTACCAAAGAAATTATGAATTCTTCACAGTCACTTACAAGTAATAACGTAAAAGAGACACAATGAATTAAAGAGATGACTTTGGGTTTTTAAGGCATCTTTAGTACAGCTCGTCTCTCAGATTATAAATTCGTCTTGTTGTTGGAAGGCAAGTTTCTGGGTTGCCCAGAAACTTCTCGAACCACCAGCGAGAGGTACAAAACCTGCATATGTTAGAGGTAAATTGTGGACCGCCAGCCTTTCTACGTTCATTTGTGACAAAAATTAACAAAGTCATTTAAGGAGACGACCTCTATTCACATAAACAAAAAATGACACAGATGACTGATAAAACTTACGCACTCCCCCTACACTAAAAAACTCCTTTACCGCAGACATACCACAGAAGAGGTATTGCAGCTATGAAAACTCTACCTGAACTCCTGTGGTTGCATAACTGTAATAACATCTGCTTATTAAGTTACTTAAAGAAGATTAGGATTCTTTTAGCGCTACCTATAAATAGCTGAGTTTTTTTATACTGATTAGCACGATTAATATTCAGAGGAAACAGCATCGGTTCTCACAAGATGAACTGAGGGGGTAAGATACTAATTTTTTGGCGCATAAACGTGCAATATAACGTTGGTGGAAAGGAATAATGGCTGTAAGTTGTGATTCGTACGCACCATAATTCGAAATTGTAACATTTCATTTCACCTGTGTTGACTAAAACAGGATAAATCGACAGAAATATATTATCTGCGCTATAAGGTAAGCCATTGCCGACTTGTCTCTACGTAATCGATGTTCCATGAAAACATCATTCTTTGATATGGAAAATTGACTTTCTTGATCACGTTCTCATTTATTTCAAATCAGGACTTCTTTACCGGATTCTTTCTATAAGCCAAGTCACAGTCGGGGAGGAATATGTTTACTCAATAATTTGTACATGACTGTCTTCTTTTAGAAGGAAAAATTCTAACTCGAGACAGGATTAATGATTATCTACTCTTTTACCGTTGTCAATTATTATTCGCCTTACACTGTGATGGGACATCAGGCTGAAATAGTGCTGCTATCTATGACGGTTATTTGATGATTTTCATAATTTCGTTCCCTGTTGACCTTTCATTTATGAGACGTTTAAAAAACGTCAACAGTGAATTTCTGATGAATAACTTTCATTTGGATAAAGGCCTACTTTGCCTCATTAGTCATTCCTTTGAAATACTTGTGGGTAATCAATTTGAATTATTCATTTTTTCGTTTGTTTTGGAATGGTTTCTAAGATTTTCTAGGCAGGCGAAGCCCTGATCGACTCAGAAGGCTATTCGATAATAAGCAAAGTTCTCAGTACTTGCTCAGTTCACACTGGATTGTTCTAATCACCACACTTCAGCAAGTCTTGTGTAACACGTAAAACGGTTTTAAGGTGAATTCTGGAAGAGTCTGATAAGCTCACGCTAATTGAAATAATATGTCGGGTTTGCTAAAATTGTTTTTAGCCTGTAAATTCAAAGTGTCAATACGGCTATGTTACTTTTCAGCTGTTGAACTCAAGACACACAAAGGTTTTTCGTTTTGTCATGGACATTCCCCCCAAAAAAGTGTGTTTTAAGGGAGAAATAGGCGAAAGGGGCCTCATTCTTATTTCTGATCTTCCGTCAGTACTTTTCAGTTATCGCACATACTCGAAATGACTAGAAAATGAGGGCAATTTTTACTTTGCAATCGATAGCGTCGGTCCAAGATCATGTTCGATGAAGGCCTCACTAGAGCTGAAGTGCTTCTTATCAATAACAAAATTTTTGACTGATTGTTGTAACTGATTTTGTGAATCTCTACTCTGATCAGCAGGGCAGAGTAAATAAAAAATATCTAACCATTACCCAGATGATATGTGAGGATGTGTCCAATGCACTGTGCTGTAGGTAATGATATTTAATTGAAATACCAAGTCGAAGGCGTAACGTCCGGCATAATGTTTGACGGAAGAATTACTGGAAATACTTTGCATCTTTAGGAAACTGATTGGATTCGACATCTAATTGTATTTAGATCTCAGTCACCGCAAAATCTCCGGCTGTGGAATCGGCATGCATCATTTCGCTACCTTTTACTCCGTTTCTCAAATCATGATGACTTAAAATCGTAAGCCCAAACTAGCCTTGGAAGTTTTTATTGATAGACATGAGCAAAAGTCATCTTAATCACGGGTTATTTGAAGGGAAAGCTATCATCTAGGTAGGTAAATAATTGCAATTACGAAAGCAGGCGTCAAACACGCCTTCGTTGACAAGATGTTGTTAGTGCCTCTCTTCAATACATGAAAAAAATCCAACTAGCTAATTGATTTTAAACATTGTGACGTTTAGTTTCCTCAAAAATATTCAACATATAACCAAAGGTCAGCGTTTTAGGTGACTGTTAGTATTACTTCACCATTTGTCGTGATTTATTGCAGCTAATAACTTGCATTCTTAAAAAGAAACAAAAATAAATTGGTGAACATGCTGATTTACTGTGAACTTCAAAAATAGTTAATTCTTCCAAATGAGGATTATTGTTGTAATCCTTATAAGGATGAGTCCAGAGACGGAATGCTGAAGTGGCGCTTGTCTATACATGTATTTCCTCCGATGTTGGCTAAATTTATCCAGAATGCTCCATTCCAAATATGGTACAGGTGACTATCGAGAGGTTTTGTCGCTCCCTTGCGAATATGACATTGTTATTTCCAGCTCCTTAGTATCATCTAAGATAACTCATTTACCTTATGCCATAAAAAATGACCGGTGATTTTCCGTATCAACTTAACATTACAGGCAGGTTTTGATTTATCCGATCATGCGGTTTAGGGTTGGCTCGGCGGTTGCTTATCATCGAATTGTTCCCAAGCCTTTTGATGCTCAAAAGCAGAATAGGCTGTGATACCTAGCAGTGTTACTCAAGAAGCAAAAACTCGTTAAAAAGGAAACTGTTTAAGCCCAAAAACAGCATAGGACGTAGTTCAAAGCTTTCTATACCTGTCTAACCGCATAAAGATGGAAAAAGTTTCATCCTGCAAAATAAAAAAAAGCACTTCTTTTAAACTTAACTTTTAAAATCTTTATTCATCTCGAGGAGCAATGCCGGGCTTAAAGAATGCCGACCCCTTGTGGTAGTATTGTGGTTATATAGTATGGCTTGCTTTTGGGAGGACCCTTCAGTGTTATTTATTTCATTGTTATTAGTTTCTTTTTTGTGAGCTCGGTGACGATAGCGTTACTTGTGATGGCATCGTGCCAGATAACATGACCAGTTGGCGTTTAATGCCCTGCTCAAGACTACCAACTCTTCAGACGCTATTCAAAAGTGTCTAGTGTTTCAAGCCCTTGACATGGAGAAAAATAATTAAGTAGACAAGGCTTTACGATCTCAACTATTCATAAAATTTACTTATTTATGGTGTCGGTTTGATTCAGTTATTTACCACCCTTCAATCCAATAACGACTGATTAACCAATTCTTGTTTTAATAGTCCTGTTCGTTATTATAACTAAGTAATTACATCGAGTTTTGTGAAACAAAAATGAACTTTCTAGGTCACGGATTGATTATCTAGAAAAATTGTTCCTAAATTTTTTTATGCTGTGTTAATGATTATCTCCATCCTTAACCTTCCTTGTTCCGTTCTGGTTAGATACATGGTGTCTTGTCGGAGCTTGACAAGTCCCTTTCAACTTGGCTGCAGTTACGTTCAAGTAAAATATGCCAACTTGACTGAGTTTACAGAAATTGAGCTAGAATCTTCAAAATGCCGTAAATTAAGGATCTGGCCCCGGTCGATCGAAGTGTAGATAACGCTATCTACCAGATGAATTTCATCCGATTAATAGCGCAGTGCGTCTTTTTACGCACACCGGTGGATAACGATTTATCCGTTGGATAGCGTCTAGAATAACGAGGCCCGGAGGGTAGGTATGGTCTCTATCAAGTGAATGTGAAGCTACGATGTGTGAGTTGACGTCAGATGTTCGAAATATCGTGTTGTAATTCGTAAGTACTGTCACTGAAGGGAAAAAATTGAGATAAAAGAGAAGAGACATAAATGATATTCAATATGTCAAGTGAAACACGCGTGGAGTGGGCATTTCTTAAGTTTGGGGTCATAAGGGCGCGCAGAACGAAATCCACATTGTTTGTTCATTAAACGCCGGATGCTTTCTTGCTTTTATTTTCCTTTGGCGGAAATTTTTTAAAGAGTTGCTGTTTTTCAGCTATAGAGAAGAAAAAGAGGTGAGTTTATCTTCAATAGAAAACAGTGATTAAAACTAGAGATTATCCACGAAAGGAAAATCTCGTGACGATTGTTCATGCAATAACTAGAAGCCGCAAACATGCTTTTAATTAAAATGTCAGCGAAAGACTGAATTTACAACTCAACGTCGCGTCTTCACCCAAGCATCCGACATCGCTTTAGAGCCTTGAGGGTTGCTTTGTGCATTTCGTAACACGTATAGCAACCTTAATCAATTTTGACACTAGGCTGAAGGATGCTTTTGTTTGACATTTTCCACCTTTGTTAGCCGATTGCTTATCTGCGTTAAAAGGAGACTAAACTAATATTTTCATCAATAGTGAATTTCAACTAAGGACGTGATCCAAGGGAGCGCAATTAAACAATGAAGGTTGCTTGCTGTATGCTGCTGTTAACGATTGCGCAAATCAAAGGAACGGCAGGTGAGCAGATTTTTTAGTAATTACCGTTTCATTTGAATGTTGTAGTTAATAGTAACCATAATCATACCAATGAAACTTCGAAAGTTGGGTGCCTCTTTCGCTGTTTTGGAATTTAATTACTCTATTATTATGATATGGCATCGTTTCCATGTCTTTAAGTGCTTCTATTAAAGGTTACTTATGGCCTCTATCCGTAACAAACGAAAAAAACCTTTTCGCTCGTAAACACAAGTATCACTGCTCTGATCTTCTCTTTTCCTCGCATATTTCGGATTACGATCGGAGCTCTACGTTCGAATGAATTATGCGGAGCGAAAGTGGAATTAACTTTAAGACTGATATGTTTAGACAGTCATACGCTTACGGACACACTTTAGTAACTTTGCAATTAGGTTAAAAAGGATTTTTTACAGTCAGAATGTTGATTATCACAAGGATACAACCAGGGAGAAACTGTGTCGGTATCACAAGTCTGATCTTTAAGCTTTCCCAAGTGAGCACGGCCGTCTCTTACGACAAACGTTCTCGATAAGCGATGGAATTATTATGTCTCTTGTTCATACGCAAACCATTACTAGCACTGACGAGGCATGTGTGTGAATAAAGTTAGTTCAAAAGGGCTTAAGGGTTTACATGAATAGCAAATAACGATTCGACATTACGTCGTGTCTTGTATGTAGCAAATTGTTTCCCAATTATATGCGTTTTAAGTTAAAACATACTATCAGATGATAACATAATCAAATCGCAAGCTATGTCGAATGAAACAAAGAAACACGGCCCAGCCGTTTGTGGTGTTTGACAGAACAGCTTTGGAATTGGAAAGTTTCCATTGCGGCTAGTTAGAGTATCTGTTTATTTAAGGTTAAATGCCATCTAAAACTCCAACCTCCAACTTAAAAAATGGATTTCTCAGCCGCGAAACAGATAGTCTCGACTGGAAAAGATTACGTATCGAAAATCACTTTGAGGAAGAATTTTTCCTAAGCGGATCAGTGGACTTAATTACTTTCCTTTGTGTCAAATTCTGTTTATGTTAGTCTAATGTTGTTTTTGTTTTCGTAGCATCTATGACATCACAAGTTAATTTACTCACGTAAGCGTTGACAGTGCATATGAAGTGACATATAGCAAAATGTGTTTGTTTTTTGACAGAGAGATCCGGAGGTGATAAGATTTAGTTAGTATGGGGAAGCCGAGAATGATTTACATTATTTTTATTTATCTCTCTAGTGCCTCTTGAGTTAAATTAAAATTCAACATATTCAAAAGAGGCTAGATTTTAAAGTGACTTACAAAGAGGATCCTAATAGTATTATTTCATTATTTCAGATAATCTTCGTCTGATTAATTCTACTGCTCATTATTGGCCCCTAAATCGTCTTACCGGCCTGACTGATTTAAAAACCAACCTTACTGGAGTCAAACATGGTAAAATCGAGAACGTTCTTTACAGAGGGCCTGGAAACGGCTTTTTGTATACGAACGGAAGAGCCTGGGTTGACCTTGGAAACTTTACAGGTTCCTGCATTGCGGAACCTTCAAGATGCAGAGAGGCCTTAACAGTTTTTCTATGGCTGAAATATTACCCAAATAGGAACAAGAGATATTTCGTGGGAACCTCGAGTCACCTGACATACTCAGAGGGTTTTACAATATATAAGGAATCAGATGACATAGCGAACAACACCATTGTCCTTAAAGTTAACGATGGGCAAAGAGAATGGAATGGGTCTTTAACCCTTAAACCAAAAGTATGGTCGCACGTGATGTTCACGTGGGAGCCAAAATCGGGACTGGCGATATTTCAGAACTGCAACCAGATTGCCCTGGCCTCACCAAGTAAGGTTGAAACGTCAAGGAGAAACAACCGATCAAATGTCTTAGAACACCATTTGAGTTTGTCCGGGGCACAGATGAGCCATCCTGGTGTTGGTGCTCGAGCTACGTACGAAGATCTAGCAGTGCTTTATCGAAAGATGACGTCTTATGAGCGAAAATGGGTTTGCCGTCATAAGTTAGGTTGGTATATCTAATAGGAGCGCAAAGGGAAAGTTTATCAATAGTGTTGACCATGAAGGAGGAGAGTTGCAAAAACATGCTTTACATAGGCTTTTGACTCATGTAAAGTCATCTGGAATTTCTGCATTTTTCAATGTGTATACAACAGTACAAAGCGAACTTCTTCGGCTTGGTGAGAAATCTGAACGATTTTGTTAATCGATTCATTCTAAGTCTAATTGGACGATCAAATAGTGAAACTCAGTTGATTAAACCAAACGACTTGTGAATAGTTGACGCCAGAGATGTCTGATGTGCAAATCTGTAGTTGTTTTTATTATAATCATTTGATGGCAATCATAATCTTCGCTGACTTGTGGTGTGCGCTGTTTTTTTCTTAGTTTCTTAGTTTTCCCCCCTTCTTTATTCATCATTCGTCTTTTATTCTGTTTAAGAACTTGTAATATTGCTCAGTGCTATTGACCCTTCAGACTTTTTTTTTCTTAACAGAAGCTCCAAAACTTAACTCCAGTTGTAAAGGTTCCATGAGATGGCTGTCAATCAGATGGACTCCTCCTCCGATGACGTATGACATACTAACGGGGTACAATGTATGGCGGTGGAACAAGTTGTTAAACTGGACAAAGTTTATCTCAGGGACCGAGAAACTAACGCTAAATTTCACTGATCTTGGTAACTCCCACTGTAATATAAAGTTAGGTAGAGGTGCTCCCCTAGGTTGCTCTGTTTTCAAACTTTGAGAAAGTGCTAATGAGGTCGGTCTTTCTAAAATTACCTTTAATTTTCAAAGAGGAATTCTTTCTTTCAGATCACGTACTTGTCTGAGTGATTGCCTTACTCTACACTTACTCGAAAGCTACAATTTTGATTCCTTCTGGGAATAAAAATTGTTTTTATGACTAACGAACAACTGGAAATCAGAGCGTTCGTGAGCTTTCAAACACATCTGCATAAATTATTCTTGATATAAAAATGAGCCGACCTATATTTTATCCGTATCAAGTCTAGTCAGTCTAGTCAACGTAATATTTCCTATTTTTAGACCCCGGATCGTTGTACAAATTTCGCATTCAGAATGCTTTACGTATGGCTGTTGGAGCATCAAGCGAGATAGTTGAGTGCTGGACCAAAAGAGAAGGTGAGTGAAAAAGATAGAACCACCATCTTTTTCCGAAACATAACGTCGAATATACAAATATTTAAGAAGGAAAAAAGAACAAAAAACAAAAAAAGAAATAAAAGTCAAATTTCGCAAAAGTTGTTCAGTTGCCTGAGTCTCTAGGTAAATACATTAATCTGTGGAATATTTACTTTAGTTTCCTTTATCCTAGTATATGGAGTTGTACATTTTCATATTAATCGTTTGTTTTTCACACAGCAGGATTTTTTGAGTTTACGTTACTATTTCTTTAATCAGTTTTAGGCCATCCTCTAAACCTCACTGTGGAGATGAAGTCACACGTTAATGTCTTACTAAAATGGACAGCGCCCTTAGAAAGTTATAAGGATATCAAGGGATATAAGGTACACTATTAAATGAAATACCTTCATCTAGATCTGTAACACAAAAATTGTCGCGCTGCAGAAAGTGGCCATCATCTTGATTGTGATTTAACACCATACTGGTGTCAGATAGTTTGGATAAACTTCCCATTGCAGCATTATTACACGAAATTTTTATATTTCAGATCAGGTACAACGAGGTAGAGTCCAACGAAGAACCCACAGAAATCAAGGCGGGGTCCTCAACATCATTTCTCCTTACTGGACTGCGTATGAACACAAAGTACATGGTGCAAGTGGAAAGTTATGGCGATAAAAGTTTTCTTGACAGTGTTCCTGCAGTGATAACAGTAGGGACAGAATATGATGGTAAGCGTAGTTTTTGGATCAGGGAGGTCGACTCATCGTTAGCTAGATTCTCAAGGCTCTTATTAATACTCGGAGAAGGTCAGTTGAGGCACCTCGATGATTTTGTTTAACGTGATTTCATTCACCTCTCATACTTTAGAAAGTATGTTTGTTTTAGAGCAATAGAGTCAATAACGCTTTATATTTCATAAGTGTTCAGTTTTATGACCAAAGCTATGCATTTCTGTAAAACACAGTTTAATCATGTTACATCAAATAACCTGATAGAAGACTTTGAAGATATTTAAAATTGGAAAAGACTCCCTATTTTTCTGTTTACCCTTAAGATAAATCTTCGGTCAAGGATAAGCTTTTACAAGTGGATGGATCCCAAGCTCTTCGGGTTACATGGAAAAGACCACGTGAAAAATACAAGGTGTTTTTCTACCGAGCATTCGTTAAGTGGGAGGATCTTGAAGGAATAAAGCACGTCCGCGAGGTGTATGATGGGAATGTTACCTCATGTGCTTATTCAATTAAGGATATTCCAAATAGTCACAACATGTATATCATGGCGTACGTGGTGCGGCGTATCGCTCTTGAGCCAATCATCGGTAAGTGTACTGACACTGTGTTACCATAAATCTCTCAGTTTTCATCACATTAAAAAGCTGTGAAGCGCACGGCAAACGAGGTACAGGTTTTCCTTAAGTAAGCTCTGGGATTGGTCTAAGGAAAAGAGTCAGAGCACTGCAAAACCACTTAAACACGGGTAAAGCGCATTTTTTCCGCACTTAAAAATCAGTGATGTGAACTGCTTTGACATTTCATTGCTTTTCCATTTGTCAAAAAGCAGAGCGAAGATAACAGTGAAGCAAAGCTGACATGCGTCTTTCAGATTTTGCAGATTTGTGATTAGCTGTTTTATCTAAGTCCTGTATCTTTCTCATTGAGCATTTAGCCTCTGCTCGTATTCACACTTTTGAGAATACATCAGGGAAGGATAACCTCAATAGCGGAAATTTCAGATTTCTATTCATTTTCTGTTAATCAATTTTTATTCTAAGATTCACCGATGGACGTAAGCATCATCTCTAGAAGCTGGTCTCATGTGGTGTTAAACTGGAGCTCACCCTTCTACGGCAGAAGCGTCGACTTTGCTGATTCATATCGCCTGACCATCAGGTCAAAGAAAGACAAGATTTCCATCTTAACCAGTGAGACGCACGCTCGCATCGATGGCCTGAAACAGCTGACCAAATATTTGTTAAACGTGCAGGCTTGGAACGAACTAGGTTTTGGACCGTCTCTGCCCGAAGATATAAGCTTTAGAACGCCAGGTAGATAAAGTACGGCGTCACTAAAACTCCCCTTGTGTCTCATAATCCCTAAATGAGCACTTGTATTTCCTTTATGGAAATGAACTCCTATCCCTCTTGCTATCTTAGGGCATTTGGTATAAGATTATGACTATTAAGGCAGTTTAACAGTCTGGTAATTTGATTTGTCGGGTTTCTGGACAAAACATCTTACTCTTACAAAGGGCCTGGATTACATGATTGAGTAGCGTGTCATGTTAGACTTGCGATGGAGGTGTTCACATATTTCATTTCTTTTCACTGGTACAGACCACGACGAGTGCGTAGATGATACTCACATATGTCACGTGAAAGCCACCTGCATCAATACTGAAGGATCGTACTCATGTGAGTGTCAGCCTGGTTACATTGGCACAGGAAGAAATTGTGAAGGTGGGCTGTAAATATAGCAAGTATCTGTAGTGTTTTAGGCCGGCGGTATCTCATTTCAGGGCATAAACGGGAATTTTGTGACAGTCATAGGGAGCCGTAAAAGCGAACGAGGTTGTACTATGTGTTTTGGGTCAAATAGGCTATTTAAAGCCATGTGGTATGCCTCTGTGGCCTACAACACCGCAGTACCTAAATGTTAGCACATTCAATGATCTACAGTGGCTTAGGTTGGATTTTCAGAGGCGATCTTCACCAGCATCTCACTGATATAGGGAGCACATAGGGTTGTTTCACTTCTATTGTAAATCATCATCAGGTTTTCGGAGCAAAGAGCAGGTGTCACACGCACCCTCTAACAACCCTCAGTTCCGACGAATTCAGCAGCAAATCAGTGTGAATAAATGTAGAAAATTTACGCGGTGGAATACACATAATTGTATGACAAGACAAGAAGGGTCCACATCCTTGCAGTTGAGGATTGCTTTTAATGCTAAGTATACATTGTTTAGAAATCCCGGAAGGGTTAGGCGACGAGTCCTTCTGTCCTAAAGAAAATTTCGTTGGCATTGAATGGAGGAGAACAATGGTCGACCGTGAAGACGAGGCGGCTTGCCCTGAAGGGACAGTCGGTAAGTCAACTCTTGTCATAAGCATGTGGCTAAATACGTTTATTGCTTGCTAATTAGCACGATTAATGTTGAGATACCCTCCATTAATTTTCAGGCGTGGCCTTGCGGCGCTGCACTGGAACTCCCGCGGTCTGGCAACTACCTAATCTTGGTGATTGTGTTTCAAAGTGGATGTCAGACATCAGTAAACAGGTATGGAACCATGTTTTTGCTTTTCGTGCTTTTACACTGTTTATGGTTAAATCGAATTGAATTTACTTTGTTTTTTTGCACGACGTTTTTTCAACAGTAACCTTTTCATGTATGTGTGATCTACTTTCTTTTGACTGTACGCGTAAATGTGTATTTTCAGCTAAACAATCCAAACGTCAGTGTATCTTTGTTAGCCAGTCAGCTTTCAAGCTTGACTGACATCAAGTCTGGAAAACCATTGTATGCTGGCGACCTGAAGTTACTGGTCGATGTCATCGGCGTGTTATCAGAGAGAGGGATGAGAGTTGAGAAGAACGAAAGTGCAGAGGCTTCAGAGACATTCGTTAAGGTTAGCTTGTTTATTTGTTAACATCACTGAGTTTTTCCCTCTTTTCCTTTGTCATGTTACTAACTTCCAAGCGAAGTCTATATCCATTTGCCAGCTTTTACTCCGAGGAAAGGTGATATTTTTTGCTCCAAAGCATGCAACTTAAAATGATACCAGTACTATAAACAATCAAAAACCAACAATAGTTAATTCCATTTGAATTATAACCTGATGTAATGTTCTTTTAATTGAAATTGTTGTTAGGGAGAATTTATAAAAATATGTTTGATGTGCCAGCAAAAAACACTTTCCCTTTTTCAGGATGTCGTTGGAACTGCAAGCAACATTATACATGACAAAAACCTTTTGTCTTGGCAGTACATGCCAAAGGTAACTTGATATATATGATCAGAAGTTTCTCTTAAACTTTGACATATTTTTTTCCACCGACGAAGTGAATTGCCTTCAACATATACTGAAAAGGTATTGTATCTTTACAATCTTACAGGATTCCCAAACAGAGAAGGCAAGTTCACTGATTGATAATTTAGATATGGTAGCTTTGGATATGGCCAACACTTCGCAAAGTAAATCAGCTGATACGGAAAATGTTGGTACGTAGCATTAAGTAGTAGCCTTTATTACCTCGTTCTTTCTACTTTTGCCCTTTCTTAAGCTACTATTGACAGGTGTCCTTTTCACATTATGAAGCCCACTAACGTACCAGTGTAGGGCCAATCAGGTGAAAGCGATTTATCTGTAAATCTTAGAAAAAGAGGGGCTTTCATGGGATGCTTTGGTGAAAATTTTTATCAAGCTGACGTGAATTCTACGTCTTAATTTCCCTACAGTGATTAGCGTGGAGTCGTTACAGAATGTTGGAAGGAAAAAAGCTCTTGTTATGTCACAACAAGCGGAGGAAGGAGACGAAACCTCAATGAATGCTGTCTCTTTTCCGATATCTTGGCTAATGGGAGATTCTTCATTTGGTAAGGACCCATGCCATTTTAAGTCTTGAGCCTTGAAAAGTCCTCAAACTATAGCAGAAGGAATAGGCATCGGTGAGCTTTGCTCCACTCAGCGCTAAGGGTCTAAATGAGTGAGTTACTATCAGATTTTAGTCCGTGATGGGCGAGATATCCTAAGATTGCAAACACTCAAACTACAATCCCTTCTTTAAGACTACCTCTTTGTTCGATTGCTCGTTACGGGTGATTTCGTTATCAACTGAGATTTCATAACTACTCATTTATCTGTTGGTCATGAGAATTAAAGTCTACTGATATAAGATGTAATGATCTGAAGACCAACTGTTGCTTTTGTTGATCAAAAACTAAAAAAACCTGTTTCTTTTTCACAGATCCTAGGCCTGGTTTTGCCACGCTTGTTTCCTTCAAAACCCTTGGATCTTTGCTGACACCAAGGGGAAAGCAGAGGTAAACTTAGTGCAATATTTCTCGTTAGCTGATTAAGTTTTTAGGTCCACGTGTCTAGGATTTTTTCAAACTTAGCATTCTTGACTTAGATCATGATTATTCGTGTGAAGAAGTACTGCTTAAGACTTTCATCTAACAAAGTCACCATCGATCGCAAGGACGCGTTTCTATCACAGGCTAGAAAGCAATCAAGAACATACACTGGTACAAAACACAGCATAATCATGATGGAAAGTAAGGATGGCATTCTGCCCAGTAAAAACGAATTCTTGCCTCGCTCGCTGGCTTGAATCTCGCAGGCTTCGCCGTTCGTGCTGCAGCGCTAATGAGAACCTTCTCGTCGTCTTTCCATAGACTTACAGAAGAGGATATGTATACTATTTGGTTATTTTCAGCTCAATTCAAGAAGCACTTCCATTCTAAGAAGAACTGCTCATAGAGCTTAAGTTAAATTGCTCTTAAGTTTAATACACCGCCAGGCTTCTAAGTGCAAGACCTGTCATTTTAAAGTTTGAAACTTAAAGTGACAGTTTAGAAATAATTTTTTGCTCTGTATATTTGAATCGCAGTAGACAGACTGACCAGATGACAAATCACCCTTTTATAACCTCTGCCGTCGTATCTGTAAATCTTCGTCCACTTGCTAACAAAACGTTCAAGGATCCTGTGATGATAATGTTGGGTCACTCTGTGGTAGGTTCCACAACACTTGTCTTTTCAAATAAAGTGATATTTGCGTATCAATTAACAAAACATACTTTTCTCAAAATTATACCAAGCTCATCGTAAGCCCATAGGAGGTTCTTCATAGGAAGTCAAAGAAAAAGTATGGAGAGTGATGCATCACCCGTTTAAACTAAGATTCTTTATTCCTCTTTGTAATCTTTGCATCTTTTATATAGGACGTCGAGGGGAGAAAGAATGAACCATCATGTGTATTTTTGGAGACACACAAGTAAATAATTTGTTTTTATTTATGATTCTTTAATCGTCATGTTATTTCATTTATAAGTTTGGTCGACTGTCAGCCTAGTGTCAATGCTTTTTCGATTCATAACTTCGTGAGGTCGTTAGCCCTACTTACGTAACAAAAGAGGAAAAGGATACTATGCTAGATAGATTAAGATACGACCTTATTTCCTTTGCCAAAGTTATTTCTAGATAGTCAATCCCTTAGCTAAAAGAGCAAACAGGAAAATACCACGTGCCGTGTTCCCTTTTAAAAATAAAAGAATCGTTTGATGGCGATCCTTCCTGACTAAGTTTTCAATGTTTGTTTGTTTTGTTTTTCAAGAAATATTAGCTGGTCTGACGCTGGATGTGAAGTAAATTCTACAAACGCGACCCATACCGTTTGTCATTGTTATCATCTCACAAGCTTTGCTGTCTTGATGAGTGTCAAAGAGGACGTTTCATCTAGTATATCGGTAAGATTGTGATGGAAGATAAAAAATGCAGGATTTGAGCCGTTTTAAAAATCGCCCATGTCGACAAAGCAATCATATTTTACTGGGACCTTAAATTTTTGTTTGTCTTGTAGAGACCTCATCAGCTTGCGTTAACACTTATAACTTATGTTGGAGTGAGCATATCTGTCGTGGCATTATGCTTGGCGTTCCTGACGTTCTCCTTCTTCAGGTAACTGCGTTATCCGTCCAGTATCATATTATGTATAAAACAAATGGTCCAGTGAAACCTTTACTTTGGGACACCGCTACTCAGGCGATACCTGAGTTTAGAGCGCACAGACTTTGATCCCAACAGAAAAGTGCTCGCATGACGTTTCTCTCTACTACCTTCAGTGGAGGAAAAACCCTATTAGAAGGACAGAAAATTTGGTCCACGTTGAGACAAATACTACTGTAACATTTGCGTCTGGTATCTCTGTTGAAGGGATACGTCTTTTGAAGGAACATCCTTCTGTTCCCAAGAGAGTCCCTGGAATATAGTTTGCATTGTAGCACTTTTGCTGAAATTTTGTTTCGTTCATGGTCACATGCATCAGTTACATCAGATCGAAGGAAAAAGGGAATTTGTGAATTCTTGAATCTGATAATTTTCTGACTAACTCTGTTAGTAACATTGTACTTAAACGGTAATACCGTGTACAGGTTTTCCAAATCTGCCCGTACGTTTATTCACAAGAACTTGTCGGTTGCTCTGATCTTGGCGCAGTTGCTGTTTTTGTTTGGTATCAACAAAACTAAAAACGAGGTTAGTCCGTCATAGGAAATATAACTAAATATTGTCCATGAGTTGTGATTGTTATAGCCTTGTACAGTTGTTAAACACAGGTGATGGAAATCTCAGCGCATTTATTATAGGTCATTAATTTTTTAACTTTTATCGAGCGCATTGCCATTGCCAACACTTTAAAAATTTAAGGTAGAGTAAGAAAGAGAGCGGGTATGTTTCTCCACGGTTTTGGAGAAAACAAGAAGGCCAAACATTCATAAAAATTACTCCGCTTAGTTTAGCCCCTGATGAATCAAGTAACACAGGTTTCGTAGATAAAGTAGATAAATTACAAAGTTAGTGAACTAATACCGAATTCTTAAAGACACTTATTTGAAAATTGTCACAGTTTTCAGCATGAAATGACGGCTTCTTATTCATCTATTTCAGTGGGTGTGTAGAGGAATTGCCATAGCTTTGCATTATTTCTTCTTGGTGGCTTTTGCTTGGATGGCACTAGAAGGAGTTATGCTCTATCTGATGCTTGTAAAAGTCTTTCACACAAAAACTGCACCAACAAAGAGCAAAAAGATTTTCTTTGTCGTTGGATGGGGTAAGAACAAAAGTTTATATCCTTATTTTAGCTTTTTTTTAAAGAGCGTGTTGCTGAGTAAAAGAAGTGAAGTAATCTGTGCTTATTTTCCCGTTTCTCTTATTCAGGTTTACCAGTAGTGATAGTTGCGACTTCTGGAGTCATGTTTCTTGAGGGATATGGTACTCCCGCCTAGTGAGTAGTAATATTGTTATCAATAATAAAATTGAAAAATATGGATAATATACACAGACAGATGTACTATAAGCTCGAAACAAAAAGGAAAAGCAGTCATACTATTTCAGTTTGAGTCTTTCGTCCATCGCTCCTCGAGCTGTTACAGGAATTAAAATAAAGGAAAGGAGATTCATCAATTGAATAATTGATTTACTATATATAACTATCATTCATTAACTAATGGATGACTTTTTTCGGTCTCTGTAGCTGTTGGCTTTCTCTTGAGCGTGGTTTCATTTGGTCGTTCGTTGGACCAGTTTTATTGGTACTTGCGGTAAGACGGTTGAATATCATGTCTTTTTCTTTACTTAGCTGTATGAAAAGCACAAAAGCTTCGAGAAGTAAAGAATAAGTTTATTTCGATACTTTGAAAACCCGAATTTTATTTACTGGTTTAAATGCAAAAACGGAACATGTATGGGTAATATCTTCGACGAGCTGTTCTTCCTCTTAAGCGCTGATTACTGATCTCTGAATTTTTCATGGACTATGAATTTCCAGAAAGTCTCCAGAATTTGTTCTATAGTAGTAACAAATGGCGTTGCCTAAGACGATTTTAAACACTCTCATACTCCGCAGTTCAACTTCGTATGTTTGGGGATTACTTTTCATGTGATGGCCAAGTCTGGACCATCAAGTAACAGGAAAAGAACAGGAAGGATACGGTGAGAACAGAAGTTTTCTGACACAAAAGCAAATATAAAAAAGTGACACAACTCTGCTCAATGCCCTGTGCGAGTCTCCTATGGTGTCAGTTACCAAAAGTTGTTTCTGTTTTGTCTTTATTTCAGGCGTTGGTCAAAAGCATGCATGCTCTTAACTTGTATTCTTGGTCTTTCATGGATGTTTGGAGTGTTCTATATCAATCAAGAATCACTTTTTATGGCCTATTTTTTCACCATATTTAACACACTTCAGGTAAAGTATGTGAAATCTTTCGTCGTCTTTGATTGCTGAGTATTGGCCTTGAACACGAGAAGGAGGAGATACACTCTCAAAAAACCTAATATAGTAATTAGCTCATAGTCTTATTGTCAATGATCAAATTTTTTGTATTCCCTGTAGGGTTTATTCATCTTTTTATTTCACTGCGTTGGAGATGAAAAGGTAAGAAATCAGTGAGTCCTCCTCAGGAGATTTTGCTTCGGTATCATTTCACGTTTTCAGTCAAAGAGTCAGGGCAGTCAGTTCATCAGGCAGCTGGTCAGTCAGTCAGTCAGTCAGTGAGTCCGTCAGCTCACTCACCAACTCGTCATTTAGTCAGTCGCAGTGGAATCTAGTTTTCCAGTTGGACTGTCGGTTACTACTGAAACCTTACATCCCTGTAAGTTTATTTTAAAGCTGTAAACGCCGGGAAACAATTTTGTACCACAAAGAATGTACTTACTTCCAAGATGCCCGTTCCTTTCAAACTGGCAGGTTCGCCGTGAGTATCGTCGAGTGCTATGTTGTCATGAAGAAGACAAACGCTACTTGTTAACGAAACCATCAAGCTCCGAATCCAGCAAATCAAACTCTCATTCCAAATCAAAGAGGGGCCATGTTGACAACTTCAAGGGAAAAAATCAAACAATGAGCGATTCAGCTGACTCACTAGTAAGTAATTAAAGCAACAAAACAACAGTTGATGCTATTGCTTAGCAATTCTCTTTAGACATACATTGGTTTACGGCCTGCATAAAGTATAAAAACTGCCTGCAGTCTCTTTCTTTTCCCTCATCTTAACAAAATCGGCAAAACGCTCTGAGGGCAAGGGAGAATTAATTTTTTGATGACATAAAGTACTTGGCAAGCACAGATTTTGATACATGCAACACCCACGTTCCGAATAAAGCAGTTGCAAATCACATTAAGAATAAATTCGAAGCTGCACAGCTGTGGGCTCCACGACTGACAATCTTAAAAGAGATTTTTTTTTCCTTGCAGGGTACTATAGAGAGCAAAAGGAATACGTTTGTTATGCATGTCACAAGTAAGACAGTCTAATTCACGCACGATTTTTTAAATTACATCCGAACTAGTTTTTAACTGAGGTCGATTTCGAAGGCAATTAAATCCACCTAAACATAGTTTTCACTTAATTTGTCACTGCAAAAGTATTTGATATGTACTCATTTTACAGAAATTGATATCGAAATGACACTATTCGTATATCTCTGACGGCTTACGGTCGTGTTGAGCTGCTCAAGCTACGCCCAAAAGAAATGTTACCGAATAAGGACGATACCCATAATCTGTTTGCAAAACCTGATGTGAAGGCGAGATGATTTAGAACAAATGATCTTACTAAACGAAACCACTTTTCAGATGGGCAAGTGCGCGTGCGTGGAGTTTCAACCGGTGAACAAAGTAGGAGTCTTGTAAGAAACTTGCGTCTGAGTGGAGAAAGTGAATCGAGTTCAGAAAAACCGACAAATCATGATCAGGTAAGAAGTAGAACGCTTAGTTATGAATAAAGTTATGTCGGTGCTTCCCTGCTATGCAAAGTGGCTTTTGATTGAGCGTCAAAATGCGTCAGGCTGTTCTTTACCACACTCTCTGATTGGTTAAAAAAAGTAGCTCTTTCCGGCCAACCAATGAGCAGCCGAGGAAAAGCAGTCACGAGTTGACCACTCGCATTTTCCCGCTCTTTAAACGGGTTAGGTTCAATACTCAGTCCCTTTGGCATGGCTTATTATGATGTAACTCAAAATAGTGTGATTTTTAGTTTATTTTTGGTTTTACGACGCAAATGTACCAAAATGACACAGTTCTGGCTCTTGCGAAGTCTATCTATCAAATTTATGGAGAGCAGTTACCAAACATTAAAGAACTCTTTTCGATCAGTTGAGAAAATTGGGCAAGGAGAGGATTTCTGATGGCTAAAAACTCACCTATTTATCGTGATTAATAAAATGGCAATGAACCATTATCAGTTGTGTCTCGATGTAGCCGCTCTCGAAGCGGTCTCATCAATCCACATCGAAAGTGACTACATTGCAGACAAACGACTACAGTTCATCAACTGGAGTCTTAATAACTTGGATTCGTCCTCTCTTCCACAGCATCATGACAGCAATAGAAACTCAACAGCGTCAGCAGCCAGTGAGGCATCAGAAAATGCGCGACAAAGCGATAAAGATGGGCAAGAACATTAACAGGACACAAGTAATGGGAACAAGTAGTATTACTATGCCTTTTATGTACAGATCATTGCCCTTACTCTCAAAAGCCTGATGCACGAAACCGCCACATGAAGCTGCAGTCCTGCCTCCTCGAAGTAGGTTCCCGATCAAACCTGTTTCCGAATTTAAAATGAGAATTTTCGGACGACAGGCACGTTGTTTCTGAGAAATGCAATCAAAATGTAACTGACGTAATACTTTGATTAGAAAAAATCTGTCCAAAAAATTGATTTCTTTTATCAAAAATGGTAAATATAAAAAATCGTTCTAAATCATATATTTTCTTAAAAGATTTGGCGGAAGCTTGGTAAAATTCTTTTGCTGTCATAAAAAAAAAGAACAGCAAGGGAAGAAGGGATGGGGATGCAGTGTGAATATGAAAACGAGGCTCTAAGACAGTTTAGACGCGCAGTAGTGGCCGTGAAGTGTGTACCTTGTAAAAAGATTTCTTTCCCGTAATTTCAGAAATATTTTATTGCTAAACATCCATGTTTTGTACATCTCCAATTAATAAAGTGTTCAATAATACAATACAATCCATGCTGCAGTACAATTTTTTTTTTTACATGGGAAGCACAACACCTACCCCGCCGAAAGATACCCAAAATGTTCATGCATCGGGAAAATTCTAACTCAGTTCTACAAATCGGCACGAAATGTCTTGTTCCTTGATATTTCTATGTTCACCGTCAATCAACAACCCTTTGATGGAGACCATTAAAACTGGGTACTACAAGAAAAGCTTAACTTTTGATTGACGGTTAGTGGTCTGGAGTATGTTACGAAAGGCACTGGTTCTTGATTCAGCGGAGGGTTTGTGTTATGCCCCTGAACAAGCTGGTTTATTTAGAGGAAAGGCAAATGGAAGATGGTTTCCAAAAACTATTCTTACATCGCAGAGACTCAAGGCTTTTACATAACCTGTGTATTGAAAGTAACGCTATACACCGATCATTTGTGTTAACTGGTTTATTTATTTATTTTTTCTATGCTGGAGTATGCATGACAAATGTTACTGAGCCAATATGGTGGAAAATCAGCGAAGATTCAAATTCTGCATTGAAAGCTGTGATCGTTATATTACAGTTGTGTACTTTTTCTAACCATTTGAGAGTATAGCCAAAGAAGCATCTACAGGGGAGTTGGCAGGATTTTGTGTAACAAGAAGTGCTTTAACAGAGTTATAGTGTAACACAGGGATGTGTAGTCATGATGCTTGAAAATTTTCACTTTTTATCATACAGGAAACTTTATATCCCCTTCCTATTCAATACAAAGATTCAGGTTTAGTTGTACAGTGTACCTTAAGAAGGAAGATAAGTGTCTCCATTTACGTTAATAATTTAGAGTTTGCATTGGGATGGATGTTCCACATTATTTTCTCAAAGAGCTGACTATAACGTTCATATCAAATGAAAAACGCAGCTCATTTTGTGCTGAGAAAATGCAACACCTCCTTATTATTCTAGAGGATGCTGTTTTTTTTCCAACATTGAAATGATAATTCAGAACAGAAATAATAAAAATATGTACAAAGCTGCTGCACATGTGTTTGCATAGAGGATAACACTCCTAGAATTCAATATTTAAGTTTTCAACCAGCCTTTTGTTCCTGCTAAAATCTAACATCTAATCTCATGGTCATTAAGCAATCTATAACACAATACAGCTGTATAATTTTGTAACAAATGTGAAAGCATGCTTTCCTAAGTTAATCATTCCAGTCAATCTTAAATCTTGTTACTCGTGGCTTTGAATGAAGTATATTTCTTTGGAGCTGAAAGAAAACATAAAAGTTTGTAAAACATTAACACTTTAACACTTTCACTCCCAAAAGTAGGCAGGTGATGAGAATAGAGAAGAATGTCAACCATGGGATTATTAGTTGATCCAATACCAAATTCTCTGAACTAGCATCATAAGAATTGTATGGCAGATAGTAAGGAGAATTACTAATTAGATCTTGGTAGTGAAAGGGTTAATACTTAAAAGAAAATGGAATGATCAAATCATAGAGGGCCTTATACTAAATATGATGGACTCCCTGCAGATTACTATGCAATTTTTTTTTAACTGTGGTGAGGAATTCACAACAAAAAATTAACTGGTTCATGATATTGACTAAAAAGGAAAATTTTGAATGTGAAGATAAATTAAATACATGTTTATAGCTATTCCAAAGTAGTTAAATTTAAACAAACACCTGCATTTACAAACTCAACAAAATCTTGTCCATGCAGCTCAAGCAAAAAAATGCAAAACAAATAAAATACAGGGTAGTTTACAACACACAATCAATGAACAACACTCTAACTGGTTAAAAAATTCATAAATGCATATGGCTGGCCATTTATCATAACAATACCTTTTCTATGACAGGCCTTGTGGGAGGATTCTCTCTCATTTCTTCCTCAATGTACTCATTGTTTACATAGTAACCTACACGTACAAACTCTCTGTCTTTGTATGAGCAAGTTAAAAGGATCACAGTTACACCAACCAAATCTTCATCTGGGATTTGACTAGGATCTGGAGATTTTGCCTAAGAGAGGGAAGAAACATAAAACATGTCTCAATTGCATCAAATGAAACTAAAGTATAAAATAGGGCAAAGAAGGCTTATTCACAATCTTTACCCTCAACATTAACTGTAACCTAAACAAAAAGTGCAAAAGACTGAATTTCTAAATGTTGAAGGATGCATCTGTAAAAGTGTAACAAAGGAAGTTTTGGAGGTTTAAGGAAATTTATGTAATATCAAAAGATAGACACAAGTACCCTTTATGGGTGAAAACAAAGTCTAGTGCAGCATGAACAGGACAAATTTAAAAAATAAAAATATTTTATGATGAGGACCTAGAACAAATGATATCCATAAAATCTTAAAATAACTTCTAAACTGAAGGAGCTGGAGCTTTTCAAACTGAATAAAGAAAAATTGCCTACTTAATTCTAAAATCATTTTTACATATCTCCCAGGACTTCATTAACAAAGTTGAAACATCATCAATCAATCTACATGTATTCATTGACAAGCATTAGTGATAATTTGAAAGTATCCTCTGTTCAGCCACAGCAAGGAAAAAATTGTTATAAAATTAAGAACATGCCATCACTACAATGTATTGGGCTACAATCATGATAAGTTTACACCTTGAAGACTGGAAGACTTGAAATAAAAAAGGTTGTAACTCAAAAACTGGATTGCACCTTGAATTTTAAATTATTTAAATGTCAGAGTAATTAGATTTTTGCTGGGAAATTTGCTCTACTTGGAATTATCACCTCATTCCTTTGGTTTTAGCCTGGGCTTGTAAAGTGATGCGTTTTGCTGATTATATTGATGCCCTTATCGTGGCCAGAGGTTGCATTAGCATTTATCAATGTAGAAAAATTGAGCGATAGTCAAACAAAAATGAAATGTTTTGAAAGAAAAAACCTATTTCACTACTAATACTGCACCAACCACAAAAAGATACAAGACAGTAAAACACCAAATAATCATCAATTTTTGAACTTGAAATCAGTTTATTGCCTTTATATGCTTCAGGGTCTAACCCAAGTCAATCTGCAAGGTCCAAGTGGAGTTTTAAAATTATCTAACAAGTGTCTCAGGACACATAAGTGTTAACTGTTTAAACAAAAGTTATGTACATGTACTGTCACAAATACATTTACTTTTGGCAATAGTCTGTTAGTTTTTGTTTCTTCAAAAAAACAAAAACAAAACAAAACAAAACATATCTTGAGCTATGGAGTAAAACAGTACAAAGTAGAAGAAAGGTAACAAAGAGGATGTAAATCTCACTTTGCTACCTAATTGGGTATTTTAGAATCCTGTTTTTCTAGAAGGTAGGTTGTAAATTTGTATTTGTGCTTATGACATCTGACTAGAAATCTCTTAATTGTGGTAAGCTGTGCTTCAGCACCACACAATGAATGACAGTATGTGATGTTAGGAAGAACTAAACTACCTAGTCCAGAGATTACTAGCTCTGACAGAAACCAAACTTACTTGCCCTCTGAGAACAGGTCACAAAGCATGGTACTGGTAAGTGCCTTCGCAGACACTCAAAAATTTTCAGTGATTAAATTATGAAATTGTTCAGCAAATGACAGGTAAACTAAGAAAAAGAAATTCCAAGTGCTACCAACAGAAACGAACCTACAACTCTCGGAAAAATTTTCTGAATGTTCTACTACTCAACTTCATAAGACTTGGAGTACACGGAAAGACATTAAGTCGACAAAATGCTAAGTTTTGGAAGTTGATGTAAAATCGTTGGTCATTTATGGATGAAGTCCTCATCAAATGAATTCAGTATCAAAACGAAACATACAACTACGATTTCTCTCTGGCGACCTCACGTTAATTCTTCATCGATCAAAAACACATCATCAACACCAAGCTTGCAAGGTCATAACAATAACATAATGAAATCGGTAAAATTCTTCAGTAGCTCAAACAAAATTATAAGAAGTTGACAATAGGGGAATGTAGATCACTCGAAGTTCACACGATGACAATTGTATATGTACAGGGAGCATTAATTACAGGGGTAAATCGTACGAATTCATGTTGGAATTTGCATGGGAAAGGCTTAAATTATCTTAAAATAGTAAACATGTCATGAAATACCTGAAAAACAAAAGTGTGTCTTCCGATCGGGACAGGTCCAACTAACACAGAGTCTAACACTTGATCGTAAGTATCACTCTCAGCCGATCCAACATAAATAAGCTTCCACTCTAGATCTACGCGATTTACACAAGAGAAAATAGATTTAAATGAAGAGAGTTAATACTATTCAATCATGACATTTATAAAAGAAACAGAGTACAAATAAAATGTGAAAACCTTCGTTAAGTTCCTCAGTGCAGTCGAAAGTAATCTGAAATTCAAAGTCACTGCAGAACGAAGACGGATTTTGGCCAATTGTCACATCGATGATGTGAACTTTTGCCATAATCACTATTCAGAAGACCACATGAACTGTTTAAAGGGCCGTGGAAAAGGCAGAGATTGATCCAAGAAATCAAGTCAGGCACGATGCTTCGAGATCTCCACATTCGTCATTGTTCACATTAATGGCGGAAAATTTCTAATCTGGCGCGAAATGAAAATCTTATTGCGCATGGTCTTGCGCATGTGCGAGAGTTGAAGGCAAAGAGCCTCAGTACTTCACGGTCAAAAATGTCGAAAGAGAAGTGGGAAAAACAAACCTCTTTCTTTTCAATAAAAATATAGAGTACTAACCTGATTCTCGAAAAAATAGCTGCATTTTTTAGTTTTCACGAAGAAAAAGCTAAGAAGACAGTGCATCTCAAAAGAACCATATCTGGTTATAGCTTGCATTTATTGGCTTCATAGAAGTGAGGTTACGATGACATCAAGGAGGGCGGGAAATTTGGACGCGGCCGTCCACCATCGATCAAAATTTTTGCAAAACATCTCCTTAATGTTCGAAAAATTTTCATGTGCGAAAACGCCATGAAAAGACTTTATCCAAAGCAGGCATATGGATTTCGCAAGCCTCTTCAGAATGCTGAAAAAGTTTCTTGTGCATTACACAATGTAATGAAGATTATTGGCGGGCCTTTGCTCATAGCAAGCTACGAAGAATAAAAATCATGCAGTTGTCTTCAAAGACCTTGAGGGCGAAATTCAAATATTTCGCTTCATTTTCCGAGAAGAAACTAAACCGAAGGTCAGTAATTTTTTTAAAGTTGTCAGAGTGTGTGTGTTTTAGTTAACTTCAAACATTTCAAATAAAACATGTAAAACCGAGGTTCTGAAGTAAATTTTACACTTGTGTTGAAACAAAAATGCTTGAAAGTGAGAGATAAATTGCGTTCTTGTTCAGTATTTTGGCTTCATACTTTTAACTTTTATGTACATCTCATCTCATCTCATCTCATCTTTATGTACGTGCACTTTCGATTTCATTTAAAAAATGCTGGAACACGCATCAAATAATTATCAGAAGGGGGGGGGGTGGTTGGGGATAGTGTAGGCTTATTTTGGAGGGGGCATGTGGCAAGAATAAACAATTTCGATGTGAGCTACTCAATATGAGGGCGGGTTGATTGAAATAATTTTTCAGCGACCCGTTTTTAATCGAGCCTTCCTGGGTCATAACTAACCGAAGGGAAACAGTCATGTGTGGCTTGCCATGTCAGTTGTTTTACCTGAGTTTCACGGTTTGGTGTGCGCTAAATGATAAGTGGTGGATGGAGCTTCTAGTGGCCAGGCCTCACACGGCTTTGATGCTCCATTCTTTAGCACGTGTAAAGCCGCAAAAATCGGGCAAAAAAAATCGCAGGAGTGAGAAGTTAAGATCGGCTTAATTTTTGGTTTGTAAGTAGATGGCTAATAGCTGGACTGGAAAGATCTTGTCAGCAAGAGGATTCAAGTAAGTTCCTTGCGAATGGTCAAACTGTATGAGTTGCAACCTTTTCCACTGATTAAATACCCACCGACTCAGGACCGCGCATACGGCGTGAGACTCGCGGCAGAAAAATTGCAAGTTAGTGACAGACCAGACGGTTGATGACATTCCATGCTGTCTTCATATCCTTGAGGATTTCATGCTTTTAAGCTGGACTCGCTTGCAGGTTTGTTTTTCGTGGTAATCGATCTGTGTGAAAGGCGCATCGCTGCACTCAACTTGGCAGCACTACGCACTCGATGCTCTTTGAAAACATTTTCGTCCAATTGAGAGACCGGCACTGAAACGAGAGTGCTCTTCAACATCCCGTGTGTCCATTTTATATTTGGTGACTGCCATGAAGAGCAAACCCACCAAGATTTACAACTCGGTCTTCCTCACAGACGTCCCTCTTAAAAATCTATCGTATAAAATACCGTCCGAGTATATGGCAAAACAAAGTTGAACGTAGATTTCATGTCATTTAACCAATTTTTGTTTCTCAAATGTTAACATTCAAACTGAGTTGAATTGTTTAATATGTTTTTTTCAAAAAAACCAGTTGAACTTGAACCTGCAAAACGTATACTGAAATTTTGTTACAAAAAAGTAACGAACTGAAACGGGCTAATTAGTTAAAAAACGTCTTTACCGGTAAGTTTCCATTGTTCAGTTGTTAAATTATTCATAACACCCAAAAAGCCAAACATATTAATTTGTTTGAGCACTTAAATGTTCTGCTCTGTAAAACAAATTTACTCCATATTCTATCAACTTTTCAAAATTTATAAAAAGGTCTTCGAAAATTAATCTAAATTCCTCTTAAGTCGGGAAAATGCTTCCATCAAGCCAACAGGAAATCGTATTCCGTTGCGTTCGCGTACGGGCCATTGCATAACATAAACTAGACCACCAAGACATTCGCAGTAGACCGCAGAAGGAACAACAGAGGTCTTAATAACTTGCAGTAACTTCTTTTGGGTTGCCCTCAATTCAAGCCTGACGACGTTTACTGCAAATTTTCCAATTTTGCTGGCCACAGATCTTCTCTCACGTACCAAGCCTTGTTTTTTGCACGTCACGTAACTGAAACATTGAGACGAATTGTTACAGTTTATTAGGACCTTCGAGTCTATGTTATCATAACAGATTATCGACTTAGTTGATGAAACTAAATTTTCTCTTGGAATACCCCTCTCCCCCACCAACGCAACACCACAGTTTCTTTAGAAACTATCCCCTTTATTCCGAAATGAAAAAAAGGCCGGAAACAGAAATAACACCCTCATGAGCACGGATACGTTGATGGCGCATAGTGTGAACACAGGCAATGGGGATCATGCCTATTGTTCCATTCCCAATATTACCTTGAGAGATTCTTTGAAAGCAGAGAAATTATTTCTTTTTTTAAGGCCGGTGTCAAGACTGCGTGACCTAGTTCGGTACCGAGGAAGTCCAAGAGAGGCAGGTGGCGTACTTGTGTTGCTCTCATGTGCGGAATCAGACGGCTGTTCCTCTGCTACCATGTCAAGGCTTCTACTGCGTATGCATTGATAAGCGGATGGTGAAGAGCCTCGTCTGGATGCTAGCAGATATCTGGCTTCGTCAACACTTGACTGGAAATAAACAGACTAGTAATTAACTGAAGAAGGTAAGGAGACAATTCATTGCACTTTTAAAATGAACATATCATTAAGAGAGACTGATAATCAATCAAGCTAATGTGTGTTGATGCGATTACAAAAATCCAAGTTAACCATGATCAATCAGTCCATCGATCAATCAATCAGTCAACCTATCCTATTCAATCAATGGATCGATCGATTGATAAATTACAATTAAACCTACCTCAGTAGGCATTAGGAACCTTGGATCGAACAATGAATTTTTTTTTGATTCCACACCCGCACGATTTTCGGTATCGTCACACACTGTGATGCTCGGTACTTTCTGCAATGCATGTCGCTTGCTGTCAATGTTCCCAGGCGATGGTAACGATTGCTTTCGATTACTTGAGGTGTCATGAGTACTCTTTGCATCACAACTCGTATCCCTTACTGTTTTTTGATTAAATGTCAGCTGATCAGGGTTGCTATTCAAAGAACCCGTTGAATCGCATCGTTTTTTGCAAAGTTTGTCTTTGTTAAATTCCTCGCAATCGGAAAATCCCTCCCGGCCGCTGTTATTATCAAACGAGATAAGGCTGAGCTGCTTTGTGAAGGACAATTCACGAGCTGACTCGTCGAAATCCATTCCTTGATCCTTACTCATGAACTCTGATCAATTTTTCTACTTAAAATCGATCGCCTCCAGCTTGTTCTTAGTTGCTTATGTGTACATGGGCTTGGAATTAATGGAAGTGTTTAAACTGTGTTAAGATCCGGCCAGGAGTAGATTGCGAAAGGAAATAATCCACTCGCAAGCTCTTGGGATCCAACCACTCAAAATGAATTTATTCAAGGCTATCGTCTACGGCGTGTCGACTGCAGCTCACCAACGAAGGTACAAACCCGAGCATAACACCATTCGGCACCACCTGTTTTCAGAAATCGATACAGAGAAATATAGTCACTTCGTAGAATTTCACTTCTTTAACGTTCTCACGTCAAACTTAAGCGAACCAGAACTTTTATCAATCTCAGCTCGTTTCAGCAATATGCAAATTTTTCGTTAATAATAGTCTCTAATCTTTAGTACCATTTCATACCCATCCATTCGAATACCAATTTTCCTGTCTAGAAGAACTACAAGACTTTTTCCTTTTGTGATATTCAAGTGTTTTTCCTTCCATGATCATACTGCCGGTCTGTCTTATGACTGTCGTTTCGATGTCATAGACGTTAACATGTACCTTAGTATATTTACGTCACTCAATCAAATGGCACGAGATTTCTTTACTGATTTGGTTCTTTCTGTGATATCCGAACAAAATACGACATCTTTACCAAAGATCTTATATTCTCTTGAGATCTCTATTACATTATTAGCACCAATTGACAAGCGTACAGGTCTGTTTTTGCAACTGAATTAGTTTTCACGGTAACCGGCACTTCGAATGCTTATGCAAAAGGTGGAAGTCAGCCGGTAAGGATAACATCGTCAGGTTTTTTTTAGCCTACAAGGCAAGGTTTTTTCGAGTTCAGTTTACCTCAGGATGTCTGCAACTGTACGACCTAGCAGTCAACATAAAGCTCTGGGATTTATCCAAAAGGATCTTTAAAGATTAGCATCGATCTCGCCTGATCTTTGAATTAGTAAACAAAAGAAATGACGTATTTAACTAATTATACGCCATAATGAAACCTAAAAATCTAATAGGCAATTTTATTTTCGGCCAGTTTTACAGACTGGAGATAAGTTTATTTCCTTACTTTATTATAAGACAGAAATACGAAAAATTTTGTCGTCGAACTACTTAACATTTCCATGAAAAGATCGACCCTCGCAACTAACCTTAATGAAACATGAATAGTGTTTTCGTGTTTGGGTTCAGTAGCGAAAATCATTTATATTAGCCCACGTACACAGCTTGATAAGGTTAAAAATGAGAAAATTTTTTTTGTGGTTATTCTTTAACTCCTATTCTGAGATGAATTTTAGCAAACATTTTATAAGTCGTAAAGCGATAATTCTAACTGTAGATTTAAGTTCAACGTAATGGGATCTAAGTCAATACAAAGCTGCTAAAATGTTTGAATGAACAAAAAGCAATGAATACCTTGTAAGGCCAAGAGGCAGTCCAAAGAGTTCGACGGCTGCAGATGAGACGAGAAGTTTCAATATAGGCTGATATAATTATCATTGTTTGATTCGTAGCCAGAGTTCATGATCAGTTCTGACTCGTAAAAATTACCATTTATTTGAATTTGCAATTTCAAATTGTAATCTAGAATCGACATAAAATTGTTTATTTTGTCGATTGCTTCCTTCGTCTTTCAGTACAAACGGACAGGCTAGCAGCCGGAAAACGACAACAAACGCTTAATATGAATATATTTCGTGAACTCAAGTGGATATTATTAAAGCTGATTAGGGAATCGTCCACAATCTTGACTTTACCATGGTTAGGACGAACATATCTATTATTATGAAATAAAGTAAGGCTTAACGAAAGAACAATTTTTAAGAACATATAGTATAATGCTTATAATGACCTATGGTTCAATTTTTATTTACGAAATCTTATTGGCCAAAAAACTTTGACAATATGCCACCGGCTGATTCTCTGAATTATTCAACAATTCAAAAATGAGGTCTTAAAAACAAATTGAGTGTCTTGCCTAGGCGAAGCCAGCGTGGTACCAATGAACGTGAACCAAAAGAAGTTCCATTATAATTGCCGTTTTAATTTCAAATTTCTCGTTTTATATCGTAATCTCAGTCTCGTATCCATACTGCAATGTAACCTTGCTTGAACATGAAACAGAAATTGATCAAGATAATTCTGTACCCGCAAAATAAATTGAGCCCGTTTTGTACTGAGCATTAGAGAGCTCCCTGTTTACAATTTGCTAATACTTTAGTCGACGGTATATATTCATCGCGTCCGAATTAAATTTCCGGAGATATGTCTAAGACCAGTGAATAAGATAATTTTAAAAGCCTTACCTCGCCGACCCCTAGTCTACCACATTGTGCGAGAGACGTCGTAAATATTGTCCCTCCTTATTTGTAAAATACAAGTTTTTCAAAGTATACGTGTCTTGTGCCTATCGCAACTGATATTTTCCTTTCAGCTCTGGTCTTCAGGAAGTGAAAACCTCGCAGCAAGCATTAGAACAGGTGTTGGTGATAAAAATAGCTTATTTGTTCATTCTAGATAATTTTCTTTAAGATTATTCATGTTTATTCTGTTTATTTTTCTTAGACTGTGTTTTTAGCATCAGAAACAAAAAGTAAGTCATCTTTGACACTGAATACTCCACTTAAACCGAACTTGAAAGACATTGTTTTACGTGTCGATTATAATCTGCAAACCTAGAAATTTGCTCACCACGTGTAAAAACTGAAGACGAAGTCATAAAGAAATGCAAATAACGAATGAAACCTGGTCAGATGCGAGCGAGAGTAAGCTTTAGGTAAAATTTCGGAACCAAATGTCAAACAGAATTTGTTTCAATTATTTTCTTATGCCTTATCATTTGTGATTCATTATGTCATGTATTTAAGTGGCGATTTGCGTTTGCCCGTACCGCATGTAGCAGTTTCGGGCTCACTGACTTCTTTTTGTCATTGCAATAACACAACTCATTAACGCAGTTCAGCTGCACTTGCTATCAGCTATGAAATATCACCGGCGAGAAGCGGAACCGATTTAAAATTCTGTGAAGCTCTTGTGGTCGTCACACCGCCGTTAAGTGAATAAAATTACTTTAGTTGACAAGTGGGATTAGTATTCGTAAGTTATTCTTCATTTCTTTTTTCTTTAATTTCTCTCAATGGGGCGTTATCATTAAAAAGGGAAACCAGTGAGTACAGAACCATCAGAGTAACATAAGTAAAGTGACGCATCAAATCTAGCCGTCCAAGGTACGGTCATCAATTCAAATTCATGCTAAATTTCAAAGTAAAATTGCTTTAATCGCTTGGCAGGTTCTGCCATTTTTAACTTGTTTACTTCTGATTTCGTACATTTGGTGCATCGGTACTGCTCAAAAGCGTTATAAAAAAATTCTCATTTTGTTCTTACTCGGCTAGGCAAAATATTAATGCAAGACTAAGTTTGGCACAAGTGTAAAATCACGAGAAAGAAATACAAGAGTGGTTTCAGTTCAATTAGCCGATGGACTCCTCATACTCAACATTAGCGGTTTTTCTTTTCAATTCCGTTTGCCGTTATATCATTCCTGTACGTTTACTTGCTTCAGAACTACTTATCGCTATTTTGAATATATGCAGACACAGATTGCAATTGTTACTTACATATTTGGTCTCTTCTGCTCAAGGCGATACAAAGTTCTCTCGGTTATAGCTTTCTCCAGTTGTTCTGACCAGAAACAGGGTTGGATTTACGAAACCTAAAATCCAGCCCCTGGGCAGAACAGGTGTCATCACCTTGAACAAACACTAAGGTGTGGACATAAATCTAGAACCTTTCAGAATTGAGGAAACAATTATAGACTGTCCGTAAGTTCCTGGGTTAATCTCAAAAATAACAGTGTCAGTGAAGGTGTGAGAGCTATAAAATTGTGGTGAAAAGTCTTTGCACTGATATTTTGATTGCTACCGGCCTTTATATCTTATTTCATTCACTTCTCATTTACGGAAAACGTTTTTCAAATAATTTTGACCAAGTACCATTGACATTTCTTAGACCCCCAAGACGCTTATCTTTATAGGAAAAAAACTATTAGCCCTGTAACAAATGTTAACTTTTTCGAAAAATAATGAAATATTATTTTACCGGCATTGCCATGCATCCGCTGGTTTTGCGTTGTACCCATTGTCAAATGAAAACCGACATTCTTGAACGTGATTGGCCATCAGCGGCCCTAGTCGAGCGCCACAAGGACGGTATACGACTCATGTTTGCCAATGGAAGATATGCATCATTTTGATACATATTGCAACATTTTTGTGCGCTGATTATTCTTTACATGCAATATCGGGTTTATTTACTCGTGGAAAAGGACTTTAGTGTATGCGTTTAGGTAATGGATCCGCCGATTTTGTATTCACTCATGATTGGGGACCAATTTGAACTCCACTCTGTCTTTACTATCATGAATACTCCAGAAAAAAAAACTTGTAAGTCGCTGAAAGATGTTATTAAAATGTTACTTTTTTGCAGTGTAAGAACAATTGAGTTTCCTCTCTTAGGAGAAAAAACCTCTGATTCCTCTGGTTAAAAAACGGGTGCCGGGTTGATGAGTAATCAGAATTTAAGAAAACTTAGTCGTTATCTCTCTTAATCACGAAACTTCACAGAACTTATCACAGAAAACTGTACGTTGATATCTCAAGTTCAAATGTCAATGATATGATAACGTTTATTATGTTGATTACTCTTTCCTCAAAATACCAAAGGCATATTGCTTAGGGTCTTTGCGAACTCACTGGATCATGCGACGCAACCCAGTGATTATACGGCGATTATAACCCGTTAATAGGTCCCCAGACTAATAATACAAGCATCGATGCAGCTACCAAAATAGCTCATTATAATGCAAATATGGGTCATCCTGTAGGCTCAAAGACAGAAAACCGCAAAGATTCATTAGCGCAAACAAATTAGACTCGAATATTCTTCTTTGGGACTCTAACAATGCAAAACCGCTCGCCGCAACATGAAAGTTAATTAAAGCAAACTACAGAAACGAATTGTGTGACATCTCTATGAAATAATCAGGTATTGAAAGATACCGAACTCATCGGTCAGAAAAGAAAATAATACGATTTTCATACCGTTGTTCAATTCATATTAAGTGTAATGTAGTTTAATACAAACTATTATGATAATGCAAGGTTATACGCGCAGCAAGCTTCTTTTAACTTACCCTCGTTTATGACCTAGACTCTAATTTATCTCGTGTAACAAACAAAGAAATTTTAGGAGAAAAAGTGAATCTACTTTGGCATAATGAGAATAATTCCTGACTAAATAAAAGCTGACAGTGAAAAAAACCTGTTAGATGTACGAATAAAGAGGGCTACAGGTGATCAGGGCTTTAACAGGCCATAGGTTAAGATAAACTTTGTCCTTCTGTCTTTGTCTCCTACTGCTTGAGTTATAATTGTTACAGTACATGTATGACAATTTTTAAACCTTTTTAAGTTGTTTTCTTTTACAACTCACCTTTAAAGCAGGAGTTTGTGGGCGAGTGTGAGTTTACCAGTGCCATACAGATACGCTAAAGACTGTAATTCCTTTTTGGCTCATCTCGAGAGAGAGGCTCGTCGTACTGATGTGTTTATCTCTCTCGATCACAATAACAGACCGTAATGATACGTTTTTAAGCACCGGATCTTTTGTCTGTCGTTCAACTTATGCATATGGAACAATTATCTATTCTATACAAGTTTTATACACGAAGTTACTCACTGTGAATACCAAGTTTGCATTTAGTGGTAAAGAGAAAAGACAAACTTTCGTTTATATTTAAATTTTATGATTTAGACCGAACAATGTACGTGTAATCTTGCTAACAGAGTTACCGGCGTTCGTCTTACTCATGGTTTTGCGACAAAGGAAGCATATTTGATTTTAATTTCCCTTGGGTGCATTTCAGCTTCAAAGGGTGTTAGTCATACCTTTTTGTCCAAGCGCCAGTTACCAAGGCATTTTTTTCGATTTCTCGATTTCCCGACCAGCAAACAACTGAGCTTTTTTGAATAGAAAATTTTGACCTTTAGTGCCCCCTACAACACCTCTGTATCACGACTTTGTCTTGTTGTAAAACGAAATTTAACACTGGATGTGATACTTATACGTACGTGCTGTCAAAGCTCATCACGCAATCAGCTGGTAAAGTTACGTTAAGAACAATAGACGCAGACGATTGTAAACTCTTGTAATAGTTTTTGAAGGCTTCAGCCTAGTTAATGCCAGACAAGTATGTTTACTTTTAATTCACTGTATTTTCTTTCATGCTTTTGTATCAAAAAGAAAGAGATAGAGTAGACTTATTAGAGTCTCATCTGTCTGAGAATAAAGCCACGGACGTCCTGCTTTTAAACCCACAATCTCTCTTAAACAAATATCTCAAAAATGTGCGCAAAACACGTCAATCGAGGATACCTATTACGCTGTTCTTCCTTTCATTTCACTTGTTTATTTAAAATAGCAGTTTTCTCTGCAGACTCGATCCATTAGTGCCATAACGTCAATAAATTCGATGATAAATCTGAAGTTATGTGGGCACAGTAGCGGTTTATTACCTTAGAACTTTCGTGTGGCCATTTTGTTAGTTTTCAAAATACGAAACATTGTTGTAAATTGTACTAGGCTTCGATTCCGCTCGTGTTACTCTAATCAGAAATTCCGCATACATACACTCTTCCAAGAACGGTTTTGCAAGAAAAATAAGACTTAAAATGAAGGTGGACCCTCGGCGCTGATGAAGACTTCCGCTAAGGTTGTGGAAATGTCAGACACTATACACCAGACAACGTTAACAGTACTTTTTAATATTCTCTCCCGGACGATCAGACTACTCGATTAAATGTTATTCCTGGGTTCAAACCATTAACTGTACTCTTTTTAGACTCCTTATATTTTATTCGCTCGGATAATATTCGCTCATTCAGATGAGTTGATACGCTGATAACATTGCATAAGTGTATTTATCTTTACGTGCTATTTAAGAAACATAAGTATTTCTTTTGACTTCATATAATTTTAAGAAAAACATCAAAAATTAAAGAGAGAACCAATACCTTACTCTTGCATTTTATTTTTCTATTTTGTCCATGGATCCTTGTGGACAAATCCTTAGACGATAATTGCCGAACTGGTTCCATTCCTATAACGGTTATCCACATAAAAAGCTGCAAAATTCCTTTTTTAAATCGAGAATCGTCTCTCATCTTTTGATATGCACTCTTTTGAATATTCTTTTTTTTCCGTTTTCACTGAGCCATTTCTAGGTTTTGTTTAATTAGTTCTAAACTGCTAGCTTTTATTTTAGGATTTGTTGAGCTATTGTTCTATGGTCTATTTCACTTCTCTGGGACGTAAAATCTAAGTAAATTTATTCCCGAAGCTCTTTATCTAAAATTAACTAAAGCCTAAAAATTAATCTCCAAGGCTTCTCTCCATAAATGTTCGCCGCTTCATGTATCCCACTGCCTGCCACAAAAAGTTGACGTGATAAAAGCTCCACACTTAAAAGCACTGGCTTAAAGTTATTTTAGATAACTGGATACTGATATTAAATATATCCATGTAAAAGATTACTGCTAATAAAGTTTATTTATATTACTTGCTTAACTGTCTTCTAGATAAAATATCATGTTAAGAGGTATATCCACCGATCTTCATTGGGCGTTCAGCTGAAATATAATGAGATAATGATAAGTGTGCGAAACAATGATCCCTAAGCGAGCCAAGAGTTGATAATTTTTTCGCCACCGACTTAACGAAACAGTTTTTGGAAGTGATTTCAGGTATATTTACTTATCATCGTTAGACCCATGTTCGCTTGTCCTCCCGCACCTATTTTCCTTCCCATTTCCACAAGTTTCACACCTTTACTAAGCAAGCCTTCCATCATGTACGGTAAGAATTCCCAAAAGTGGTATCCCATTGATCAGTAATTACCTTCGTGACACGGGCAGATTTCCTCCATAACCCTTCAGAATTTTTTTCTTGGAGCTTATTCATGCAACATTCTTAATGACGCTAGCTTTCTATTTATCTGACATGCAAGCAAAGGCTTGGGGTTGCATTGAAGGACTGAAGAAAATCTTAAGGTCTCTAACTACAATTGCAATGGATGATGCACGCAAATGAGAGGGGGGGGGGGAAGAGACCTGACCATCCGCTCTATCCCACATTGGCAGTATTGAATGGTGATTTAACTCGAATACGTTTTTAGTAAAAGAAAAAAGAATCCTCTAATTATGTATTTTAATGTCTATACCTCACCCTTTCCTTGCTTCAAAGCCTTGAGGGTTCTCAAAGAGTCCTCGCAAATTTTTCACCATGCCTCTTGGAGGATTGATCAATTCTTCTCTTCGTCCTGAAGGAAGGTAAACTGTTTTTGCGTCACTTCGTTACGAAACTATAAAAAGAGCTGTTGCATCAACTGTAAAGTTTTAAATGGAAGCTTACCTGGGTCTCGAGCACCCTGAACCGACATTTGGTCTTGCTCAAAAATTGCTTTGTATTTACGCACACTGATCGGAGACCCATCGACTGCAAGAAATAATTGCAAAATGCGTCTCTTAGTAACCTAAACTAATTCTCCTGTTTGCGTTATTTTTGAGTTAAACCTATTAACATTGACCTTTATTTACTCACAAATCCTTATTTCAGTTTAAATAAAATTTTACCTCCCTCGGAGTTATTCCTCCCAGGTGAAGGAAATACTGGACCACCTCCATCGAACATCTTTCCCAGCTCCTTCACTCTTCCGGTAAGGTCCGACTCGTTTTCTTGTCCACGTAAACTAAAATGAACTTAAGGAGAAAAGAAGAGCACTTATAGAGCAATATACCAAACACAGCTAACGCTATACCTGGTTTAGTTGGGAAAATTTTCTTTTCAGTTAATTCAGACTAGCTTTTTGAATTGCTGGCAAGGACTTTATGATACTTACCATCGTATTCTTCTTTCAACGGCGCCTCTGTGGATGTAGCAGTCGCCTCGTCCTTTACTACGTTTGCGGCTTCTTGGTCACTTTCACAGCTTTCCGCCTCGTTCTCATCGCCACCCTCGTCATTTTCCTCTGAATCTCCTTCTTGGTAGGTCTCACCATCAACTGCTTCGTGTCCTAGGTCATCTTCATCTTGATAAATCTCATTAGTTTCAACTGGTTTACTGAACTGCAAACGTTACAGGAAGAGAACGCGCATGTCACTGAGAGAAAAATGCGTCAATACCGTATCATCGTTTGTCTTATTTACTCAGAATAAATAAAAATCTCATTTTTACGTACCTTGATCGAATTCAAGTGCAAGTAAAAGTAGGATATTTAAGTTTACAAGAAAATGTGAACATCAACCTACCATACACGTAATTAACATATATGGGGTAGCACTAATATTGATCAGTGAATATACATTGAAATTAACGTTGTAAGGGTATGCTTACCAAGTTTCTTTGTTGTTCGTCTTCGTCAATTTCATTTAAATACTGCTCTTGCATCGTCTCTTGTTGATTGGTAACATGGTCTTTTCCGCCATTCCCATCCTCTCCAGCGTCGAACGACTGGGAAGCAGGGTCCATTTCGCTTATATCTGGAGTTGGCGAGTGAACGTGTACTTTGAGGGAAGAGGAATGCTTTCGACCTGCTGATTCTTCACGCTCAATGTCTATTTCCTCGTCGCTGTCGCTGTTTTCATCATCTACTTTAGTTAATCCGGGACTGATTTCGCTCCCTTTTTCAAGCGTTTGTTCCACTTTTAAAATTCCTGCATCCTCGCCGTTGACTAACTTCTCATCCTCCTCCTTGATCCCAATGTCTTCAACATCTTTTTCTGGCTCCTCACTTTCACTTTGGTCTTCATCGTCGTCTTCTTGAGCTAGCTGTGGGGAACCCTTTTCCTCCAGTGGGGTAAACTTTGAGCCATTACTTGAATCGTCCCACTCTTCTTCCTCTTCTTTTTCCTCCTCAACTATCTCCTCGTCTTCTTCGCTCTGATCAACCCCCTCGACGGGACAAGAGTGTCTTGCATCTTCGCTTTTTTCAACATCATTTTCAACTTCGTCCAGTTCTTCTTTGGACGAACTTAAGTCGTCCTCCTCCAAAGCCTCTTTCTCATTCTCAACAGTTTGAACGGATGTTTCTTCTGTGCTCTGGTCTTCTTTGCGGTTCTCTTTGATTTGATCTTTGAATTCATTCAGTAAAGTGCTTTGGGAAGAATCTTTTTCTGCTTCCTCTCCTGCCAGAGAAGTTTCTTCGGGGGAAAGAAATTTCATATACTCAGGAGCTACTAGAGTTTTCCCATAATAAGGTACTGACGATGTGGCCTCTTCTTCGGTCGTCTTGGCAAGTAACTCGACATTTTCCTCTTTGTCCTGATCGTTGTTGTCGCCCTCACTGCCATTCATTGTGTCTTCATCATCATTAACCTCATCTTCATCGAGTTCTTCATCAATATCGTTGCCGTTTTTATAACTATACTCGTGTCCATTTTCCTTTGTATTTCCATCCAAACCATGCAGTTCTATTTCTGTTATTTCATTTTGTGGTTCTTGTTTTGGACATATTCCTTCGAATCCGCGATCGTATTCTTCAACATCTCCTTTGATCTGAAGTGCGTCTACTTCGCCTGACGAGAGTAAGTCTTTGCGTTCCTCATTGGAGTGCCAATCTTCCACGTTCTGCAAAAAAGAAAATGAAAATCCGACCTTTAGTTTATTCTCAAGATTGAAAGATTTATTTCTTTTCAGGCTGATGAAGACGTTAACTTTTGTGCTCGGTCGTCGAATAAAGAAAGACTTAACAATTTGAGTCCCGTCAAGGATTTGAGTGGAGGGGCATTATTCATAGGTGGAATTAAAACGTGGTTCGAAACAGGCGGTTCAAAACCCTCGTGGAAGACTCAGATATTTTCATTTTCCCACGCTTGTGACTAAATTAACATTTAAAAGCTTTCTTTATACCATTAATGTTCCCCATACCATTAAAATTGTTGTGATGGAACCAAAGGGCTGGATCAAGGTTCTTAATCCGCATTTCGACATAAATCTGACTTTAAATTATTTCGTGGGGTTTGAAATACTGCATCATTCATTATCATTGTGGCTTATTGTAAATTTTTAAATCTGTTTGGTTCTATCATTGCTGACATGGACCATGCTCGACAAACGCTTTTCCAAATTAAGTTATTAAATGATGCTTGGTCTATGTTGTTTTACTTTTTACCCTCGTGGCAAATGTTGCTTGGGTGGCATACACTTATTTTTTCGCTCTCACACATGATCAATTGGTAAAATCTTCTTACAGTTATAATACACTGCAAAGCCTGGAGGTTTTGAGGAATTAATGAAATTATTAACTAGGAAATAATAGCATCGATGTCACACTAAGTTATCAGAAATCGTCAACAAACAAAGAGCAAAGAGCCGAGAATTACTCATTCTCGGTGAGCCCGCGGGCGCGATTTCATTGCCTATTCTGGTGATGGCAGTGTATCAAATGCTAAATTACTTCTGCCTTTCGCCTCTTGTTGAGGAAATTTTGGGCTCCAAATAAAAAAGTCCTCTTTAGTTCCAGTTTCTGACTTCCAGTTTCCATGGATGAACATAAATCAATTTGATTATCCACGTGCAAATAGTAGGGTTAATAAAAACATTCTTTTAATGTTAAAAGGGCTTCGTATGGGACATATGAACATATCACAGAATGATGTAATGTAGTCATTACAAGACTTAGCTTTATCAATAGAACCGTAAATTGCCTTTAGGTGCACATAACTAATTACTGCTTTCATCATGTAACATTCACTGGAATTTTAAATGAGCTACATGTACCACAATCCTGTTAAACTGTTGGTTTTACAGCTTCTACCTAGATGGTGACTAAGGGATAAGTTACTCAGTCGCTTTTTTTCATGCGTGTTTGAAGTTCGAAGACTTCGAAGGAAGTTTATTGATTTCTGAGCAGACAGGTAAAATTGGTTATCATTTTTGAAAGCTACTGGAGGGGAGGACTTAAATCATTTTGTAGAGCAGGTAAAGATAACAATACTTTCATTTACGAAATACGTTCAGCTTAAAAATTATTTTTTTTAAGAAGGAAGTAATCTTAGTAAATATTACGCTCAGATAATTATTTCGCTTGACTCTGTTTGTGCGTCTCTTGAATTTTGTCTCTCGTAAATTAATATTTTATGAATATTTCGCATTTATTGTTGTTGTCGTTGTCTTTTCATTACACAGTCGATTAAGGCACAGTCCGTAAGTACGTGTTCATTTATGACAAAATTAAATATATACTGTGCCATGTATACATTCATCAATAAGGACTTGAAATAAGAGACGGAAATCAAATCGCACCTCGTATAAAGTTGATGCCATTTTCTGCTCTCCAACTTAGACAGATGGCTTGTAAATCAGCCTAGAATGAAAGACATACATGATGAATATAAAATAAGAAACGTCGATCATTAGGAAAGCATTATAGAGTTACTGCGTGAAAGATATCTCATCGCATAGGAAGGAATCAAAGGGAGGACATATAAGTAAACTTTGTTTTTGCACGTACCTTTGTAATGACGTTTTGAACAACTTAAACCAAAAGTACATTGCGGTTTCATACAAAACAGAAATTGATAAATCCTAATTTGGTGATGACATGTCATTGCGTTACGGAAAGTTTTATTCGAACACGCCATGACTTATTTTAGATACTTAATTCATTTTAGTTTCGCTGATTATGAAGTGTATTCAATCCAACAGGTGTGGCTTTATCTATATCTCGATATAATTTTTTTTTCGTTCAAACTATCGTGAGTTTTGCCGAAAGAAAGATCTGTGTTGCACTTTACGTCTAAATTTTGTGAGAGGCTTTTAGGATATAGCTTAGTTTTATTAAAACTAGCTTAGGACGGAGGTTTTCGCGTCTGCTTCACTTGCCACGATCATTGTCGAACAAAGAAATTGAAATATAATTTATTCAGTGACCAAACTGTCAAAGGAAAGTGTCTAGTTAGCTTGGATAATATCCAAATGGAAATGAAAAATAAAAAAGACAATATCCTTTTTCTGGGATATTTCTTCGATGAATATCATGCGTTACGCCACTCATTAAGTGAAAAATCTACAGAACTTTGATTTTCCTTTCATCTTGTTCAGATATACACACGCCGAGTAGTAGGCTTCAAAAATCGCTACAAACGCAATTTTTGTATTTTTACCATACATTCATAAGTCTCTGAACCACGGAAGAAGGAATTTATATCTACACTAGAGGAAGATTCCCACCAATGCTCTATAAACATTGTTACGTGTATACAGTCATACGGTCATATTAAATTGAATCATTCCTGACGACTTGTTTGAGCTGTGTCTGTCGCTGTGATAGAAATTCAACCCCGGCTGAAGAACAGCAAGAAAAACTGATTTAAGAGCCGTTATTTTCATCTTTAACACGAGAAACACGATACACAGTAAAAAGACTTGTATATGAAAATATAAAATTTGAACCTTACCTCCGTCTACCACGCGGTGCGACATGAAAAGACAATGAATCATCAGGCCGAATAAAATAACTATATATTAAAAGCATTCATCTTTGTTTATACTAGATACGGCACTTGAACCAATTGAAAAGATCCTAGAAATGACCTCTGAAAGATCTGTGCCAAAACATTTTGCGTCGACTCAGTGAAATCTTTTGTTCAATCACCGTCGCATTTCAGAGCAGGTGTTTCGCAAATCGTCTGTTTGGAGGCACGACCTCTCCCACATTCATTTTCGTTCCGTGTACCGAACATAAAAATGATAATAATTTTAATATTCTTTCAAAGAATATTCTTCACCGCAGTCCTTTCATATTTTATAAAGACAGTAAAAGTCGCGCAAAATACCCCGGTGGTCTGCATATGAATATTTAAAATCTCAACTTTTAATATTTTAATTGTGGAGAAAGCTGACGTGCCGCCGATCACTTGCAGCAGCTTTCCTTACAGAATTTTTCATAAAATGTTGTATTACAAATCAACGGGCTCCTGCTTGATACAGGTAACTCAAAATACATTCGCTTCGATAGTTCAAAATTTTGCCCAATCTTTATACCTTAGGATTGAAAGACATTATTGTAAACACCAAAAATATTTTGATAAATTAAATAAGGCTCGTAAATCTTTCTCGCGCAATTCTGCTTAAAATTCCATATGAATGAATAAGTAAATATCACTCCTTACTATGTGATGCGGGCATGTTTAAAAAAAAAGTTATAGTAATCCGAGGTTTAAGAGCAAGGAATTAGTGCAAATCGAATCAAACCGATCATTTTATGATGGGCAAATCACAATGGAAATAGCTTGACGGGTTTTGTCGGAAGAAAATTCCTTTTCTTAGACGGGACAGAGAAAGTCCCTCCTTCTCATCCCAAATGTTTGAAATTGCAGACGTCATACGGATCAAGATAACTGTCCACTTTAAAAGCACTGGGATTGCGAGCTATGTGATAATTTCATAGGCTATAAATAAATGTTCTCTGAGAAAGATACAATTCGACTCTCAAAGCAGCACTCCCCGAATTTTGTGAGCCGTCAACTTTCGCCGTTTGAGATTCATTACATAGGGGAAACAGGACCCGAAACATAAAAGACATTAGTTTTATTTATTGATATCTCTGTGTTCACATAACATCTTTTCTTAACTCAGGTAAAATAACCACAATATACATTTGTGGATCAACCATGTAAGCTTTGTAAGAAGTTAAAACTGACTGTAGAAGCAATGCTTATTGAGATCTGAGGTCAGTTCGAAAATAATCTTTCATCGTGACATGTTACCTCTTTTGTCAAAAAATTACCGTCAAAAACAGAGTCGGTATCGTTATTCTCAATCATTGACATGTGCGCCCTTAAGTCATCTCTCAAAACGCTACTGTCACTCATTTCTATTTGTGGACGACGAGACGACGTTGAGAAAGAAGAATTTTTACAATATCGATAAACTCGGCGGGTTGAAGTTATTTTTCTCATTTGATAACTGGACTCCACCTTCTGAAAATCCAATGAAAAATCGCCAAAATGATCTTGTTCCCCTTCAGACGTAGTTTGCGGTTGGTTTGCCATAAGTCCCATTGTTTTAATATAAAGAAGTTCTTTTTTTTCTTTGTTATAAGCGAATGTGTCGCTTTCCTGGTCTGAAAATTGAGATGGCTTGTCTTGACAGGGATCAGAAGTAACAGATCTTCGTTTTTCCCTTGTTCTGACGGGTTCTGTTGTGCTGCTCTTACGGATGTTGATTAAACTCGAAGATATATCCTCAAAGAAAACGTCATTTGAATTTTCGTCCTCATTATCTTCTTGGTCATGCTCTTCGTCGCTTCCGGCTAAGTGGTCATGTTGGTATTCCATCGCTTTTTCGTGTTCAGTTGTCCTTGTAGCGGCTGTAACATCCATATCACCATAAAAGCCCTGCAAAATTATACATACATACATCCATATATATATATATATATATATATATAAGTAACTGCAGAAAGTACTGTTTTGGCCTTTCGGGCCTCATCAGTGCAGAGTTGATGCCAAAGTGAAGGTAAAGCTATAAACCACCTTAAATGATCCCACTCTTGTGGTATCATCTAAAGAGATTTTTATGTTACGCATTACAATAGTAACCCTTATCACAGTGTTTATCTAGCGGATTCCAGGCAACTGGAAATAAGAGGGTATTCAGTAGAATGTCCTTGCCTGGTCGACTGGTCTTTGCTCAATCCCAGAAGAAGTGTGTGTCCCCACATTTAACCTTTTTTCTGAAGAAAGAAAGCAATAAAAAAACTTATCGCTAACTGAACAAAATAAACCAAAAAACGAGGAACGCTGATCAGGCAACAGAAAACATGCTTGGTATTAGCCTTTCCTCTGGAGGTCAGCCTCGAGAAAAATCGATTGAAAATGATTGTTATTAAAGAAAATATATAAATGTGGTTTAAATTCTCACTGGGTAGGTAGATAGAAATATACCATTAAACCCACCTTCCGGTATTATGGCTTTCCTTTGAAGTCTTGTTGTCTGTAAAATGCACAAAAAAAAAAAAAAAATAGAGTTCTGATTCAGTCCAGGAATATTAAAAGCCGGTGGGTGTTTGATATAATTATATGGGTCCGCCATGATTGTATGGTTATCTACCAATCGATTTAAGTTGTTGCTAACTCTTTCGTTCATTTTTCTTGTCGGGGCATGTTATTCATTCTAACTAATTTTACTCACCTGAGAAGACGAATATTTCAGTTGTGATTTTGCAATTACATTATCACGGAGGTGATCTCTTCGACTTCCACGACAGCAGAGTATCCGTTTGTACTCAGAGCGAATCTAGAAATCATTCAGGATTATTAATTCGAAAGCTTGAGATTAATCTTTTATACTATACCCATAATACGATATACGCACCATTGACCTAAAATCAAGTAACCCAAAATGTCCTGTTGTAGTCTTGTTTCGAATACTGTGACTCTATGTTAAATTGCAATTTTAATTATGGAACAACAACCAGACAAATCTTTCAAATCGAAAGTCTTGCTTACCCTTTCATCAGCTAAGCAATGAAAAATAAAGATGAAAAGTCCCTTGAAAAAAGAAAGGAAATAAGGAGCATAATTGAATTGGATTTAGAATTAAACGAGATGGTTTTTCGTTCTCTATTTATAATTTGTCTTGGATTACGGATTGTTTTTAGAGGAGGGAGGAAATATAGAGAACCCAGAAAAACCCTTTGGCAAGAGGGCGAGAAAAAAATACAACTTGACCCACCTCTGCAGCCAGGTTAGTGAATCGAAGTAGCACACAAACGGTGGGAGGTGTTCTCAACTTTGTACCACACCTATTTCCTAATTCTTACTCAGATGAATTCAGTACTCAAAGAAGGGTGGAAGCCAAGGAAGGAATCAATTATCAGATTTACCTGCAAAGTGTTGAAAATATTGAACAGATACGCAAAGAGAACTGTAGCTTTGTCCAGAGAAAACATTCCCAGTAACCAGGTTGTGCCTAAAAGACACGTCAGTACTGCGCATACTTTTACCCAGTACCTGAGGAAAAAAGTTGAGAGTTTTTATTTTATGAATAAATAAGCAAATACATAACAAAATGAATAATACGTGAAATAATACCAACCGGGTTTCAGCATCGCGAGGGTTTTAATTAAAAAACCTATGACTGAATGCAGTAAATCATTACGAATTCGACCAATCGTATCCATGTAACTTACTACCTATTACCTATTTGCCGATGTAGACGTTGTTTTTGCACGGCTTATGTTACAGAATCTATTCGCCTGGAAGAATTTTCCTAACAGTGTTTAATTTTGCTTCTTCTATTCTTCCATTATGGTAGTCATTATCTTCATGCTTCTAACAATTTCTTAGCTTGCTTACCGTCGTTTTATTCCTTACCTCATTTGCGGCGGGTTTCGGGAAGGCTGATTTAGGGATCGCGTTGCCATAACCTTTAGAGTCATTCCTAAAAACACCAGATTCACCTACAACGTAAAATTACTGTCAGCATTGTACATTATTCAACATGTGTAACACAGCGGCAGGTGACAAAAAAGAAATGCAAGTATTAGTCATACCACGCATATGAGCAGAACAGGGCCGACAAAACTCCATATAAAACCGTCTTCAACAGACAACCAACAGCTGCCATAAAGAGAAAGCACATGACAATTCAATTTCGAGGAAAAGACGAGAGATAAAACAAAGAAACAAATAAAACGTTTTCTTTGATAACTTTAAACCGTTTGATTGTTGACTAACAACTGGATAATCCGTTTAATATTTTATGAGTAAGGTTGCAGAGCTTTGCAGGTTACAAAGTCGCGTTAAATAGGTCAGGAAATATATCCTTTGCTTACTTTTTAGAGTAAAAGTGGGTTTCCGATAAGTGAATGGGTGAATGAATGAATAAATAGAGGAATGAACAAGTGATTGAGTATTTCCAGCAGTGAAGTGATTTGTCAGTTGCATGAAAATCTCAACGACTTATGCGTGTACAGATCTCGCGATCGGACTTTCCATATAAAGCGAGAAAGGGACGAATTCAGCAAGCAAAACAGCAGGATCAAACCTTGGGTAATAAGATAAAGAAAAAGAACACTCCATTCAAAAGAAAGAATTCAGATACAAGAAAATTGTAATCTTGTGATCGTGATTAATCATAGCATGCTAGTTAAACAACAGTAATACACTTATGCACGGCATGTATACGCACATTAAAAAGACTTACTGTCTCTCTGATACGTAACCCTCCATATCTATAAGGAACGATGTGACCACAGGTATGAGAGGTATTCCTTTTAAAAATAAAAGAATTTGTTGGAAGACAACACGCCTTGAAAATCAAATATGTATTCGCAGCTTAATCATTAATCCAACTGTTTTTCACAACAAGTCTTATACCAGATATTCGCACAAATCGTATTGAAGAATTTAAAAAAATGGCTTAGCTTAGTGAAACTGTGTCAATTTTTTACATTAAATCTTTAGCTTATTTTTTCATCATTTTAATGCCATCAAGTTTCTGCTTCAAATTAAATATATGTGTAAGCTCCACAAGGCCCTCTTGCATCGAGAATAATACATTTAAACAAAGGCTTGGCTCACCCCATGAGCATATGAAGAATAGTCTTTTCCTTGGACTTTGACCTGATGTTGGGAAAACTTTAACAAGCATGACATAAAGAATCACTCCTTCTGTTGCCATCCAGCAAAATGAAACAAGAAATAGATAATGAAGCAATATGGCAATGATAAAGCAGCCAGTCTAGAAACAAAAAAAGCAGCGAAGATTAGAGAATAGTTCGCAACTATAACCTTCATCGACTCAGGGCGATTTGTGCGAAAGAAAATGAACACAAAATTAAAGCTTAACCGGCGAGAACTATGATCGTGTCATGAACATAAAAAGTCAAAAACTGGGTTATACATCTGACCATGTTGGAGTCTGATAAAAAAGAGTAGAGAACGACACACTAAGACTGTTGTAAAATTGAGTACCTTGTACTGTGTCTTTTCCGTACCAACAACAAACAGCAGTTCAGCCAAAAAAAGCGACAGCACCAGGTTGATGTGAGCAAAGTTACGATTCGATTTCAAAAACCTGAAGAAAGTAACAGTTTGAATAAATCCAATACTACGTAAATGTAATTATTTAAGGCTCTCGTGATTAATGTTCGGTATTCGAAAAAACCTATCACAGGTTTACAACTAAACGAGATCAGTGTCATAATATCTCGTGATTAAAGTTGAAAAACCACAAGGGAGATTTCCATAAATATGTGTCCATCACCTTCCAAACAAACAGAAATTATAAGATTTCATGTACACGAAGTTCTTACCCAAAGGAGCAAAACGTTACAAAAGCCAGCAATAATGAAACCAGGGATATGCTTATGCCAATGTACGTAACAAGTCCCAAGGCAATTTGGTTGGTCCCCTAAAGACAATTAAAAAGGTAATCAGATAATGTACTGCTTGCAAAACGTCTTCTTTTTTTATTGTATAACCATTTAAAATAGTATAGCTTGATATTTTAGATATTGATTAATCTTAAGTTATCATGGAAAATGCTCAGGTAGCGTGAAAAACCAATGAACAAAATGAAAATAAGTATTCTCACAACTTGAAATAAGTTACCTCCGCAAGTGAATCCGGCGTATATTTCATAAGGACGCTGAAGCTTGTCAAATGATAACAGTGGCAAACAGTTACGGTCGAGTTTTTGAAATTTACATGACAACCTTCCTCGGACCATGAGCGTCCAAGCCTGAAAAAATAAAGTAAAGAAGAGACCAACCCAGAGATACATAGCATATCGTCAATTTACGAACCGATGACAACAGTGGTTTTAAAAGGTGTTTATGAAGTGGCACTGACTCAGACTTCGCGACTTACTTTGAAATTTTCCAAAAGACGCACGATGGTTGCGGGAGGTTTACGTCTTTCTGAAAGTGAAAATGCATATATCTAGTGACCTTAATGACAAGCCATCACAACGACAAATGTATACGAAAATGCGCTCTATGGCTTTTGAGAGCAAAAGGAACAGTTTCAACCCATGTCCAGTTATAGTTCACGACATGATAAGGTCTGAAACAACATTCTGTGTCATTTCATTATTCAACTATATACTCGGTCATCCCTGCCATAAGGTTAGCAAAACTGATCGATCGGACCGGTCGGTGTAAACCAAAATTGATCTCGTATGAAGGCTGTCTTGATCTGATCGGCCGCTTCTAATTAATCATTTGCGTCAGATCGACTTATAATGGGTTAGTTTCAAGAATGAAAAAGGGACCTTTAAGATGTGTTAATTCGAATGAAAGCGAGATGAGATCAAATAAATGAGACGGTAAAGTGCGTATGAGAATTTCCTCTTCTTACCTGATTATTGTGAAAAAATATCACCACTGGATTCGTAAAGTTGCTTGATGATTTAGGGTTAGTGGAAAGTGAAATAACACCAGGAGTAGGATTAACGAATCTGGAACAATACAAAACTTAATGTTATCAGAAAACGTAGAAACCCTCTCTCATACTTATTCAATGCAAAAAAAGTAATTATTGACGACCAAGCCGTGTAACCTACCTTGAGGAAGTCAACAATTGTGCAATGTTCTTCATATACACGAAAGCAATATGATGAACTGCCCCTGAAGAGACCACACAGAGATATCTAGTCAGAGCTTCTTTGGAATAATACAAATCGCTTCAGCGACTAAAGCGAAATCGTGCAAAATGTACTTCATAACGTTATTTTATCATGTTGCAGTCTATGTATTTCGTCTCCTTTCATTATAACCTAGGGGCTAAAAGGGAACTTGCTTGTGCACGAAGTCACATGTACCTGAAGATGTACTGTTGTCATTTCTTTGTAACTCAGATGTTGGCATCTCTATTTTGCTTCCAGATCCATCATCCAACGCAGAAAAGATCACTCTTTCAGCTATAGAATCCTCTTCCTTAATTGAGCGAAATTTTAACACTAAAGGAAAAGAGTTAATGTAACATAGCCTTGTATAAATGATGCCCCTTGTACTATCATAGAATAATGGGAACTCCCGGTTAGACCTTCATTTCCTGACATAATTTGCGATGTTATATCGTGCCTTTGATATGGAAGATTAGAATCAGGAGTTCAGATATATCTAGGTAATCTTCCAGGGCTATCTGTCAACGAAAGAAATAGAACAGGTGACCGCTTAAGAATGCCAGTGAATGCGTTACAATGAATGTGAATAAAACTCACCGATATTAGAGGTATTAAAACTGGAAGTATTTGTGCTGTTTGAAAATGAAGCAGTCTTCAAAGCTACACTTTCCATAGTCATCAAGAGCTTTGTAGCTTCATCTGAACGAGATTTCTATCGGGAGAGAAGGAAACGAAGCCGCAGATTTTGCAAGATTAGTCAAGTTCCTTTGCCATCAACCTTGATTATCGAAAGGCAAAAATTGGTCGGTAATACTTTGTAACTTTTTCGACTAAACCTTGGATATGTGTTTATTGTACAGCACATTGAACAGCGCCATTTGAAGTATGATTTGTTACTCTTAACGCCATTTAGGAGTCTCAATTGATTTCTAGAGGCTGGATAAAATGTCCACTAGCATCTAATTAATCTTGTAGTTACTGAGTTGCAACATATTCATTGAAGCGAATGCATTCGTAAACGTTCGCACTGATGCAATCCCGCAAGACGCTATCACTTGTAACCCTGTAACCAGTTAAGAATGTACTAAACGAAAAACGAGAAAGGTGAAAGCATACCACAGGTGAATCGTGCCAGGCATCCATTGTCTTTTCATCCAGAAGATTACTTGCTACGTTGACTAAATTCTGCAAATGGTGATGACTGATTATAAGAGAAAAACAGCCCTAGGAAGAATAAACTCCTCTGTTTGAAGCAAGCTTTTGATCGTGGACCAAAAAAACAGCTTCTTCATGCTGAAAACTACGTGATACAAAGAGGTTCTCTTACCTTTCTGCACTATTTATTTTCTCAAAACTTATCATGTGGCCTTTTAAGATCAAAGCTGCAGGAGAAGGTTTTGTTCTTTCTTTTTCTTACACCTACCTTCAGAAAAGAACTAGCTTTTTCCTGATTCATTGATGCATTTTGTGTTGTTTTTTGATCTAGAAGTTCTAGCATTCCAACAGCAGCACTCAAGTCACCACTAACTATTAGTCTCTCTCGCGTTGGGTTCGTAAGCTCTGAAAGTTGGTGAGCCAGATATGCTGCAGTGTCGGAACCAATTTCATTCTTAGAGGTTATCTAAACCAGTCCAGAAGGCAAAAATAAGTGAAAAAGTTAACAACAATAACAAAAACAAACAAATAGTAAAAATTATAAAAGACATCATCGCCAAGTAGAGGCTCTATTCAAACGTCTTATTTGATGGGCTTAACTGGCTTAATTTAACTTAACTATCTACCATTATTTGATTATATGTTTTTATTCCTTCATGAATAACTTTTAACAGAAGTTTCAGACAGAACTGGTAGTATGAAAATACGAGTGATAATCTAATAATCTAATTATAACAACAAATCAGGGAAATATTACGTACTTCAAGTTGGAGTTTTCTGAACTCTTCGGAAACACAATTTGTTAAATCTGGTTTATGCCAGGACGCTTTGATTTTAGATGAACAGGAACGATTGGCCCATCCTACAATTAGATGATACGTTTAAACCTCTGCAACTTAAGAGACGGTATCATAGATCTAAGTTCGTGAAATCTACAAAAATTTTGCTACATTTATTTACTTAAATGTAAGAAGCTTTTTCTACTTAATTACTTGCTTTAGAGTACCTGAGAATCCATACGGACAACCTCGCTGAATTGTTTTCCCCCTGGGTGTTTGCAACCAAGTTATATTTCTGAACAGCTCTTCCTGGCAGAAGTCATCGTCAGAACTATAAGCGGGATCGACTATGAAAGGAAATGGAAAATAGAGATGTTTCACTCGTGAAAGGTCGGTGGACTCGGTTAGTGAGGTTTTGTTCTGATGATTATTACCTCAGTGTTTTTCCGTTGGTTATCTTTTCGGAGCAAACATTTCCACAGTCGACCAAGATAACATGAATCGTATTTTTATTAGTTAAAAGTGGAGTAATCTGCCGGATTCCGTACTAAATTTAAAGGAGCTATTGAGATTTCTCACCTTCGCACCAGTTAAATCCATCCCCAGTAAATCCTTTCTTGCATCTACACTCATACAACCCAGGCATATTTTTACATGTAGCTTCCCCGTGGCATGGTTGTTGGGTGCATTCATCAAAATCTAGTTGGAGCAAATAGGAACGGCATTTGACACTTTCATTGGTGACCTAAACCATATAAAACTCTACCAGCATTGGTTTCATGTTGTAGCTGACTTTTTCCTTATCATGTAAATAAGCAGAGGAAGTGTTCTGTTTATCAAAAGCCAACTTAAAGTAAATAAAACAGAATTCAGTTTTAAAGGTCACGTTCTGGTGAGGATAACTAAGCAAAACTAGTAAGGTTTATATTTCATAACGGGGCAAGAGTCTCAGTGGACTGACCTAATGTAGTCATCTCTCTCGCCATCTCCCACGGACCTGCATACTGTGTGTTTCGACCTCGAACCTTAACTTTAAACGCTGTGTATTGAGGAAGACTTTTCAGCAGTACATCAGCGGTTTTACCCACTCTCTTTCTGGTGCAATTAACAGTAGAACAGTATTCTACGTCATATGATTGTACTTCCTCTCTTTGGTCAAGAGGTATCCATGTAACTTTAATGACGTCCGAGCTCAGAGCAATGGCGCTGACGTTTTTCGGCTTTTCTTTTTGCAAATAAACGAGAATAGAAAAACATAATGAACACCGGAAAATTAACTACTGGTGTCAGAGGGAGGATAAACTTGTGACCAAAACAAAATAGATAACATCAATAACGAGAGAAACCAACCATAGCTCGCGCATAAAAGTAAAATAGGATCCCACGGGTATGGCCTTATATATTTGCAGTCAGTTGTTGTACTTTTTTATCACGAGAAACTATTTAGAGGATAGGGATGTTGTACTGGATAATACACCTTGTCCAGGCTGCTCAATACTTATTATTTAGAGGACCATACGGCAAATAGCAGAACCAAAAATTATACCTTCAGCATACCTGTAACAAGTGGTACTTTTTTTGTTCTGGCCTTCTTGGTTTGGGACAACGGACCATTCCCTGCAGATGTAAAGCCTTGCACTGCTATGGCGTACTCGGTGTTAGTCATGAGACCGGTTATAAGGTAGCTTTCAGCGTCTTCAACTGCTATGAGGCGTTTCCTACTTCCTTTGTTAGATAACTTCAACTGGAGAAAGACATAGTCAACAATTTGCACCAGATTTTTGTGATATAAAAACTAAATGAGTTCTTTGAATGTCTCTCCTGAACCGCTAACAGAGACCACCAAATTGAACATTACATATCTTGCCACTAACTAAAATAATAAAACCTTTGCCTACTTGGTATTACTGAACGTGTAGATATATATATTTGTGGGGAGAGTCTTGTTGTTTCAGTTGTTTAAATGCATGCGCGATACCGATCCTTAGCACAAAACGATTTGGCCTTTAGCGCCACTTTTGGATTAGTAAACAAGCTGATTCGAGAATCATGCGACGCTTTAAGCTTCTTACCTCAATATTGAAACCCCGGATTATTCCATTAATTTTAAGAGGTGGAGACCATTGCACCAGAAGTGAGGTCGAGTTATAAGAAGCTATCGTCAGATTTTGAATCACTGAAGGTACTGGATTGTAAACAAAACTGTGTTAGTCAGCCTCTGATTGCAAGTGACGCACTCAGCGATTGAAGGAGTTGCGACAACTTCTTGATCTGCGTTTGTATTGTTCAATTACAATCAGTTCACCCACAATATTTGGAGATATTCTTCAGTGTCTGACCATCAACGATTCCACGACGTATAGTCTTAGGTATGTTATTAGAAAGATATACACGAAATGTCCTCGTTGGTTTCAGTGACTTAGTATTAAACATCTTACATTAACCGGAAACTTACTTCAAAACGCGAACGCATTAAATAAAGGCAACCAGATTATTATCTTTACCTCCTTGCTTTGTACGACAAAGTAGAGCCCCAAGACACCTTCTATCTTTACTATCTTCTCTCCGTAGACGGATTTTATACGGGGTGTATGGTGCTGAAGAAAGCGAATTGAAAGGCAGTAAATTTCCTCCAGTTGTTTAAGTCCCCGTGCAGTGTTTAAAACAGGAGACTGATTATGTCCATCATCGTGTCCTTGCCTTTATTTTCAAGCTCGAGCAATCTTTGTTTATTCACGATTATGTCAATTTTATCTGTTATATATATCTTTTTGTATCATGATTTTGTCGCCATGACTTCCCACAAAATCCGTGTTTCAAACGATGGTTACTTATTCTTCATTTTCGATGTTAAAAATATTTGAAATGCAGTTAATTTTCGATATTAAAAGGGCTGCAAATTTCGTATTTGTTACGCGTACAATTACATGTGGGGTGCCATAATAAAAAACGACCTGAAGTAGAAAGTATGAATGTACTTACCAAGATTTTCAACAAAATATTGATCAGTTGAATAGTCAAGGACTTTGTTTAAAACCTGTGCATGGATTTTATTTCTCCAGACTGTAATTCTGTTTGTTGTTTTTTTTATCTGAAATAGCTTCCTGTTTATAACCTTCCAGGTCACGTTTAAGGTGGTAGCTGTGGCTGCACAGTGTATTTTTGAAAGTTCATCTGTAATTAATTGAAAAAACAAAACAAAACAAAAATACACCAACTTGAGAGGTCTATAATTCTTTACCCCTTTCGTACCACAGGACAGTCATCGGTCAGGGTATTTGAAAGCATAGAAAGAGCAGTTCAGTCGTTGATGATTTTGTAAACTTTACAAATTCATCAACGACCGAACTGCAAATAAAGTTGAGAAAGGAAAGTTGAGCCTGAACAATGGACCATTTCTTGACACGAAAGTATTCGTTCGAAACTAAAATAGTCTAACCTACTTGTTCATGATTAAGGCTATTAACGTGAACCTACTCATTTGGGACTGGAATGCTCTCCTCACTTCATAGCCATGCAGAGATCTATTCCATGTTATAACTTCATCGTATAATCCTCCGCTCTCCAAGTACAGTTCCGCACGTACAACTTGCATTGGGAAGTGTCCCTTCAGCTTAATGTGTTTCCAAACATCACTCTTTTTTTCAACCACAGATGAATTAACTAACTCTCCATTGATGTAGGTAGCTAATCGGCTTTCGCGACCTTCTGCTGTATTCCAAGTTATCACGATAAAATTCCAAATCTCATGCTGAATTTTGAGTGGCTCCTTCCAGCTATGCCCGTTAAGCATGACTTCCACTATGACTTTCCTTTCTGTTCCGTTCGTTTCATTTTGGTAGACAAAAACACCTTTCAAGTCTGTGAAATCATTTCCAGACGTGCCAAGAAATATTTGAGGGTCAGTTGCGGTATGCTTTATCAGTAGCCAGAATGCCAAAGAGAACCCCGAATCACAAGTCGACATGTTTGTAAGGCAAAGATCTGTGAATGATCCTAATATCAAGCAAGAATGGCCAACTAAGCTGAGGTAGTCTGTGTTGTTTGATGTGGTGCCGATGAGCTTTAAAACGTTTTGTCTAGACACGGAGTCCTTATAAGGAAAGGGATTGTTGAAAGTCCATTGATGCGTGATGGAGCTGATTATATCTATAAATGTTAAAAATTGAAAACAGAAAGAATACACTCCGGAGGAAATAAAATTTAACTGGAGGACAAGAAAGATTAAGCACTGTTTTAATTTAAATTTTAGCTAAATACCCACAAACGCAAATTAAGGGGTCAAAACTCCTAAAAGAACGGTTAGAACTCAAACTAAACAAAACAATTTTTTCGTAACCGGTCAACATTTGATTTCAAATATTAGATCCTCATATTTTTTTCCTTTTTCAGAATAAAACAACAACTTGATGTTTATGGTAATTAATAAACAAAAGTGAGGACCCACAATAACTACTTGCATTCCTGATAAATTCAAATACGATACAAACAAATTATAGCTGAATTTAATTTTTTCATATAAACTCCACTGGGAATTGATTGCAAGTCTGTGTCTCGCTGTTCCAATGTACAGATACTTTTATTTGATTACTGAACCATGAGTCGCAGGTTTAATCATGAACTGCACGCAATTCAAGTTTCCGGTGCGTCTTGAAAAAGAACGCAATTAACACGTCTGTAATATTGTTAGACTAAGTACGTATTTCTACCCTCAGTTCACAAATACAGCTTCTTAGCTGGCTTTGTTCGTCTGTTTCCTCGGATTTTATCAAAAAAAAATAAAGGAAAATGACGCCAAAGCCCTTAAAGCTGTCCAAAGTACACCGACATATTGTGATTTGCATTTTGCGCCACTGTACGTGCATGGCAACATATTTTTCTCGCCCAACATTGTTGTAAAATTTGTTAAACAATAAATTGAATTAATGCAGCCAATGTGGAAAGTACCCCAGCAAGAGAAAAGAGTTAAAAAAAATGTTTTAATAACATCTAAATGTGTAAGATGACACGTTGCAACTTTTTTTTTAATAAAGGCAACAAACACAGAGTATGTGTGTGTATAATTGTGTAAGCCGTGCACAATTCCTGTAAAATGAATATTATCAGAAACCAATAAAGTAAATAAATTCTTAAACATCATATTTTGAGAGCAAAGAAGCTTCAAAATATGTTTTTTTTATTTAGGTCTAAGAGAAGTCCGTGATGAGCATTTAAAGGGATAGTTTTTATACCAATGGAAATTGCAAATTTGAAAAGTGCCTTTTTGACAAGCGTCTCTTATTTTATATCAATCTAAAAAGGTATAGATTTTGTTTGGATCCAAGAAATCCAGGAAAATATCGCGCTTTGAATTTTTTTTAAGGTTAGAAGATATAGATCCGCATTACTGGCGATAAAAGCGTTTCATGTGATCATTGCTTTAAATTTTACAGGGCAGCTGCTAACATAGAAACTAGCATCAAACGACATTAAATGTTTGCGCTACGTAGGGGTATCAAAACAGGATGCCTACCACCGAAAGAAAAAGCCAGGAAAATATGTAGAAGATATCTTAAGGGTTTGTTAAGATTACATCAATGATTTTTCTCTTACGAATCACGATTCTAGTCATCCACGTACGTAGATATCAGTTTGTAAAGTCGAAACGAAAAAAAAAGTGAAAAGCAAACGCAACTGGAGCGCTAGTTTGCTTTCGGTTGATAATGTCCTTAACTTGTACAAAGCAAAGCAATAAGCGAAGGATATTTCGAAAATTTATCGGATAACGTCTGAAAAATCAACTAGTCATAATTGAACATTCTTCAAGCATCCTATAAAATTTTAAGAAGTTGTTGTCTTTATTTCGAATGCGGTTCGTTTTACATTTTGTAATGTATATGATAACAATAGTTTGAAAAAGGTAAGCAGTTGATCGTCAAATCTGTGAAATTCATCAAGCATTCGTTGAAAAACTTGGAAAAAAATTCATGCGCGCGTTCTTCTTCGTCGTGAACTTTTCAACGGACAGTTTAAACGTGCGGCTTTAAATACTTTTTTAACTGCGTTGTCTGAATTGTCTGAATTATCTGGAAAAGCTGATGACTGTATCTGCAAATAATACAAAGGAAAGCAGAATGCAGCAAATAACTGCTTACCTGATTGCGCTCCTCTGCCCCAAAACTGAAGAAACAGCAAAAGCCAAGTATAAAAACCCATCTCGAAACCAAAAAGAATTTGGTAGAGTTCAGTTAAATCTTGTTCATGTAGATATCTGTAGGAACTCTTTAAGTATTTCCTTTCCCAAGACGGTAGCGAGTAGCATCAGCCAGATTTTTCACGAAGTCCAATTTTAAAGCTCATGCTAAAAAATTCTTGTGTTTGTCAAAGGTGTCTGTTCGGTAGTTCACAACAAAATGACGGAACGTGAGATCATCTTTAATGTCTGCGTCTTTAATCTGAGAAAAGAAAAAACAACAGCAGGTTGACAAAGGAAGCAAAATTAATTCCACTCTTGACGGACAGCTTTCACAAAAGATTAATTTATAGATCTTAGGAAACATCTCCCCAAAAACAATTTTGATGATCGAGGAAGGAGATTAATGGGATAATTTTGTATTGAAGGTAAAACTGTATATTGTGGCAATCACTTTCGCACTACATCATGCACTTATTGAGCTGCTAAGTATAGGAGCAAATTATAATTTATGCTGCTAAATCAGCTGCTATAAATTTCCTATCCGTATTGTTAGAGATCTTTAATTCTGTCTGAGAAGAAAGTCTTTTAAATCGCCTTGCTTATTTGCATATAGAAATACGTCAGTCATGGAACAAGCAAATCAAGCTTTAGTCATAACAAAAGAGTAAACCAAGAGGTAGATTTTGCCTTTGACGATATGTCCCACTGAAGTGATAGCTGCGGAAATTTGGAAGAATAAACACAATTTTATTGCTTCCTGAGTCTTTTAAAGACTGAATCCGCGCTGAGACTAACCCACCTCATTTGAAATAATGAGTTGAAACTACGGTTCTTACTAGATACATGCTTTTCTAGAATGGCAACATTGCTCCTTAGAGATATTTGCCAAATAAATGTCACGGATGATTTGTAGCTTTAATGCAACTATATTATTTTGCCGTTGAAACATTTCAATGACTGTTGCATTGCAGCTATTTTGTTATTACGAGAGGACATCGACCGGATTATGGTATACACGAGGCTATCTTCAGGTTCATTTTCCAGTATCTGCCATATAATAAATTTAAGATACTCTTGAATTGAGGAAGATTTCGAAAGTCATAAGTCTTCTAACTAAAAAGTTATTTAGCCTCTCATAATACATTTGATGTGCTACTTTCTTCTGTCCTCTAACCCATCTACCATCTTTCAATATCTTGAAAAAAAAGAAACCCAGTAGCAAGCCATTTCGTTATCTTACTATTCTGTCGAGTTATTAGTGAAGTAAACATCTTTAAAGGAGAATATTCCCGAACAGCTTAACGTGCCGACTTCCGAGAGACAAAGGACCTATTACACCTATTTGACGTATTTGGCATATGGTGAAAAGAAATTTCTGGAGCTGCGTCATGACTCAGGATACTTCTTGGAAAATTAGCATTAATCAATTTTTCTGCATTGTTATCTACAGTGTGTGTTCGCCCTCTCGATCCTTAGGGGTGTTTCCTTAGAAGAAAAAGCAATCGAAATTTTTTTTAAACTTTCCTTAAATGTCCTATACCAATGTCTGTTCCGAAAAATGTAATTAAATAGACAGGTCACTGTGCTTGTTAAAGAGATAAGATGAGTCAAACTTACTCCATTTTTGCCTTTACACGCGTAGTTTCATCGGTTCACGGTACATTTTGAAGCAGCTGAAAGCAAGGGTTTTTAATGTAACACATGAAAAAAACTTGACAGGTGGAAATGTATGAAAACTTTGATATAATTTGTGGAAAAATCACCCAACTTTAAACGACAGAAACTCGAAACGTTCCTCCAGTCTGCTTTAAAAGATCATAATTTGCAATATCGAGTAACGGGCTTCGTGCACGCTTTTTGCTAGATCTTTTTTCCCTTTAATGTTGTTTTTTTAATTTCTCCAATTTAAATGCGATAATTTGTACACCAAAATAATGTAATAAAAAATATAGGCCACCGTGCTCGTTCTTGCAGGAGCTAAAGACCATCGTACCTCTTTACCTAGTTTAGTACGCGCTTATACGCCTGATAACGTGATTTTTATGCGCAGTATAGGGTGCGCAGTACAATACTAAGGAATCACCTCAATCGTTTTCGCTCCCCTTTGTCCATAGCTAATTCTCACTTTTGCATGCAATATGAATATTCGTGACTCCATAACAATTACGATCGGAGTGGCTTCTCAAAGACCGTGACAGTTGGGCCGGTATTATGCACTGCCTTGGTTGTTGAACTTCAGTTGTGAGGAGCTCAGCAAATTTCCCATCTGTTCTAAGGCTATAGAAGCTTACTCTGAGTTGTGCTGAAAAGTTGGAATTGATTAAGTGTCTCTATTACGTGTAGCTCACCTTGTATTTGGTATTATTATGATAAGTAAGAAACAGTAACGTATTGGTCGTCAAAATTGAAGTTTTGCTCAACAGTCGATGGAAGTGCATATATGATGGTCAGCCCTTCGAATTTTTTTGATGCCATTTCATCTCTCTCCCTTTTTTTGCTTTTATTCTCTTAAAAAAGCTGTTTCTCTTATAAAAACACCTAGTTAGTTTTTTTTAACTCCTATCTGTTCAGGCGACATCACCGCCGAAAAACACTTTTTGAAGGTGGCCTCTTTTAATTTCCGAACTCTTTCTTTTGCACAACAGCACGGATGTTGCATACTGTGGTTAATTGACATAAAAGATAATACGACCAATACAAGCCTTACTGAAGAAGCCGCGCCATATGGAAGTTTGTTTATAATTAAGTAGAGCCGTTAATTTACTTGTCCATCTGCTCTCGATTAACTGTATCGCGGAAGCTCAATAATTACGAAAAAAGAAAGCTATCAGCTCAGAAGTTGGCAATTTTAATTTCCGATTTTCAAACCGACGATAACGCCTTGTTTGATTTTTACTAGCATGTCATATTCAGTTATTCTTAAGAAGACTGATGAACTACAAAAACAATCAGTAAGTAACCGGTCCAGTACCGTGCCCGGCGTTGAAAGTCCTAATAAGTGACTCGAAAGATCAGGCCATTCATTCAGTCTCATTCTGGCTGCCACTCAGTTTCTTTGCAAATTCATAGTCAAGACTGATATATTATGAGCTGATATGTTCGTTTGTATTCTCATCAACTGTCCTGCCGAATAATACATTGATATTGAGAGGAGAAGTTACGAATCAATCATTTTGGAACAAAAGATGAAAAGATATCCCTTCACTGTTAACTTTAGTTTTTTAATGAAAAGGGTTATTTTCTTTGGTACCTCTGGGCTGATATCAGTGGCGAAGAAATCGTTTATATGCACGGAGTATAAACACATTATTGACCATATTGTTATTTAGCATATGCCACACAGTTGAATAGCGCTTTTCGTGCGCTAGTTCGAAGTGATTAGCAATTACTATTCACATCCGAGCAGTCGAATTGTTTGGGGTTACTGTGTGGTATAGACTAAAACAATTATTTACCTCAGTGTCGGTAGAGGTGGTGGATATTTACTTCCACCTCCGTGAATGATTGTTAAAAACAGCGACTGACGTGGGCTGCATAATATGTCGAAATACTGATATCTCTCAGTTGTAAACATGACTTAAAGTGTAAATCAATGCTAACAAAGAGAGTAAATCATTCGCTAACTTTAATTTAGCGTGTGGGAAGGAAAGTTAATCAGAATGAAATCAAGACAACCCGCGCTGATGGTTGAAAATTAAAACTAGATGTGTTGACTTTTGTGCATACATAATTTACATGAAACCTGAGGAAGCCTTATGAATCGTACTGATCGGAAGCACAATCAGCTCGAATTGAGGTTATACTAGGATACACTTGACAAATTTATGATACTTAAAGTACCGTTTTCGTCATCTGCTGATGATAAAAGAAGAACTGAATGTCTGACTTGTGTGCAAATTTGAATTGAGGAACTTCAACTCCATTTGCGCTTCCTTCTAAAAAGCTATAACGATGAGACTCATCAGGTTACGAAGTAAAATTATCAAGCTAAATTAATTATTGCCATTTAAGCAAAAGTTTAAAACATTGATGTCTAGACTTGCCTCTTGTTTCCATGTTGCTTGTTGGCGTGAGTGAATAGTTAAATGTAAGGAGCCAAATAAACCGCATGTGCTCTAGCCATCTGCCAAGATATAAACGGTATTTCCATGTCTATCACAAAATATTGACTGACACACAATGGAAATGAAGTCAATTATAGCCTAGTAGGAGATTGTAGAAGTTCTTCTTTCATTAACTGAATAACTACCTCCTCTTATCGGTCACCTTACCCTTCTTTTGGTGCCATAGATTTTAATTTATCTGCTGGGAGCGCCCTAAGAGTTTTTTCCCCAACAATAAGCCAACTATTGCGTTCTTTTTATTATTATGTTGAAACACATGAAAAAGAAAATCGTTTAATGTATTCATTATGCACAACGCAGCCTCTTGCCGATTACATCAAGTATTTTGGGTTCTTGCTAACCTACACGTAGATGTAGTTCGTTCGATCTTCGTCAAATATACATCGAATACTCAAGTTTATCATGCTAAAATTTCAACCTGCCAATTGTCTTGTTATTAGATACTTTTATTCATTTCGATTTTTTTTTTCACAAATTGTGCTTGAGACGTGACGACTTCAAACATGACTTCTACAAACCTATTATGCATTATACGAACTATCTGCTTTAAAAGATTACTTTTTCCGATTAACCTTGGCCTCGGACCATTCCCGCCCTCTGTCGGATAAGAGAATACCAAATTTCCGTCTAATCAGCGTGTTGTAAAAAGAGATTGTGCTGCATTCATGTTTTCCAGAATTCGATAATTTTCTTGTGTGAAGTGTATTAGTGACTTTGGCATTTAGCAGATGATGATTCGCCTTGATCATGTTGATCAAAATTCCTTGCGCAGTAATGCAATGAATAGCTTAATTTGGTCCAATCGGTTTCATGCACGCACATCTTACATATTCAGTGGACAGGATGTGAGTCTGATCAGCGGGAAGGGAAGGGATTAGCCTGTGTCCACGCTTGTCCTCTGTCGCACTCACCACTTACCTGCTTCCTTTCACAGCCACGTAATAGTTTTCAGCTTTGTAAGTTACAGCTCGAATATCACTATTATTATTGTTGATATTTTATCACTATTAGTGACAGGAATAACAGCTGTCATTGGGTCTACTTGCCCTGCGATCATCCATACCAAGCTTAATACAAAGTGCGACAAGTGTTGTTGTACAAAGCACGTACCGGTCTGTTAACATTAAGTGCGTAAGCCTTTTAATAACAAAGTGCGATAGGTCTTGCAAAGTGTGACAATTTTATTACAAAGAGTGACAATTATAACAAAGTGCGACGATTATTACAAAATGCGACAGAACAACGAAGGATTCATAGTAATATTCTTTTAACGTAGCTGTTCGATACTCCGGAATGATTAACAGCACAGTTTAATTTATTTTCTCTGCTTCACTGATAGTACTAAAAGAAATTTTAATTATTGTATCTAGAAATTCTATTGTAGGAACGAGGTCATCGAAACTTTACCCCTTGCAGACTTGGCGGCGAACTGGCAATCGCATATTATTTATTCTTTATTTATTGCCTACGTTAGAACGAGGTTGACTTTAAGTGATTCTACTCCAATAATTCTACTTACTTTTACTCCCGCAATTATTCAAAGAAAGTTATATTTTGTGTGGTGGTTTCCACATGCGCGTAGCGATTAATGAAAACTACTAATAACAAAATCTCGAAGTCGATTGGCTATCACTGGTCCGATTTGAGCTCTAATAGGACAGCGCACAGATCTGGTATAGTGCATTGTAATCAGCTAGTTTTCGCCTTATGCCTTTGGAATTGGACTCGGGTATGTGTCATTTTCGCGCACTACTAAATGGACTATTGGGATCATTTCCTCATGGAAAAAAGTAAATATTTATTATTCGCTCAACCTTCAAACGATGGCTGTTTTTTTTCTCTCAAGATTATTGCCATAGTTTAGTGAAAGGACGTTGTGTAGTTCATTTCTGCGAGGAAACACACTTCGCGTAAGCCCTGCTGGGCCTTTTAAGAAACAACCGATACACTCTTAACTCTCAAACGATGAATTAAATTTTGGAAGAGATAAGATTCTTGATTTAGGTGCAATCAAATTTATGAAATCGCGAAGTTTACAAATTCAATTTTATTCTGCCTCGGTGAAGGGCGTTCGTGTAGCATCTGTCCCCCTAGTTAAAGTATCTTTTCATCGCTTCAATTGTGTCAGGTTTGGCTCCATATCACTTTTTATGATTTTCCATTTCAATTTTTTTTCCATCGAGTGCAACGCGAAAAAATGGCAACTGTAAAAACGTGGGGGATCATTTGAATAAATTTGCAGTTTTACTCAAATCTAGATGCGTTGTGCAGCTGTTTCTCTAAGCAAAAAATGATTACAGTTGAGCTCTGAAACAGTAGAAAGAGCTCATTTGCATTATCGATCTGTTGCCCAAAGGTAACAGTTGTACCCGTCGGTTTTGATGAAGCCACACTGATTATATTTAGTGGCATCTATAGAGGTGTGTTCGTTCAAATACGATCACGCTGATTTTTTTCTTGACTAGATACCAAAACTTGCAGAGTACGTTTGCTCCATCGTCTTCTTACGAAGAATTCAGAATGCTTTTCACCAGACATGTGAGTAAGATAACATCTTACTTTCATTACAGTGATTTGCTCCGACACAGTTTTTGCGCTCGTAAAGTACGACAATAACATTATACGATTATCATTCGTTTATGTATGACGAGAACGTAACCTTTGCAAGCTGTAAATGGGATAATAATGAAATCTAGTTATCGGCGAGAACGTGAAATTACCAATTTCTGCAATCGACATTTATTTGCGCTCAAAAGCAAATGATTAGCTCTGTTTTCCTCAAACCACATGTTTATTTCTCAAGATACCCACAGAAATATGACTATGGAACCGAATTCTTAAATTAAAATCTCTCTGGGATCCTACACAAATGACAAAAAAAGAAAATTAAAATTATTTTTCTCTGCTCAGTGATGAACTTATCTAAACATCGCCATGGCTTGAAAACGTACATATCCTATTGAACGCCTTTAAATTAAATTGAATGAAACATATATGAATATATTTATTTTAATAAGTTCCAGTTCACACAGGAAAAATAGCTGAAAATTATTTTGTCTCTGTTATAGGTGAAACGGCTGCTATGAAATTTCATTGAATGATCGAGTCAGGCTTTCAACTATATTTTAATGGACCGAAACAGTTCCTCTGAAAACCTCCCACTGATTTAAGGTTAATTATTCTTGTTTCAAGAATAGAAAATACACCATGAAAAACATTTTTTGTTATGGATGAAATAAAAGATAAAGCCTTATATTTGCGACTGCCGCGGCAGTGTTTGAAAAAAAAGCCTTTCCTTGTTAATGTTACCGAATGCGGAACGCTTGTTTTTACTAAAGAATATCAGCGAAAACCGTTAAAATTCCGCGGACAAGGAATGCTAGAGGCTAACGGAACGGCTATTTCTCCTGAGCCCGTTCCGCTAAAATGGACGTTACGCCTTTTATACATCTTTGTGTTTGTCGTGGGCATTGCTGGTAATGTGATCGTGTGTGCTGCGGTGTTGAAACGCAAGCGTCTTCGAACGAGTAACAACCTTTTTACTTTCAATCTTGCTTGTGCTGACCTTATCGTTGTAACGATTTACGTCCCAACACAAATGACCGCTTTCGAGAATGAACACAACTGGGCCTTAGGAGACATTGTGTGTCGGATTGCCTATATCATCATTCCACTATGTCTGTCGGCCTCTATTGGTTCTTTACTGGCCATAACAGTTAACCGTTACCGTGCTATAACTTCCCCACTGACGGCAAAACTGACAGAGAGAGGAATTCAGGGGATTATCACTAGCATTTGGGTCACGTCTCTGGTCATAGCTTTGCCAATAATTTTTGTAGCGGGAGAAGAAAGGAGTAGTAGCGGACAGGTGTACTGCTCAGAGCCAGGCTGGCCCGAAGATTCAGTAATTGATAATGTTTATTGGATCTCTATTTTTTTTCTTCAGTACATTACACCTCTTGTTTTTATATGCGTTCTATCGACCATTGCTGCTTGTAAACTTAGAAGTGACGTCCTGTTTAATACAAAAAGGGAATCTCTTGTCATCACAAAGGCTGTGCGAAAGCGAATGCAGCAAGGTACTAAAATAACCAAAATGCTTTTCGCACTCGTAATTATTTACGCCATTTGTATGCTGCCCCAGCATGTTGTGTATTTTTGGATGGAATTTGGAAATCTTAACCAGATGGAATTCAAAATGTATATATTCAGGTTTTCGAATGTATTCCCCATGGCAAACTGTGCGTTAAATCCCATCGCATATGGGACATTGAATAAGGAGTTCAAAATGGTTTTCAAGGGTCTTTTGAAACGTAAATGGAATTACAAGTCTTCAATTTGCTTCAGATGGAATGACGATCAATATCGCGAGGATATTATCGAAGAGAAAGACAATTCAGTCATCTCCCTAAAAGTGATTTGACATACACTGGCTGAGTTATTGAAAAAGTTCGAAGGAAGTAAAAGTGTTCTTTAGCAAAATGAAAACCTATGGTTTCCATTTCATATCTGGAACATAAATCGAAAAATTACCATGATAATCAGATTTATCAAGGTCTTATGCGTATCGACCACTAGATTTTTCTTAGAACTCAATATAAGCCGAACAATAAATTTTAGCATTTAGTTTTGTTGAGTGATATATCACTTGATCGATCTTAATTCGATTTTAATTGAAATTTAGTACGAAAGCCAAGATTAAGCAAATCTTTTCAGCTGCGTTAGGGATTGTACCTACATAAGAGAGCTTTACTAAGGTAAAATAACTGTGATGAATAGAAATAACTTACCGCTGAGGAAAAGAGTTCAAAAAGTGTGTCTATCGGTTACCAGCTGCTGTCGTTATCTGCAGTCAATGTGTACAAATTGAATGAAAACTTCAAATTTTAATGTTATATCTTTGGACCTCGAACACATCACTAAGTGAGACAATTTATGCAAAGTTTAGATGCATTTGCATAGTTAGTCAAAACATTTCTTATTACACAGTATGTCCTTCCTAGAGCTGAAAACAAGTCCCTAGAGTTCAACTGCCAAAGTTAAAAGTCATGGAGGTAGATGAAATATCCTGATAACTGAGTTTTGATTTCGGTACTAAATGTTGTTCGTTTTCTCAAGGCTAAAGGCTTATTAGCAACAAAGTTTTCTCATTTTCTTGTGGTAGAAGGATTTGTCATTATAACTTAGCTTAGTGATTTTCTCTTACAGTGCTGAGCGCGAATATTTTCCTAGATGGTGGAACAGCTGCAAATGGTTGAAATAAAGCCAATTGTTAATGGTATTGCTTTCGTTGTCTTAGTTTGAGAAATCGCTCAGTGACCATAATGAGCTTGAATTGCAATATGAAGCCAAATCGTGCGGAGACCGTAAATGAAACATATGTTAATAAGGCAAAAAGAAATAGGTGGTGCTCTAGGCGTCGGCCTCAGAACTTGATGCCCTGTATTGAAATACTAAAGCCTCCAATGCCTCTTATTGTTTCGTGTAACAGTACTGTCGGTTCATATGAAATTGAGAGAGAAAATCAAGTCAAGAACAACTATTTCAAGTTATGAACGGATACAAAAATAATTTGCTGAGGTAAACCTTTAAGGCACGGCAGCAGGTTCAGTAATCGTTTATTATACTAATTGTCAATTATTAACCATTGATTGTTTGATATAAAGGTTGTTCCTTAGGTAGTTTATCACGATATCCAATATCATTAGCGATCACTAGGAGCCCCGAAGGTTAAATGAGGGAGGGAAAACCATTAAAATGGTCTTTTCGCCTGGTCGAGAAAACACCACATTCGTTTCAACCAATTCCATTTCGTCGTTCTCATCGGACAAGAGTACAAACTTTGCAATAACAAAAAAAAAAAACGTCCGTTGCTTGTATTGGTTTTAAGCAATTGCATAAATCGAACCAAAACTACTATCCAATCATCTGCCATTACCATTTCCTCTGTTAATCTATACGCATCGTTATCGAACCACAAAAAATCCCAACGCCAATTCGTCTTGGCACTTCCAAGATACCCTATAACAAAAAGAGAAAACATGACACAAATACTTTCCATTCAGAGCCAATTAAAATTAATTTGCCGCAGTGATTTGGAATTGTAGTAATTTTGGTGTCGTAAATGTTTCTAATTAGTCTGCGTCAAACGAGAAGGGTTATGGCAGAACTATTGCTTCCTGTCATGTTTACCTTGATGAGAATGAAAGACAAGCCTAAGTGATAAAGTGTTAAGTTTGACATTTATCGCCAGCCAATGAAGAGAAAGGAATTTTAATTAAAAGATGAGAATATTGCGAGGATTGATTTGAAATGCTGGAATTGTCTTTCTTATTTGGGCCAGAAGAACGCAGACCGCAAGAGGAATTCAGTCTAATTGTGTGAACAAGACGTATGTATGGCTTGGGCGAATTTTTATCCAGACTCTAAACAGGACTTAGCATGGAAACCTTTTCTGCACGGCGGATGAAAGGTAAATTCAAATTTGAAAACAAAGATAGAAAACTGACCACAGTGTCTTCGCCAGCTAATTACTTGAATACCTAGTTCTCTAGCCTAAAAAAAAGAATTTAACTCCCATATTCCTGCTCTGGTATACCCTGAGGCACAATCATTCCTTCCCAACACTAAACCAGCATGTTGCCTATAAACACAGATCTACGCTGTGTGTTTTTTTAAATCCCCTGTAGTTTCAATTCACATTTTAGTTTAGCGTCCACGCAGCTGTCTAACCACAGAAACTTGACAAGCTTTGTTAGTTATTTACCAAACCAAGACAACCCGCACTGGTTGCATATCATTTTACTCTACGAAAGTGAAACGAGGATGTAAACTTTTCGTTAAGAATCTGTGAACATCTGCTCGGTCCAAAACAAAAGCTGCAATTTATTTCATTCAAAGAAATATGATATCCGTAAGTTCTTAACACCCCGCAACGAAAACACACTTGTTATCTCGCGGCAAGAAATGAAACTCATTATCGTAAATTTTGTCCAACAAGAGATTGAAAATCCCGATACTTAACGTTCTTATTTGAGAGTGTCAAAACAACACTTTTCATGAACATTCACCTGAAATTTAATACAGGTATTAAGTTCCTTTGATGAAACCTGTAATCACTTATTTCTCAAAACTGGTTTGGAAAAAAAGGTACAAATTTTCGATGAAATCGTCATCCGTACCCGGACTAAGACATTGAGGTGCCTTGCAATAAGATGGCAAATTTACAGCTGCCGCTGGCTAACTTGAAAAACACTTGTAGGTTAACGATTACTAAGCTTTTTTGTGTGTATCATCAGCTTGAGCTATCAATCTTAAACTTCAAACATTGACAGGTTGACATGTCGTAGGGAGTTTTTTTAATTTTGCATACTTATTACGATACGGGTTAAAATTAGAATCTCTTCAAGTCTTCCCTGTAGCTTTTGTAATGCGACCGAAGTAGGAATCTAATTGTGCCGGAAGATAAAGCGTTTAAATTCTATTGAAAAGGTACGATTCAAATGTTTCATTATACTTTACATTAGTTGGGTATTAGATGGTCGTCAAAAAGGCGCGAATTCGCTCGCTCCTGCCTTCCCTGGGATGCGTATAGATGTTTTTAATCAAAACCAAACCAGTCGCCAAGAGTCATTGATATTAGGATCGATAGATCTAGCTCCGTAGCCTAATTGCCATATTAGCGAGACACTTTGAAACCTGAACTCAGAGAATTGTTTTCAATATTTTCTTTCATCAAGAAAAAAGATATTGTAAAATAGACATTTTTTTTTCTATCAGCAGTTATATAAAGGACAGTAACACTGGCCATAGAATTATATTTATGGTTCATTATTTACAAACAGAACCTAAAAGATAAGTTCAGTTTCATTCAAGCGCCCGTAGTTCTTACTAGGTGGATATGACGAATTGGACCGAACCAATCAGATTTGAGAATTAAAATAGACCAAGTTGATTGTGACTTAAATAAAAACACTGTGTTTAATAAGCACAGTGTTTTCATTGACAGGTGTAACAGCCGAGGATAAAAACAAAATAAGAATTAAGACCTATGCTGTTCTCGAATCTGTGCAGAGACAACTCTGTGACAGGGTTCTTGTCATAAGTTTCGCTGAAATGAAATTATAAGTCGTCGAACAAAACCGAAAAAAAATTAAAAAATTTTCATATTTTTGTCGGTTCTGTGTAAAACAGGTACCGAAAATTTAGATAAGCTATCACTTCCCACTGCTCCAAGTCATGTTTTTCTTGAAACGATGAATTGCCATGTAACGTAGGTGGAAAATTTTGGGGGACCGTTCAGCGCCTTCTTTTACTATGACTACCAAAGACAAGTGCAATGAATGTGACGTTCACATTTATTTATGACCCAAATATCCACTACTTTTTAAGTGAAGCCGAAGAGTAGAAACTTCAATTAATGCTGACATTTATACATATTCATGTAATCACAAGGAGACATAATTTGCATGAAAAAAGATTGCTTGAACTTTCATGTCCCTATTTCGTCCCCGAATGTAATGCACGGAGGCAACACAATCGACTTTCTATGACTCAAATTAATTGACAATTGCCTACATAGCCTTAAAAGGGAAACGATCTGGTTGGTAGGTTCTCATCGATCGATTTTGCAAACTATGAAAAAGTCTCTATAAAGCAAATAATTTTAACTTTCTTTCACAAAAAGCTATTAAAAAATCACCATAGACACAACAGAGAGCTCTTATTCATTAATGAGTTTTCTTCAGTTTTCGTCAGCTGACCCCCTGCAAGCATTCTCCAGTAGAAAGGTTAGTCTTTCTCCATATTCTTTCCCCTCCATTTTCTACAATAACTAAGGACAGAATCGGCCGCGCCACGATTGATTAGTTAGCAAGCAAGTTAAGATGAAGTGGCAAAAATCATTGATCATGACAGGTTTGTTATGTAAAATGACAACCGAACCTCAAGAAGAAATTGTTTCTCACTGTCCTCGTCAATGAAAAATACACTTTATCTAAAAGCTTGTAATCAATAACGTTAAGTGATAAATATGCAAAGAACGGAAAGATCTCCCCGACAACATATGGTTATCAACGAATTGATCCCTGTTTAACAACCACGTTGATTGACGAAAAACAATGAGATTCGTATTTTTGATCGATTTACAAGTTTGCAATAACAAAGCGTTGCGATAAAGTTACGTTTAACGTGTAATTTACCACAAAGAAGGAAGTTTTAGTCGAGCAAATCTGAGAGGATCATATTGTACAAGGGAGTGATGAGGATGAGTTAAAGCTCCTGGACTGATACTGGATACCTGGAAAATATGCTGCCGAACAACAGAATATCTTAGGGAGTTTAATTCAAGATCTTGTTTTCTGGTATAAGATTGAACATTTTTCGATAGTAATTTTGAAAAGTTAGTGTTAAACGATTACGCGGTAAATACGGTGTGCATAAACCTTATTAGTTTTATCTTCGCCTCCATTGAGAGAAGCATAAAGTGAGTTTGTTAACAAACGGGTTGGAAACAAAGCGTACAAAGTGAGGTACATCTTAATGCCTCATAAACCCCCAACAACAGGACGAAATTTGAGAGTACCAATTTTTTTACTTTGTATAATGGTTTTGCAGTGTTACCTTTCATAGCATAAGCCTTTCAGAGATTTGTCGCGACATTTCGAGAGCCTACTGTGTTACGAGACAAAGTTACTTTTTCCTCATTCCCAGCGCTCAACTTATTATTCTGTGCTGCGACAAGACGCCAGTGTATTTTTCGAGAAATACAGTCGATCCGTCATCTCTAACTCCCACTTCGATGCAAAAACTTCAGAAAAATGGGGACCAAGAAATTCTTCTTTAGTCCGTAAAGACGTCGAGGTGGGGAGGAGCACAGAAAGGCGAATATGTATAACTAAACTGAAAGAAAGATACATATCAACGATAATTGTTGCTCCACGCATGTATGTGCGCTACTCACAGCAGAACGAAGATCCATATGTTTTTCACCTTTTTACTCTTTAGATTGGAAAGAAGAACCTCAGTCAGAACAGTGATAGACAGCCGATGATTTTCCGGACTATTTGTCGCCCAATCAGGCTAGCTACACGCTAACCACACTGAGACACGATGATGAACAACACTACCTCATTCGAATCGGAATGCGGGTCTGCGTACCTAAAATGGACTTTGCGACTAATTTATTCAATCATATTCATCCTTGGTTTGTTCGGAAATGCAGTTGTCTGCATAGCGATTGTCAAACGAAAAGGGCCTCAAACCAGCTGTAACATATTTACATTCAATCTTGCGTTCCACGATCTAATTCTCGTACTCGTCTACGTTCCAACGCAAATGATTTTGTTTGAAAACTGCTATCAATGGGTTCTTGGAAGTTTTATGTGCTATCTTGCTTACATAATACTTCCCTTGTCACTGTCTGTGTCCATCGGTACTTTACTGGCCATCACCGCTGACCGATACCGCGCGATTGTATTTCCAGTCAAGTCTAGGCTATCCAGGAGGCGGGTAATGTTGATAATAGCTGTCATTTGGGTTGCATCGGCTGTAACCGCCTTACCTCTTCTATTTGTCACCAAATTCTTTTCGCCTCAGCCTGGGATAAAGCACTGCGCAGAGTATTGGACATCGCCAATGTTTCAAGAAATCTACTGGATATCAATGTTTTGCATTCAGTATCTGTTGCCCTTGATTATCATTGCGATCTTGGCGGGCATAACGGCCTATACTTTAAGGAAAAACGCACTCCCAGTTGCTATGGAGACGTGCGCTCAAAGCGAGGTCTTTCGGAAGGCCATTCAACGAAGAGCCAAACAAACACAGCGGATAAGAAACATGCTCATTGCACTCGTGTTGCTCTACGCCATTTGTATGCTGCCTCAGCACGTGGTGTACACGTTCTGGTCGAAATACGGGAATTTGACCGAAACGAGTTACAGAGAGATGGCAAACTTAATAGCCAACATCTTTCCAATAGCAAACAGTGCGCTCAATGCGATTGCATACGGAACATTGAACAAGGAGTTCAAGGACGTTTTCAATTTTTTGTTCAAATGCACTTGCCTGAAGAGTAGATACCTTTTAAGGAAACCTTCGACTTTTGAGACAGAAACTAGTGTGAAAAAGAATGAAAGCGGACCACTTCTTCATCAGGAATGGAAAAATGGACGAGAAACCATGGTGTCTCCTCTTCCAAAAATGAAAATTAAAAAAAACGACTGCACGCAGGACTCGTGCAACCGCGGGAACAATTATTCGGCCGATCAAGGACGTTTAGGTCTTATACTCTTTACGGGCGTGGGCTCCAGCAGAAAAGAGAGCCTACAATATATTTCTTCCGGAGATAGAGAAGAGCTTCCACAAAAGGAGACAGTCGTGTAATAACTACAGCTTTTATGATAGATACACCTTGACAAATTAGATAGCCACCAGCGACTTGCTTTAACATGGTAGCTTTGCCTGCGCACGCGCTGGTGTTTTGGCTATTGCAACAGCTTGTCTTAAAACAATTTAAAAACAACCTTTCTTTAAGTGTAAGCTATCTTCAATAATCTTTACCAACGAAGGTAAGGTTATACGAAATTGTAGAGATTATGTGATATGTCTATAGAAAAGTAAACAAAACAAAATTAGTAACGATGATAACAATTACGTTAATGATGATGATAGTTGTAACACTAATGATAGTATCTATGCTAATACTTATGTTATGACTATGATAACATTCACATTGATGATGTCAATAATAATAGTAATAATAATGATGATCATCATATGGAGTCGACGATGATGATGACAGCAAGGACGATGATAATAATCTTCAATAATAACTTCAATTTATGTTTTCCAGCTTCAAACCTTCTCACAGGATAAAAATAGACATAAATTCGTGACAAGAAATAGTCATTTCACTGTTACGTCAAATCTCAATTTCAAATATTATTCTGGTCAAATCAAAATCAGAGGTCTATCTAATCTAGTAGTTCCAACAGTAACATTAAAAGAGAGAGCCAACCTGCCAAGGTGCTCAGTGAAGCCCTTTAATTCTCTATTTCAATATCACTATTCGATATATCGTACACAATTCGCTGGTAAGCTCCGGATTTTGGGTATCAGTGCGTAGGTTATAATCTTATTAAGAGGTTTGTAGTGATCCTCTTAACCCTTTAACTCCCATGAGTCACCAAGACAGAATTTCTCCTTACAATATCTATACAATATCAACTAGATAAAAGATGAGAATAAATAAAAATATCAATTTGGGGGTAACAAGTTGATCCAATACTAAATTCTCTGAGCTAACATAATAAGAATTGTATGGTTGACAGGAAGGAGAATGACAAATTTGATCTGGGAGTTAAAGGGTTAAACCTAAATGTGGTCTGTTTGCAACACAGTTATAAGTGTTTTGGTTCTAGTTAGTAGTTCTTCAGTTTGGGTCATGGACTCTGACTCAGTTAAGGTCGCCACTAGAGACTCCCTTTTAGCCTCGTCAGATAAACATTTTATTTCCTGGACAAATAAGAGTCGAGCTTTCTTCTGTTCAGTTGAGGAAACAGATTCCTCTCCATCAAAAATATTTTCCAAACTGTCTATCACAAATGACAAACGTATCAGAGCGGTACCTTCCGGCAGGAACTGAAACGAAAACGGAGAAGAACATTCTAAACTTTGCCATACTTTATCGATACAGATTGAATTTTGAAATTGGTCATTGCTCTTTCCAAGTATTGTTATTGACAATTGGTTCAAACTTTGATCTTTTGCAAATTGCTGCCAACGGCAATTTTGGGAAATTCAGTTCTATTGGGAAATAGTATTTTACGGAAATTTTTTTACGACTGAAGTTTTTCAGTATCAAGACTATGACTCACTTACCAATTTTACTACCTCAGTAAACACTAAATGGCCACCCAACGCATCACATAGGAAGACCAATAACAGCTTACTCAACAAAATGGACGCCTCCGAGGCACGTAATACAGGGCATGTTGACAAAATATACAGAATATCTGCAAACTGAAGCCTGGTCTTTGACTTGAGTAGACGCATAGGATAAACAATTTCTCTTACAGCTTCCTGAAAAAAAAAGACAAGCTAAAGAAGCCCTGAAATACTAAGTGTAACGCTGGAAAAAAAAAAAAAAAGAGTTTAGCTGCGTGAATAATTGTTAGACAATAGTCCTCCTCTTTAAATGACGGTATCACTCATTGAATTTCAATGGGGATTTTGAGAAAAATGGGGGGGAGGGGAGGGGGACAAAAAGTATATTAGGTGGTCGAGCAACATGTGACAGTGGTTGGTGCCCTTCACGTGATCTGGGCTGCATAAAAAGGTTGAATTAACCCTACTTTACCTGCTTCGCCGTCCCCTATTAGACACATATAGGAAAAAGGTACTTTGCGTTCTTTTAAATCCTTACATTTGTCTACATATTGTGACCTTTTTTAGTACAATAAATTAACAACAAGTATATTACTCTGACACGATTTCCTTTGCTTACCTTTAACGAAGAATGCTTGTCCGACAAAGGTGGAACATGAAACCAGCAAAAAATGTTGACACAACAATTCAATATCTGTCCAACGAGAAAAAAATCGTTTTGTTTTTTCTTCCCAACACACACATACTTAGATGAACATAATATCTTACCTCCTCTTTACTCGATCTCAAAAGCAGCTTTCGCAATGCTTCCCTTTCCCACGAGGGAAAACACCAAAGTATTTTCCAGACATTGAACAACTCACTGAAAATACAAAAATAGAGTATTTAACTCACATCACATAATTTGCTATAACAGTGGATTTATTGATGGAATTGCTGCTCTCCAAGAGTAACACGAGTTTGCACCCGGGCGTACATTACCTAAACAAACGTTTGACCAAAGGCACCCCCCTATGTATCAAACGAGCCCGTTATAAAAGGACGTTATTCTTTTTTTATTCTTCTTTTTTTTGGAACCAAAAAATAGATTTTGTCGATGGTTAAAATGTTATTTTCACCTCTTAAATGGACTCGAGAGACGAAATCTCTCATCAAAGTGATAAATATGAAGTAAAGAAATATGGACAGTGCGCGTCATGTGTGCACACTGTTGTCGCGCATTTCGCCGAGTTCAATGTTGTTTTTTTTTTTGTCTTACGAAAACGTATAACCGATGTCTAGTTTTGATTAATTGGTAACACGACTTCGTGTAGATAACTCTGTATGTAATCATACTCGTGATTGACAAATCGGACTTCCGCTTCGCGGTTGTCCGATTTTGTTAATCACTCGTATGATTACTGGCTGAATTGGACTACATTCAGTCCTATTACCAATATTAATAGCAATAATGAATAACACAAAAATTCCTCAGTGGTCACTTAACGTAAGGAAGCCAAGCATCGAAAAGTTTTGATTCAAGTTTATCTTTACACTTACTATTATATAAGGCTTTTATCAAACGAATGCTCCTCGCATCGACTTCAATTTTTTTAATTACCAAAACATATCACTTACAAAGATTGCACTGGATCGTTCCTTCGTAATTAAGGAAGACAAACACCTAGAAGGCCGGTAACCAAGGTCTCATTTCGTGGGAAAGTATGAATTTAAAAGGATAGACGAAGATTACAACTTCAAAGCTGAGAGCGCCGTTCCCCCCCTCATTGTTCAGATGGGGCTGATTCAAGCAACTAGAAATCAAATTTTTACTTAAATTAATATTGGCGTGTTTCTAACGATAATAAAATAATCTCCCAATTTGAACCCACGGACTTTTCATTCATTTCACTTCTGACAGCTCTTTTTGCTTCCGTCGCCAGTTATAATTTATGGGAAATACTAATGTTTTTTCGTTTTCTCAAAAATGAAAGTGTTTTCATTGAATATACATTTTAAGCGATAAATTTAAATCTTGAAACGAAATTTATAGTGGGGTTTGGATAGTTATTACTGTTCTTCTTCAGTGAAAAAAAAAAAAAAAAAAAGGTAAAAAAAAGACAAGCTTCCTTTTGACTGTAAAAAAAACTACCTTTTGACTCTCGCTCTGACGACATGTTAGCATTCGAAACGTCAGCTTTAGAAGCTCTTTACGAGGGCCAATTTACATTATCAACTCAGTTGATAAAACCATATTCTCTTGCAATATCCACCACCGACGTTGCGCCACAGTTTCTTCAGAAACTTAACTCCTTTACTCTTTTGACTGTCAGATTATTTATTTCATCTTTAACTTTTTTTAATCGAACAACGTTAACCTTTCATATTTAATCTTTATTGGTCAGGGTGCTAGGATCGCGAGGTTCATTGCAGACGTTCATTGTCATTTGTTTGTTTCAGTCCAACACTGACTTCAGTAAGGTTGTTCATGTTTTAAGATAATTCAATTCAGTCGTCTTACGATTTTTAACGTAGGCATTATTAACACTAAAGGAAGAGAAGACTTACACCGTTTGACATGAGAACTGGCATTGCACTTTCATTGTGTTGACCCCCCTTTGGCGACCTTAGCTCAACTTTTCGCGTTCTCTTTCTGGTTATATTTTGAATTTTTAAAAACCTTGATTAAAACCTTTGCCATAATCACCATTTCTTTCTTAATTTACCGCTACTTAGCGGCCATCCTATTGCATTCATTTTTATCAATTTTAAGGTTTTAAGATAATATTGGAAATGCAGTCAACCGATTTAACTCTTGACTATAGAATGGGGTCGAGCAAAACAAATAAATGAATTTCTTTTCTCACCGTCCGTAACGTAGAATCCTTACAGAAAACTTGGCATAATGACTTTCGATTTGACATTTATCATTACATTTTATGTACTTTACAAAGTGAACAGGATGTTCGGTTCCCAGGCTGCAAACAGTCACTCAATAGCGAAGTACATAGGGGTGAAAAAAATTTTCCGACGCAGTTTTTTTAAATGCTTACTTAAAAAAATGTAAAATCTACTTCTGCGATGCTTTAAGTTTTTCCTGAAGAAAAGTACGGAAGGCTTTTCCCTTTGTTTGGAGTCAAGAGTACTGGAAAAAAATTGACTGCATAATCGTTTTGAGACCTAAGCACCACTTGACATGAATACGATTAATGCTGTTAATATTGATAAGGTAAAAGCTCCTATATAGATTGAGAGCTCTGAAAAAATCACTCGGCGTTTGACAAGAACTCTTCAATTATGAACACTTAATGCAGTTTTTAAAGCCACTTTTCAACTCTTTATGTAAACTGCCGTATATAAGAGGGTTTAACGCACTGTTAGCGATCGGAAACATATTAGCGATAGTGAAAATGTACAGCGAGTACTCCTGCTGTTTCAAGTTGCCGTACGTAAGCCAAAAAAACACAACGTGCTGAGGAAGCATACAGATTGCGTACAGGATGACCAAACCTGTCAACATCTTTGACATGTTGATCTCTCTCCTTTGTCTTTGCCTCACGCTAGCTTGTAAGACATGGGAAACTGAATTTGCTTCGTTGTTGATGGACGGAGCACTTGGTATTACACGAGCGCGACTCTGTTTCACTTTTACGATTGTAGCAATGGATAAAAGAATGATAGCCAACAATGGAATGGCGTACTGGATAAGAAATATAAAAACCCAGTAAACTTCACGGTAAGGCTTGCCAACTGGCCAGATTTCGTCACAGAATACCCTGTCTTGGTACTGTACAGTCTTCGCCAAAAGAAGAACTGGTAGGCCTGTTAACAAAGAGGTCAGCCATATGACAGATATCACCATTGCTGTTGTTTTAAAAGTCATTCCGATGCGCAAACGAAATGGACTAGCCACAGCTTTGTAACGTATCACCGCAATACATAAAAGAGTTTCCACGGTAGCGCAAAGGCATGCTGGTAAGACTGTGTATGTGAGCTTACAAACACCGTCACCCATCTCCCAGCTGTAGTTGTTCTCGAAAAAGGAGAGTTGTGTCGGGGCGTAAAGCGCCACAAATACGAAATCAGCCGCAGCAAGGTTTAACACCAACATATTCGCCGTCGTTCGCAATCTCTGCTTTAGAACGATGGCTGAGCATACTGCGCCATTTCCAACCAAACCAAGAAATAGGATTGTTGAGAAAAGGCCTCGAAAAACCCATTTCATAGTTGGCGTGGTCAGGTCACTCCACGCATCAGCTGTTGAAGTCAAACTACTCTCGTTCATGTTTCCTTTGATTGTTCCGCGCTTGATGGAGACATCTCTAATGGAGAACGACTACAACGATCTGGTTTCTGCTTTTTAAACTTGATCTCTGTACACGAGGGGTCAACTGATAAACGACACTCGAGTACTCAACTTGCAAAGTTAAAGGTTTCCCACATATCTTGAAAAATTATCCAACGAAATTTGCATGCAGTACTCAAACCTTTTATGGCTGTGGTGATATAGCTGTTAAGATCACGCCCTCGTTAATAAGAGCAGAAATTTTAATGCTGATTTATTTAAGCTGTACATGATGATCGTTTGCATTTGGATCACTATCACGTCTCCGCCTCCAATCAAATGCTGAATCGTAGTCTCAAATAATGTAAATAATCACTATGTATTTGGAAAAAATAGTCGACCGGATATGCGAATATGACTTGAATATAAGAGACGAGTCTCCCTGACTTGCCTTTGCAAGATTCTACAAATTCAAGATCAAGATATCCATTTTTAGGAGATAAACTAATCGCGATAACAATTCGCAGGAATCTATCAAGTTTTTAACTACTGATGGAACCAGTGGATATGTTTAAATAATGTATACCGCAAATTTCCCATAGATTGAATAACGAGCTGATGGTCAACTTGGTATCATAATCCCTGAACCGAAGTGTCAGAAACTTTAAATAGATTTTCCTTCTCCTATTAAGTTGTTTATAGACGAAAATGACCGTGTTTTGGTTGACACATACACCTGATTACAAAAGCCGAAGTCTTTCAGTGAAAGCCACTCAGAGGCTAAGCAACTTAATCTTTTAAATCCACTGAGCCAACTCTTCATATTAATTACTTTATCTAAAATCAATAGGCGTCTTGGCGTCTTCTTAGAAAAATAATCGAAGAGAGAGCATGTAGGTTGATGAAAATGAAATAAACAGGACGAAGAAAGGGCGCTAAGTTCTTTTCATAGACAGTTAGTTTGAATATTGTTAAAAAATATGCATGTAAGAAGCCTGAAAACGAAGAACCGAATACAAATAAACCGAATAAAATTTGAAATGAAAAAAATTAGCTGCTATTTTGTAATATCCATCAAGTTGAAGGTAATTCACCACGCCACAGTTCAAACGTAACTCCTTCAAAACAAATTGTTTTTCCAGAGGATGTTCACCAAACATCATATTCTACAGACAAAGATTTTCAAACAAAGCTTTAGGCCCAAGTAAAGATACCGGGACTTTTGAGAAACAAACCCTCTGTATTACAAAAAGTAACTTTAAAGGTACATCAAAACATTCTGACAATATCAGGGATTTTGTTTGTGTTGTGTTCTATCAAGCAATGGCAAATAATCAAATGATACTAATGGCAAGACCACAAATGTCTACACACCTTGGTGACAATTTCCGTGTTAGTTCTTCCAGTTCGAGATGAATATTTTGCAAATTCGTCAGGACAGATTCCTCATCTGCTGCATCTAAAGTAAACACAGGACACAGCTGAATACTAGGCTTGAGTGATTCGATTTACATATCATTCTCTGAAAGAGTGAACCACAATATTCGTTGTGTATGCGAGTCTGACGTCCCTTAAAATTCTCAAGAGAAACCAGGTTGTGTAAGGTGCTTAGCTTCACTGTGATTCAAACGTTGTTGAAGACTTGGGGCTGGGGTTAAGTTGGGAGGGGGTTAAAACTTTTCGGTAAGAGACCATTAATTATTTTTTTTTCTTAATATTATAATTTTCTGTGGATTTTTCTTTCATGGTTACAAAAGTACGCTTTAGCCCTTCCAATCCCAGAATTTCAATTAGGAATTCTCCTAATAGCTCTGAGAATTTGGCATTGGATTAAAAAATAATCCCCTCCTTTGATATTTTTCTGTATTCTCATCACTGGTGTACTTGATATGATGTTGAAAGTGGAGGGAGAAATTATGTCTTGGTCACTCCTGGGAATAAAAGGGTTAAATAAAGGACTTTATACTCACCGCGCGGGCGAAAAGCCAGTTTCCGCACAAGCGGCTGACAAAAGTCGGGAAAGATTTCTGAAAACGTCGAGAGAACCTAGAAAGAGAAAAGTCAGGTGGAATAACGAAGTTGAACTTTTAAATTAAACTTCGTTAAAAAATTAAAAAAAACGAAAACCAGAGTCGTCGGTAACCTCTGCATGAACTGAGACGGAATCTCTTCCATAGAGTTGACATAGTTGTGGACTTCTTTAAAACATCAGCACGGCATAGATCTAGCGATGTGACGTTTTTCACCTTTTTTCGTCGGGAAATCTAACAGGATGCGGATTTAGAAGAAATGTATTTATTTGCACGAACACATCATTCAGTGTATAGTACGTACGTACGTGTGCGCTCGGCCTGTTTGATTTCGTCACGCACCTGCTGGCGGCATTCCTCGACACATATTTGCCCAAATACTGACAACAGCTTTGCTACTTGTGCGCTTCCTCCAGAGCGAGCAAGAAATGAACTAAATAATGTGTAGAGAACGTAAGGAAAGGAAAACGCCAGTAAGTCTTGTCGAAAGAGGAACTGTCGAGTTATTTAGCAAAACTGAGTATAATAAACTTCAGAAAAGAAATTGAAGAAGCAAAGGCGGTTCTTTCCTCGTCTGCAAGATTACGTTCGACTTAGAACCGTTTACTTTCATTCGAATCCGTCATATTTCAGACAGGTCCCGCTCGTCTCTCTCAATAACCGTTCCCTACAAAATTTGACAAAAGCGTCCGTAATATTAGATGTAATATTTCGTAATCGTACAAAACCATTCGAAAATTAAACGATTCGGACCAACTTCGGATGGCCCCAGTCTACTTCGTTTATTGATGATTACTGCAACTTTCAATCGACCATCGAAAAAACAATGTTTCGGGCGTTTACAGTTATTTAATTCGCGTCCTCAGCAAAATCTTGTAATATTTATTTGGTTCTGACCGGCAACACTCAACTAAAGGCTCCTGATGCTCTAACATTGTTACTTTTGTAAATTAAAGCTTACGGCGATAACAAAGCAGAACCTGTGCGGTGATGACTCACCTTAAAATACCCCAAGCAACAGCAAAGAATTCTGGATTTTCCACACAAGCTCGAGGCTATCCCAGCGAAAACATGATCAGAAGAAATCATTTCACTAAAAAGGTTATCGAGCTCGGAGAAATACGAAGAACAAACAAATGTCACATCAAATTAAAAGAAAATTATTGATTAAAATATACTTACCAGTCTACGTGAAGAAATCAGATCCCTGAGTTGGTCTCCGGAAATAAACGGCCTCTTGATGGATGATATCTCGATCAAATCTAAAATCTGAAAAAGAAAAAAAAATCCACCACATAGCCTCACCAAATAGTGGAGTCACTAGCCAGCTGCTCTTATCCACTGCTGTACGTCAGTAAACTTGGCCTTCTTAGTAATTATGTCTAACTGGCGATGGGCGAAGGTAAGAAGCGTGTGGACTGGTCATGACTGTCCTAACACGGCCATAACATCTTTAATCGCGGTTGATTTCATAATTTGGCTATTTTCCTTTTTAAATAAACGATTATTTTTGGCTGAATAATTTCCAATTACGCTAAGAAACAGTTAGCGAGTGTAATAAGAAGCAAACTAGATAAAGGTCCTTCTAAAACCGACGAAGGGGCTACAGTACTTCTTCGAGGCGAGGGGTATACAGAAAACATCAAAACCATGAAACCTCAACAGCCTCAGTGAGAGTAATAAAGGGTCATAAAGATCCATTCTAAATCGAACCGTAAAGTAAAATAATTTTATACTAAAGAAAACTAAGGTTGCTTCGCAGCAAATGCTGATACAAAGACTGAAGAACAACAAAAGACAAACATAACTAAAAAACCAAAGTGGATAATTAAAAGATATCGAAACAAAGAGAGGATAACTGAGTAAACAAACAGAACTATTCTGCGATTATTGTTTATTGATGCCTTGTTTCTTTTTATTTTCTTTCAGTTCTTTATTTTTTTTAATTTCATAGATTTTAAAATTTTGCAATGATTAAAAAAAGCGAGTGGAAATTGATACAGCTTGTTATTTTTCTTAATGGAGTATGTTTCGTGTTACATCTCTGCAAGTCACTCCAGGAAATCACGCTATCGCGAGATCTTCTAAGAACTTCCTTTGAGTTCCTCGCATCCATGGAACACGTCTGGACTTTCTTTCGGTTCTTGATCGATTGGAACTTCAAAGTACTTCTCGCCAAAATTTTCTATTAAATATTCCTCCCAGTCATTTTGCACAGGAAAGGTGAAACCTTCGAAACTTATTCGTCTACGCGGGACGGCAGATCTGTTCATGTGAGGCGACACGAACATGTCAATCATGAGCCCATCATGCCAAGTACATCCGTAGGACATACAGAATTTATAGCAACTATATCTATCTCGTAATCTTGGGTTCCAAGTTGCTTCGTAGATACCAACTATTTCATGCTTGTAGTAACCACTTGGGTCATCCGGATTCAACGCTGGATCACTTATAGAGTTCTGAAAGAAAATATCTGGCGGCAAATCCTTTGCTGCGACTTGGAAAAATTTCACATATTCTTCCAAAGGCATTTCAATGTCTATGTCGTAGTCCCACGGAATAAATCCATGATGTCTTGCAGCACCAAGTAAAGTACCGCCAAATATCCAGTAGTCAATGTTGTGTTTCTGCGCAATGAGGTCAAAAATACGTAGCATTCTGGTCATGACGAGTTGCGCCTGTCGGTTGCGAAATTTTGCGTGGTTTCGAATATCAGGACATTGAATTGTACCGTCGATCAAGTTACATTTTCCTCCTAATTCTGTGTACAACTCAGGGCACATTTCTCCCCAATCCAGTGCAACAAGACAGTGTTTTCCAAACCGATTACCATGGTATGGATACACAATGTCTTCGCGATCGACAATCACAACACACTTATTTGTAGGGGAAAGTGTGAGCTTGGAATCAGTCTGTATTAAGGACATCATCAGAAGACACATCGTAGCTACCAGAAAAATGAACACAAATAGAATCTTTCTGTGTCTCATTGCGAAAGTATGATGAGTTATGGAGTAAAATAATGAAATGTTCCACACATTCTACTTTCGCTCTGCTTACTTTGATGACCGTCTATTGTTTCAGATCTCAAATGACATATGCCCAAATTAGCAAATTGACAAATATACCCAAATTGGCAAATTAACATTTAATCATATTTATCTTTCCTGCGCCATAAGATCACAAAAGAGTCATGGTTGCGTTTTCTCTTTGAGACCTTTCTTTTTTTCATTGACGTTTCCGGTCAGTTAGCCCTCTACTGATAGCTTGGCGATATTTCATAAACTAACTTGTTTCTTCTTTGTTCGCACAATTTTTGTTTAAACATGGCATTCTCCCTTATTTAAGCACAACGTTTGAGATCAGCTGAGGTTAAGATAAATGTATTTTTTCGGTTCTTCATCTAACGTTCGTCAATGAATTTCGTGATTATTTCTTCAGCAAAAATAATCCGTACAACTTAAAACAAAACGGTGAATAACGTACGAAAAGTCACCCCACGAACAATCTACAGGCGACCATGCATAACGAACGCAATTTTCATAAAGTAAATCATATGATGAACTGCGGGTGAAATTAAACTGAGAGAAGATACAATCGTCGCAGGTGCGCTGCAATTTAAGCAGATGCAGTAAAGAAGCCTGAAAAATTATTCGGACTTCAACAGGATTCAAACCCGTGCCTTCCAAATACCAGTTGGGCGTTACGTGGCCACGAAATGAGCAACGACGCCTCGCTTAAGGACATATAAAAATTGTAGCTTGCCTGTGAGGATGATTACTTCACTTGAATTTCACTCCCAAATCTAAATATGATTTATTGTATTAAACTTATGATCACATTCTTTTAGGGGAACGAAGAACCCGGCGGGTTTGCCGAGCTTCCAAAATGTGGCTTCGTAACTCAGTTGTTAGTAGCGTAGATATTAGAGTCACGGGTTCGAATTTCGTTGAAACCTGAATTTCTCCGGCTTTCCTTCGATAATTTCTTCACTTGGACCACGAACAGTTCCCATCCTTCATTGATGGCCCCGGATTAGCCAATCGGATGCGATAAGAAATCCACGTCACTCTATCAACCATTACGGTACAAAACTAAAACCGATCGTGACATTGGTCATGATAAAATGCAGTCTGCAGACCGCGCAGACTGCGTTTTGTTCGCTTCGAGAATTTCGACTATCAGAGCTCGCGAGACGCTAACAAGACCTATCACGCAATCGACTTCGATAGGTATCCAATTTCACCAGTATCATGCGGTTCTTTTTAACCTTAGGAAAAAATTACCTTTTCTCGCTTGTAAAATTTTATTTTACGCCTCGGTAGACGTTAAATGGAAGTCAAAAAACTTTGCTGGGAACTGGTTTTTGACTGGATGATAAGCAGTAATAAACAACAAACAAGTGCCTTTTTGATTTCTGCTCCCGCTTTCCGCCCTCAGATAGATCCCGCTTCCCCCTCTCTCCCGCCCCCAGTTCTCCCGGGTTCCCGCCCCCTTGTCCCCCTCCACTCTAGAGTACTGATTAAATATCATCCAAAAGCATCATCATGACCGTCGTGGCAGTTTCTTGCGTTTTCACGCGCACAAGGACGTTTAGAATCAAATTGTTTCGTGTGATTGGATAAATTAGCTGAGACCCTACCCACGCTCTGATTGGTCAAATAAACTGTACTACAAAAGTTTGTACATCAATCACCTTCGGATCGTGAGTTAAAAGCTTTAGTAGTACTAACCCACGTTGGTTATTGCGCCAATACATTAATATAAAATGCGGCGCATTGCTTAAATATACCTCAATCGAAAAGCAGTCTAACAACTTATTAATGTGATTGTTCGAGTACCTCTGATTCAAAGCTGGGTTGGTGCCTTTTCCACAGACTAACTTGCGCATCATATGATAAAAACAGCCCTAAAAAAAAACAACCGACAAACCGTGAAACAAGTTAGGATGTTAGGATGCAAGGTGGCAGTGTTATGCATAGAGGAATTAAAAAGGTTATGAAGGGCGATAAATTTGGAGCGCCATCGTTGAATATGGAAACTAGTTGTTTGATTTTCTTCGTTCTTTTGTTATATATTTCCACGTTTTCATGATGTTGTTTTTCTCTGTGTGTATGTGTTTAAGTGCATATGTTTATATGTGAATAATTATATGTGTATATGTCCCTAAATAGTCAAACTGGTCAGATCTTTGATTATTTTAAAAGATATTAAACCCACCTTTGTTGAGAGAGACAGCATGCAAAAGCACTTGCGGGACACTTTCCGAGACAAGGAAACCTTCGTAGTGACAACTGTAAAATATGGTGAAAGTTAAATCCACCCTTCCTTCTTCCTTCATGTTACTTTATGAGGTTTGTAAGACTTGAATGAAAATTTGGAAAACACCCCTACAAAGTATGTACTTAATTCTTATTTTTGGGCCATGGCAAATTACTTTTCTCTTATCAGAGGTACCAGTTAAAAATTTTTACAACTGATAATTCAGAAATAGCAGTTATTTATGTAACAAATACAATACTGTTCCTCGTGACTCTTTACAAAAATTATTTACCTTTTCACCAAATCCAAGCTTTTTTGGCTGCAAAGAATCTTTTCCACCTAAAATAGACAAAGTAAAAATTATCAAATTGTAACAGGAACATGCTGATCAAGAAAGTTGTATTCCACAAGTAAGAGGACAAAACAATGCTTGACCCTTTGACCCCTAAGAGCGATTAGCATCTAATTTCTCCCTACAATGTTATATATTAAATAAGATGCTTGTAATTGTTGAAAAAATTCGGATCAATATCAGTATCTGGGCAACTGCCCACCTACCCCTCCCCTAACTCAACAACAGTCAATTGACAACAAGTTAAGGTTAATGTTGGGTTAGGGGAGGGGTAGGTGAGCAGTTGCCCAGATACTGATATTGATCCAAAAATTCTCCTTATCAGCACCTCAGGAAATGTAAAGTGAACAGTTTAAAGAATTATGTACTGATGTTAGGGCGTAAAGGGTTCACTTGATGGCTTAGAGATGCAGCTTATGGTCAAACAAGAATAGTTATTAAATTATGTCAAATCATACCAAAGGTTTTGCTTGTGGTATAGTTATCAGAGGCAGGCAAAATTCAGATAGTTCCTTTAAGCATAGTCCTGATATTGGTTTCTGAGGATAAAATTCTCTAAAGTGGATGAAAAAAATAAGGCAAGAGTACTGATTAGAGGTAAACAAACAGCAGAAAACTGTTCAGTCATATTTAAGATATTCAAAGTGACTAGTGCACACTTAGCCCCATGCAAGAATTATATTGAAATGGCAGGTCTCTTTTACTAATATTACAATAAGAATTTGCTGTCTATCTTATGTGGCCAGTCACTGAATGAAGAGCTGAAGTCTGAATACAAGGCTGCCTTCTGTGAATGCGTCAAAGGTTATCCCAGTGACCTTTCATACTGGGCAAGAAACTGGTACATTGCAGGTTACCCACCAAGAATTTTGTCTGACCTCTCTGAAAATTTATTGTTACCATTTATATTCTTTCTTAAAGAGTGCACCTGTAAGAGAAAAGGTGCTTTGGCAAGAACACAATGCAGTAATTAACACTGTGCAAGGCCTCAGCTCAAACACCGACCCTTATTCCAGATTCAAGCATGTCCTAATGGCTATCCATCGACATTTCAGTTTTCTATCCAATGAATCCGTGGCATGAACAATTTCTTGGTGGTCACATACCTTTCTTCTTCATTCCAAAAGAAGCCTTGTAATACTTCTAAATCATGACACATCGATGACACCAACTGGAGGAAGAGTTTTAAAATAAAGGAAAGTAAGAGAATGAATGTGGTACACATATTATCTTTGGTCTACAAGTCAAACAAGAGTGATATTTAACCCCATAACAGACTTGTTGGGCCTGGAACTGGGTGTAGATAGCACAGAAAACAAAGCTAGCAGGTGGCAGACTAAGAGGCCTTATGCACCACTTGGTGTGAAGCAGGAGTGTGATAACAGATTGATTGATAAATTGAATTCTCCACTTCAAGGCCAACCTTATTACTGAAAGAAGGAAACAAATGAGTAAATGACTTCAGATAATATGAGAAAAATTATTTGAACTAATATTTTACAATCTAAATTACCTTTTTCAACATTATTTCTAAGGATTCTTGAGCTGTGTAGCCCCAAAATTCTCCAATGTGGTGCAATATACTATTTTTAAGAATGGGTGTGGTTGCACGTCTCAGTTGAGTTTGTACCCAACTCTTTGCTTTTTTGTTAAGATTCTTTTCTTGTACTGCAGAGCAGTTTGACAAAAGTAAACTGCATCTCACCACAATTTGAAACACTTCATCTAGGTAAGAAAAATAAACAAATCATGCCACAACATCTCACTTAGCTGCAATCAGGAGACACCATCTTATACTGTAAGGACCCCTTAACCCTGGTTCACATCACTCTGTAACAATGTAATGCATCTACAGTGAAAAGGCAAAGAGATTCCCTGCTATTTTCCTAGATACTTTATTGTTTTGCTGTTAAGTTTGACTTTATTTTACAGATAAGACCCGAAATAAAAATATTCCTAACTTGATGACCATTCTGGTTTGATCTTCACTAGAGTGATGGTTTTTTTTATCACCTAGAACTTACAGTATTTTTCAAGGCTACCTCCTGTACTATGAGATGTTGTAAGGTAACTGCTGATCCATAGCAGTTGAATCATTCAAAACATATTTGCTATTTCAGTGATGATATCTAAAAGCCTGGCTCAGTGATTGAGGAAGAGATAATTCTTTCCCAGACAGTTGATTACCTGTAAAATCATTAATGGGTCAGGATTGCATTTTTTGCCTGAAAACATCAAAGATTTAATTACCCTTTATCTCATTTACCTGACAATAAAACAACATTGTTCTCATATAGCTGTCCAAGAAGTTTCCCCACACTTGGAAATTTCTTTAACATCACATTTGGGTCACCTTTCTGCAAAGAGGGCAAATAATCTGATTGTTTTTTTTTCTTCAGGAATCAACCAGTTATTCAAAACTTAACAACAAGACAGGCTCATTTTTTAAGAAACAATCACCTCATGCAAAGTGACTACAGTGAGAACTAAGATTAAAGCTAGATATTAAACTATCATATTTAAAATACATATAAACTGTACACCAGTTCCTTTTAGTTTCATGTAGCTACTCTTCACCATGGTATGACACACTAATTCAGTAATTAGAGACTAAAAGGGAAAGTGAACTCAAGCTACCAATGGCTCTCTTCTGGCATGAAAAAATAATAATCCATAGTAACACAACAGGATGTTCTGAAGTTCTAGAAAGACACTGATATGGCCACTGGTTTACTGGGGGCCCTTTATCACTACTTTGAATCCTGAGAGCTAGTGTTGGGTTGGAGTGGAGAAAATCCTGAGTATACAAAACAGAGAAAAACTGTTGCAGATGGGATCCCAACTTGATTCCGCCCCCCCCAGCCCAACCTCACCCCAACAGCCAAGAAAAAACTTTGGCTACAGCTCTTCCATACCACTTTGTGAAGTTCCACCTCAAGTTTCTTCAGAAAACTTAATAAGTCTTGTAGACTCTCAAATGTTTCTTTGCATTCCTCTGCGGAATTTCCTCTCCCCCATTTTCTGACATCATTATACCATCTCTTAATCCCCACCTCCATTCAGTTTTCAAACCGCCAGAACCACCGCCATTTTCGATGCAGTTGACGGAAAAGAAACTGGGAAAGAGTTGAACCTTTAACAACATGCGGTCAGCAGTTTTATAGAAAAGAAAAAGATCATTATGGCCGACGTTGGTTAAAATCTTGCAGTATAAGGCTTTTTCTGCAATGATTCCTGGGTGGAAACATTGTTTACAAGCATATTTATTCTAATTATTTCTACATGGATAATTTCGATCGGAGGTGGGGAGAAAGTGGCCTGTCGTGATCTTATTATGGGCAGTATCCTATTCAAATGTAAAGTAAGAGTAAGCCTATTTACTACGTAGTTTTGAATAATACTGAAAAGCTTATTTCGGCTGGTATGTAGGTAAAATTATGGGGAAGTCTGTTCGCTATTTATTCCTTGACGCTCTTAGATATTTTTTTTCAGAGCTTATAATCGATTCTTTGGCTCAGGCGGCTGTTAGCTGCACGAAGAATCACACGGTCGAAGGTAAGAATTAACGAGCTCTAAATACACAAAGTTCTTACTATCTTTTAAACTTGCACATAATCCTATTCATTTCCTTCCACCATAGTGAAATGCAGGACTGTGCCTGTCGAAAAAGATGGTAGAAATATCACTGAATGCATTCAAAACGTTTCATGCCGTTATACGTAAGTCTTCCACAAGTGGATCTTATTTTTACAATAATACTATGCTTTAAAACAAAATTATTTATTGAAAAATCTTGCTGTTTCACTTTCAGCAATGACCACTCGTACGAAACCGCTCTTTTGTTATCAGTCTTCCTTGGCATGTTTGGAATTGACAGATTTTATCTTGGATATCCTGCGATAGTTTAACTTTAGTTGTAGTTGAGTGAAAGTCAGCCTTTAAAATGTATTTCTTAATATAGAAAAGGACACATTGGTGTAATCTTCGTTGATGACAATATTATTTTTTAAAATCTTTATATAAATATAAAGTTTTGCACACTTGGTTTCTTCTATGTATTTCATCTTGTAGATGTTGTTTTGATTGCAACACAGGTAAATAATACAAGTGGCAGTTGATATTAATAACCAACGGTAAACAATACAATGCAACTCACTTCTGTGCATAATAACATAGCCTCTTCCTCACCCTCTCCCCCACATCCACTTTCTCCCAGGAGTGTAGATAGGTATTAGTGAATAGTCACATAAAAACTGTTAGAGGTTGATTCGATTTTTCTTTTTAAATAAATGATTATTTTTGGCTGAATAACTTCCAATATGCTAAGAAATGGTGGGCGAGTATGGCAAGAAGCAAACTTGATAAAGGTCCTAAAACCGATGAAGGGACTACAGTACCTCTTCAAAGTGAGGGGTATACAAGAAACAGAAAAACCATGAAACCTCAACAGCCTCAGTGAGAGTAATAAAGGGTCATAAAGATCTCTTCTAAGTTGAACCACAAAGTAAAATAATTTTATACTACAGAAAACAAAGGTTACTTTGCAACAAATGCTGATACAAAGATTGGTGTACAACAAAGACAAACATCACTAAGAAACCAAAGAGGATATTGAAAGATATTAAAACAAAGAAAGGTTAACTAAGCAAACAAACAGAACTATTCTGTGATTATTGTTTATTGAAGCACAGGTGGCCCAAGCTCCAGCTGTGAGATGATCATCTTGCGCAATAACAGTCATGGCGGAATTATAAGAGTTTGTATGGGAATATTTATGACCACTCTAAGGAATGAAAAAATACGTCAAATTCTCAAAAAAAATACCTCACCTTACTTCCACAGCGTATTGCTTGTTATCTGACCGCTTACTTTGATGAAAAGAACGCATTTTAGCGAGTTGTCTCAGTTTTGTGGTTTCTAACAGCCCGTGTCCATATCAACCTTGACACACGACTGTTGAAAACTAGCTAGGTAACCTTGCCTCCTTTTTAAACTGAGCCTCACCGGGGATCCTACTGTAACTAGGCACCCGTAGTGCTAAGACAATTTCTTCATGCTAAGTTACGGTGGGATTCCCGGCGAGGCTCAGTTTAAAGAGGAGGCAAGGTTACCTAGCTGGTTTTCACCGGTCGTGTGTCAAGGTTGATGAGGACGCGGGCTGTTAGAAACCTCTGACCTGGAAATTTTTGAAGCAAACTGCCTAGGGTTAAGGTTGCACGGGGAAGATTGAGGTTGTAGTGAATTGAAATGAAACTACGGTATACGTGCTTGGATTCTGCGTTGGGTTTGTGGCCGCCCGGTCATTTTGCGCTGGAATTTTTCGCTCCTCAGATCGGGCATTCGGAAATGGAGTGTTCAGACTTGGGCAAGATGATCATCTCACAGCTGGAGCTTAGGCCGCCTGTGATTGAAACTTCGTTTCTTTTACTTTCTTTCAGTTTTTTCTTTATTTTAATTTCATGGATTTTAAAAGTTTGCAATGAAAACGAAAGTGCGAGTGGAAATTGATACAGCTTGTTATTTTATACTAAAGAAAACGAAGGTTGCTTCGCAGCAAATGCTGATTCAAAGACTGAAGAACAACAAAAGACAAACATCACTAAAAAACCAAAGAGGATATTGAAAGATATTGAAACAGAGAGAGGATTACTGAGTAAACAAACAGAACTATTCGGCGATTATTGTTTATTGATGCCTTGTTTCTTTTCATTTTCTTTCAGTTCTTTATTTTTTTTGATTTCATAGATTTTAAAATTTTGCAATGATTAAAAAAGCGCGAGTGTAAATTGATACAGCTTGTTATTTTTCTTAATGGAGTATGTTTCGTGTTACATCTCAGCAAGTCACTCTAGGAAATTTCGCTATCGCGAGATCTTCTAAGAACTTCCTTTGAGTTCCTCGCATCCATGGAACACGTCTGGGCTTTCTTTCGGTTCTTGATCGATTGGAACCTCAAAGTAATTCTCGCCAAAATTTTCTATTAAATATTCCTCCCAGTCATTTTGCACAGGAAAGGTGAAACCTTCGAAACTTATTCGTCTACGCGGGACGGCAGATCTGTTCATGTGAGGCGACACGAACATGTCAATCATGAGCCCATCATGCCAAGTACATCCGTAAGACATACAGAATTTATAGCAACTATATCTATCTCGTAATCTTGGGTTCCAAGTTGCTTGGTAGATACCAACTATTTCATGCTTGTGGTAACCGCTTGGGTCATCCGGATTCAACGCTGGATCACTTATAGAGTTCTGAAAGAAAATATCTGGCGGCAAATCCTTTGCTGCGACTTGGAAAAATTTCACATATTCTTCCAAAGGCATTTCAATATCTATGTCGTAGTCCCACGGAATAAATCCATGATGTCTTGCAGCACCAAGTAAAGTACCGCCAAATATCCAGTAGTCAATGTTATGTTTCTGCGCTATGAGATCAAAAATACGTAGCATTCTGGTCATGACGAGTTGCGCCTGTCGGTTGCGAAATTTTGCGTGGTTTCGAATATCAGGACATTGAATTGTACCGTTGATCAAGTTACATTTTCCTCCCAATTCTGTGTACAACTCAGGGCACATTTCTCCCCAATCCAGTGCAACAAGACAGTGTTTTCCAAACCGATTACCATAGCACGGATACACAATGTCTTCGCGATCGACAATCACAACACACTTATTTGTGGGGGAAAGTCTGAGCTTGGAATCAGTCTGTATTAAGGATATCATCAGAAGACACATCGTAGCTACCAGAAAAATGAACACAAATAGAATCTTTCTGTGTCTCATTGCGAAAGTATGATGAGTTATGGAGTAAAATAATGAAATGTTCCTCGTATTCTACTTTCGCTCTGCTTACTTTGGTGACCGTTTTTTTTTAAATCTAAAATGACATGTACACATTATTCCAAAATGGCCGCCAACCGGTAAAAGCTGGGGCGAGTGGCACGAAAACGAGGTCACAGGGGCCACACCTAAGAGATTTCACAGTTTCTACTGAGAAGTTTTCAACAAACGTATCATTTAATAACGTACCCTTCCGGTCAGGAAGAGAAAATATGGCAAATGCTTTATATGGACCCCGTTTACTAACCGAAGAAGATATTCCGGGAAGTTCGCTTGCTGGAAGAAAGCCCTCAACACTGAAGAACTCCGAATTGCAGTTTTGGTTGCGTAAGTACTAAAACATGGAACGACCTAAAACCACCTGAAACCACCTGAAACCACCTACAACCACCTACAACCACCTACAACCATCTACAACCACCTCAAAAATTTCAGCAACCACCTCAAAAACATCTACAACCACTCGCAAACTATCGTCTAACTGTCGTAAACTTCTTCAGGGAGCTTTACAAGTTAACACTAAACGCCTATATTTATAAGCCATTGTTTACCGGGCAATTGCGGGGGGCCAATGACCATAAGGGCTTGGCTGGACCTACGACCAGGAATAGGCAAAGTTGTGAAAATTTGAAAATCTATGTTGAAAATTTTTTAGGCAAGATGAGAGATATTTTTTGGGTGCCGCGGTTTTAGCTGAAATTTTTCATCTTGAAAAATTGAAGAAGTTTTTTTTACAGATGATGGCTGGAAAGCAGTTGGCAAATGAGGTTAGGATGGTTCGTGTACTTTAAAGAAAACGTGGTTTACGTTCTACTCATTCTTTCTTAAATTTAAGTGGTGTAAATACCTCGTCTAAAACACTAGTGTGGTACAATAGCACACGAGATATACTTGTTCCAATACAGCGTCATGTGATGAACAGCCTTCATTAATTTTAGAACAAGTTTCATAAAATCATTTTACTCTTTCTTATTATAGCCGAAAACTGTTCGAAGACTAGTTGTGCCATCACTGCAAACAGTCAAGGTACTTCAACATGATTCAGTGCGAGAGCTACTGCCACTGATTTGACTGGTAGGACTTTTTTTTTTTGGTTGTTTTGTTTTTTTCCTTTTTCAGGTCTAGTGGAGTTGTTAGAAATTACCAAGCAAAATTAATCCGCGACTTTCTTCCTTTAGGTGTTGTTCAAAAACAGATGAAGCCCGATGAATGGATTTGTCCTTCATGTGAACAATTACCTAGAAAATCAGTTTTCCACGAAAAAAAACCCCCTCGATTGCGGCTAAGCCATATTTCTCTAGCAGAGCATATTGTAAATTAAAAACATCGGTCGCAGCGTTACGCAACATTGCGTGATTTTCTAAACGTGACATGTAGTTGCTGCATTGTTTTAAAACTTAGAAACTACATGGCCCTGTATTAATAGAAGAGGGCTTCATTTGCAAGCATTTGTAGACTTAAACATGAGAAGAACCTAATAAATCGCTCTTTCACTTTTTATCTCAGTGTATAAATTATTTGGCCAGAACGAAAACAAATTAATATACACATTGGTTGGAGCCATTCCTGTCAGCGGTGAAATACAGGAATGGCTTCAGTCTTTGGTCATCCGCCTAAACTGACTAAATGAGTTTTGTCAGCGGAGCTTGACAGCGGATGACTTTTTCATCGCCGGCATATCGCTGAACGACCTCGCTGAGCAAGATAGACTCTGTCCTCTCTTCGTTATGTAACTAGCCATTTCTTGTTTGACACATCGGCGTTTCCACATGGATATTTCATTGTTCCGCTTCGAGACACGCGGTTAACAATACTCACGAGCAAGGAGTTAAGATATAACTTATTAACTTTCATTATTTTTATCATCCAATTACAGGTCAGAGCCATTCCGGTATTTAGTCGCTAGTCAGTTTTCGAAGCGAATGCAGTTGACGGAAAAGAAACTGGGCAAGAGTTGAACCTTTATCAACATGCGGTCAGCAGTTTTACAGAAAAGAAACAATATGATTATGGCCGACGTTAGTTAAAATCTTGCATTACAAGGCTTTTTCCGCAATGATGCCTTGGTGGAAACATTGTTTACGAGCGGTTTTTATTCTAATTTTTTCTACAGGGATAACTTCAATTGGAAATGGGGAGAAAGTGGCCTGTCGGGATCTTCTTATGGGACAGTATCCTATTTAAAACTAAAGCAAGAGTAAGCCTATATACTACCTAGTTTTGAATAATGCTGAAAAGCTTATTTCGACTGGTATGTCGGGGAAAATAGGGAAGTCTGTTCGCTGTTCATTCCTTGACGCTCTTAGATATTTTTGTCCTGAGCCTGTGATTGATTCTTCGACTCAGGCGGCTGTTGGCTGCACGAAGAATCACACGGTCGAAGGTAAGAATTAACGAGCTCTAAATACACAAAGTTCTTACTATCTTTTAAACTTGCACATAATCCTATTCATTTCCTTTCACCATAGTGAAATGCAGCACTGTTCCTATCGAAAAAGATGGTCGAAATATCACTGAATGTATTCAAAACGTATCATGCCTTTATACGTAAGTCTTCCACAAGTGGATCTTATTTTTGAATAATACTATGCTTTAAAACAAAATTATTCATTGAAAAATTTCGCTGTTTCACTTTCAGCAATGACCACTCATACGAAACCGCTCTTTTGTTATCAGTCTTCCTTGGCATGTTTGGAATTGACAGATTTTATCTTGGATATCCTGCGATAGGTTAGCTTTAGTTGTAGTTGAGTGAAAGTCAGCCTTTAAAATGTATTTCTTATTATAGAAAAGGACACGTTGGTGTAATCTTAGTTGATGACAATATTATTTTTTTAAATATTTCAACAGGACTGTTAAAGTTTTGCACACTTGGTTTCTTCTTTGTATTTCATCTTGTAGATGTTATTTTGATTGCAACACAGGTAAATAATATGAGTGGCAGTTGATATTAATTGCTAACTGTAAACAATACAATGCAATTTACTTCTGTGAAAAATAACATTGCCTCTTGCCCACCCTCTCTTCCACACCCACTTTCTCCCAGGAGTGTAGATAGGTATTAGTGAACAGTTACAGAAACCTGAAACTGTCAGTGAAACCTGACAAATCACTGCAGAAGGGGGGGAAGGGGGAAGGATGGTAACTTTTAATGGACTTGAAGCCCATCTGGGGGAGTAGTCAAGCTCTTTGATGTTATATTCTTAAGAAACTGGGATAATCTTCAGCAGATGTCCAAGTCAATTTCCCCTCAAATTTACAATGTAAGAGGCATCTTAACAAATGTTTTTGTGTTTTGTTGCATAGGTTGTTGGCCCAGCTGATGGTTCAGCATATATTATTGATTACTATGGCCCTCGCTTAGATCACATATCTAGAAACTTGGATACATTTTACAAAACAGGAGGTTAAAAAAAAGCAATATGTCCTCCTTTGATTTCTAACTGTAAATATAAATGTAAAGTTCAGACCCTATTAACAGAAATGAAATAAAATGCGAGATTGTATTGTTTATATCATATATGTGCACTTATTATAGGTTTGTTACAAACCCTTCTTTTATGTCTTCAGTATATTCATTTATTTTGTAGTCACAGCTGTACAAAGTCATAATGTAAATTGTAATTTGCCAGTTTTGTATGCTATTTGTAATATAATCTAAATAAAGCATTCACATGTAACAGATTACACAACATGTGATAAAATTGCTCATTTTTGTCAAATTGTTTCTTTCCTCTTGTTGGTCAGCTAGTCAAAGGCTCATAATTTATGAACTTTTGTCGTGATATTCCAACATCCTGCTTGAGTTATTACTTGGAAGTCCAGTAGATATAGTGTCAAGTTGTCTTTGGAGTCACTGCTATGATAAGCGATAGGTTTTGGGTCTCTTCTAGGTTTTTTTATTATTTTTGTTATCTGCTGGCTAACCGATGGGAACGTTTAAACCATGAACCGAATCATTTGCTTTCTTTTTGTTTCCTTTGTTCTTGTATAACTCTTCTTTTGATGTATTTCTTATCTAATGGAAAATCAAGTCTAGTGCAACTGGTGCTTAAAGGGAAGCAACGTGGATAAGGAAGATAAAAGTATGTACTGTATCCACTGCACCTGTTGAACGCGTCTTGGTAGCATCGGAGGGTTCAAGAAGCACAATTGGAAATGAAACTTTCGTTATTATCGAAGGTTAACCATGTTGCATATTTTGGGTTTTTTTATTAGTAATTACTTTACAACATTCATCTACCTCTGATGAATGATTAGATTTGGGCGAGCAGGCCCTTATCAATAGCGCTGCCAGACGCACGTTTCTCCGTCCATGGGAAGATTTGAGATGGGTCGGGAAGAGGCTTTGCGAGGGCCTGACACTGAAAACTATCGGTGCTAACCCCGGCCCAGGCAGACTTCTGGCCAACTGGCGTCGCTCGAGGCCTCGTACTAGAAATCCTGCAGGTGAAGAAACATTCGTGGTGAAGTGCTGATACAGAGGGTGTGCTGGCTGACTTGTTTGACTGCTGAGTTACGCCCTTAGGTGACAAATTGTGATTCTATCACCTTTGTAAAAATAATTTTCATATATAAATCAAATATTCTTGCTATGTTCACACCGTTTAGAATAGAGATGATTACTCTCCGTCATTTTTTTCGGTTTTTCATGTAAGAGTAAAATCGTGCAAATGGCATTGGAAACTAATGTAGTGTAGTATGAGGCATTCTGTTGTTTCGATCAAATCGTGAAGTGCAAGTACTGATTTTAGGACATGAGTTAACTACGGCATTCATGTCATTCATGTCTCAAAACCAAACATCATTCTCTTTTCCTGGGGTATTCTCGACAGCTTCTGTGCCACAGGCAGAATTCGAACACGAGGGTCCCAAAATCGATCACAGCTTCCATGACATTCCCTCAACAGATTCAAGCTGGTCGTCAAACACACTAAAATCAAAATCACAAACAAAGTTAGAAGAAATCAACCCGTCCATGGCTTCATTGAGTCTCACAACGACTCCTTTTGGTGTACTGTTACCAGTTTGTCTCCTGGCAGTTTTTCTTTCATGTGTTGTTTGCGTCTACCACTGGCACAGCGTCAGAGAACGAAGATTAGACTTAGAAGACGAACGAAAGAGAAGAAGTCGGATCGTCTCCGATTTTGACGCTGGCTGTGTTTTGAGAACTTTCAAGCCAGTTGATAAGGTGAATACCAACTTTACTCTTTAACTTTTTTTGCTTTTTTAATACTTTTTTAAACGTTAGTACCTGATATACTTTTCTTGCTAATTTATGTAAGTCAATCTCCTTACAGGTAAATAAAATATTAATTAATAATTTCGCATCTTTTATGTAATTTCTTTGATTAGTAAATAGAGAAGGAGAGATTTCTGTATAGCAAGATTCTATTTAAAAGTAAAGCATTAGTTCTAAAGCCAAATAAGTTAAGGGGGTGAGTTTCTTTATCTGAACATCGTTATCATTGTCCTCCTCTTCACGTTCAGAAAGTTCGAATGTACCCATGGAAGTCCACAAGAATTCAAGACTTGCCTGACATCAATAACAACGATGGATTTGAGATTCCCTACTATCTAGGTGCGAGCAGCAAAGCAGGCTGTTACCATGTTCACGGTCGCCGTCGTCCAGCAGTGGGTCACATTTCAGAGCCTTACGAGAGGCCTGCATTGAAAAGGAACCTCATTCATAATAACACTACCGTATCCACTCGGGAGCTATCAGGTGACGTAAAAAATTCGTAAGAAGATAATTTAGTGTCATGAACTGAGCTGTCAGAGCGATTAGCGACGAAGGGCTAACGCTCGAAACGTTAGCCTTTAAACCATTTAAGGTGGCCAATTTACGTTTTCAACTCAGTTGCATTTGATAACACTAAATTACCCTTTTATACTCTCCCACCGACGCGGCACCACAGCTTTTATAGAGACTCACCCCCTTTAAACCCGTAAGGGACCTGTTATTATTTATCGCGGGGGGGAGGGGTTGGTCGGAGGATTTTGGTCTGTGTCACGTGAGAATTTAGCTTTTCCCATATAAGGTTCTCTATGATTCTTATAATCCTCCTAATTGGCGGTTGATTTTCAGTAAATTTTTTATGTTCCTCCCTCTGCGCTTTGTTGGCGACAGCTGATCCTCCCTCTGTTTCTCCGGAAAACCATGTTATACCCCCCCTAATTTTTTCATTCAGTAGGCTTTATTATTTTAAGGCACGCCGCAAACCAATATCTGATCTCTCTTTCGTCAGAAACTGATTTCAGTTTAAAGCTCCCATCATCATGGTCTGCAGACACTCAAACCAATAGCTGCGTAGTGGCTTCCATAAAGAATGAAAAAACTGGATTGGATGATGACTGTTACGTCACTGGCATACGAGAAGAAGTTATTCGTTTGACGCACCTTGATCTGGACGGACAAGTAGTGGTGCAAACAGTTAATGGTTCCTTGTTGGAATACTGGGTGTAAAGTTAACAGCAAATAATGTGACAATCCAGCCCTGATAAAAAAAATGTGTGTTAATTAAATAAGGTTCATTTCAGGTTCCAACTAAAGCTTAGCTTACATATAAATTGTCGATGGTTGTTCAGTATTAAATTTTACCGCACAAGTCACCTCTGCTATCAGTTATTTCAATGGATATAGATTTTAATGAACTTCACCTCACTGAACTTCAGCCTATGTGGGCTAAGCCTCCAAGATCAACATTGAAAAATATAGGTTCCTCACATATCACTTATGTCTAGAAATGCACGCAGTTACATATACGAAAATGGCAGATTTAACGAAATTTCGTCAAACCTTGTGAATATTTATGGCTTTGGCGAGATTGGCGAATTTTTAGTCGCATTCGTCAAAGCGAAATCAGCTTGGTGGACTTGACGATTTTAACAAATTTTTGCCATTTTCGCTACTGCATGCATTTCTGGACATATGTCTCACAACTATCTTCGAGGCAACAGGAAGAATAATAATCAAAATGCTGTAAGAGAAGAACGGAAAAAAGTAACTAAAATAGGCACAACATGAAAAAAAGAGAAGATCCTTAAAAATTTCGTAAACGTCTACTTAGTTTCCAAGGTAACCCCCACGCAAAAATATGTACCATGAATCCGCAGGGATAGAGGGTAACCACGAACTTCTGAAAGCAATCCTTATAACTCGTGAATTGCGCACATGCGCAAGAGCGAGTTGTAGATATGATGTGGAGAGTGGCACTCGCTCGCTCGCTCGATTCCTGTAAACTTTTTTTCGATTTTAGGGTGCATTTGATAGGTTTTTGCGAGTAATAAACAAACGAAATGGCGACCTTCGTTGCTAAGAATAGTGGTTGGGTGAAAAAGAAGCCAATGATAATCTTAAAAATAGTTTTTTTTTTTTCGTTTTAGTTTCAACAAGCGGCGCCAGCGACTGGCAGGCGTGCGAGGATTCACACTGAAATACGAGAACAACCTTCGTTTTTCATAAAATTGTAATTTACAATCCTTGAAATTGAAAACAATCCGAAGATTCGTTAAAAATATCACTTACTCTGAAGCGCTCGGAGTTTACCGGTGTTCAAAAGCTTTTTCTGTTATGGCGTGAGATTGGGGACAAAATCGATCATTACATTTCGTATTGTGTGTTTTTTCTGTGTGAAGCAAAAAAAGGTGCCGGCGACTGACGAAATTACAGGTTAACACGAAAATCAAATAACACCTAAACAAATAATTTTGGCTACCGATTTTCAGTGAATTTTTAAGTTTCAAGACAATTTGAAAATTTGGACGGAAATCCAAAATGACGGTGGCAGTCTGGGCTCAGTGATATCACTCAAAACTCGTTCCCGTTTGTCTCATTTGATTAAGAGGGAATCATTAATGTTTTCATTAAGGCAGTATTGCCCTGATTTTCCAATATTTACATTGATAGACAGTAAATTACACTTTCACCCACATTTACTTCCAACCTTTTCTTTTGAACCAGAAACAAAAATGATATATGTTTAAAACACATTCAATTCAATTCAATTCAATTTATTTGTAGCAATAAATGTAATAGCATGATCATTTGAATTGTAATGCCTTCTTATCCCAATGTTACTTTGTTTCTTTGCTACATTAGTGAACACTGAACTACTGCTCGTACTCTAAATATGACAATCGAAAACTTTATCAAAGATATTTACAAATTTCCCTAAACCAGATAACATTAACAGGCGATTTTAAACATAAATAATACGAAGTTCTTTTGGGATGCTAAAAATTCTAGCAAAAGAAAATAAAAAAATCATGTAAGTCATCTGTCAATTCATGTGGTTTGATTTACAAACCACATAGTTTTGAGATTTCTAATTGTTAGCAGCTTGTCCCCAGGCAATAAGACCATAAGAGATATAGGGTTCAATTAAGGAGCGGTAGATGTTAAGAAGTGTGGCAAATGGGACAAGATGTCTTAACCTGGCAATTATACCAATTCCTTTACTAACTTTAGATGAGATATAATCAATATGATACTTCCAAGAGAGGTTATTATCTATCAGAATTCCTAGATATTTCACAAAAGTTTTTTGTTCTAGAGATACACTTTTTTTTAAGATCGTTATTATAAATTTTCAAGTGAACTATGTAGTCCAATTTGCGTTGGTAAGGATGGAAAATAACAAAGTTAGATTTACTAGTGTTAAGAGAAAGTTTGTTTGCGTCCAACCAGTCACCCACTTTTGCGAGTTCATCATTAACAACTTTTTCAAGATCCTTAAGATCTTTGTTTGAATAAAGCAAGTTAGTATCGTCAGCAAATAGGTAAAACTCAAAAATCTGGGAGCAACGGTAAATGTCGTTAACATAAAAAAAAAGAGAAGGGGCCAAGTACAGACCCTTGAGGGACACCACAAACTATCTCTTCTATATTCGACACGGTTGAACCAATTTGAGTCGACTGGTTCCTGTTCAACAAGTACGAAGAGAACCAGTTATTAATTATTCCTCTGACTCCATAATGATATAATTTGTGCAGTAAGATTGAGTGATCCACCGTATCAAAAGCCTTTTTAGGTCAATAAAAATACCACAAGAGAATAACTTTGCATCAATATTAGTTTGAATTTTGCTTAAGATATCTAAAATTGCATGTTGGGTTGAACACTTGTCTCTAAATCCATATTGAGAAGTAAAAAAGATACCGTTTTTTTTTCGCAATGTGATTTAAGACGTTTAGCCATCAATTTCTCAAATAATCGATTGAAGACAGAAAGGAGGGAAATTGGGCGGTAATTACATGGATCAGTTTCGTCCCGATTTGTAGATAGGAATTACTTTGGCATGCTTCAAAAGATGGGGATAAATACCCGTTGAGATAGACTTATTCATCATGGCAGCTAAGAGTGGAGAAAGGATATGGCGCCCAGATTTTAAAAGATGAACCGGGCAAGAATATAGGCCATATACTTTATTACTGGGTATAGCCAAGATTTCCAAGTCCACCTCGGATGGAACGACGGGATCAAAAAAGAAAGACTTAAAGTGATTAGTGCCGACAAGGTAGTCCTGGAAATTTATCCTGGAAGGTGATATATTGCGTGCAAGCCGCGGTCCAATAGACGCAAAGTACTGATTAAAGATATTGGTTATTTCAGACGGATTTTGTGTTACTCCAGAGTTGTTAGAGCGTTGAAGGGCTGATACTGTTTTTCTGTTTCGCTGTCTGTTCAATAGTTCATTAATCCCCTCCCGTTTTTTTTTAACATTTCTTAGATTTGTAGTGAAGTAAGCTTCATAATACAATCTTTTACTGAGACGAGAAAGAGTAACAATTCTATTCCTATACAGCTTATATTTTGAGATATCTCCTGAATAAAAGAGTCTATTCTTTATTTTGATAGATTTACGTAGGCCCTTAGTTATCCACGGTTTGGAAAATTGTTTAGCCTTGCGCCTAGATAAGATTTTGAGAGGAGCGTGTTTATTAATGAGCTTGTTAAATTTATTGTAAAAGGAAGAAAAGCATTTGTCTACAGATCCATATGTCATTGAGTTATCCCAATCAGTATCAAGACATCATTAATAAAGCATTCTTCAGAGAAGTTGGAATAATCGCGAATTTTATGTTTAGCAGTAAAAATTTTTGGTATAAGACTGTGGATAAAACAAAATTGGGAGTAGTGATCACTAATGTCTGACACGATATTTCCACCTGAAATTTTATGATCAAATCTATTCAGAAATATATTATCAATGAGTGTGGCAGAATTATTGTAGACTCTAGTTGGTTTATCAATTACCGGGAAGAACGAATAACATTGTAAAGATAACAAAAAATTTTGGGAGTAATCGGAATTTCAGATTTGAGGAGATCAATATTGAAATCGCCCATAAGATAAACAACTTTATCAGAGGAGCTAAGTTTTTCTAAAGTAAAGTCAACATAATGGAGGAATTGTTCCGGATCATTATGCTGCCTATAAATCACTCCACAAACGATATTTTTACTCTTTAGGGATTCAATTTCGATCCATAAAGCCTGAAAAGCGTCTTTAGATGTTCTCTCCAGAACCTTATATTTCAAACAATTATTAATGTACATTCCAACACCTCCACATGATAGAGGTGTTGGGACATATTCAGCGATACAGCGGATCCAATTGCCTTAAATAAACATTCACATAGCGCACTCGTAGAAGCCGAGGATTCATCTTGACTCAATTGAGGGACACCAACAATCTTAACATTATATTGATAACTGTACTCTTGAAATTCATCGATGCTCCTGGAAACTCTGTTAACTTCAACAGCAATCTCATCAAGCATGGCACCTAAGCGATCAAGTTCTTTACCAGCAGAGACCCTGAATCGCTCAAAGTCATCATATTCTTTACTCATGAATTCTAAGCTTTGCTCTACTTCGTCATTAGTCGCTGCAGGTTTTTTTGACTGCTCCAGCAGCATCACCTTCATCTTAGCAATCTCATCCGCCATGACAGACAGTTGATCTTTAAGCTTACTGTTCTCTCTCTTAAGGCTAGCAACAGACTCGGGCATTCTTGAATCTCTCAGAAAGCAAAAAAAGAAAAACGATCGTGAAAAAAGAAACGAAAAATTATCCAAAACGAAACGAAAAATTATCCAAACTTGATTAAGATTAGCGGAGCTCGTAAAGTAACGTCCGTCCTGACCAACTCACCGCTGACCAGACCACATGACATCATTTACCCTTGTAAAATGTAATAGCATGATCATTTCAATTGTAATGCCTTCTTATCCCAATGTTACTTTGTTTCTTTGCTACATTAGTGAACACTGAACTACTGCTCGTACTCTAAATATGACAATCAACCACAAAATTCCCTAAACCAGATAACATTAAACATAATCCAAAAAATCATGTAAGTCATCTGTCAATTCATGAGTTTGCTTACAGAGCACTTTGATTCTAATTGAAGCACCGTCCACAAGGTATTATCTGAGGAACTTTTAAGGAAAAAGCTCGAGCCGCTTTATGTCTAGCGCGCTTTTCTTATTCTTGTAAGTTTTTTTCACTTTTGTCAATGTTTACATGAAGATAGAGAATTGATAAGGGTCAATTTTTGGGTATTTTTTTTACTCGTGCCATGTTGCTTCTAGTAATTAATTTCTCCTCCCTCTCCAATCGCCATCAAGGTCCTCATGAGGTACTGCAGGATATCAAAGAAACAGGCCAGGCTGCAGAGCTGTAATGCAGACGTTGAGGTCACGGAAGTAGGGACTTTCTATGATGAAATGGTTCGTAATTCAAAGAAAATTCGGATTTTTCAGTTTCTCAACCTATAAATAATGTCTGGAAAGAAAAAAATTACATCAAAAGGCTACACGAATCCACTTAGAAGACCTGGCGAGAAGCGGGAAGACTTGAACACACAGGAGCGCGAGAAGAAAACCCCTTCCCCTTCAACTGAAACTGATAGAGGTGACATTTTGTAGTCGTTATAGCTTAATAGAAATTATATCTCCCTTGGCTTTCCTATTCGTTGTTTTTATCTTAAAGTGAACCAAAATCTCTAAAAAATTGTGCGTGTGAATCGGTACAATCACATCAGCTCAAAACCCGGGAAAATGTCAATGCACGCATACACTATTCATGTAGCTGCAATCGAAAGCCCGAAGCCTCGGCAACCCATTTTAATATTTATGTGTTTATTTATAGCTTAAAAAGCTATCCATTTTCTGTATGCAAATAACCCCTGTAATCAGTCATTTGTATTAGTATGGTTCGGACTGGAACTTAAAACGACTACTTACTTTCCAGGAGGGTGTATTATAATGTTCACGAGATAATAAGATTCGGAAAGACTTCCGTTTAACTTCAAAATCATCTAAAACAAAATCAGAGTCCCAGAGGTAATCTTTATCCAAGAACAGTGTTATGTATAATGAGGTATTGGGCTCTGGGGAAATCTTGCCTCACATTAAGTTAGAACAGGTAAACTTTTAACTATTAGTTCTTAACTGAGTTGTACTGCCTAGTAGAGAGGGCTTCTTCTGAGAGTTACATATCATTTAAAGGAATCCAAACACATTCCAAAAATACCATCAGTCAATCCAAACAATACTTTTTAATATAATTTGGATTATCATGGGAGTTGTTGATGAGAATTGGCTATAGTGATCTCTTTTACAGTGGCTGATTTACATTATCACACTCAGTTGATAAAATCAAATCATCTGGTGACACCCACTCTGGCCCAATGCAGTACCACATTTACCCTCCCCTCCATATTATACTTGATCTTGATTTTATGAAAAAACTGCAATGTGTCATATTGCTGAAAACTAGGTGTTTAAAAATACAGTTACTTTTCGGTACCAGATGGGTGGCATTGATCAAATGATGATAATTGTGAGGAACAGCTCCCCTCCACTGATTTTCGGCCTTATGTTGGCCAACAGTTGTCTGACAGTTGGCCGACACTAAAAGGACACGTTTAGTCTTTTTGCGGGTTGCATGCTTTGTACTTTCCCTTTTATAGAAAGCTTTTGTATTTCTAAGTTAATACAAAGTAAATGATGTGTGTGCAATTCTTGTTGATTTTGTCTTCTTAATTTATGCAATCACATTATGATTTGAACTTGCCCGTACTGCATCATGTTGCATATGTTGCTTAAAACTGAATTATCTTGAGTTTTCTTTAGGGACTTCTTTCTGCAATTGTGTTAAATTCAATGACTCTTAATCAAAATGAAATGAATGACAAAATATATGTTGGTAATAGCTTTCATTACATTTTAAGTGGGCTGGGTTGAGGGGGTAGAATTCTGCTATGTCAGCTAGCATGTTCCTGAAGTAGTCACCCTGGTAGACTTTTTGGCACTTGAACTTGTTAAGGTAGGACAGAAGTTTGCCTTTGGAGGTTCCAATCATCACCTTCAACTTTCTGGAGGAGCTGGCCAATCTGGTCAGAACAAAGTCAGAGGCCATCAAGACTCTACAAACCAAGTTGGTGGATACCAAGTAGACCATTGCCATGCTCAAGGCTGAGGTTCGGACTCTGCACCAACGCACAGCTGACAAACCTCAGCAGCAGCAACCATGACAGAAAGATGTTACTTGCACCAGCACCCACAGTCTGGCCATAATCCATTCAAGATAGCAGAGGGTGCGACAGATCCTTAAGGACAACAACTGTAGCATAATGAATGTGTTTTGCCTGGCTGGTTGCCCCTGCAGCACTCTCCAAGATTTTGTTGCCTTTGCTGAATTAAGAACTGTCGATGAGAGACATGGACAGGGGGTCTGCTAAGGAACTTGAAGCAGTCTGCAAGAGAAGACTTTGGCAACACCTGCCATTGATGGCTAACATGCAGTGAGAGGGACAGCTATTGCTGCTCGAATTCTATGATCGCATTTACAAGTAAAGCTTCCTCTCCTTTTACACAAACGGCTCCCTGAGGAGCTACCATGTTATAACAAGGTGAAGCTGCCTACAGTATGAACTAATTTACTTGAGAACCATATGAAATTCAGAATGGGATTGGGAAAAAGTTAAATATCCAAAATGGAAAACAGGCCAGGAATTAAAGTGAGTGTTGGAAGAGAAATTGCCAAGAAATTGTGCTCAACTAACACAAAAGAGCTATTAGTGTTAAGACTATTAAGAGTTTCATTTTATCTTTTCAATGCAATCATCAGGGGTTGCAAATCATAAACTTTTTAAAGCAATTATTGTCCTAAAGTTACCTACATTCTACCAAAAGGGTACCAACACCTTACTGAAAGATTATTGACATTCAACAGACAGTCCGTCAACTGTTGGCCATCAGATGTCCTGCATGCAGTTATCTTTTCAGCAAAACCTAATAATAGATACCCTAGTAAGCTGTTAGCTGACAGTTGCCCAACTGTCAGCCAACAGATTACCGACAGTTGGCTGGCTGTCAGCTTATTGTTGGCCAAGAGTTGGCTGCCTGTCAGTGGAGGGGAGCTGTTCTTCACAATTACCTCAAATGATACTGGTCATTTGTGACTGAGTAAACTCAGTGAATTTTGTTTGTATTTTAACGTCAAAGGTGCTTCTCTTGGGGTGGTGCAAGTGCTTAGTAATGAGAAGGATGCAAAGGACAATACTTGTCTCGTAAGCCAAGAAACTAATGAGAAACCTGTGGAAGATGTTTCTCCCATTCCTGTGCCAATAGATGCTGGAAAAGATCAATACCATGCCAATACTAAGTTATTAGGTAGTCAGGAATCTGAGGAGATACCTGCATGTAAAGCAGAAAAAGTGGAAAAACCACTGGATGAGAAAGAAGAAGAAACAAAATTGCCACAAGAGAGTGATGTTCATTCTAATGCAACAAAAGAAACGGCCAAAACTAATAAAAACATCAAGGAGGGTGATCAGAAAGAGCATACTGCTATGAATCACAATGAAACATCACTAACAGAAGCCACAAGCAAAATTTCAAACCTATCACCATTTGCAAGAGAATTTGTCCCTAAGGCTTCCTTTAATCTGGCATCTGTGGCCAAAGCCCCTGAATTTGAGCCTGCATCAGTTCCACCACAATTTAGAAGAGCACCACTATTGCAAAAGATGCACGACACACCAGGAAATGAACTGATGAACTGTGTTAAAGATGTCCTTTTTAGACTGACTCAGAGACCTGGTGAGTCAGGTCATTATTTTGATACTTTGGTTCTTCAGATAAGGAAACATTTGGGTTCCCTGAACTCTTTCAGCGAGGTGGTAGAGCTCATCTTTGAATACGTGAGTACCATTTTTTTTTTTGGAGATATTTAACCCTTCAACCCCTAAGAGTGACTGGCATCTAATTTCTCCTTACAATATCACCCTTGAATCAAACATATAAGGTCACAAGAATAAAGGAACTGATCACCAACCAAAGAAGCTCATTTTTGGCCCCTGAGAAAATGTTAGGAGAACAGTTTGGAGAATATCAATATGCCTTGATGTTAGGGTATAAATTAGGGTTAATTTGCCATAGTCACATTTTAAAGGGTAACCCTTATGGAAACATAAAGGACAAATACTTATTATGACAAGTTATAATACCTGTACATAATTGTCTTTGTAGTATCAGATTTCCAGAAGGTTAAATTTTGCTGACAAGTTGAAAACATGATTAGTCATAACTTGAATAGTATTACCTTTGTTATGAGTTATAAGATGGATGTATTCCATTTTTTTCAGTCAATAACACAGCCTAACTTCCACTACATTGCAGCAAAACTTTGCAACATGTTATCCAAGGAGGATACCATTATCCTGGAAAGTGGTGAAAATTTCAGGAGTGTTTTTATGAATAGGTACATGAAATTCAAAATTCCATTTATGATGTACAAGTTTTGTTATTCTTTCAAATTCTTTGGTTGGCAGGGTTTATTAGGTATCTTGCATGTGTTGGTGACCAGAATTCTAAAGACATGGATGGTTAAAGAGTGATATTTAACATTAACACTTGTCCTACTTTATATATTTCAGTTCTTTATATAATTTCAGATGTAGGGATGAACATAAAAACAGAGAGGAAGCTCTGAAAAATCCACAGACTTTGACACAATTGCTTGGATTTGCAATTTTTGAGGCTGAGCTCTTTTGCAACTACAGGGTTAGGGGATAATTTACTTGCTTTAAAGTATGTGACCATTTTTAACGGAAAAATGTTTAAGCTGTTGTTACATGTACATGTATCTGTTATATACATGTGCTGTGTAGTTAACAAACAGATTCCCTGTTGCTATGCATCTGTTCAGTAATGAATCACAGATGATGTCAAGATGTGGTAAGACCAGAATTGGCACACAAGGTGCAGCTTGGTGTATCTAATATTCTTACCAAATTTTAATGTCTTCTGTGGTCTATTGCTGAACAGACCCACAGCAACATGGAATCCAATTGGTTTTTCTTATACAATAAAGAAGTAAAGCATTATTAATGGCAATGCCACCTATGCATCTGATAGACCTCTATCAGACCTCTAATAGATTGTCAGTAAGAACCAATCAAAATGGTTGTGTAACTCAGCTTATTACATAAATGTCCTTAGATTGTGATGTTCATAGCTTGTTGTTGTTTTTTTTTCACTTTCACAGCCCTCAGGTGAACTCTTGAAGGAACTTTACAGAGGACTATTAGAAATGTTGTCCACCCTTTTGCAAAACCATACAGAGGAATGCCTCGTATGCATTTGCAAAATATTGAAGGTATTGAAACCATTGTATACAATCAAAGCTGATTTGACAGATACATGATGTTTACACTAATTTATAGTTGAACAGGCATAATTGTCACCACTTTGATAGAGTATCCTTTTTAAACTCCTTAACAAACTCCACATTTGCTCTTTCACATACAAGTTAGTGGCCAGCTTCATGTATAAATCAAGCATCATACAATGTAGGTTCAACCCAGTACCACTGTTGAATGAAGGGTGAATAAAGCTATGCTGCAGGTGAAAGTTTGTTTTGAGTACACTTACAAGTACATGCAAGGTTGCAATTTATAGACCACATCACTCATCCTTTGAACAAGCTGGTTTTGTCAGGAGCACCCACATGAACAATTTTTAGGCTTGTGTCACTTTATGTTTGCTTAATCACCAATATGGTGGTGATGATGTGTTTTTTTGTTTACATTTGCTGTTGGTGTATCCAGATGACAGGTTATCTTCTAGATGACTCCAGAATTATGGAAACTGATAGTGAAAAAAAGCAGAAAGTTGATAAAGTTTTCTCTGATGTTGAACAGCTTCTGAAAGAATCCACACTGTCAGAAAGGTAGATGAAGTAATAATATTACATTAACAAGCCATTTTTTCAGGACAGTTACTCTGTAGTTTTTAATAAGCCATCCTATGACGAAGTTTAATGGACAAAATTTCTCTTTACATTATCAATACAGTATCAAGCAGACAACAGCTGAGTATAAAGAAAATATCAATGGGGGACTGTGAAGTAACATCATAAGAATTGTATGGGAGGCAGTAAGGAGAATTACCAGTGAGATCTTGGGAGTGAAAGGGTTAAACATATCAATTAAAAAAAGAACCCTATATCTTGACTGCAGATCAAAGAGGTTTCTTTCTCAAGTAAGAAAGCTACGAGCATCCAGTTGGTCCTCTTGTCCAGCTGTAGGAGCTAGTGGAACATCATTTTACTTCCCTTCTGATGATGAATGCTCTTTCTCTCATTATGGTCTTGGCCTGGTAGGTTACTTTTCCTTGGTAAAATAACATGCATAACATACTATACACTGTTTGTCATTGCAGTTCATATAGTAATGAAATGAAGACAAGTACAGTTGTAATGCAACTCATGGACCAGCTATTGTTGTAGACTACGATCGGTCCATCCTTTCTGGCAAAGTCAGTTGTATGAGTTAAAGAAAAAAATCAGGGAAAAAATTTGCTGTTAGCACATCTTGCAGACCTCTGGGACTATGGTTCATGAAAGGTAGCTACTTTTCTTGCACCTCACACCCAGAGTTCTTTGCTGTGTACTATTTCATACATATATACCTTACACCCAGAGTTCCTTGCTGTGTGCTCATATATATATATATATATATATATATATATATATATATATATATATATATATATATATATATATAAATGAATGTGAGGGTAGAGTCTACCTTGGCATAAAGTGCTCAATGCTGTGGTAGCAGAGCTAAGTATACATAAGTTAAAGAATTTAAGAGGATGCATCAATTCTCTGTGACTCTGAGTTTTGTGCCTAAGCGCTTGTCAGACAGAACTCAGTCTGACGAGTGCTTAGGCGCGAAACTCAGAGTCACAGAGAATCGATGCGTCCTCTTTAATTCTTTAACTTATATATATATATATACATATATACACCACCCCATTTCTAAATATAATAAATTTCATATATTTTTCTTCAAATTTCAACGTTTTTGTAAACCGGTGTATACCAGTATATGTGTAACTTATTCTAATGTTGTGGACTATCAATGGCAATTTGGGTATGGTCTTTTTGAGGATCTGTGACGCTTGGTGTTAGCTATTCAATTGACCAGGCACATGACAGTTGGTGAATTGAGTGCTCTATACTCTTTAGTAAAAAAAGCGTCAATTTCACTCAATTTTTATATTAAAAATTGTTTTTCTCATCTGAACTTTTCATGGATTTTTGTTTTCTTCATAACCTTTCAGGATGATTTATCAATAGATGATGATTTAATTCCAGTAACAAATCCAGGTAAAAGAATTTATTTTTAGCCTTTTAGACTGAATAGTGCAGTGTTTCATGCTCAGACACCTTAAGTTTACATAATTAGGTAAAGGTAATGTCTATATGCAAGCCAGGTGACCCATCCAGCTGGCCTTAGGTGACCCATCCATTACTCCCCTGGCACTTTTTCAAAGTTTCATAGATAAGATAAGATAATCCATTTTTATGACGGAGAGAGGGATTGTGAGAATAAAAATTTATTAGGCAAGCCAGGTATCAAACCCCAATCTCTTGACCCAAAGTCCAGTACTCTAACCATTAACAATTAAGATAAGTATTCTGTTTTATGTTAATGTAATGTCTGTAGGCAAGCCAGGTGACCCACTCAGCCAGAGCTTATTCTGGTTACCGTAGCATGAAGCAATTAGGAGTATTATCACTCCCTCCTGTATGGGATGGCATTTGTTGCAAAAGTTACCCCCTGGCATTTCATGAAGCTTCCCTGATAATTTTCCAGTACCCTTTTTTTACTCCTGGGTGGAGCGGGGCACTGTGAGAATAAAGTATTTTGCCCAAGAACGCAGCACATTGACCCAGCCAGATATCAAACCTAGACCTCTTGACCCAAAGTCCAGTATTCTAACCATTAAGAATTAAGATAAGTATCCTGTTTTATGTTAGAGTTTTATTATACAATTTGTGACCCCACATTCCTTTGTGTTTAACATCAAACAGAGCAGTGGAATGATTACCTTCATGATGGAGAGGATGATAACGAGCTGCAAGATGCTTACAAGTACTAATTTCCAGATCATTTTGAGGGAGATTTCAGGTACGTATTATTCAGAATAATGAATTTTAACTTCTTTGCAGATTGCCACCCTAAATCCTTTAAATCCCAAGATGTGAAAGGTTATTCTTCACAGCAATTTTCTTACATTCCTTTTGTGTCGTCTGTTCATGACAACTTGGGTTTATTTTCTAACAACATTTCCTAGATGATAATTGGCAATTTTCCTTTTCCTGTGTGCTTGAAACGTCAAACAGAGCAGTGGAGTAATTACTTTGATGATGGAGAGGATGATAACGAGCTGCAAGATGCTTTGCATTGATGTTATGTTCTTTAGAAACTGGGATAACTTTCAGCAGATGTACCAGTCAATTTCTCGTCAAAGTTAACATCTTTGATTACTATGGCCCTCGCTTCGATCACATATCTAGAAACTTGGATACATTGAACAAAACAGGAGGTTAAAAAAACAATACACTCTCTTTTGATTTCTAACTGTAAATGTAAGAGTTAAGTTTAGACTTAACACAAATGAAATAAAATGCTAGATTGTATTATATATACGTGAACTTATTATAGGTTTGTTACAAACCCTTTTTTATGTCTTCAGAAGATTCATTTATTTTGTAGTCACAACTGTACAAAGTCCGAATGTGAATTGTAATTCGCCAGTTTTGTATGCTATTTGTAATATATCTAAATAAAGCTTTTGGGAACAATTCCTAACATAGTTATTGTTACTCTGAAATCTTTGCACGGTTTTCCTTTCATAGCAGTATTAATTTGTTACTTTATTTACGCGTATCAGGTGATATAACACGTGATAACATAGCTCATTTTTGTCAAATTGTTTCTTTCCTCCTGTTGGTCAGCCAATCAACGGCTCATCACTTACGAACTTTTGTCGTGATATTCCAACGTTCTATGTAGGTTATTACCTAGAAGACTAGTAGATATAGTGTCAAGTTGTCTTTGGAGTCATTGCTATGATAAACGATAGACTTTGTGTCTCTTTTAGGTTTTTTATTTCTGTTGTCAACCGGCTAACCGATGGGAACGTTTAAACGATGCACCAATTAATTCACTTTCTTTTTATTTTCTTTGTTCATGGGTGACCTTTGTTGTATTTCTTATCTAATGGAAAATAAAGTCTACTGCAACGGGTGCGTAAAGGGGAGCAACGCTCGTAAGGAAGATGAAAGTAGGTATTGTATCCATTGCACCTGTTGAACACGCCCCTCGGTAGCATTGTAGGGTTCAAGGAGCATAATTGGAAATTAAACTTTCGTTATTATCGAAAGTTAACCTTCTGGCATAATTTGTTTTTTTAATAGTAATTACTTTACAGCATTCATCTACCTCTGAGAAAAAATTAGATTTGGGCTTAGCTTGCGAGCAGGTCCTTATTAACCCTTTGAGTGACAAGCATCTAATATCTCCTTACAATATCATCCTCAATTTTCACATTAAGGTCACAGGGATAAAGAAAATAATCACCAACTAATGAAGGACCTGCTCGCAAGATTAGTAAACAAATTCTCCCTATCAGCTCCTTAGGAAATGTATAAAGAACGGTATGGAGAATATGCATACTGATGTTAGGGTTTAAAGGGTTAATAGCGCTGCCAGACGCGTTGGTCAAGGCCTCATTCTTAAAAATTCCGCAGGTGGAGACACGTTCGTGGTGAAGCCTAAAACTGAGGGTCTGCTGACTGGCTAGTTTGAGCTGAGTTACGCCCTTAAGTGACAAATTGTGATTCTATCACCTTTTTAAAATAATTTATTTAAAATAAAGAATAGAGATGATTACTTTCTGTCATTTTTTTCGGTTTTTCATGTTAGAGTGAAACCACGCAAAAGGCAGTGCAAACTATTGTGGTGTGGTGTGTGGCATTCTGTGTTTCGACTAAATCGTGAGGTGCAAGTACTGATTTTAGGACATGAGTTAACTACGGCATTCATGTTATCTTTCATGTATCAAAACCAAACATCATTCTCTTTTCCTGGGGTATTCTCGACAGCTTCTGTGCCACAGGCAGAATTCGAACACGAGGGCTCCAAAATCGATCACGGCTTGAATGACATTCCCCCAACAGATTCAAGCTGGTCGTCAAACACAAAATCACAAACAAAGTCAGGGGAAATCAACCTGTCCATGGCTTCATTGAGTCTCACAACGACTCCTACTGGTGTACTGTTACCAGTTTGTATCCTGGCAGTTTTTCTTTCATGTGTTGTGTGCGTCTACCACTGGCACAGCGTCAGAGAACGAAGATTAGACTTAGAAGACGAACGAAAGAGAAGAAGTCGGATCGTCTCCGATTTTGACACTGGCTGTGTTTTGAGAACTTTAAAGCCAGTTGATAAGGTGAATACCAACCTTAATCTTTCATCTTTTTTGCTCGGACGATTGAGTACTCTTTGCTTTAGTCATACAGCATCGCTCCATTTCATTGTTTTTAAACGTTAGTACCTGGTATACTCTTCTTGCTAATTTATGTAAGTCAATCTCTTTACAGGTAAATAAAATATTAACTAATAATTTCGCGATCTTTTATATAATTGCTTTGATTAATAAATAGAGAAGGAGAGATTTCTGTATAGCAAGATTATATTTAAAAGCAAAGCGTAAGTCCTAAAGACAAATAACTAAAGGGGGTGAGTTTCTAAACTGTGGCGCTATGTCCGTGGGGTTGAGTATAACAAGATAATTTGGTTTTATCAACTGGGTTAAGAGGGGGTCATCGAGGCCTGTTAGAAACCGCAAAACCGTAGAAAAAAATCATCCAAAACCGAAAAACCGAAAATCGCATGAAAAACTGTCAAAACCGATACATTTTCACATCCCAGTATATTAAAACCCTGATCGATCTGATACAATGGTGACAAGTGGAGCATACAATGTGAACTACACTAATTTTATTACAGGATTTATGAATGCCACGGACTTGGCATTCGTATCTTCTAGTATCTGCTTAATTAACAGCTGCTCTCTCGAGGACCTCGAGCGTGGTTTCTGCGGATTCAGCAGCTGGTAATGGAGCCTAGTTAAATTAAGGAAATTCGCACAAAAGTCCTCAATAGGATTGCAATTTTGCAGTCGCAAAAAGCTATGGCTCTGGAAAGTTTCATCGAAAATCCTTAATCTAACATTTCCATTTGCGAACTAAGACCTGAAAGTTTGGAGACTTCGAGGTGGCATTGATAAAGAAACTCTGGCAATGTTCCGTGCTGAGCCGTACCCAACCCTCCCCTCCCCCTCACCTTGGCGTAGGGGAAGTGGAAGGGTACGGCTACACGTAGGCTACTTAGGGATCCCCGCGATATTTCAATTGGTTTGTCACGCATTCCTCTCGATAACATTTGCGTTTAGCGGCTATTCGAGATCAGTGGAGACGCGTAATTGCCGCTCAGATCGAAGAGAAACTGGAACCCAAATAGGTCAAATAGGAAAAACCGAAAACCGCATCGATATCAAATCCGAAAACCCGTTAGTATTTTTCGCGAAAATCGAAAACCACATGCTAAAAAACGGAAAATCCGCAAACTACTATGAACACCAAAACCGAAAAGCCGAAGTTTTTTCGGCGCAAAAACCTATCTAAAAATAGCCAAAACCGCAAAACCGAAAATCCCAATTCTCCCCCTCCTCCTCGGTTAATGATGTAAATTGGCTATTGTAAAGAGTTTCAAGGCTGACGTTTCAAGCGTTGGCTTATAGCCCTTTGAAAATGTTGTTTTCGACATTGTATTCATCATCATCATCATCAAACTATATGCATAATGAAGTATGGAGTTAGATGGAAGTCTTGCTCTGCAGCATCGAGTTATTATTTTATCTTTCTCTAAATATAGTTATCATTGTCCTCCTAACATTTAGAAAGTTCGAATGTACCCATGGAAGTCCACAAGAATTAGAGACTTGCCTGACATCAATAACAACGATGGATTCGAGATTCCCTACAGTTTAGCTGAGAGCAGCAAAGGTCGCCGTCGTCCAGTCATGAGTCACTTTTCAGAGCCTTACGAGAGGCCTGAATTGAAAAGGAACCCCATTCATATTCTCGGGAGCTATCAGGTGACGTGACAAACTCCTAAGGGACCTGTTCTTATCTATCGCTGGGGGGAGGGGTGGGTCGGACGATTTTGGTCAGTGTCACGAGAAAATTTAGTTGTTCTTCCCCTAAGAATCTGTACGATTCTTATAATCCTCCTGATTGGCGGTTAATTTTCGGTACATTTTCTATGTTCCTCCCTCTATGCTCTGTTGGCGACAGCTGATCCTCCTCCGTTTCACTGGAAAACCATGTAATACCCCCCGAATTTTTTCATTCAGTAGGCTTTATTTTAACTCACGTCGCAAACCAATATCTAATCTCTCTTTCGTCAGAAACTGGTATTAGTTTAACGCTCTCATCATCATGGTCTGCAGACACTCCAACCAGTAGCTGCTTTGTGGCTTCCATGGATGATGACTGTTACGTCACTGGCATACGAGAAGAAGTTATTCATTTGACGCACTTTGATCTGGATGGACAAGTAGTGGTGCAAACAGTTAATGGTTCCTTGTTGGAATACTGGGTGTAAAGTTAACAGCAAATAATGCGACAATCCAGCCCTGATAAAAAAAATTGTGTGTTAATTAAATCAGGTTCATTTCAGGTTCAAACTTAAGCTCACCTTACATATAAATTGTCGATGGTTGTTCGGTATTAAATTTTACCGCACAAGTCACCTCACCTTAGCGATTTTGACAAAGTTTCGTCATTTTGGTTACTGCATGCATTTCTGAACATATGTCGAACAACTATCTTCGAGGTAGCCGGAAGTGAATAATATCAAAACGCTGCAAGAGAGATCACCTAGAAGAGAAAGAGGTTATCAAAATGGGCACGAAGTGAAAAAAAGAGGAGATCCTTAAAATTTCGTAAAAGTTTACCAAGTTTCCAAGGTAACACTCTTTCAAAAATACGTAACATGAATCCTCAAGGATAAAGGGTAACCACAAACTTCTGAAAATAATCGTTTTTCTCTTGAAGCGCCGTTCATAAGGTACTATCTAAGGAACTTTTAAGGAAAAAGTTCGAGCCGCTTATTCTTGGAAGTTTTTTTTCACTCAATGTTTATATGAAGGAAAAGACTTGATTCGTCTGAATAAGAGTCAGTTTTTTGGGCATTTTACTCGTTGCCATGTTGCTTCCAGATGTTTAATCTCTCCTCCATCTCTCCAAATGATCACCATCAAGGTCCTAATCAATCTCGAGCCCAGGGTCATTATGACTCTTTGTCAGCGGTATGGTAATCATGAGGCCAGGGTGCTGAGTTATTTGGTTGACTTTTTCGATGAAATGGTTCGTAATTCATAGAAAATTCGGATTTTTCAGTTTCTCAACATATGAATAATGCCTGGAAAGAAAACAATTACGTCAAAAGACTACACGACTCCACTTAGAAGACCTGGCGAGAAGCGGGAAGACTTGAACACTCAAGAGAACGGAAAGGAAACCCCTTCCCTTTCAACTGAAACTGAAAAAGGTGACATTTTGTTGTCATAATAGCTTGATAGAAATTATATATCTCTTGGTTTTTTTATTCGTTGGTTTTTTTAAAAGTGAACCGAAATCTCGAAGAAATTTTCGTATGTGAATCCGTACAATCACATCAACTCAAAACGCGGGAACATGTTAACGCACGCATAGTGTTTAGGTAGCTGGAGTCGAAAGCTCGAAGTATCGAAATCCCACTTTAATATTTTATGTGTATATTTATAGCTTAAAAGGCTATCCATTTTCTGTATGCAAATAACCCTTGTAATCAGTCATTTGTATCAGTTTGGTTCGTGGAACTTTAAACGACTACTTACTATCCAAGAGGGTGTAATAATCGGTCCACGAGATAATAAGATTCGGAAAGACTTCCGTATAACCTCGAAAGATTCTTAAACAAAACTAGAGTCCAAAAGGTAACCTTTACCCCAGAAAAGTGTTATGTATAATGAATTATGGGGCTCTGGGGAAACCTTGCCTCACATTAAGTTAGAACAGGTAAACTTTTAACCATTCTTACCTGAGTTGTACAGTAGGAAGAGCTTCTTCTGAGAGTTACATATCATTTAATAGAATCCAAACACATTCCATAAATACCCTCAGTCAATTCAAACAATACTTTTTCATATAATTTGGTTTATCAAGTGGGTCATCAATGAGAATTGGCCATGGTGATCTCTTTTACAGTGGTCAATTTACATTTATCAACTCAGTTGATGAAACTGATAAAACCAATACTGCCCTCCTGCCCAATGCAGTACCACAGTTACCCTCCCCTCCATAGTATACTTAATTTTGATTTTATGTAAAAACTGCAATGTGTGATATTGCTGAAAACTAAGTGTTTGAAAATACAGTTTCCTTTTCAGTAGCAGCTGGGTGGCATTGATCAGATGATACTGGTCATATTGTGACTGAGTTAACTGAGTGATTTTTTGTGTTTATTCTTATGTCATAGGTGCTTCTCTTGGTGTTGTACAAGTGCTTAGTAATGAAAAGGATTCAGAGGAAAATACTTGTCCTGTAACTGTAAGCCAAGAAACTAATGAGAAACCTGTGGAAGATGTTTCTCCTGACCCTGTGCTAATAGACACTGGAAAAGATAAAGACAATACTACTACTAAGTTACTAGTTAGTGAGGAATCTGAGGAGATACCTGCATGTAAAGCAGAAAAAGTGGAAAAACGACTGGATGAGAAAGAAGAAGAAACAAAATTGCCACAAGAAAGTGATGTTCATTCTAATGCAACTAAAGAAACTGCTGAAACCAATGAACATAACAAGGAGAGTGATCAGAAAGAGCAAACTCTTACGAATCATGACAAAACATTACTAACAGAAACCACAAGCAAAATTACAAATCTATCACCATTTGCAAAAGAATTTGTTCCTAAGGCTTCCCTTAATCTGACATCTGTAGTCAAAGCCCCTGAATTTGTGCCTGCGTCAGTTCGACCACAATCCGACAGACCACCGCTATTGCAAAGGATAAATGACACACCTGAAAATGAACTGATGAACTGTGTTAAAGATGTCCTTTTTGGACTGACTCAGAGTCCTGGCGAGTTAAATGATTTTTTTAAGACTATGGTTGATCAGATAAAGAAATGTATGGGTACTCTGAACTCTTTAAAGGAGGTGGTAGAGCTCATCTTTGAATACGTGAGTACCATTTATGTTGTTGTTGTTTTTTTGTTTTTTTGAGATATATAACTCTTTAACCCCTAAGAGTCTGAGTGGTTATCTAATTTCTCCTTACTATATCACCCCTGAACAAAACATTAAGAAAAATGGAACTGATTACCAACTAAAGAAGCTCTGCATTGTTTGACAAATTCTCCTTTTCTACACCTTGGGAAATGTTTAGAGAACAGTTTGGAGAATATGCATACGCTTTGATGTTAGGGTATAAAGGGTTAATTGGAAACAAAAAGGACAAATAATTTTTAATGATAAGTTATAATACTTGTAAATACTTGGTTTTTTAGTATCAAATTTCCTAAAGGTTAAATTTTGCTGACAAGTTGAAAACATGATCAGTTATAACTTGAATTGTGCTGAACAAAGTATTACCTTTGTTATGGTTTTTAAGATTTATTTAATTCCGTTTTTTTCAGTCAATAACAGAGCCTAACTTCCAGTACATTGCAGCAAAACTTTGTAACATGTTGTCCAAGGAGGATACCATTATCCTGGAAAGTGGTGAAAAGTTCAGGAGTGTTTTGATGAATAGGTACACGAAATTCAAAATTCCATTTATGATGTACAAGTTTTGTTATTCTTTCAAATTCTTTGGTTGGCAGGGTTTATGAGTAATCTTGCATGTGTTGGTGACCAGAATTCCAAAGACATGGATGGTTGAAGAATGATATTCAATGTTAACACTTGTTCTACATTACTAATTTCCAGATGTAGGGATGAACATAAAAACAGAGAGGATGCTCTGAAAAACCCACAAACTTTAACAAAATTGCTTGGATTTGCAATGTTTGAGGCTGAACTCTTCTGCAACTACAGGGTTAGGGGATAATTTACTTGCTTCAAGTATGTGACCATTTTTAATGGAAAAAATGTCTAAGCTGTTGTGACATGTATCTGTTATATGTATGTGCTGTGTATTTACATGTAACTAATAGATTCCCTGTTGCTGTGCTATGCTGTTCAGTAAAGGATTGCAGATGATGTCAAAATGTGGTAAGGCCCAGAATTGGCACACAAAGTGCAGCCTAGTGTATCTCTAATTTTCTTACCAAATTTTGATGTCTTCTGTGATCTATTGCTGAACAGACCCACAGAAAAATGGAATCTAATTGTTTTTTTTTTAAATACAATAAAGATGCAAAGCATTGTTAGTAGTGATGCCACCTATGCATCAGTCCTGTAATAGATCATTAGTAAGAACCAATCAAAATGGTTGTGTAACTCAACTTATTACATAAATGTCCTTAATGTTATAGCTTGGGTCTTTTTTTTTTTTTTTTTTTTTCACTTTCACAGCCCTTAGGTGAGACTGAACCATTGAAGGTATTTCATAGAGGATTATTAGAAATGTTGTCCACCCTTCTGCAAAACCACACAGAGGAATGCCTCAAATGCATTGGCAAAATATTGAAGGTATTGAAACCATTGTATACAATCAAAGCTGATTTGACAGATACTTGATCTTTACTCTAACTTATAGTTGAACAGGCTTAATTGTTACCCCTTCAATAAAGTGTCCTTTTTAAACTCCTGAACAAACTCCACATTTGCACTTTCCCATACAACTCAGTGGCCAGTAATTAATCAAGCATCATATACTGTAGGTTCAACATAGTACCACTGTTGATTGAAGGGTGATTAAAGCCATCTTGCAGGTGAAAGTTTGTTTTGAGTACACTTACAGGTATCTGCAAGATTGCAAGTTATAGACTGTATCACTCATCCTTTAAACAGACTGGTTCTGTCAGGGGCACCCACATGAACATTTTTAGGCTTGTGTCAATTCAGGTTTGCCTTCACCAATAATACAAGGTAAATTTGAATTTTTTTGGTTTACATTTGCTGTTGGTGTATCCAGATGACAGGATATCTTCTAGATGATCCCAGATTTATGGTAAAGGACAGTGAAAGAAAGCAGAATGTTGATAAAGTTTTCTCTGATGTTGAACAGCTTCTGAAAGAATCCACATTGTCAGAAAGGTAGATGAAGTAATAATATTACATTAACCATTTAACTCCCATGAGTGACCAAGAGAGAATTTCTCTTTACAATATCAATCAGACAAGTGACGATAATAGAGAAAAATATCAATTTCGGGATAATTAGTTGTAGTTGATCCAATAATAAATTCTCTAAACTAACATTATAAGAATTGTGTTGTTGACAGTGAGGAGAATTACAAATTTGATCAGGGAGTTAAACAGTTAACAAGCCACTTTTTCAAGACAGTTTCTCTGTACCAGTAGTTCTTAATAAGCCATCAAAGGAAGATTTATAATGGAACAATCATTTGAACCCTTTTAACTCCCATGAGTGACTAAGACAGAATTTCTCCTTACGTTATCAATACAATATCAATAAGACAAGTGCTGAGAATAAAGAAAAATATCAATAGGGGATTGTGAAGTAGTATCATGAGAACTGTATGGCAGACAGTAAGGAGAATTACTAATGAGATCTTGGAGTAAAAAGGGTGAAACAAGTCAAACCAAAAGAAAAAGAAAAAAGGAATCTTATGAATGAAAAAAAATAATCCTATCACTTTCTTGACTGCAGTTCAAAGGTGTTACTTTCTCAAGTAATAAAGCTACGAGCATCTGGTTGGTCCTCTAGTCCAGCTGTAGGAGCCAGTGAAACATCATTTGACTTCCCTCCTGACAATGGATACTCTTTCCCTTATTATGGTCTTGGCCTGGTAGGTTATCTTTTCCTTGATAAAATAACATGCATAGCATACTGTACACTGTTTGTCATTACAGTTGATATAGTAATGTAATAAAGACAAGTACAGTTGTGATGCAACTCATGGATGAGCTACTGTTGTAAACTATGATCAGTCCCACCTTTTTGGCAAGGTCAGTTGCACGAGTAAAAAAACTTAGGGGAAAAAATTTGCTGTTAGCACATCTTACAGACCTCTGGGAGTATGGTTCACAAAAAGTAGCTACATTTCTTGCACCTCACATCCAGAGTTCCTTTCTGTGTGCTAACATATATTTAAATATATATATAATTATTTTCAAATTTCAATATTTTTTAAAGTGGGTGTATACCAGTATATATGTTTACTTATGTGGCAGATTTTGCTGAAAAGGAGCAACTACTTGTACTCTAACATTGTGGACTATCAATGGCAATTTAGCAGTGTATGGTCTCTTTGAGGATCTGTGACACTCAGAGTTAGCTCTTGGATTGACCAGACACACTACAGTTGATGAATTGAGTGCTCTACATTCTTAAGTAAAAAGGCATCAATTTTACCCAATTTTTGATTAAAAATTGTTTTTCTCTTCTGAAATTTTCATGGATTTTTGTTTTCCTCATAACCTTTCAGGAGGAATTATCAATAGACGATGATTTAATTCCAGTAATAAATCCAGGTAAAAGAAGTAATTTTTAGCCTTTTAGACTGGATAGTGCAGTATTTCATGCTCAAACCCCTTTACATAATTAGGTAAAGGTAACAACTTTATGTGAGCTAGGTGACCCATCTGGCCAAAGCTTATTCTGGTTATCATAGCATGAAGAGACTTGGAGTATCATTACTCCTCCCCTGGATGGGATGCCATTTGTTTGCGTGGTTACCCCCCCAGCATTTCATGAAGCTTCCCTGATAATTTTCCAGTACTCATTTCTACTCCTGGGTTGAGTAGAAAAGTATTTTGTCTAAGAACACAACACATCGACCCAGCCAGGTATCAAACCCAGACCTCTTGAGCCAAAGTCCTGCACTCTAACTATTAACACATTAGATAAGTATCCTATTTTATCTTAAAGTTTTGTTATATAAGTTATGTTCCAACAACCCTTTGTGCTTAACATCAAACAGAGCAGTGGAGTGATTACTTTGATGATGGAGAGGATGATAATGAGCTGCAAGATGCTTACAAGTACTACTTTCCTGAACAGTTTGAGGGAGATTTTGAGTATGTATCATTTAGAATACTGTATTTTCAGTTCGGTGCAGAGTGCCACCTGAAATCCTTTAAATCCCAAGATGTGCATAATTATTCTTCACGGCAATTTTCTTACATTCCTTTTGTGTCATCTGTTCATGACAATTTGGGTTTATTTTCTAACAACATTCCCTAGATGATTCCCTTTTCTTGTTTACTTGATAGACTATGTCAACCATTTAACTCTCATGAATGACCTAGACAGAATTTCTTCTTACAATATCAATACAATAGGTGACGAGAATAACAGAAAATTTAAAGTATTTATATGAAAGGCTGAAATATTTAAAATGTGAATTGTTTTATTTTTTTGACTGTTCTTTTGTCAACATGATTATTTCCAGTCCTGAAGATGGTGGTTATTACATTGAAGATGATCCAGAGTTTGATGACGAAATTGGCCAAGAATTTGAAAAGTTCTTACAAGAGCAAGGAGGATCTTAATTAAAAAAAAAAATAAAAAAATAGATAGCTACCTTTAGTTAGCCTTAAGGTAATTGTTCTGTACTGTAAGATAAATAATTTTTATCTCGTTAGGGATATTTGCACTGTGATATTATATTGATTGATAAGTTGCATGTACTTGATCAATAACTTCATCTGACATCTGAAAGTGTATTTTCATTGCATTCTAAGGAGCAACAGCACATTGATGTGCTGCTCAACCATCACATTTAATCCTTTGACCCCAAAGAGTGACCAGCATTTAATTTCTCCCCACAATATCACCCTGAATCAAACATTAAGGGAACGAGAAGAAAGGAAACGATCACAAACTCAAGAAGCTCTTGATTGTTAAACAAATTCTCCATTCCAGCATCTCAGGAAATACATATAGAACAGTATGGAGAATATGCATACTGGTGTTAGTGTGTAAAAGGTTTAAGGCCTGCGTAGATGTGATTTGTGTGGGTCACACACCATAGTTTTATGTAAAAAATTCATGGTCATGAGTAGCCAAGAGTAAATCACCTCATAAGACAAAATATAAGTACCACATGAAGACACTAGTCACTATATTTCATCCGATCACTACACGTTTTCAGGAAAATAATCAGGACATCATTGAAGTGTTGTTTGTGAGTTTAAGGAGCTTTAGTATGAATCAATGCATACGGCAGATTTTTCCTATCAGTGAGTGAAAGGTGGAACCACCTTGCACAGCTGAGCTTAATAAAACTCAAGAGAGTGACGTTCTTGGAAATGTCTCAATCTATAATTGTATCCAGTGATGAAAGTACAGACTTCTGTTTTTTGTCTTGTATTTAGAGCTTAATAGAGTTGTAGTTGTAGTTCTTTAGATCTTTGTTATTGATAGAAACACAGAAACTAAAGAAGGCAGCTGTTTGAAATTTAAAACATTTTTGACTAATAGTAACAATTAATATACAGATAACGTGTTGGGCTGGAATATCAAATACATGATAATATTTGTCCGGAAGCTCGCGATAGTCAAAAGAGCCTCTCCTCTATGATGTAATTATCCTCTAATCAGGGTTTACCTGAAACGATAAAGTATTCCGCTTACTGTTAAATGTTTGGAAGAGGTCTTGATACAGTGTTTTAGTTTGACAGACCAGGAAAAGCCATTAATCAGAAACTATTTTTTCAGTGAGTTAAAGAACTCGACTGGGGAGATTGCGTGTTTGCTTAACGGGGTGCAAAAGTATTCGGTTTAGGAAAGGAAGTGAATGCGTTGAACTTTCTTCAAAAAAGATTAGAAACTGGAATTTTTTTAAACCAAGAGAATAGTGTCACTCTTTGGTCTTTGTGACAAGAAGCCACTATTGTGGTACCTTATGATCTCACCGAGAACGGTTTCCCGTTTCCTGTTAGACTTCACGCGGACAAAAGATACAGGAGCTGGAAAATTTAGGAACTGGGCTATGACCTAGTGATGACTGACCAATTAAATATTGATGATATTAATCCTAACGAACTGGTACTGACACATTGCCCGGCTAGGATACTGTGTTCGCAAGCATATGCCTAATTGTGCGAGCTGAACATCCTTCCTTAGCCAATAAGATGTAAGATTGGAAACAATCCTTAAGGAAATATACATGTATAATCGATTAGAGTCATCAAGAGTTGAGCGTTTTCGTCACTCGGTTATATCAGTTAGTGCCTTAACCTCACCCTTAGCAATAAGCTTTGTTTGGACTTTCCGACTCTGCGTCGGTTGATGTCAAGCATGAGACATTTCAGTGTTTACTTAAATCCTGACTGAGAGCGGTTCGTTTGTTAAATAATAATTAGCATTTGTCATCTTGCATTCTTTCCTAACCACGAGAAGCACAGCAAGACAATGTTGTAGCTCGTCTTGCAGCTCTTGGTATCCAAGCGCGGGGGCTAGAGTTGATTAAACAACTACAAAAGGAATGTTTATTACAGTAAAATATGGAGGTAAGATTCTTAAAACTATCTCACCTTCACTGTTGTTCAGTTAATTGGTGTGAAATCAAGTCGTATTATTTGAGTGAGAGACTAGTTGTGCTAGTGTTTAGAAGCACAAACCTGAAGCATTAGTTTCTGGTTTATGTAACAAGAACATTTTGTGATTTGTTTCTGCGTTTTTCGCTTAATTTACTCGCCTATCTTACTCAAATGTCGCTTAACAGACCAAGTTTAACTTGATTAAATTTCTCTACAAAAAATTATTTTTCTAATTACATACCTAAAGCGATTATGGCGGATATGGACCTTCCTCAGTCGGATCAATTATACTGATTGCTTTCCCATTGTCCCATGCTATTCTGATAGCTTGAAGTTTGAGTTACATCGACCTCTCACTGAATCTTCCGAAAAAGGTATCGAATGCAGCTCCCGGTGTCTTGGTCTGGTCTTGATTCCGAAATTGGGGGCACTCGGAAAAATATTCTTTAAAGATTGTAAACTGTGCAATGCAGTCTGGCCAAAATCCCCCGCAAAGTGTTGTAAATTAATTCAGAATACCCTCCTAAGAGGAGAGTTGATAAAAACTACGGTACTGTCCTTTAGTTGTTTTGAGTTTTGAACAGTCCGGCTTGATGTAGACACACGTTAGATTTTTTAACCATTAAAAATGGTGTTAGACGATAACATTGGCACAAGTCTGAAATAAAGAAATGAGTTCATTTTCAACACCAAAACCTCAGTATGTGTTAAGAAACTGTTTCTGCTTTACTGTACATGTTAAACATGTTATGGCAGAGGATTCTATTTTTCCGAGATATTTTTAATGCAGTGCCCCTCTTTTGATTCCGGAATTAGTCCGACTGGGCTGAGTCTTGCCGCTCAAATGAGACCTACTGTGTTCAGTTGTCCGGAAACTGTTTTCATTTTTAATCTTCTCTTTGCAAAATTAACCAAATTCAATAACTGTTATCGTCTGATGATGATTTTTGAAGGGCAAAGTGAAATAAATTGAGGTACAATGACCGCTCTTAGTAAGATTCTCCAACTAGCTTCTCAAGATCTACAAACGAAATCTGTATTAAGTGACAACCGGTAAGACTCAGCTTTTACCTTGTATAGTGGAGACCTCTGTGATCGACCGAATCTACTCACGGAAATATTGTGTAAATACGATACTTAGTGACATTTGCCAAATCTTCGTGAGCAGGAGAACTTGGCATGGTAGCGAAAGTTTTAATAACATAGATGTTGGAGCCAATCGCCACCGCCTAGCTCGGATTAAATCGCCCTGTATAATAATTCTATTGCCTACCCCGTGCTTGACATACCACGTGTCCATTTTTACTTCTTTAGATCATGAAGAGGCTCTTTTTAACCCAAACTGTCGCATTCTTCACCTGTTGGAAGACATTAAAAGGCGATGTAACTGTGCTGAGAATGGTTTGTGATTAGTTTGGGTAAAACTTTTAGTACTTTTTTGTGCACAAATTGCCACATCAGTTAAGCACACATGCGAGCCTACATAATACACCTGGGCTAAACGCCCCTTCCCCCACTCCCCTCGTTTTAGGGGAGCGCTATCAAGAATATCATCCTGACGCTGTTATGTGCGTGTCGTCACAGAAGGGCCACTTTTAGCAGGTTAAGATTAAGAGAGGGAAGAAAAGGAACAGTATGGATCAAAAGATTCTTATGGATGGATTCAGCAGACAGAAGAGCAAAGGGTCTGGGGACTTAATTTAGGGCAGAAAGCTTGGATGAACTACAAAAATGTGGGCATTTATTTATCATTAATCTGCAACGGTTTTCTGATAAATAGCGGGCTTATGGAGAGCAGGGTACGGAATTCGGAGAATTCTCAACACCCTTCCTACCCAGTGCCTCAGCTCAATATATTCAAGGGGATATTTGACTTTACCTGACGAAGGGTTCTCCGGTAGCATGACTATTAAGCAGTTATATTTTCCCTATTTTTTTGTCTACTGCAAGCACTGTCAGGGGTGTAACCAGGATTTTTTAAAGGGGAGGTCACACTCTGTCAAACAGAGGATACTCACTAGATTGTCATGTCGACCTCCACGCCGTACCCCTAGACCTCCCCCTAGTTACGGCCTTGATTATGCGTTTGTACTTATGTTAGTTGTAAGATCTTTGTGTTACTGTGAAATATCCCCGTTCATGACTTCTAGTATCTACTTTTTCCTTGACAATAAATTGATGGTTCAAGGATTTTTTTAATCCCACTTTTGTTGTAATTAAACAGCAGTCATTGACCTCTCGGATCTACAGGGAGCAGTAAAGAATCTAACAGATCATCAAGCATCAAATGGCAGCGAATTCCTCAACGAACGAGAAACATTTATTCTCGTGCGAGTTGAAAGTAGGGAACTCTTTCGAGTTGATGCAACTCAAGTTCTATAGAAACTCGCTTTTTTTTTCGTTTTACATAACCGTTGCTTCAAGACTAAATGCAAACCAATTAAGATGTTAATTTGATAAAAATCTTTCATGTGATCCTGAATTCATAAAACCATGTTCACATATCACCATCCAATGCTTTCACTTCTGTTTCATTTTTTTTCGTTTTTGTTTTAATTTTGTTTTGTTTTGTAGAAAACATAGAGGGCCGTGAATTTCCCCTATACACACCTCTTCTTAATGACGAGGACGTTTTGACAAAGGATTTCCTAGGTGAGCATTTGGGACTTTTAACATGTCACTTATATTTTGATGAGTACCTTCACATGTCTATTTTCAATAGTTTACTTATAGCCACCTTTAAATAGACTTCACTATACCAGCTTCCGTTCGAGAAATGAGCTCGCGCTCCTTCCATCCGGGGAAACGGCAGAAATCGAGCCCACCTTTTTAACTGATATTCTACTTCATTTCAAGACCCAAATCTAGTCCCGGATGTGTACTCACTGATTGGAGTTTAGATCGAGTGTTAAGTGTTGCGTTCCCCCTCAATGCAGTAAATAAGGGGCGATTTCACCCTGTTGACATTTCCGGGAGCAAACCATAAGTTTTAAAGGTACATTTTTAACCAATATTTTGCCCCTATTTTAGAAAGTTTACGCCGCACGCCCACTGACACCCTAGAGGTCAGCGGCAGAGGTTCTCGTAGCATGCGTCGAGGAAGCCTAAAACCAAGTGTCAAACGAAAGCAGTCATCGGGAAATCTCAGTCTTAGTCCCACAGGGAGCAATTCTACGGGTAATAAACCCAGTGCCACATCAAGAAAGCGTTCGACCTCAAACCGGCGGACTTAATAAGATGAACCAAGTGTACTGGCAACGGCGTGACAGAAGCCAAAAAAATTTGCTAAGTGCATGTTTTCAATGGAGCACGCAACAAAAGTAAAGGCAAAGTCGTGTGTCATTCATTTGCTCTTTGTTTGGCTTGTTATGATACTGGCAAAGCGAATTACTTTCTGAGAACTCTAAATTTTGTTGTACCGGTAACCATCGTCTATGCATTTGATTTGTCTCCTAAGCTCTCATTTTATATCATCATATTTCCAAACGAAAATTGTAATCAGTGCGATACCAGACGCAACTAGGAATATTGTATCGCAATTTCATAGATATACATTGAGAAGGATATTGGAAAAGGCGTTTTTTCTAACATGATTCGCTTCAGGAGAGCAGCAACTGATGCTTATTTAGAAGTCTCTTCATCGGTGACAAAAGGCGACCTTACACAAGTAATGCTCACAAAAAAAATAGTCACTGAACTTTTTAGTTACGCAGGTTCAGTGTCACTTTAGTGTGACCGGAAGCAAAATTGTTTTGCTTGTAAAGATCAAGCATGTGAAAGAAGCATGCGTGAAATAAGTTTTTCTTGTTCAGTCTTTACTCCTTACAGGATTGATGTCAGCGTCAGAAGTACACACGCAAAACGAATGGACACAATTGAGCGCATGCGCCTGACAAAAAAGGAGATAATCTCGCGCATGTACACAACAACGCGACTCAAGTTCGAGCGTGTGCACAACGGATAAAGATGTTTACTCATCTTAATTACATTTTCTGTATTTCCCACTTGTTGGTCTTTTATTTACTTAACAGAGTTATGTTTGTCCGCAACAGTCTTTAACTAAACTTATAAAATCAACCTACCATAACTAGGCGAGTATCAGTTAGCTATGATAACGATGTAGTTTTTACTTTGGTATTCAGAATATTCTCTGAAAAACCAACCTAGCCTCTTTAGCCACGAACATGGTCGTCCAAACCTTTTTCTTTGTCCACTATAACCCTTACCCACTGAATGCCCCTCAATGTTCAGTTGATGAAAATGAGCGTTTTCATTGAGGTAGGTGAGCCTAGGTTGAATAACCCCCCAAGAAATTTGTTTTTAACTTTGACATTGTTAAATATGAATATTTGTACCTAATGAGTTAATTATCAAATACCAGGCTTAGATCTCTCGGACCACCGTGATTAGAATAAGTTTAACAAGTTGAATAGGATTTGTAGAGAGTACATTGTATAACTGGACATAAACAGTTTAGACAAAGGCGCGCAAGGCTTTTATCAGGCAAAATAAACGATTAAGTGATGGCGCCAGAATGCCTTCCGTATATTGTGGAAACCTTTATTGCCCCCAAAGGAATCGATTTTGAGACGTTTAACAGCCCCTTATATCGCTTTTGAGCAATTGCGTCAAGACAAAGAAAAAAAACATTTAATTGGTGGCAATGTACCCCCACAAATAGTAAGGATATTAAATTTGGTTGTTATGTTTATTGGCGACAGCTATAGTGTATATGTTTGCACCGGCTCCATGACTAAGAGCAGGTTTTGATGTGACTTTGTTGTCAATACATGTTGTAAGCAACTTCTTGTCCTCTTTTAACTTTCACAGGATTCCAGATATTTTTAGAACAGAAAATTTTAGCTACAAGGTATTTCATTAATACTTCTCTTAGACGGTCATTAGTGCATTCAACAGACTAATTTGATTCTTGTTAGCGCCTTCCTCAACCATGAAATTTATTGCAAATTGGGCAGATGTTGCCTCTAGCCGTGTATTGTTCTGTCTGCGTCTTCATAAAATCGTTCTCGCTTGGTCACTTACGTTAAATAATAATTAAATTATAGAGTACACATAAACAACAACTTGAAATAAAATCTCAAGTGCCGTGGAATTGTTCGATTGGAATAAAACCAGAGCCAAACTTGCTACTTGAAAGTGAGCAATGTTTGAAGGATGTTAAAGACCTGAGACATAATTCGTTTCTGGATTTGCATTCCGTGTTAAACAAATCCAAATGATTGAACAGAGAATCTTTTCTATTCGCGTGCTCCTTTTTCGGATCTCTTTTGTGTTAAGCTTGATTATGAAAAGTTTAATTTATTTACAATTCAAAAGTGACCCTTTGCGTTTTTCAGTCAATAGTAGCGAAGATTTGGTGCTCTTTGTTTACATAAGGCTAAACCTGTTATTAGTTTCCACTATCGGAGCAAACTTGAAATGTATTTTAATAAGCGAAACAAAATTGGGAGAGAAACGAAATTATATCTGGATACAGTGTTCTAAAGATCAGTTTCTTGTAAAGAGCTTATATAGGCGAGAAGCTTTTGGTCTATTTTGTTCACTTCAACCCAGCAGTCCATAAATGAGTCATTTTCGACGTCATTAAGTGTCAACGACTGAGTCTCTAAGTTTTCCTTTGGATGTAGTTTCTTCGGGTCGAACGCGCAACCCGCACACACATTAGCATCAGGACGACTTATATTGGCCTCTGCAGCAATTTTATTGTCTGTTTGCATGTTCATGTCTTCAGAATCGTTGGGAAACACATGTTCATTTCTGACAAATTCAGATCCCCTCCCGCTATCTATCAACAATTGCTCTTCTTCTTCTTTCTGGTTCATGTAAGTTGGGGGTGGTCGTGAGCGTGACATGTTTGAACAGTCCTCTTTTGTTTCTCTTTGTAAAAGACTTTGTCTTTCGTCTTCGTTTTCATTCGAATTTTGATCACATATGGACAAAGTTGTGGTATAACCATTAGAAATGGGTGTCCTTTTAAATTCTCTTCCACCATCTTCACTTCTCCTTTGAAGTTTTTTATTTGTCGCCGAAGAGGTAGTGGAAGCAGGAGTTAGTCGGCTCCCACTCTCCACATCGCCACCAGCCTTTCCATCGCCATTGGCGTGTTTATACACTGCTAATCTGAACTTACCACCACGGATTTCGTTCATTGCCTTAGGATTTGTTTTATAAACATCCGCATTCGTCTTTTTCCCGCACTCACAGCGAAAGAAGCTTTTAAAGACTTTCTTAAACTCTTTATTCAGCGTTCCGTAAGCGATAGGATTGAGTGCGCTATTTGCCATTGGGAAAACGTTTGCAAATCGCAGAACGTAAACAAAGTACTTGGAGTTGAATAAGTCACCGTATTTAGACCACAAGAACACAACATGTTGAGGAAGCATACAGATTGCGTAGAGTATCACCAGAGCGACTAGCATGTTGGTAATTTTTGAAGTCTGTTTCATTCTCTGCCTGACTGCAGCTGCTATTACCTGAGAGCTTTTAGGAAGCATTTTCATTGTGTTGTTCTTACGAATCTTAACCGCGATTAGCACTGCTAACACTACAATAATGGCCAGAGGTAAGATGTATTGAATCACAAAAATGAAATTCCAATAGAGCTCAGAATAAAGAGGATTTGGCCATTTCTCATCGCAATAAACTTTACCAGGCTCAGGTCTTACTATCCCAGCCACATATAGAAGTGGAGAACAGATCACAAAAGAGGTGATCCAAATTACAGCCAGGATGATTTTGACTTTTCTACCGCTTAATCGGGGTTTCATAGGATAAGCAATTGCTCTGTATCGATCGCTTGTTATGGCGAGGAGTGTCCCGATTGAGGCTGATAAGCAGAGAGGAACCAGAATGTAGGTGAAATGACACATGAAATTTCCTGTAGCCCAGTTATGGTTGTTTTCAAACGCAGCCATTTGCGTCGGTAAAAAGATCACTACGTTTAGTAAGTCGCAAAGAGCCAGATTGAAAGTGAAAATGTTATTGCTCGTCCGCATCCGCTTACGGCGGATCACAGCCACACAAACCACAGAGTTACCGATGATTCCTACAATGAACACAACGATAAATATCAAGCGAAGTGTCCAGCGCATATAAGCTGGCTCGATGAAGTTGCCACTCGCACTCGTAGGGGACATAGTAAAGTTCTTCTCACCCATGATGGGGTTCTAACGTTCGCAGTTGTAAGATGACAAAATCACTCCATTTTGCAGTTTGTGTTGTTGTGGTTGGCTAGCTTTCGGGTCCAAGCCAGCTGATTTGACCCGTAAAATTATTGCAATAAATGCAAGATTGGTGTACTTGTAAAGATGCTTCCTTTGATTGAGTAGGACGTCGCTCTTCAACAACTTCTAACTACTGACAAATTTCAATTGGTTGTCCTTCAATCATCGGTTAACCTGCAATTAAAAAACTTCTCGGTTAAAGTGAATTTTCCGCATATTAAAAGTGCGAAAGATGTGTTTATCTTTGTGCGTAATTCGGAAAGCTATGATATGTAAATGTATAACCCACTTGCGAATTTCAAAGATAACCAAGACCTGATAACTGTAATTAACAATTTCTCTGTAACAATCGCTACCTTGGCTAGTTCCTTTTCCTAAGTTATAAACGTGTTATGCACAATTGCCGACTGTCTTTACTTCTGTTTTTCCACCCTTTGAAAACATTGTTCTTACAGACAAAACAACGTTTGTGCAAACACGAATTCTGTGCTTTGCGTTGGATCCTCTCTGATTGTTTTATTGTATTATTTGCCAACGAGATCAGTAATGTTGTGAGGTGAGAAGTCTTTTTTAAATATCTTTGCGGATTAAAGCGCGCATTTGTGTCTTCTGTTTGTTTATTTCTTGGGTAATGTAAAAATTTCCATGGACCTTGTCATGCGAGGCAAGAATTTGTCTAATTTACAAGGACAGTAGGCGATTTTAATTAAAGCTTATAAAGATAGAATTATTGCTTCATGGCCCATCACACAAACGACGCAGCCTCACCATTGCTTAGTGAACTCTGAAACATGGGTCAACCTCTCTGCATACAATTTAATTTCCTTGTTAAAAGTGCAAGTAAACAATAATTTCTTGTTTTAATTCTGTTAAAAATTAATCTAATGGAAGTAGCGAAAACTTTAAATTTCCATTCATCTCAGAGCTAGGATTATTTATGATCTAAACTTGAGCTAACACATAATAATCTATTACACTTTAGCAATCTCCTGCTGATTTTATGACACTTCTTTACAATTTTACTATAAGCTGTATTTGGAAAAACTCTGCGAACCACGCTGTATCACTCCAGAGATTAACCGGTAGGTGTTTTAACCCAATAATCAAGATATTCTAAAGAACTTAAACAAAATTAAACAGTTTATTTTATCGTTATGGAGTCCTACAAAGTGACTCGGAGGCTTTTTGCGAAACGGCCCTTTTTTTCCATCTATTCTTCTTTCCTTCTTTCGTTTTGCGTAATTTCTGGCTCCTCTAATCACAATAATTTTCAAATGAACTTCGTCAAACCTCGGACATCAGACACATCGTAAGTATATTTCCAGTTCTTCTGTCGTTTGGAAAGGTAAAAACAGAGGAGTTCTTCTATTTCCATTTAAAACACAAATTTCAACAACGGTTTTAATTTACAAGCAACAATTGAGTAGACCTTCAATTTGACTCTCACTGACTTTTTTATACCCCAAGTTAAAACTAATTCCATTAACAAAATGTAAAAAAATGTTTTAGATTTGAAGCGTGCGGAATAGTCTCGCTCCAGGACTCTCGGTAATAACAAAAGATGATATATCTTCTTTCATGGGCGTTCACGTATGTTAGTGTGTGGCCGTGAGTGAGTCTCTTAGAACGAATTCAGCCCCAAAGTACCCCTGTAATAGCTTATTATTATTCCAGGAGCTGCAGTCACCGCGATCTGTTCGGAATCGTGTACAAAAACCAATACGACTTTCTTGCTTTGAAATCAGCGTTGCCGGCTTCTCCGGTTGACGGAGTATAGTTGTTATCAATCACTGACAAAGTTTTGTGCTCTTAGGTCAAATAGAAGTCAGATGTGATCCGTCTTCGTCTACTTTTAGCAGCATGCTAAATGGGTCTTAGTTAAGAAAAACAAACATGAGATCGTTTTTCTGATGGATACAATGCTCTGTTTACGTTCTAACATTAAAATATATAAACAATACACCTTAGTTTAATATTTGGTTTGAAACGGAATGCAGAGGCCTGAAAGCTTCCACTGTGGGCTGCAGAATCTGTTTAATAAATAATTACTTACTCTCTGCAGCCCCTATTCTTTTTCTCTCGAAAACCACAGTAGGAAAGTTTCGACCCCTGGTTAGAAAGAGTCATTTTCTTCCACGCACTTTCATAACAGCATTCATGCCGACTTGTAAAGAACTTCAACATTCTAGTTTCGGTTCCGTGTGACCCTCGCTGGGAAGCACAATGGTATTTTCATTTATGGCATTGTTTTATTTTGTTGGAATTTTGAAAGCGTGTTGGATAGATAAAAGCAAAGTTTTTACTCTGAAATTCTTCGGTTTTCTCAGTTCAGTCCACGTAGGCTTTATCCGACAGAGACAATAAACAATACAACAGACTTGGCTAAGTTGCCAAAATACTTCATCGTGTGCCGCAGAACTCATCATCTTCTCTGTTGCAATCCTTTTTAACCACATCTCAAATCGATGATTCTCCCAACCAAATTTAATATACTTTTGTTAATGTTAGTTTGAGAATTTGGTACACGATCAGGACAACATCCCTGTGTTGTATGCCTTTATTTTCACTTATTATTAAACGTATGCACAGATTCTGAGAGGAGAATCACGTTGGTCACACTTCGGGAATAGTAGGATAAGGAACAGCTGTGGCTATTGGCCACAAAATCCCATCTCAATGTATTCTATCGAAGATACTTCACACCTCCTATGATGATTTCATAAAATGAACATTTTGTTCTTGTCGCTCCCGCTGTTTTGATAAAAGACAAAATTGTTATTAAAGGTAAATTCTAATAACTGAAGTGTTTCGTTCTTGAAAGCCTGCTTTTCTACTCACGTACTGCAAGTTACTTATCTTTTCCCAGCCTAGTTGCATAACATCTATAATTCGTTTCTCAGCCTTAATTTCGCAAAAGAAGATTTCCGTACCGCGATAAAACGACATAAAAAATTATTGACTCACCAACCATTCAACAAAAAGTGATGTCTTGCATCAAAAGTCGGGTTGGAAGCTGTGCTTATTGTTTGCGTGTTGAACTCCGGTTCAAGCAAAAGGGTTTCTTATGCATCTAAATATAAATTGTAAACACCAAATGATGTCCAACAGGGCTTTTGTTTAAAGAGAGACTCGTGTCAAGTTTGTAAACACATATGAGAAAGAAAAATCCTTATACCTTCTCTCATTTCTACTTACAGAAATCATCTCGGAAACATCTGCGTCTTGATTTAGAGCTGCTTTGACTTTGTATTGTTTACCCAACTCAATTAGATCAATTTAATGGCAGAATATTTCTGAATGAAATTTTCGTTTGTAGTAATCAATGCTGCCATTTACCCTCTAATTTTAAGAGGTGTTTCGTTCAATTAGGTTCATCGAATTGTCAACAAAATGTTAGTGTCGACTGCGATGAAAAGTTTGAAGAGAATTCCACTTGACTATATCGATTTCGCCCGCAATTTTTACTCAAAAGTTTACGAGCCGAAAGACATCTTTATTTACCAAGAAAATTGGCGCTGTATTTCGTTAATAATTCATGGTTATTCTTTTGCTAGAAGCTTCATATAAAAACTTTTACTTTCATCTCCTTTACAGTTTGCCGACAGGAAAGCGATAAAAATAAATCCTTCTTACTCACACAGAAATATTTGTTTTATATATGTTTCAGTTCGGTATCTGTCTACAACCGAAAAGTAAGGTGTACGTTTGTAAAAAGCCGAATTGCTTAACTTGACCATGTTTTTGTCATACTTATCAACAGTTTCAAAATGTCACATTCTGTGGGTTTTTGAGATAAATTTGAGTTTAATAATTCTTAGATCAAACTCAGCATACTTGCCAAAGCTAAAGACATCGTCAGGCTAAAAAGCAAGGAGTTGTGTTGCTAAGGATCATGGGATACCCGTTTCTTGAACTGCGGCTTTTATTACAAGTTTTTAAACTAGTGGATTTCCATTTCCAATGAATGCCAGGTTACTTATGTTATAATTTTAGTTAAGTTTCCGGCCATGTTTACTTTGTTTAGTTTCCCCCCTAGACTCTGTAACGTCATAATCTAACTGAACTTAGGCGATTGATATATAGGTGTCTTAGTCTTAGTGGTCTTTTTTTAAAACAATGTATCGTGCTGCTTTTATGATAGGCTGTTTATGGTACTTTTTCAATTTAATCTCGAAAATAATCCGCAATTGTATTGGTTTTGCCAAACCTCACTCTGTGATTGGTCCCGTATACTCGCGCCTCTCCCTTTAACCAATCAAATACAGAACTAAAACCGTTTTCCCGCGCTTTAGGCAGTTAATGGTTTAAACGATATCCCATTGGCTCTGGAAGGTAATTTCTTTCCTTTGATTGGTTGTTCAATCGAAAGGCGTTCTAGTGGGTGAATAAACCAAGTCAAAGGTTTTTCCTGTGAAATTAATTTGACCAAATCAAAGGAATTGAGCGAGCGTGGCACACTGAGTTGAATGGCCTCAGTTCTTTTGGCTAAATTTGGCATGTTTGGCTGAACTTGACCTTTCATATACTTCATGTTCTTATCTATGAAACGTATATATGATTATTAACACGCCATAAATGCTGTTTACACACGAACTTTTTTATCTCATAAATATTACAACTTCGTCGCCAACTCCAGTTATTTGAGGTCGGTTTTTGATTGAACTCAGGCCAATCAGGAGGTCAGAACTTCATTATAAGTCTAAGAAAGAAAAACCGACCGTAGATAAGTGTTATCAGGGACCATTCCTGGACATCTGGTGACAAACAGGAATCAATTTTCGATATTTTCTAAGTTGATGATCGTGTCACAGCTTTTTCTTGTTTGAGAAAATACACATGCAATAAGTTGTTAAGAGAAGTGACAGCTGAACTAACATAAGCATCACTAAATAAATAAGTACACTGCTGTTTCAGGCAATCAAAATAAGGCAAAA